AAAGGCCCAGCAAGTATTAGGCCTCTTAAACTGCTGCCTAAACCCTCCGCAGAAGGCCCAGCAAGTATTACGCCTTTTAAACTGCTGCCCAAACCCTCCACAAAAGGCCCAGCAAGTATTAGGCCTCTTAAACTGCTGCCTAAACCCTCCGCAGAAGGCCCAGCAAGTATTACGCCTTTTAAACTGCTGCCCAAACCCTCCACAAAAGGCCCAGCAAGTATTAGGCCTCTTAAACTGCTGCCTAAACCCTCCGCAGAAGGCCCAGCAAGTCTTACGCCTCTTAAATTGCTGCCCAAAGGCCCAGCAAGTATTAGGCCTCTTAAACTGTTGCCTAAACAGAAAATCTTATGGCAAGATGCTTTCTCACAATGAAAGGTCATTGAAAGCACGTCAGAGCTGTGTTTTTCATGGCTTTAAGTTTTTCTTTTTGTGATTTGAAATATTTGGTTGTTTCTGTGCCGTTGATTGTTTGAAATTGTTTTTGTTTCAAGTGTGCATGTGTTTTGCCTGTTGGACGTCGTCAAGCAAAGGTTTATAAAAACATGATAACAACGTATTTTCTTTTAAAAGACTTTTCCAGCTCTGGAACTGAATTTTTTTCTGTCTAGGGCTTTCAACAAGTGTTTCCTGCAGCAAGATGTTTCCAAGAACAGAAAAATTTCTGGACCGGATTGTTTCCAGCAACAAGACGTTTCCTGCACAAGAGCACTTACCCGTGGGCTGTTGATTAATGGGTCTGCAGAAGCACCCGGACCGTGCTGGAGCCAGATAGCAAAGAAAACATGTGAACTCTCGATTTAAAAATTCAGAGATTCGCCCCGGACTCGTTCTTTTTCACACTGTGGGACGAACTTCGGGCGAACAATCGCTTCCACAAGTCTCCTGTGTCGGAGCATGTCCAATGTCCGTTATCATTCATCTGTGCATCTTTCAAGCCGTCAAAGGACGGCGAATGCTCTCTTCTCGACTTTCTGCCTTCTGATGACACATCTTGTGAGTGTTTTGAGAAAAATGAGATGAGGGTTTGCAGCCATTTCACGAAAGCTGTCATTTTGAAGAGCTGTCACACGTGGTGGTGCATCCGTGTTGAGAAACAATTTGCACAGGTTGGACCAGCGCTGACAAAGATAGTGGTCTGACTGAGGCAACACGAACAAGAGTCAGGTGGGTGGGTCAAGAATCGAACAGGTTTCTCGATCCCCGGGACGGCTGGCAAGCTCAAAGGCAAAGCTCATGTTCGAGGCAAGTCAGTTGTGGGGAAAAGTTGGTCGAGCTTTCTTCCCGACCCCTCTCAGAGAGGCAGCACCTCAAGGATGGGCCCAATGATCTTTTTGATGAGGGCCCCAGAGATTCCCCTTTCGAACTTGACAGGATCGCTGCTACACCCATCGTCCGAGGACATGTTTGATCGATGAAGAGCCTCTCGACCAAATGGTCAGAACATGGAGGTCAAAGAAGAGGAATGGGGGCGCTTCAGTACCTGCGACGTTCTCGGCTGACAAGAGAGTGCCGATGGTAAGAAGAGCAGCAAGGTTTGTTCTTACCAAGTGCCGCAACGAACATGGTGAAACTCATTCCGATTCTTTTCCTTTTGTGGCGGAGACGATGTCAGAGCAATGTGCAGTAGGCGTCAAGGACGCCTGTTTAGAGGTACCGCAGCAAGAGTCTATCATCACCGACTTGCCCAAAGACTGCTGTCTGGACAAAGAGTACAGTTTCTAATTGACAAGTTCAATGCCCTGAGTCTTGCGTTGAGAATCCAGCAATCATACGTGTCTCCGAGGGACCGATGATCTTGCCTGTTGATGACGGCCTGACGCTCGCTCCTTTGACGTGACTCAAACAGACGTACATTCCCGCATTGGAGTCAAGATCTCAGTAGAGATTGCCTACAAGACGGAGATGTCTTTTCCTTCTTGAAGAGACAGCACACTATTTGGAATCTGAATTTTTGTGGAAACTTCGAGCAGCTACATACGACACATGGCCGAAGTACTTGATGTCAAGCATGGATCGAAGTAGAGCCAGTTTGCCTGGCCTACAGTGACAGATGCAGCAGAGGTGGCGATCCCGTACCATGACCCGGACTACCGTCTTGCTGTGCTGCGTTTTGTGCATTTACCGAGCCTTGAGCTGGGCTAGGGATCTTCATGGTTTCGACATGAACAGACTTCTGGAGATGAGTTCGCAAGATTTTGCAACAAAGATGATCATGGGTTTCATCTTCCTGTGTGGACGCTGTGTGGATTGATGCCGGAGTGTACCATGGAACAGTGCATGTGTTTTTTTCTTCTTGGGGTGGTATGGACAATGCGTCGCTACATGCTTCAACTGGAACATGAATTGCAATCGACGAGCACTGAGCCAGTGAGTTGGGAGCCGATGCGAGTTCGTTCTGATGCCAATGTGAAAGTCGTGATACCCCAAGAGCTCTATGTAACACGTCACGGCGAGTGTTTTCACCGCAGAAATTGTGGAGCCCTGAAGAGCGCCGCCAATCCCCCAAAGAAGCTGAGTATGCTGATTGCAAGGACATGCTGAAGCGTACAGAATAGCAGACAAAAAATCATGTGAGATGTGCAGTTCGAGCACTGCAATCTCAGGCGGGGTGATGAACTTTTACGTTCCCCCCTAGCATATCTTGTGTACAGATTTTCTGGTGCTTTCACACGTCTTTCATGTGCCAGGAGTGCATTGCATGAGTTGGATGCTGTGACATTCAGGCCCAAACATATGTGGAAAAGACCGTTCGTTTTTACAGAAAGGAAACAGCTGGAGGCTGAGGAAGAATAGCAGCGAAAGAAAACGTTGCAGGAAGGCCAGCGTGTTCCAAAGACGCCGCCGGAAGAAGATGAAAAGAAGGAGACAAAGGAAGAACCGAAAGAAGGTTTCCGAGACAAGCCTGATGAAAGAGGCAAAGGAGAAGATCAAGCGGAAGAAAGAGAAGGAACAGAGGAAGGAAGAGAAAGAAGGAGAAGCTAGATCGAGAAAAGAAAAAGCAGAAGGAGAAGGAGAAAAAGGAGAACAAGATCAAGGAAGATTCGGAGAAGCGAGCGATTGAAAGAAGGAAAAAGAACAAGCAAGTGATTGAAGAGTTCAACGAACACATGAAAAGGAAAAGGAAGCGGAGAAGGTCGAGGACCCAAAGACCTTATTGCTGAAAGGTGCTTGAAAGTTCAAAGCTGAAAGTGTTTGAAAGTCGTGAGAGATGAAACATGCCCAACAACGCAACAGTGAGAGCTGCCAGATTTAGCTTTCGCACAGTTTCGTTTCACACTTTATGTGTTCAAAATGCGAGAAAAGTGAAGGATGGAAGTAGCCAGACTTGTGAGAAGAGTAGGCCAGTACCACCCTGAGTGAACATCAATGATTACCGCTATCCATGGATGAAAGAAAAGCCATCGTTCCAAGACCGCATGAAATGTCAGTACAATCACGATCGTGATCGACAAAGTCGAGATCGATAACAAGATGGTTAAAAGTTTAGCAGGAGAACGAGAAGATGAAAGAAACAAAAAGAAAAAGAGTTCGTGGTTGAAAGGCACCACCGAAGTTCGTTGAGGGTGTAACAATTTTTCCCCTGCAAGCCTGAACACGACACATTTCACATGATATGTTTAGGTTAAAGGTAGCTCAGTGTGCAGAGCGTGACAAAGTCTGCCGAGCGTCAAGAGTGTGTTGAAAGCAGGTTGGTAGTTAGCCGTTAAATTTTCTAAGCATCACACTTCCGTCGATCGTCCGCTGCATCTTGTTACTAGGGCGAGGTGAAAGTACGACGCATTTTTTTCCCACAAGTGAGGGTTCAGTCCTCCATTAGACAGGTGCACACAATCGTGGATTCCTGGGTTTCCCATGTGAAATTTGGTTTCGATTGAAACGTTTTGCCAATGTCAAGAGATACGATTCCGTCTGGACTCGACGTGGAAAGATCTTGCACGCTTTCTTTCGCACGAGTGAAAGTTTAGTACTCCAACCAGCAAACGGCAGGTATTGCGCGTTCAGAGTAGTCCCGAATAGGGCTAATCAACCTTGATTGTCCCTGATCCACCGGGGCAACCCATGATAGTTCCAAAAAAGCCCATATGGATCGCCGATGATCCTCACATGGCTCTTGTAGTCCGTAATGCAAGTTTGTCCAGAAAAGCCCCCGATCGTCGCAAGAGCTCCCCTTTGAGAAGTTCGTCGCCGCATGTCGCCGCAGCATTTTTTTCTTGGACGTTGAATTGGAAACAGTCTTGCAACGCACATGCCCAACGGATTCAAACATCCTTTCCATGTGCCATCAGCGAAAGCCAAGGTCCCTAACCCTAATTGGTGCAAAAGAACATGCTTTCATTTTACAACACTTGACGGCCCTTGCCAAAATTCCGAAAGCGCTCCGGGAGCACTACAACACTGGTTGAAACTTAACCTAGAACCCAGGCGAAACAGCCACACGTGGCTTCCCCACCCCGCACGAATGATAAGGGTAGCGAGGCGCAGAAAGCACATTGCCCTGAACAACAATCCCAAGGACCTTGGGATGATGTGATTATGCCGGGTATGCGAGAAGGAAGGGGCTTCGATTCCAATGCTTTTGGTTTTGATGTTGCTGGCTCATTGGCGCTTCCGATTCAGTTGCATCACGCCCAATTCCGTGCTGAAGACAAAGTTTCATGTTTGCTTTGTGTTCGTGTCAGCTTCTCATGTCAGCCGTGTTTGCATTCGTTTTTGCATCGACTTGTTTGCCGCAAGAAAAGCACCCAGCAGAGTGGCTCCCTCACGTTGCAATAGTGACCAAGCTTTTGTCATTGCCAACAACCTTAGCGGCGTGTGGTTGCACGGTGCATGCTCATGTTTTTTTCTGATGATGGCATATTACTCGGTTGCTCGGGTGCACGGGATGCGGGTGCTTTCACTTCAAGTATAAGGTTGTTGTCATGCCGATTGCATGCTTTGACACGACACAGATACTTTGCTATTCACATACTCTAAATGCGGCGGCGTGTCAGAGTGCCAGCATGGGAAATATAGGTTCCTTGGATGCAATTGAGAACTTGCATATGTGTGTGTTCATGATTGTGCACAAGCATTGTGAACAGCCAGCCGAAAATAGTCAAAATTGTTTGTCACACAGCTGTGTGCGTGCTTGCATGACCACCAGTTTGGAAATGAGGCAGCACGTGCATGCGTGATTGGGCCCGCACGGATGATGCGGAACAGCCATTGGCCATGGGCTTGGGGACAAATCAGCCAAACCATCAATGATCATTACTGTCATTACGTTGGTTGTCATGAGTTGTATTCTGCATCTGGGGTTCCATCAATGTTTCAGGTCAAGTTGGTGCCGCTTCTCTGTCCAGGGACCGCCAATGCTACTTCACAGGTCAGCGTGGACAGAAGGAAAGTGGTTTCACTGTCGTGGCCCTCTAAGTTAATGAGCACTATTGAGTGCATTTGATGTATGTTGGTCATGGAGTGTGCAGCCAACAACGCCAAAATGGTGAACAACTATGCAACCTTGTTTGGGGTATTATTGTTCATGGTTCCAGGTATCCATCGAGCGGGTTGGAGCGAATGGGCAGGCCATCGGAATTCGGTTGTGCTGTGACGTCGGCATCTTTGACAAAGTCATGCATGTGCATGTCGTGTCATGTTGACTGTTTGAGGACTCAGCGGAGCCAGCAGATTCAAACATAGAGCTTCCAGTGGTGTTCTAAGCTCCTGAAGAAGTGAAAGCCTTACGGTACTGTGACACTGGCGTGTTGAACCAGCTTGCTCTACGCGTCCTGTCAGGTCAATGGTAACCAGCAGATTTTTTTTCAGAGCCGAACTTACTGGTTGTGATTAGAATTTGTAGTGGAAGTCGGAGTGCAGCATCAATTTTCATGAGTCTTGGTGTTGCAGATGCGACTCAAAGCGTGGCTAGTTTGCAGGCAAGGCCACAACTCGTCTAGCTCCAGATCCAGCTGGTCTGGCAAGGCGTGTTGTTATGGCACACTTCTTGCACAAGTGTGCGTGACAAAGTCTACAGTCTAAAGACAATGTAGCTCAGTCATTTGTGAGTTTGGTAGGATCCCACTAGCGTTCCTCCGGTGCCAAACTGGTTTCAGGTGGGCTCTTGAACAGATGTTGCTCGCTGTCCTGTGTATCAATCTGCAAGTCCGTGTTGTTAAGGTGTATGACAAGAGCAAGGGAGCTTTGCCCAAGGAGTCGCCCCGTTTCGATGAGGCAGTGGTCGTGAGATGCCACCAGGATGCCCGACACAAACTGTTGATTGCTGAAGGGCTTGCTGGCAGGTTTCCACTATGGCTACACCTCGGGAGCAGGTCGGTGGTGAATTTCGAACTCCAGGACGATTGATTTCATTGGTGAAAGGCTTCTCATGATTTTCTCTCTCAATGGTTTTTCATGTGCACCGCACCGCGAATTGCACTGGCCGATCGTCGTGAGGACCCACACCCCGAAAGGAGTTCAAAGCTCCAGGCCTGGATGAGGTGGCCCTGCATGGTGCTCTGCAATGCCCTGCATGGTGAACACTGGGTGAACTTTTCTGGGTGAACATGATGCTTGTGATGCTTGTTTCGTGATGATCTTTCTTGGCAGTGTCAGGGCAGACGCGACGGGGACATGCACTACGAAGGGACTTACCTTGGAACCATGAAGCCAGCTCCCCAAGAGAGGCTTGAGTTTTGGGTATCTTAGCTTTTGGAATGGTGTTTTTGCGTTCCTTTTGTTCTTCATTGCGTTCTTCCTTTAAGCCATCGGTTAGATCAGCAAGGGTCACTTTGTAGACTTCCACACAGCTCGGAGAACGTCGATGCCTTTGCGCAGGATGAACTTCTGAACATAAGCCCGCATTCAGAAAGCAGTCGCATCTTCAAAAGTCTTGCAGCTTGTAGAGAAAGCTGGCGCGCGCGCGATTGCAGCTAGTGCACGATGACGACAGTGAAGGCAAGGAGGACACAGAGATTGCAACAGATGATGCGTTTCAGCCGCTTGACCCGACGCAGAACATCGACCACGGTGACTAGTCCTACCGATGCTCGCAGATAAATGAGCAAGTTTGCAGAGAAAAAAGGAGACGGGTAGATAAATGATAAGTGCGATATACGTATCCGCATACGTCTTCGCTGAAGGCATGGTCGAGGGCGCTTGAGAATGCCCAACTACGTGTACGAGGCAGCTGCCACTGCATGCCGAACAACGAATGGTTCTATTTCGCTCAATGCCAGGGCGAGTTTCAAAACGATCTGAAGCACGGGCCTTCCGCCATGTATTCCGCTCGCGGGTGATGGGGAAGGGTGCGCGAGCGACACTCGAGCGACACTTCCCAACCCGAAGCCCGAAATTCACCAAGCTTTGCCCGATGAAACACCGATCAAGAGCTGAGCATCCAAGGATTCCCATAGAGGAATGCAAGCGTTTGACACACATTTGCGGTGTCAATGAACACTGTGACATCTTAGGATTCCCAAGAGTTGCTTCAACCGTGGCAGGATTGGCATCCTTCTGTGGGATGATGGAAGACGCTACGAGGGGGGGCGGCGAGCTTACCAGCCTGCTCTTGCTTTACAGACGTGCTGATCACTGATCCATCGTGTTTGATGGCCTTTGTGGAGACTCCGTGATGAGCGTTCCTGGTATGCTCGAGGTTCCAGCAAGGACAGTTCCATGGTGCGGCCGCAGCACACCTAGACAGAACTCTGGAAATAATAGAAACTGCATGCTGATATACGAGTGCTTACTGTCTGGGCTCCACTTTGGTTGACCCTCATTGGTTTTCGTTTCGGTTCCAGTTCAGGTTGTCGGCTTAGATTGGTCCGGAGCTGTATCAGCTGTGGCTCGTGTTTCTCTCATGTCTCCGAAGTCTTATTAGTCTCCACTCAGTCTCAACTCAGTCTCCTCGAGTCAACAGGATGTGGCTTCCCAGGTGCTCCCAGGAGCTCTCAGGTGTGTTTGGATTTTTTGGATTGGGCGAAGTTCGCCCGCACTTATTCGTGCACACTGACCCAAGGTTGACATGCACGCTGTCTGAAAGGCTTCTCCTTTGGTGATCTTGCTGTTGAGTTTCAGCTAGTATTTCGAAACCCGGGATGAGGTCATGCACTGGCCCGATGGACGACGGTACATCGGACAGTACTCCGAGGTAATTCGGATGTCGCCTGGAATGTCCACATGATCTAATTCTAACCCGATGTTCAGGACAGAAAACATGGGGAGGGCACCTTCTCATGGCAGGTCCAATGCAATGCTTGTTTATTGTGTTGCCAGCATGTTGGACATGGAGCCGGAAGTTGTGACGCTTGGCGCGGGTTTCGTGGTAGGATGGACGAAGATACGAAGGACAGTGGGCCCGAGCCTGTGCTTTCAATGGCAAGCAAAGCTCAAATGTATTTCTGCTCTTCGTGTGCTTTGCCGATGCTCACGCCAAGGGTTTGGTGCATGTGGCCCTAACGTCTGCCAGGTAGGCATCGAAATCCAGGGAGAGACAAGTTCGAAACGATACAGTATGATGCATGGTAGTGCTCGGATACTTCGACGGTCTTGCCATGGAGTCCGCATGTCGCGGCGTCCTGTAAGTGGAACTTGCAGATCACGTCGACAAACCTCTGCAACGATGGAGTTTGCAATGCAAGGCCTGCGAAAGGCAGAGCGAGGTAGCACTAGCAGACAATCCCATAAATGTTTTCCGGCTTTCGTCAACAGATCTTCAGATGCAAGTGATGCGCACATAAGGTAGCTGGCAAACGACATGGCATCGGGACGTACACCAACGCCAAGGCAGATGACATTGCTTATGTAGAATCTGAAGAGCATCTGACTCAGAGAGTGCTAAAGAGTGCTACGAGTCGCACGCTGTCAGGGTTTCACACGCCGTGGCACCTGGCAGCTCGATCGACCCATAAAGTGGGAGGAACGATCTTGATCGGAAGCCTTATCTCGATGTCTTCGCAGCTGTTCGCATCTTGCGGTATGCTTGCAATTGCATCCGTATGCATCAGTTTTCAACTTCAGGAGCCGACGGAGCCGGCCACGACGCCCAGCAAACTTCAGGCGCAAGTCCCATCACGCCAGCCAGAGCCACGGCCTCAGATGGCTGTTGCTTCCCCTTGTGAGGACACGGCCCAAACTGTAGGGAGCCGAGAACTTTACTTCAGGACACTATCAGCAGAAGAGGAGGCCGTGTCTCCTTCATACCTGGGGAGAGACAAGCCTTCTTTCCTGGGTCAGATCGAGGGGACATACGCAGCTTCTGATTTTGAGAAGCAGCGTCATCCGCGCGATGGTTCCTTGACGCAGGTCCTCGAAGTCAGCACACTCTGAGCTAAGGGTTTGGCAGGTCGTCTGTCTGCAACACCTACACCTTGAGCATGCGCAGTTGCAACACATTAGGCATACTTGCTCATGTTCTGTCACAGCCACTTGTGCCAGCAAACCCTGAAAGTGCGAAAAAGTGTCTCACTCAGCTAGCCGACATCAGCTCCATGGCCAAAGTGTCGAAATGGTTGTTACATTGTTTGCTGTTCACTGTAGTTGCTTCTTCCTTGGTTGTGGAAGGAAGACAACGGCAAGAGAATGAAATGCATGGCATGATATGGCATGCCAAGCTGTGCTTGCATCCTGGCCCTAGCTGGCATTGAAGGCATGATCGAATGGAATCGCATGGAGCATTTCTTGGCCTGGTACTGGAAGCCTAAAAGTCTTGCACGAGGCCAAATTGCAAAACGAGCCAAGAGGCATGAGATGGGCAGAAGCACAGGACTCGGCAGAATCTAGCAAACCAGTTGCGCTGGTGCTCGACATGGCTTGAGAAGAGCTGCGAGGTGGCAGTGTGGCAACTTGTTTCACGTTTGTTTCACATTTGTTTCACGTTGGTTTCACGTTTGTCATTTGAGTCGGTCATCCAAGCAGGGGCGGATCCCCGGACTTTGCCCGGGGCTTCCGTTCTTTCCTCACGGAGCCATGGCGAACGGCTCATTTCCGCAGACTCCATTTTCTGTCGCTCTGAGACGTGTCTCTGTGTGTGTGTGTGTGTGTGTGTGTGTGTGTGTGTGTACGTGTTTGTTGGTACCGAAGGTCTTCGAGAAGTCTCTGACGGCCATGGTCAAGGGCATCCGTGCCCACCGTGGCAAAGAGTCAGCTGGGCTGGCGTGCTTGATGTGTTTTTGCCAATGGACTCGTTTTGTACCCTTTTTTTCGACTTCTTGGTTGTAGACGCGGCAGGAGTACATCAACTCTTGCATCGCTGAGATTAAGAATGAGGCCTGCCCAACGTCGCTTTGAGGAGGGACTGGGGCGGGCCACTCAAGTTTTCAGATTTTTGAGTGACCCTTCTCGAACTTGCCTGATGACCTCCATCTTATCTCCTACCACGCTATATGCCATGAGTGGCCTGGGCCTCAAAGCCTTTTGTCCTGCTCTTCTTCACTTCAGACCATTCTGCGCTGACCTGCTTGCGGCTGTGCGTTGCAGTGCGTGGGTTGGGTTGGAGTTCGCAGCTCTCAAGGGCTGATCTGTGCGTTCGCGCTTGGACGGGGAGTGGATCTGGTCCCCAGAAAGGGAAGTTTGAGATAAATTGAGAATCAGGAAGGATTGAAGTTCTGAGAGTGGAGCAGTCTCACATTTCATTTCTGTGACCGGAAGTCATTACATCATTACTTTCATCCGTTGCTGGCAAAGTTGGCCAGGTTACCTCCAAGAACATGGCGACAAAGTCCATGGCTGTTCTGAAGGCAACTCATTAATTGTCCAAGACGCAAGTTCAAGCAGAGATTCAACCATTGTCGTGAGCGGGCAAGTTGAAGCTTGGTTCAGCTTGCCTACCTCAACATGCTGGGCTACGATATGGGATGGGCCACCTTTGCCGTCGTGGAGGCTGGACGTTCCTGGTCTTGGTGTCGGAAGCCATTGGAAGCGATAGGTCATGAGCACAAACCGTTTTGCAACTAAACGACCAGGGTCCAGGCCCCAGCTCCTCCGGTATTGTGTCATGCGCTGAAATGCGCTGTCGCCGGAGCTTTAATGTCACCTTAAGGTACCTTGCCTCCAGCATCGCCTTCACTGAACAGACAGACGTGGGGCTTTTGACCATCAATCTCTTCAAGAAGGCTGGGCAGCCTCCTTTCACATGTGCGTTTGATCCAGCACTTGTGAGGACTTTGGCTCTCAAAGCGAGTACCAGACTGGGATGGCAATCAGCTGCTTGAGCAACATTTGCTCCCCAGAGGCATGCATCTGCTCGCATCTTGCCAAGTTGCAGCGTAATAGCGAAATTGGGCCTGTCAGATTTCGAAAGACATCATCACCGACCTGCTTTCTTTGTCACGACCCCGCTCCGTAACTAGATACAGGTAGGCCCGAAGTGCCATAAGATCAGGTTGAGCTCCTCGCGGGCGTATATCAGAAAGATGCTTGGTATCGATCTTTTCCGTCGTATATACCATCCTTGTCTCAAGGTTCTCCATGGTTGAAGCAGCTGAGGAAGACGGTGCTGTGTCTCTACAGGATATTCCTGAAGGCAATGGTGCTCGAGCCTTCGAAGCTCTCTTAAAGCACTCTTAAGCGCTACTTGAAGCACCTTTTTGTAGAGCCCCAGGCTCCCCCTGCCGTGCCGCTGTACCATGCCCTCGCTTCGTATCTGCTTCTGTGGCCACCAGGATCCTCCAGCCCTACGAACCTGCTTTCCGAAGTTGAAGGACATCGTCGCAGAAGTCGATTCTTTGTCGTTGGTGGTTCGCTGTGTAAAAGAGTGTGAGGAGCGGCTGAGTGATGAGGATCAGGCTTCTGGGTGCTACCGAGTGCAAGTAGTTTGGATGGGGTGCTGTCTCAAGCTACAGGGCGTCCTCACGGCGACGGTCAACACCTTCCTAGAGCTGGCGAGGAAGAATGCGAGGAGGGTGTGAATGGTGTGAGCTTTTTTCCTCCATTCATAATTTTAGCGCTACGCGACCCGCCTCGGCCCGGCCCAGCGCATCCGCGTGAGAATGGTGATTCCGCAGCGCGCAAGTCGCTGGACCCCAAGCAAGAAGGGTTGGGTTTAGGGTTTAGGGTTTAGGGTTCCGGGTTTATGGTTTATGGTTTGGGGTTTAGGGTTGAGGGTTAGTTTAGGGTTGAGGGTTTAGGGCTCAAGGTTCACCGTTTGGGGTTTAGGTTTTTTTGGGTTAGGGTTCAAGGTTCAAGGTTGAAGGTTGAGACGGTTCGGCTTGGATTGATCGTAAAGTTGAGCCAGGCCCCTCAAGCGGGCAGGGAGGAGGGGGGTGGGGAGGGGGGGCTAGGCGGGGCTTCAACTGCCCCTGGTCCTGGCGAACCGTCCGCTTTCAGATTGTGGTCGCCCACTGGGGGTACCCGGTACCCTTTCCAGGTAAAAAAAGGGGTCCGACATATGGCTTTGCGGGGAGGATTAGGAGGGGGGTGCCTGTTCTGACAACCTATACACCTTCGGCCCGAGGCCTCGGCGGATTGGTTTGCATCCAGGGTCCGGAATGCACCGTCAGGAACTACTTGTCCCTGGTTCCGCAGCTGTACCATGTGTTGGTTGGCCTGGCCTGTCCATGGAAAGTTTCCAAGTGCCCGACATGCGAAGACAGCATGCCCATGCCAATCCCTGCCAGGTCAACACGACCAACAACTGGCTTTCAATCAAGCTGTTGAAGGCGTGCCGACTCCGTGGCAGATTCGATGCAGACGTGTAGCACGAGCACGAATTGAGTCGAGAATCCAAGGTGTTCCAGCTGCTTTCACCCTTGGAGCCTCGCCTTCCAGCCAAATTGGTGGAGCCCATGCCTGAGTGACGGAGTGCGCACTTGCTGTGCCCAAGTGTGAGCAGGCACACCAACCGGCCGCAATAGCGCATCGCCATGCCGAGGCCGTTGACAAACATTCTCAACAACACGAAGGCTCAAGCTACCTAAATGCCTAAGCCGCCAAAGGAGATCCGCAGAGCCTTTACGTGCCTTCTGCCCTGCTGCCCTTTGCATCCTGGCTTGGCAGGCCCAAAGTGTGGAGTTCGAAGCCATTCGTTGTGTCGTTCGCTCCATGCCAGAAGGCCATTGGCAGAAGCCTGTAGTACAGCCTCAGTGACGCGATTGTTGCGCAGTGTGTTGAGAGATCTGCGTGAGTGCACATGTACGTGCACATTATATTGATTTTTTTCTCACGCTCCTGTTTGGAAATGATAGCCGAGTGGGTACCAAAGCGTGGAAGGCACGGCGATTGTTGCTTTGGCGATCGAGAAACTCCAGGCGTCTTTAAGAAAAAAACGGTGCAGAAGAGTAATGTCCCCGGGTGCAGCTCGCCCAAAGGCCTTCCTGAACTCTTCGGACCGCAACTTGAGGCCTTGTGGTTCTGCACGGCTCTTCAGGTTTCCGTCTTAGTTGCGGATGCAACGGGCCGAAAGGTACTTGGCTTTGGACTTGTTCAAAGAAGTTATCGAAAAGTTCAAGGACGAAAAGAATCGACCTGGTGTTGGTAAGCCTGCGTGAACCAAGACGTGTGTGACACCTGCCAGGACAAGGCCCCTGTCAGCGACTTGCACGACAAAGTGCTGACTTCCATTGAAGTGCGGTAGCTGAGCTGGTCGTTTCGGAAGATAGTGGGGGAATTTTTCGTGGCATGCATGGGATGTTCCGGCGGATTCCAGGAGTCTGATGTGACTGCTCGGCACATTGCGCCGGGCAGCTGGCGGTTTTTGGTCTTAGTGAAGGCAGCATGTTGAGAATCTTCGAGCAATTTCGAGGCTTCAGCTGTTGGACAGAATTGTGCATCCGTCAAACTTCCAGGAGGCTGGAAGTTGAATGAAGTTGAGAGGAGTAGCCAATTGGGCGCTGGTGCATGTCTTAGCATGCCAATGCTGCCCGAGGCAGTGCAGCGTCTCCTGGAATTCAGCAGGCCTGAACATCCGCTCGCATCCATTCTCCAAGAAGGGGGCTGGACAGTTACAGCCTAGGAAATCCATGCCAAATGACGAGTTCATCGGAACAATCTTGCGCATGGGTGCACGAGATCGCTATGCCTTGGTCGAGGCAGCATGCTCAGCCTGCAAGTGCACCCCGACATGATGTCACATGCACTTAGGACTTTGCGTGGTACTTGCTGATACTTGGTGAGATCAGCAGGCTCATCGCCACTTGGTTCTGTTGATTCAGGCTTGCGTCGGAGATGCAGCTGCCAGGAATATGGACTCATCATATTCGGACACTGTGGCAGAGCAATTTGTCGATATTTGTGTTCGAGTGCCTCAAGTGCGGACCTTAGGTGCAAAAGATTGTCCTTTGTTGATATCGTTGCTGCTTCGACACCAAATGTCAAGGTACGGCCTTATGCTGCACGCCTGCTACATTGGGTCAATCTCGGCCTGCTTGGCTGATGCAGTTGAAGCCAGGTCACGCTGGCCTTGAGCCTCCTGGATTCTCCGCAGGCACTTTTGCCCCTGGCCCCCAAGCAATGGTTCGAAAGCTGTGCCGTGAGATGCGGTGAGGCTGGAGACGAAGGCACAGAGAAAGCATCCGTTGGCCCCGTGTCCAAGTGGCCTCAGCTTGTTTGTGGCATATCCGATCTCGCCCCCCGCTAGAGCCCCCAGTCCATTGCCAAGACGTTTGCATGGAGCCTGGAGCCTGCGCAACCAGCACACGGCATCAACCATCAACAGTCCAACAGGGCTCCCATAGCCTGATCCCAAAAACAACCAAAGGGAGAATCTGGGAGAAGTCGAAAAAAACTCAAGTTTGTTTGCCAGTGACCTGCCAGTGCGATGATTGGCGCCTGTGCCTGGACCCTGGGCGAGTACTGTGGTGACCTGGAACAGCCTGCTGAGGTGCGCTCAGCTTCGCAGGAACTATCAAGAAATTCGAACAGTTTCCAAACGAACCTGATAAAAGGGAGCTGCCAATCAGCTTGTGACTTGTCATGAAAGATAGCTCATTGGGAGCTTGTGAGCGTTCTTGTCTACTATCTCTCATGGGTCAGAAATAAGTGCGGGCTCCCTTCCTGTCCGTGTCTCCATTCTTCTGCTAGCTTCTTCGTTTCGGTCTAAAAAGCGCATAAAGTTGCGACATTGAGAGTCACAATCACCTCCTAGCTGCCCCTAGCTTGCAGGCCAGCTTCCTAAGTGGGGCACGATGTCTCCTTGCCGGCAAAGGCATCCAGGCAATGCCGCTCTTCAATTTCTATCGAGATGGCTGTACATTTCATGCGTAACAGCGTGTGTTGCGTAACTTGGGTTCGAGCAGGGCACGTAAGGGCAAGTGGAAGGCTTTGGATGCCTCGATTCAGACGCGATGTGTCTGGGTGGGGGCCTTTGCGCTTTGGACATGCGTTACTGCGCCATGCTTCAGGTGTGGCTTCATGGAGCTTCATGTGACCCCAACAAACACAGGCTGCGACGAAGCTGTACATCAATTCTCCGCACCATGCTCCAGGGGTGGTACTGCTCTCGTTGACTGATGTTGACTGGTGGTCAGGGAACTTGGCCCGCTGACATGTTGCATCAGGTGCCTCAGCTACATGAGCTTTTGAATGCATCTCTTCCAGCCTTCGTTCGCTCAACTCATGTAGACGTCCCGACCTTGGTGGTCGCAGTGCATGGGGCTTGAAGCTCGAAGTACTGGTGGCAAGGTTTCTGAGAGATCGTCGCTGGTGCTTCAAATGGCTAGCTTCTTCAAGGTCTTTGCCGAGCTAGCTTTGAGTGTGCATGTTTGGTAGCCAGTGTGTCAGTTACATCTTCAAGCAGAAAGCTATGTGAGGCGGATGGCGATCGCATCACAACAGCGAGCGCTGTGCTGTCTGATCCATTGCTTCCTGTGAAGGCTGACGCGCAGGCACCGGCGATGGCATCGTGAAACATTGTTAACAGCCAAAGTCCGACAAAACACTTTAGTGTTTTGTGCTGCAGGTGGTTCTAAGAGCTTTGCAGTATGCTGTGCTAAAGTCTGCTTCATTTTCGAGATATGCTCCGGAGCTGTAGGGGTCGTATCTGCGCGGTCGACAGGGTTTAGGGTTTAGGCGCTGCTGTTGCTTCTTTCGCCAGTCCTTTGGGTTTTGCAGGCACAAGTCCAGCCGTCGATCGACCTCGACGAGCCCTTCTTTGCTCAAGAGGCTAGGGGGGCATCTGTATGGTTATTATGACGAGAGGTCTTTCAGCTTCATTGAGTATTGGCCACCCGCCAACCCCAGCAGCATTGTTGTGCATTATGGATTCCCAGCAAGGAACGGGTAAGCGATGACGTTATTTGGGCCGATATCTTCAGACATTGCTAGGGAACCATTATTTCCTTTGTGATTTTAGTGCTTTGTCCTATGGCCTTTAAATGCGCTTCATTTCCTGAATGCTTAAGGCGGGGCATGTGTGCAAATGACCGAATCGCAGCAGCTCGATGGCTGGTAATAGCATACTTGTCATGTAGGGGGCCCGTGCTGGAGAACGGTTTTCCGACTTGCAAACAGTTCGCAAATATTATATTGGTTATGAGCCTGGGATAGAAGATAAGAATGCTAAAGGACGTACAGTTAGTACAATTAGAACCCTTGCAAAACCAATCTAGTTTCTGCACCAACGAACCCCTCAATCTTTATCTGGGTTTAGTTTCTTTGTTGCGAACTGAATACTAGTAGCGTTATGCTATTATCTCCATTAGAATATGTTTACGACAGCCCATGTAAAACATGAGGAACGCAGTGCTTTAATGGAGCGCGCTTACTATGAAGTTTTGCGCCCTTTCTATTGTCTTTATTTGGGCCCTGACATGTTATTAATACAGAAGGGCCTGCCATGGGGCCTGCGTTTTTACATACTGTATTGTCATGTAAAAATCTTTCGCTTGGGTGTGTCTCTATAAATATTTTGTCGACGAGAGCGCACGCATGATATGAATTTACAAGCAGAGTAAAAGAGCGCGCGAAAATAATATTATCAAGTGTGTGAACGAAGACAGCGCTCATTGATTCTCTGATTGCCGGCAGAATAATAAGAATCATATACAATTTAAGAGAACATTAAAGGGCAAATATGTAATATCTAATATCTTCGGGACACGCATGAGTACGTCAATGTGCCCTTTACGTGAACGAAACCAGCTATTTGCTTCATAATCTTGTTCGCGGGCCAGCAGATCTTTTCTAATGTGCCTTTTTTTGTAATCTTTATATGGGCCCCTGAAGATACTAAGTGAAGGGAGTACGTGAACAAGAAAGTGAAGTGAATCCATGAACAAGCGAACGCAATGAGCGACCAAACGGATCAAGAAAATAGAAAGGAAAACGCCCATCCAATGCACAGATGTTACCGTATTAATGGTAGTGTAAAACCCGACATAATATAGTAAGTTTAAGGGGCTTCTAACAATTGTTCTCTTGCCAGCCATAAAATAGTATTGAATGAGGGGGTCTTTGCGCTAAAATACGAAGTTGATTTCATAGAAGCGTGAGCGAATAGCAGTCCCTCACCCTCAAGTTTTCCGGAACACGAAATGTCCTTTCAACGCTACGCGACCCACCTCGGCCGGGGCCTTCACAGAGTTGCTTGTTCTGCTCGCTTGGACCAAAATAAGGACAAAGGGGAAGGTGGAGGTCAGTCTGGGAGTGGAACACTGGCAGAGGGGGCGGGGGCGGGGGTGGGGGGGCGGGTGGGGGGGTGGGGGGGTGGGGGTGGGGGGTGGGGGTGGGGGCGAGGCGGGGTCGGGTGGGTGAGGGCGGGGGGGGAGGTTGAGGGACCATTCAGGCAAGAAGTCCCAAATGAAGAATTGCAATCTGCACGTGTGGTGTTGGGGAGGGGATTAGAGGTGGGGTGCCTGCTTTGACGAAAACGTGTAATGACCATTGGCTTGAGCTTCGCAGTCGGTGTGGCGTGCTGTTTTCATGGGTCGTGATTGTCATCATGCAACACATCGAAAGTTATGAGAACAACTTATCCCAGCAAACCCAATAGTTCCCCTGAACATCGTTTTCCAAAGATTTCTGCTTGAAGAGATCCATTAGCCACGGCTTGCCGCCTGAAGTTGCTTCTGTTGGGAAAACACAAGCTGGCTGCTCAAGTGCAGGAGGCGCAGCCCTCATTTCTTCCGGTTCGCGAGGGCCTCATGGCGGCGTGTGCATATCTTGCGTTGAGATGCGCAGCACGCTTTGGCTGATTTTGCGATATAGGTGCAGACCCTACGGATCCGTACTCGTTGGCCTCAACCTACAAGGAAATGCTTTGCAAACCCAACACCAAGAAAACACGAGCACACCGGAAGAGCTTGAGTTTTTTGTCAGGACGATCTGGGCTTTCTCGCAGCGCAGGAGCCGAAATCTGCCGCGGGGTGCGCTCCTTGCCGTCAAACACTTCGCAGTTGTGCGTCGAAAAGAGTTGAGGCCACAATCCCAGGCATCTCAGCCATCGATTTTTTACTTGGGTCAGTCCAAGGACAGGTTTTGATCAGAGCATGTGCGCACAGCGAGCAGTTTTTCCTTTGCTTTTCTCCAGGAGCAAGGACAGCCAGAGGGGACGGAGGTGCTTCGTATAAAGGAAAGATGAAGGGGTGCAACGAGTGGAGTTTGCTTCGACAAGCTTTGCTGCAGGCTGAGCCGGCCGATGCCCAGGTGACGCAGGCTGACAGCTAGACTCTGTTAGACAGAATTGTCGCTGCTCTCATCATGGAACCATGAGATGGAACATGATGGAGCGCTTGATCATGCTTTCTTGTTCAGGTGAAAGATCCTCTGGCTCAAATGCGAGAACGCCTGGAAGCTCAAAGGACATCAGCAGCCTCCGCGCCAAAATACCAGGCCTGTGGGTGCCTGTCTGTGTGGAGTCATGTAGAGTCTAGGCCCTCAAGCTGGGCGTCCGCTAGGTGATGAGAGAAGAAGTCTCAGTCCCAGGCTGAACAAAAGTGCTTGCTGCCTGCAACCGTAGACTCCTTCCTCCACGAGCTATCGGAGCATGTTTTCAACCAGAGAAGAGCGTTGCCACCACTTGTGGCTCGGCAGGTCTGACCAACAGCGTGGGCCAGGCAGAATTCCTACCATTTTGCAGAATCTTGCACTCCTACTTCGAAAGATGTGTGCACCTGCATTCTTTCGTAAAAGAAGTGTTTCTTCCTCTCTCTCCTTTCTTCCTCTCCTCTCCTTCCTCTCCTTCCCCTCCTTCCCCTCCTTCCCCTCCTTCCCCTCCTTCCCCTCCTTCCCCTCCTTCCCCTCCTTCCGCTCCTTCCCCTCCTTCCCCTCCTTCCCCTCCTTCCCCTCCTTCCCCTCCTTCCCCTCCTTTCTCCTTTTCCTGCTCTCTTCATCGGCTCGCGGCTGAAGACCGGAGTTGAAAAGCGAAAGAAGATAAAGGCAGATACGGCGCTCGGAAATCCCGGAAAGCCCCTCCATTCTCTCCACATTTCCTTTCCTTCTTCGTTCGCTCTCTCATCCCTCTCAGAAGTCTCGAGGTCCCGTCCTCGAGTTCGACGGCCAGCGCGCTGCCCGCTCCTCCGGAGAAGGCCCGGGAAAAGAAAGGCACTTTTTGAACCTAGACTTCTTCTATCTTTGCTTTGGTTTCTGGACTCCTGTGCTCTTTCGCTCTCTCTCTCTCTCTCTTTCTCGTTCCTGGCACGTTCTGCCTGCTGTGTTCAAGAACGAAGCAAGACACAGGAGCTCGCAGATCTTCATGGCCGGCTATGGACCTGCCACCGTGGGCGGCATGTCGCCGTATATGCCTGCGTCCGATCGCCCAACCTAAGGAGCCCAAGCAGAGTACTCTTTGTTGTGTTTCGATTGCATGATTTCGACTCAATGGACCTGACGATCGAGGAAGCAGCAGTTGCGCATAGATCTTCGCTGTGAGCGAACAGACGTGGATCCTTCAATGACGCCCTGCCCTGCTTGAGGTCGTCTGCCTTCGTTTTCAAAACTTCTGCTTGCCAGGGTCGTCTCCGACGTGATGATGAGCTTCCCAGCTGGGGTTTCCATCCAAGAGGCTGGCCTCACTGTTTGCTCGTGTACAGACATAAGACGAGAAGGTAGGTCTCAAGCAATGCACGCAGCTTAGTTTGGAGGATGTTCTGTTTTTCCCGAAAGCATCGCGAAGGGTTCTTCCGTGCAGAGCCCAACAACATAGAGTTAAGTACACAGAGTGAAGTGCATAGAGTCAAGTGCATAGAGTTAAGTACATAGAGTGAAGTTCACAGAGTTAAGTACATAGAGTTAAGTGCATAGAGTGAAGTGCACAGAGTTAAGTGCATAGAGTGAAGTGCACAGAGTGAAGTGCATAGAGCGAGGTGCATTTTAGTGCAAGAGTGAAGCGCATAGAGTAGAATTCACGAGGCTTTAGTACAACAGAGTGGAATTTACTAGATTTTTGTACAATTTTAGTACAATTTCATAGAATTTACGAGATTTTAGTAGAGTTTAGTAGACCTTCGTACCCAGTCCTACATTTCTTAATTAAAATTACTCTTTTAAGGCGGCGGGCTGGGTTGACGTCGTCAATCGGGATTGCAACCCTCTGCGGGTTTCGGCGTGGTCGCGGTGCTAAAACCGTCGTTTTTTTTTACGTTTCTTTCGCGCCGCGGACAATCATCTGCGGGTTTCGGCGTGGTCGCGGTGCCAAAACCGTCGTTTGGCCGCGGACAACCCTCTGCGGGTTTCGGCATGGTCGCGGTGCTAAAACCGTCGTTTCTTTTTTTACGTTTCTTGCTTTGCGCGGACAACCCTCTGCGGGTTTCGGCGTGGTCGCGGTGCAAAACCGTCGTGTTTTTGCGTTTTTTTTGTGACCGACAACGTCCTTTGTAGTACAAAAGAAGTAGTACTGTCTAGGGCCGGTGTGCTCTTTTGGGCTCTCAAAATGATCCTCTGGAAGTCGACTTTTGTAGTACAGACGTAGTACGCTGGGGACACCCGGAGCTTCCGTGGCTGGAAAACCGACTTTTGTAGTACAAACGTAGTACGCCGCGACGCCCGCAGCTTCCGTGGAAATACCGTGGGACTCGAATTCCGGGACATCGAAACCCTCGCAAATGTCGTGGGACTCGATTTCCGGGATGTCGAAACCCTCGCCAATATCCTGGGACTCGAATTCCGGGGCCTCAAAAAGCATATATCGTGGGGCTCGAATTCCGGGGCCTCGAAAACCTCGCAAATATCGTGGGACTCGAATTCCGGGGCTTCGAAAACCTCGCAAATATCGTGGGACTCGAATTCCGGGGCTTCGAAAACCTTGCAAGTATCGTGGGGCTCGAATTCCGGGATGTCGAAACCCTCGCAAATATCATGGGGCTCGAATTCCGGGATATCGAAACCCTCACAAATATCGTGGGACTCGAATTCCGGGGCGTCCAAACCCTCGCAAATATCGTGGGACTCGAATTCCGGGGCCTCGAAAACCTCGCAAATATCGTGGGACTCGAATTCCAGGATGTCGAACCCTCGCAAATATCGTGGGACTTGAATTGCGGGTTTTCGAAACCCTCGCAAATATCGTCTGCAGCCATGGAAATGCAGAGATTATGTTCTCTTGGCTTTGCACCGCCTGCAGAACTCTCGCTAGTTTGGACCGGTGCTTACTCGCCTCGACGCTGTCTTGCGAAAAGGTCTTTCGCGTGTGCCAGCCCAAAAGATAAAAAAAAGTCGCTGCTTGGACTCCTGCCTGCACCACGAATGCGTATGTGCCGTCACACATTTAAGCCGGATGCGCGTGCATGCTGAGTTCTTGCTTCCTGAAATGCGCTCTGGACTATGAGCTTGGACTTCAGAGCGACTGCCGATGATGCTCATGGCTGACGGCTATCGCTTTGGATGTTTTTGTCTTTTCTTTCATGGCTTCGCGTGGTTTGGACGTGCGCAGCCGAGTCGGGTGCATATAAGTGAAGTTCATACAGTTGCTCAAGTGCATTAAGGTTAAAAATATCGAGTTCAAGTCCGTTAACTTCAGATGTGTTGAATGCCGATGAAGTGTATAGAGTTGACCACAAGTGCATGGCATTCAAGTCAACACACTTGAATGATATATGGCATTCAAGTCAACACACTTGAATGCTATGCAGCTCTACAGCGTAGCACGTGCAGTATACAAGTGCAGTATACAAGTGAATATGCAACCATGTAAGTGCATACACTTGTCCAAGTGCATGCAGTTCGAGTGCAAGCAGTCAAGTGCATGGAGTCAACGCACGGCAAATCGATGCTTTCGGGCCATCCCTCTTCTAGTGTTTTCTTGGAGGGAGGCTTGGCTTCGTGGCGTATGGAGGTGTCGATAAACTGGAGGCTCTTCTTATTCATAATGTGGTTTCTTCGTTCATCTTACATGTCACTTCGTGTTGCATCATTTCTGGTGCCTGGTGCAGCAGGGGCCGCGGCATCATCTCACTCGTTTTTCGCTTGCCATTCTCGGTGTTTGGCGCAAGTTGGATCACCTCATCTTCATGCATACATGCCTCTCTACATGAGACTGCAGGTTACGCCAATTTTTGTCTAGAAGCCAGCTCGCGCATTGGGGCACACCGCCTATGGAGTGTAAGTCTTGAGAAAGTGATGGGGCTTCTTCCGGCCCCCTTAACAGCCTTGTTTTTGTCGCAGTTCGTTTCATCTGCCCTTACCAGGACAAGTCTGTGTGTGTGCACGGCCTTGTCACAGCCAGGTGGAGCCGCCTGGGCAGCTGACTTTGGTGCAAGGACCGCTGCAGCAACGGTCTGCCAAGGCAGGCATTCAGTGGGTTAACAACCAGGCTGCTGAAATAAACGCCACAAACTATCAGCTGTTTTGCATCATCAGAATGATGTTTGCTTGTTTCAATTCAGTCCCCAACATACCCCAACTACATCCTAAGTTGGCAGAAAATCTCCGAGATAGCCTCCATGAGCTGACTTGCAAGACGTTGGCTGGCAAATGCCCCTCGTGGCCACAGCAGTGGCGAAAGCTAGTTTTTGGAGGGTGAAGGGGGGGAGGGGCGTCCCCATGGTCGGCTCCAAATGTCCCTTGGTCCTGATTCACCGTCCGCTCCCAGACACATGTCGGCTAGGGGGGGGGGGGACCCGTTCCTAGAAAAATGTACCAAGATTTCATGCTACGGCCCCACTTCTGCGGATGTGACCGCAACATGGATGGCAGAGTAGTATCATGTCTCAGTTAGTGAGGCAGCCTGTTGCCACATCAGAACCATGGTATCATGTTGTTTCATATCTTCGTGTGGTATGCTTGCTAGTCAGCAGGTCATGCAATGATAGTCCTTGCAGCAGCACCAGGGGAAGCGTCACTCTTGAACACAGTCCAGGTCATATGATAACATGAGGATGTTCCAACATGTAGGTGTATGCTGCCAGGTTAGATCGCGCAATTCTTTGCTGCCTTGCCACATGAATGTTCCCTTCCCGGCCTCCTTCTTTCTTACTTCTCTCTGTGTCTTCTCTCACCCCATCCCTCGTTAGTGTATGCCAGTGTTATGGGTCAGAGCTCTGGGGTGTTTATAGCGAGGTCACCCGAGGTCACCCTAAAATTAACGGAATTAGCCAGCTCTGAGCTGCTTTGGAGGTGAAAGCTGTCATAGGCACTACGTCATTCAGATCACCAGGAGCTGTGAGCTCAGTGTTTCGGGAAAATGTCTGGTTGACAAGCTCGAAGGGGATCAGGCAACCCGTGACAAGAGCGAAACAGCCGTCTGCGGTGTGGCGCATGTGCACGTAGTGACAACAGATGAACGCCAGCGTTTGCCGTCTGTTCTCTGGTTCTTCCTATTATTGACGTGCTCGAGGGGCCAGCAGAAAGACAGCTGGAGAAGCAGAGAAGCAAGTACAATTGCACACAAGCCAACCGTCGGCTGGTTGTTGGGGTTTGCTACGGTCTAGCTCCCAAAGGAATTTGTAGGCCTTTGCTTACCTTGCTCTTCAAAAAGTGGCCAATTTGACCTTTGCTGGAACAGGGATGAACAGAGCAATCATCGAGTTTTCCTATGTCAACTGCGGAAATGTGAGAGAGAAGGCTGCTCAGCTCCAGGTTTCTGGCCCGTTGGTGAGCACCACAGTTTTGGTACTCGAGTGTGGCAGTCTTGAAGAATCGAACTTTACCTTCCGTGTAGACTCCTCTCGACTCCATGGCCGTACCCTGACCGAGGGTTTGCAGCTGCAAGAATCGCTACATTCGCTCGCAGTCGGCCCTGGCAGCTGACAGTCAGGGCAGGTGATGTGTATGCAGTATTATGCAGTGTGTAGATTCGTGTATGTTTCTTTTTTACGGGTCAAGGGTGTGCCTCGCCGACCACTCAGCTCAGTGGTCTGTTGATGTCTGTTAGCGTCAGTATGTTTCGATGCCCGGGCTTCCGACGAGGGAGCGGAGCCTCGGCCAAGGGCAATGTGCAATGTTTCTTGAAAGCGTTCTCAATTGCTCCGAAAAGGAAGGCACGTCCTAGAGGGTCCTTTCTGATGTCCGCACGCTCTAGGGAGAAAGGGTGTGTGTGTGTAGATGGCGACTCTCACTGGATGTAACATCTATGGCAAATCATAGTGGCAGGGACGTGCGCAGCCAAGCTGTTGAAGGTGGGACGAGATCGAGGACGTTGGACCCTGTAACAGCGAACAGTTTTGTTCTAATAATATGAGCTGGGCATGACTTCGATCCTGAGTTGGGCATGACTTCCATCCTGATGATACAGTCGTTGTGCAAGCCGAAGAAACAATACCCCTGCAAGTCAAGTGCCGTGGAGTTTATGTGCCTCAGCTGTTGTTTTTACTTGTGCCTCGGAACCTCATTGAGCCTTGGGTTTACTGAGCCTTGGAATGATCTGTTCGGCAGCCAGAACAGCCATGCCGGAGCTCGCAGACCTCGATGTTGCATTGCGGTTACCGCAGTCTGTTCAATTTTAAACTTCAAAAATGGAGACGATGGCGCGGTACGTGGGCATCTGCTCAGAGTGTGTGTGTGGGGTATCGTCCTGACAGTATGGACAGACATCGGTTTGGTTTGTGGACACGCACACACACGTGTTCCGACACACTTGGACGATCTGAGTGCAGCTTCCAGTTTAACGAAAGCTTGCAATCTTCACGTTTGCAAATCGTTGGAAGCAATTCTTGAGTTGAAGCAGTGGGACTAGCGCGACGAGCAGTTAAAGAGGTGTAGTTTTGTTGCTAGGATGCAGAAGCTCGTGCCACCCCTTTTGAACGTAAAACCAGAATCAGAATCGGCTCGGCGGGTCAGGGGAACGGCCCTTGTCTGTGCCATCCACTGTACCGTACGGAGAGCTTGCAAACTGTCCTGATCCACAGTTGTCGAAACATGTGCTGTGTGCTTCCATGGCATGCTATCAAAAGCCTTAGCTACTAGACGCAGAAGCGGACATAATCACGAGGCTATCGCAGGCTTGAGATCATCGCACCTGGAAGACACCAAAAAGATGTGTTGATCGCTCGAGGTCATACCCTTGCGCTGTGAAATGGAGTATACCCTGGCAACTGAAGGTGCGACGTCCGAATCAGCAAGCGTTGGCAAATTTTGTGCTTGAGCTGAGAGTGAGGTGATGGAGTATCCCTTAGCAAGCCGTTTGAGAGCGGGCCTTAGTGCATAGCAAGAAGCAACGCGATTGCTGTGGTCCGTAGTGTCTTTGATAGGGCCATGGTGTGCTGATGATGAGGTTGCAGCTGCCGGCCACCAGCTGCATCCTCCTCAGATTATGGTTTTCTTCTCGCAGCTGCCATTTTTTTTTTTTTTCGTCAGTCCTGGTTCCGCAGCCGATGACGGAGGACAGCTGCAAGCGCTTTGTCCTTTCGTCCAGCAACTGGGGATACTTCCCATCAGGATGATGTGTCTGAGTACATGTCGCAGCATGCTGCAGCACTGCTGAGTCACAAGGCAGTCCAGGCGAGCAGCAGCAGCGTTTCTTAAACGACTTGGCTGTTCGGAAGCTCGAAACAGGCCATAACCTTCAGCTCCGCAGAGCTGGACTTGTCCACCTTGGTGAGTAGGTGCCCGGTGAGTTTTGTGCAGCTTCCGAGCCTTGTTGAGTTCTGCTATGTTCTACTCTTCCAAGCGGGTAGGTGTGCCGGCCTGTGTCATCTTGCCGGCATCCAACAAGCTGTTTCTTCGCAAAGCAAGGCCTTGGTTTTTGCTTTGAACAGGTCTGCTGTAATGCCATCTTAACCATAGACCTTGCGCTGCAGGATCTCAAGTTTATCCTTGTGGGATCCTGCCTGCCTCCGACAGAAGCGCCACCAGAGGACCACTGGCATCGTTTGCCTCTTGAGTCGGCTTAGTTCACGGAGCTTCCATTTTGCAGGGCCAGCCGCCGCCAAATGCAAAGATCATCTGCATGTGCGCGGCCATGGTGAGGCAGGACTTCCTGTTTGTCTTGCAGGGCTGTGTGCCGGCATTTCTGGCATTCCGGCATTGCCGGACCAACGACTGTCAGGGACACTGAGTTGGAGCTTCGTGTGACGGTGAAAGCGTACGAGCAGGCAGAGGGCGCACAGGGCGCACAGGGAGGATGCAGCAACTGCATTCAACATGCATGCAACATGCGACATGCAACATGCAACTGCAAGAGCTTCAAACCTCAGGAGGTCGCTGAAGAGATCGGTTTGCATCTTGCCGGGCACATAGCCTGGCCGGATGGACCCCGAGTTTGCGATGAGTTTGCGGAATGAATACCCAGTGCTCATCCGAACGCCAAAAGACAGAGACTCCAAGGCAAATACCTTTCGGGAGCTGGTGGAGGGAAGGTTGAGGCCAGAGACTTCCAGCGGAGTTTCTTGACATCTTTTGACATTTCTCGACTTCTCTTGACATCTCGTGACATGTGTCGCTGTATCGAAGCGATCTCAGGATGTAGTTGGCTATGTTGGCTGAAGCAGGCGGGCAAGTATGCTGCGCGAATGAGCTTGTGTCGACAATGCTGCTTTCCGTCAGGCGGCTACTTCTGAGACGCAGATCGCAGGCAAACCTGGGATTTAGGCTAGCACAAAGTGACTAGAAGTTAGTTTTTAGTTTTTCTTGAGATCCTTAAACAGCCTTAAGCTCTCAGCGGCCAGGATGCATATGCGAATCAGTTGCGCTTGCAGGCGCACACACGTCGCACAAAAAACAGGAGAGCCGGACTCCGTTTCAGCATCGAGGTCGCACGTGCTAGACACATCTAGACACTAGAATGCGCAGAACCATGTGGCGCGATGCCCAGGGCATTGATTAGGGTGATTGTGCAGAGGGAATAGACACGAGCCCTTTCACCTTGCCCGTTCCGAAGAACATGGTAGAGTCTTTGTCCCATTGAACAGAAGAGCTGAGTACATTGAAGGTAGCAATGCAGCGCATTCCGACGTCACTCAGTCTACTAATTGCTACAGTCATTCAAGTTTTACAAGTGGTGTGGGGGTTCAGACTGCCTGGAAGCGGGGGGGGGGTCAGACCTAATATGCATGGCACGGATTGCACATGCTCATGGCCCTTTGATATGTTGTGGCATCATGTCAACCTTTGCATGTGCAGCTCTTTTTGCCAGCATGCTCAAGGTGACCACTTCACACTGAAAGCGCTGCAATTGGAGTACTCAATCCCTACTGTCTGATGCGAGCTCCTCGTGCAGTAGAATCCAGGTATTAAGATCGTTTCGATATCGGGGGCGTCGCCCGAGTCCGGACCACTGCGCTTCCGAGATGCCGCTCAGACACTTGCATGTCCTGGTGACGGCGCTTGCTGCTTCGATATTGGTCCCAGCCGCCGCTAACGCACCTTGCTATGCAGACCAGTCGTTCGAGCTCTGTCTTTTTCGTGCATCTGTGTGTGTTTTCTTAGTTTGAAACATATGACCTAAAAAGAGCAGCAAGTGAGCGAGCGAGGAGGAGGCACGTGAACAAGCGAGCGTAGGCCAGCAAGCGAGCGACCAAGCGCAGCAAGCAGTATCTTGGCCATAGAGGCTACTAAGTCGTCAGTTTGCTCGTCTTAAGCAAGCCTGACAGCTCCACAGACTCTTGAAGTAATCCCAAGACTGACAGGACTGATCCGGCGTGATCTCTTGAAACTCCAGAATGAGTTTGTTTGTGAGTTTGTATGAGAGTATTTGTATTTTGTTTTTGGGTCTCTGGGTGTCTGTGTGTGTGTGTGTGTGTGCGTGTTTGTGTTTGTTTGCATTGAAGAGGCGCTCCCGAAGAACTCCAAGGCTTACAGGCGCCTGGGCAGGGGCTTTCGCTTTTGTGTTTTGGCTTGGAGATCCGCTTGAGAAGAATCTTTGGGGACGTCCGACAACGGCAAACGGAAAGCAGAATCAGTATGTCTCCTCGAAATAATCAGTCGTCTCAGTTCCTGGCAAGGATGTTGGCCTGTGATGCCTGCCGCATCGTGATGAACAGGCAAGATCGGCACCGTCTCATAGCTTTCACTCATCTTCAGTTCGCATTGCCGGCATTGCGCTGCATGCATGCTGCTTGGAGTCAACAGAGGCTGTCAAGAGACGTGAAGTATCTCACCGAGACACGCAAAATATGGCCTGATGAAGCCAGTGCCTCAACTGTTCGAAGTGTTGGAGGGATGCACGACTTGCAAAGAATGTCCTATTTCGCACGAATGGGGCAGATACTTTCACGTTGGGCCTGGTACCCTCGACAGGTATTGGACCAAAGGTTGTCGATCTCGTGCGAGGTCTGCCTCTAGGACTTGAACTTGCATGCTGGAAGCTGTCCAAGCTACACCCTGAGGATCCAAGCCATCCAAGTGGAAGTGGTGTGGACAGATGTCCCCCCCCACAACCTTCGCTGTCTGTGTGCACCATGCGTGCATTGCTCTGGAAGGGTGAGGCCGGCATTGTGTGCCCGTCGTGAGGAAGCTTGCAGTCTCTTCATGGAAGAGTCCGCCAATCTCATCAGGAAGGAGGCCCGATGGGGATGGCCCTGGCTTTTCGGACGGAAGCGCGCGCTCGAAGCGTGGTCACAGGTGAAACTGCGCTGGGACGAGGCCTCTGAGGAGTTCGGCGCTCAGCCAACTTCAAGTACGGACTCAGCCGATGGCAGCGCAACAAGGCACAGCAGTGGCACAATGCACACGCAAGGTTTGAGGAAGATATTGTTGCAGCAGAGTTCTGTTCGGAGAAGGCCTTACATGGCATCACGCTTTTGATGTGTCAGATTGCAAATCAAATTTCGGCAGGCCCGGATTTGTGATGAGGATGCAAAAGGCACTTGCGTGCTGTGTGCGTGCTCCGTTTCAGTTGCGTTGTTGAAGGCTTGCTCCTCCTGTAGCGTGAGCCATGCAAGGCATCAGTCACATGATTGACGAGGCTAGTAGGAAAGAGAAGCTTCTGAAAGAGGATGCAAAGCTTGCTGTGGGATGGTCATTCGAGAACATGCAGTTATTGGATGTGAGCACCACATGTGCTTGCAGGAGCGCGAGGAGAAAGAGCGCATCGCCAACAAAACCGCGAGCAAGTGATCACTTGGATTAGCTGAAAAAGTTCAACGCTGCATTCGTGGAGTGGTGTGGAGTGGTGTGCCAAGGGGAGACTCCGCACACGGCAAGCGTTTGTTGGGCAAATGTTGGCCCTCTTCCTGAGTGACCTTTGACGTTCGCCCCGGGCTCAATTCCTGACGATCTTGCAGTACAACAATTAGAAGTGTCCAGACGAGGAACAAGGAAGGAGCAGGCCTTCTGCATCCCTTGTGATCACAGGGAGTCTCTTACAGGCGTGTTGTTTGCCACATGAGAAGCCCATCTGTTCGTGGATGCACTGACTGATGGGTGGTACCCATGGCCGTCCTAGAGCGGCCAACAGCGCCCCCCAGGCACACTCCTGCACACATGTCTGATGATTCGAAGAGGGTTGTCACGTTTGGCGTCCAAGGGAGGGAGCATGATTGCATCAGTGCGCTTAGAATGAGAGCTTTTGCCAGTGTTCACGAACCACACGAGCTGCCCGTTCGAACCCTGCAAGTGGTTGTGGAAGGTTGTGTACGTTGCAAGAACTTCAACAGAGGGGGCTGCTTGGCACGTGGGTTGCTTGTAAATGATGCAGGTGCGTACTGCTTCGCGTCGTTCTTCAGGGTTCCGGTCTCGTGTGCGAGCCGCTCTGCTGCAAGGGCTCTTAGAATACTCTTAGATGGGATGCAGAATCTGTGATCTGGCCTTGTGTGTGTTGAGGCCTGCTTGGGGCTCGAGAGGAGGTGCCTTGACGACACTTGAACTTCGGAGATGTCAGATATCGAAGGGCAAGGGGACGATGACGCTGGCGGGTAACCCCACCCAAAATTGTGTCCCGCTGGCTGCAATCGGAGAACAGGGGTAGATGGAGAAAGGGAGCCGGATAGGGAGCTAGGTACAGAGCAAAGACTGGAAAGAACCCTCTTGAATGTTGCAGGGACTTGCCTCCGATTCATCCACTGGCCGCGCCACTGCTGGAACAGAAGCGGGACACAACTGGCAGGCAGGGGTCTAGGGATCCTCATTGTAGTGTCATTCCAGCAAGTTCTTCGTAGACTCAAGGACTAAAGTCCGCGTAGGTCCGCTGGATTTGTTGACTCAGGCAGTACAGGACCTTCGTTTCTCAAGCCGAGGCAGGAGGTCCTGTTGTGTCCCTGATCGTTCCTGTGCTCCAGTCGCGACTGCTTTGAACATCTTTGAACACTTTGAACATGATGCTTGAAGCTTTGCAAACTTTAAGCCGTAGCGCTTGTGTCTTCATGGGTTCCCCTTTCGGCGGCTGCGACGACCACCGCGATCACATGTTATCGCATGCGATCATCCTGAGGCTGGCGCGGTACCAGATGCGGTGATCCATCAGATTCACTTGGATGTGGCCGGGCAAACGGGCAAAGCAGTGGTAAACCGAGAGAGGCAGAGTCTCAGAGAGGACCTTGTGGACAAATCTCTAAGGCCAGGACCTTCCCGGCCATTCCTTCACAGCACGGTGACTGGGGATGGCCCTCGGACAGTGCTCAGGCCTTTGAGCGTGGGCAGAGTCCCTTTTGGGTGGTTTTGTATTTTGCTTTTTGAAGTTGCTTCTGCTGTCGCTCGTGCTGTGTCTCGTCGCTGAAGGATCGCGAACAACGGCTGGCGCGCACTCTTCTGGCCTCCGAGTGTCGTCTCATGCTGTGCAATGTAGTATCGTAGAACGCTTCATGCCCTGTGGTTGTGCAGAGCCCTAGGTTCTGCAGGGTCTTCTGATTCGTCGAGCCCACCAAAGCTCGGCTGCTCGTCCTGGTGTGTAGCTGATGGCTGATGATTCGTCTGTACAATGCCTTATCTCAGGCTTGCCGATGCTGCTAAAAATACGCCGGTCGTGGTGTGGCGCTGCGGCAGATGATGCGTCATCGAGCGCTCCTCTCATGCGCAGGTGCCTTGCAACAGGACAGGCTGAAGAGGGATAGACTCTTGTGTCGTGCAGGCAGTCGCTCTCCCTGGGCGCGGATGGATGGGCCGTGGATAGCATGCCAAGCCTCGGCATCCAGGCTTGAAATTGGACGTATCAACAGCCCGGCTCGTGCTAGGATGGTGTGGCACAAAATGAAGCAGCAGCAGCGGCAGCAGAAGACGTACACGGATGCAAGACGGACGTAGTACCCAAGCAGTTCTATCTTTCGGCATGGATAATCGAGGGGGTGAGAGCATACTGCATCATGTAGGGTGGGGTAGGCTGGGAGAGGGGGGGGCGGCCCGGTGCTCTTTTTCTGCAACCAGTGTACGGTAGGGTTCATGTTCCTTTCAAGATTTCCGATCTAACCGGATGCCCTGGCCGGGTCCCTGCGCTCCTTGTCTCCGCTTGTCTCCCCTTTCGTGTGTGTGGCCTCGGCCGTCCCTGGACTCCTTGTCTCCTCTTGCCTGTTGTCCCCCTTCATGTGCATTGGCTGGGTACTACTACTACTACTACTACTACTACTACTACTACTACTACTACTGCTGCTGCTGCTGCTGCTACTACTGCTACTGCTACTGCTACTGCTACTGCTACTGCTACTACTACTACTACTACTACTACTACTACTACTACTACTCCGACTACTACGACTACTACTCGTACTACTTCTAGTACTACTAGTAGTACTCGTACTAGTACTACTAGTACTACTAGCATTAGCACTACTAGTACTAGTACTACTAGTACTAGTACTACTAGTACTAGTACTACTAGTACTAGTACAAGTACTAGTACTACTACTACTAGTACTAGTACTACTAGTACTAGTACTACTAGTACTAGTACTACTAGTACTACTAGTACTAGTACTACTAGTACTAGTACCAGTACTAGTACCAGTACTAGTACTACTAGTACTAGTACTACTGTACTAGGACTAGTACTGCTAGTACTAGTACTACTAGTGCTAGTACTAGTACTACTAGTACTAGTACTATTAGTAGTAGTAGTAGTACTACTACTACTATTACTACTACTACTACTACTACTTCTTCTACTACTACTACTACTACTCCTACTACTACTACTACTACTACTACTACTACTACTACTACTACTACTACTACTACTATTGCTACTACTACTACTACTACTACTACTACTACTACTACTACTACTACTACTCCTGCTGCTGCTGCTATTACTACTACTACTACAACTACTATTACTACTACTACGACTACGACTACTACTACTACTATTACTACTACTACTACTACTACTACTACTACTACTACTACTACTACTACTACTACTACTACTGCTACTGCTACTGCTACTGCTACTGCTACTGCTCCTGCTCCTGCTACTGCTACTGCTACTGCTACTGCTACTGCTACTGCTACTGCTACTCCTACTACTACTACTACTACTACTACTACTACTACTACTACTACTACTGCTACTGCTACTGCTACTGCTACTGCTACTACTACTACTACTACTACTCTACTACTACTACTACTACTACTACTACTACTACTACTACTACTACTACTACTACTACTACTACTACCCGGCGGCGCGTAAACTGAACCCTTTTCGTCTGTGAAACATGTGTTTCGCCAAGGCGGCAGCTCTATTTTGTGGTTAAAGAGTCATGTTTCCGTTTAAGGCTAAACCCTAAACCCTAACCCTAAACCCTAAACCCTAAACCCTAAACCCTAAACCCTAAACCCTAAACCCTAAACCCTAAACCCTAAACCCTAAACCCTAAACCCTAAACCCTAAACCCTAAACCCTAAACCCTAAACCCTAAACCCTAAACCCTAAACACTCTCTAACCTATGTATATTTAAAAGCTAATGGATTCGCGGTTTTCCACCAAAATTTCCCGGACAAGCACCAAACATTCCCGGACAAGCACCAAAAATTCCCGGGCAAGCACTAACAATTTCCGGACAAGCACCAACACTTCCCGGACAAGCAACAATTCACGGCCAACCACCAAAAATTCCCGGACAAGCGCCAAAAACTCCCGGACAAGCACCAAAAACTCCCGGACAAAGCACCAACAATTCCCGGACAAAGCACCAACAATTCCCGGACAAGCACCAAAAACTCCCGGACAAAGCACCAACAATTCCCGGACAAAGCACCAACAATTCCCGGACAAGCACCAAAAATTCCCGGACAAACAAAAAAAGTTTCCGGACAAGCACCAGAAATTCCCGGACAAGCACCAAAAATTCCCGACAAACACCAAAAATTCCCGGACAAGCACCAAAAATTCTGGGACAAGCACCAAAAATTCCCGGACAAGCACCAAAAATTCCCGGACAAACAAAAAAAGTTTCCGGACAAGCACCAGAAATTCCCGGACAAGCACCAAAAATTCCCGGACAAGCACCAACAATTCCCGGACGAGCACCAAAAATTCCCGGACAAACACCAAAACTTCCCGGACAAGAAGAGGATGATCAAGGGTGGGGTGGGGTGGGGCAGGCATGGGCCATCAGGGCTGGTTTTTTAGGGTTTAAGGCCTACTCTGGGCTGGCTTTAGGGTTTAGGCCCCACTCTGGGCTGCCTTTAGGGTTTAGGGCCTGGCTTTAGGGTTTAGGGCCTACGTACTCGGACCTGGCTTTAGGGTTTACGGCCTACTCTGGGCTGGCTTTAGGGTTTAGGGCCTACTCGGGGCTGGCTTTAGGGTTTAGGGCCTAGTCTGGGCTGGCTTTAGGGTTTAGGGCCTACTCGGGGCTGGTTTCAGGGTTTAAAGCCGACTCTGGGCTGGCTTTAGGGTTTAGGCCCTACTCTGGGCTGCCTTTAGGGTTTAGGGCCCACCCTGGGCGGCAGCCTACTGAACCCAAAATTTTAAGGTTAAAACATAAAGTAAAATGTTTTCATAATGTTATGGGATCCAATGGGTGGGTGGGTCGATATTCGATACCGGAGTAAGGAGCTCTACTAGTGAAATGCTTGGACTTGAGATGCTGAACCCTAAACCCTAAACCCTAAACCCTAAACCCTAAAACCCTAAACCCTAAAAAGTGTGTACGGTTAAAGCGCCGCTGGCTACTACTACTACTACTACTACTACTACTACTACTACTACTACTGCTACTACTACTAGTACCACTACCACTACCACTACCACTACCACTACCACTACCACTACCACTACTATTACTACTACTACTACTACTACTACTACTACTACTACTACTACTACTACTACTACTACTACTACTACTACTACTACTACTACTACTACTACTACTACTATCATTACCTCCACTACTACTACTACTACTACTACTACTACTACTACTACTACTACTACTACTACTACTACTACTACTACTACTACTACTACTACTACTACTACTACTACTACTACTAACTACTACTACTACTACTACTACTACTACTACTACTACTACTACTACTACTACTACTGCTACTGCTACTGCTACTGCTACTGCTACTGCTACTGCTACTGCTACTACTACTACTACTACTACTACTACTACTACTACCACTACTATTACTACTACTACGACTACTACTACTACTACAACAACAACAACAACTACTACTACTACTACTACTACTACTACTACTAATTTTTGGCCGAGCGGCACGGGCCGGCCCCCGCCCCCGACAACACGAAGACGAGACCTCGAACCTCGCACCGTCTTACTTTCCCATTTTCTTCGTTTTCTGCTTTCTCGCTCTCCGTCTCTCCCTCGTTTCTCTCTCTCCCTCCGTTTCCTGTTCTCCTCCACTCCGCGCGCGTTGGTTTGGGTAGCCCTAAATAGCCCTATATTCAAAATACACCCAGGAAAGGGAGCATGATGAGCATCAGCGGCCTCCCCCAGGCCATCTAAAACGGCCTACACACTTGAACGCTGGCATGCCAACGAAACACTTGCTCTCTCTCTTTCTCTCCTTCTCTCCCCCTCCATTTCTTTCTGTGTTTCTCTCTTTCTCATTTTCTCTCTTTCTCCCTTTCTCCCTTTCTCCCTTTCTCCCTTTCTCCCTTTCTCCCATAGGGTTCAGGGTTTCTTGGGGTTTAGGGCTCAGGGCTTTTTAGCGTTTAGGGTTTAGGTGTTAGGATTTAAGGTTTGGGGATTAGGGGGTTTTAGGGCTTAGTTAGGGTTTTTTAGGGTTAGGGTTTGTGGTTCAGGGGTCTTCAGGGTTTAGGGCTTGGGGGTTTGTAGGGTTTAGCGTTGAGGTTTTTTTTTTGGGTTTAGGGTTTGGTTTTTTTTTCGGGTTTAGGGTTTAGGGCTCAGGGGTTTTAAAGGGTTAGGGTTTAGGGTTTGATTGGGTCAAGGGTTCGGGGTTCGTTTTTTTTTGTTTTTTCTCAGTATTATTTATTTATTAAATTTTGGGTTTAGAGTTTAGGTGTTTTAGGTGGTTTTAGGGTTCAGGGCTCAGGGGATTATTTTAAGGTTTGAAGTTGAGGGCGGTTTAGGGTTTAGGGTTGTTTGGGTTTAGGGCCCACGGGTTTTAGGGTCTGGGGCTTTTAGGGTTTTAGGGTTTAGGGCTTAGGCTTTTTAGGGTTTAGGTTGTCTGGGTTTTTAGTGTTTCGGGTTTTGGTGTCTAGAGTTTAGGGGCTTTCAGGGTTTTTTGGTTGTTTTGGGTTTAGGGCTCACGGGTTTTTAGGGTTTTAGGGTTTGGGCCTTGTTTAGGGTTTACGGTTTTTTAGGGTGTAGAGTGTTCAGGGTTTTTTAGGGTTTCTATAGGGTTGAGGGGTTTTCGGGTTTAGGGTTGTATTTTAGGGTTTAGGGTTCAGGGGTCTTAAGGGTGGGGGTTTAGAGGAATTTTGGGACTGGGGAGAAGGGGGTTGAAGGCAAAGGGACCCAACCAATAGAACGATAGGGGTCTATCGCCCGCATAGGGGTCTATGCCAGAGCCGCCCCCCTATGTCTTATACCTATGGGAGGTGCCTGTGTAAAGGTACCTGTCGGTTTCCAAATAAACCCTGAAAGATAGGGGTCCATCCCCTAAGGGTAGACGGGTAGAGGTAGGGGTCTGCATTTTCCGATAAACACCTATAGATCAGGTACCTATCCTAGAACAGATAGACAGCTACATAATGGCCCTATACTTGAATTTTCTAAGGTCTTGGGGCCTCTTGGCTTTAGTTTGGCTTTAGTTTAGCGTTCGGCTTGGCTTCGGCATGCTGTAGCTAGCTTTTGCCGTGGAGGACTCTAAGGCTTACACATCCCTACACCCTCAACTCCGACAATTTTATTCAAGCCCTGAAGCCCGCAATTAAGCGGTTTTCGCTTTTGTTTTTCACATGTTTTTTGTTGTTGTTTTTGCGTGTTCTGTTTGTGCGTTCGCGGGTGCGTGGATGTGTGTGTGTGGGCGTGTTTTCGCATGTTTCCTGCAATTTTTGCGGTTGATGCGACGCTTTCGCAATCAGGGTTCCCTGGCCCAAGCCAACTCCTTGGGCTTTGTCATCCCCGCTCGCATCAGAGCTTCGTCAAGGCCGACAATCGGTCCTCCCAGATTTTCCGATGTCTCCGGAAAGCTAACTCGGTACTGGCCCTTTCTGGCCATCTTGGCAGTTTGTGATTTAGGCCAGTTATCCAAGACCGGTGCCTTCGGCCCTCCACGCAACTGCAAAAAAGGGCCGTGCCGGCACATGTGGCCACCCTACGGGCACAAGCGTATATTTTCGAAAAACTGAAGCTTCCAACTGCAGGCTTCGTATCTCTTGTGCAGACTTCGCCCTGTGTACTAGCTATTTGTGTCTACACTAGCAAGCCTTGGCACAATATGTCGATAGGTCATGTCATGTCAGCCAGTTTGAGCATTGTCCCAAGGTGATCCTGTGCCGACATATGTCCAAGGCTGCAGCATGATGGCTGCCATGTGCCTGGGTTTTACCGTGCCCTGGCAGTAACAAAATTGCACGCGTGGTGACAGCCACTGTTGCATGACACTCGGGATCCGCTAGATCTTCCATAGAGATTCCGCAGCTCCCGCCAGGCAGGCCGAGAAGAAGAGGGCTTCTGGCTATTCATCCATCTTCTAGAGGCATCACATGGATGGGTGGATGGGCGCCCTTTGTTAATCACAAGCTCTCATTGATATGCCCCACCAAGACGGAGCGCTGGACCGTGCATTCATTGATTCATGGGGGTTGCCGAACCAAATTGATTTTTTTTGGTTTTTGTTAATCCAATGGCCGGATGTTGATGAGCAGCAGCATAGGAAGACAGGGAGGAATCCAAGAGCGCACCTCCAACAGAGCGATTGCCAGAAACAGCACCACAGGAAGCGCCAAAGGAGCAGGGACCAATGCCTCGACCAGCCCGACAAGAGGTGCTTCGCCAAGCGGGGTGCTGGACTATGCCGGATCAACGCCATGGCAGTCGCCACGAAACCAGAAAATGCCAAGACAAGAGCGTGTGCCCGGAGGCTCTGGATGCGAGACCACATGGGACCTCGGACCGCATGGGACCACAAAGCCCCCCCACCACCCTTCTCGAATACCGGTGCTGAACCCAAGCAAGGCCTCATGAACACTGTGTACGTGTTCGTTCCTGAAAGCCTGTAATCAGCAACTGGCTGCCTCCTTCCCTGTCTCTTAGTGACTCAGCGTCGTTCGTGCGCAGGATGTACTGGGGGCAGATTTCTTTTCTCGGCAACCTGCCCTCGTGGGGTACCATGGAGACCGGGCAGCGGTTGCAGCCGCTTGACAGAAAAAAGACATGGCCAGAACAGTCTTTGTCTGGTGTGTAGGCGGCGGCTGCAAATGAGTGTATATGAGTGTATGGTGCTGTGAAGGCGCTGGTGGCTTTGCAGAGCCCCAGCTTGGCCGAGCTGATGGGCGTGCAGAGCCTGGGCGAGTCCATCTCCGCCTTGGCGCCGCTAAGTTAGAGTTGGAAGAGCTTGGAACAGTTTGGAATAGTTTGGAACACATCAACTCCGAGCAATTTCTGAGTTTCTGCGTGGTAAGGTCGCGCTGCCTCCTCTCAGGATGTGTGGACTCAAAGCCCTGAAGCAACTGGAAGGTAGTGGCTGCTTAGGGGGGCATGGCATTATGGGGCTCGTGGTGGGATGCTGGGAATCTGCAGGATTTGTGGGCTTCCTGTCGGGCCCGCCGCTTGTTGCCTTCTGGGAGGCTGCGTGGCATGGCAAGAGGAAAAATCATTTCAGAAATTGTCGGTTGCACAGCATCCGGATATGTACTGGACAGGAATTGCTCCAAGTGCGTTGCGCCGACTTCCCACGCCTTCCGCTGATAAGCTGGCTTGCAGGTGCTGTGTGCCTGTTTCTGCTGTCGCGGTTGATTTTCTTGAATGTCTACCGGCAGTGTCGCCGACCCCAAGAGCTGCGGATTGCCAGAGCTTGAACCGAGGAAGCCACCCCAACCAGAACCCTAACCACCCCAAAATCGCAAGCTCCTCAACTTGTGGGCGGTGAGGGTGGTGCAGCGGTGGGAGCGGTGAGGGCGAGTCCGTTTGGGGAGGGGTGGTGGGGTAGCGGGTAAGGGTAGGGAAGGGGGGACTGCGGGGGGGTTTGGGGTTGCGCCGTGAGTGTGGAGTGGGGGCGGTGCCTTGGGGGTCGTGGGCCCAGGGGTTGGGGTATGAAAAAGCAGGATGGGGACGGGACAATGGGTCTTCACTAACGCCGGTGCTCGCGGATGGGGTCGGAAAATACAGGACAGAGAGGCAATGCATCAATGCACAGCATGATTGTGTCATCTGGAGGGCTGGTGCACCATGCTGAAGGGCAGCTCACATCAGCCTTGGTGGGTTTGTCAAGCCACTTGGCCTGATCCGGCAGATGACGGGACATCCGCGGCTGCGACTGCCATGCTCACATGGGTTGTGATGATGGCGCGTCTTTGGGCCAGGCACAGAATAGGCATGGTCCAGCATCGCAAGGAACAGTCAACCCCACGCTGGGAGTTAGAATGTCTAGATCTGAACATATGGGCATCATTGAACTTCAGACGCTGGGGGGGAGTATTGGGTAGGAACGTTAAAGTCGGGCACTTGATGGCACTTGCATATCTGCGCTTTGTCGGAGTGGAGCGATCCTTGACTTGAGGCGATGAAGCTGTGCCAGTCTTCTTTCGGACAGTTCAGCAAGCCGCCAAATCATTGCCGAATAACTGGCGGCCGCGAGTACGAGTCTCACAGGTGGGGGGATGCTGGGGGCAAATCTCATACGGGGGGCATCATGGAGTGAGAGGAACAACATGGAAGAACTTCCGAGGGTGAGACCGGGTGAGATATGTTAGATTCCATCGCAGGCTCAAGTCCTGGAGCTGCGGCAGATTTCGAAGGCCTCCTTAGGTCCTGGCAGTTTGTGACTTTGTGACATGCCTTTTGCATCTGTGGCTGTTGGGTGCGAGGCGGCCGCGGAGAAGTACCGAATGGCACAAGAAGCCTTGAGCCTAAAGGAAATGCACGCGAAGAACGTGTCAGCCTCCTTGGACAGGCCGGGCTTGCATTGCTGCACTCCCACTGGCCCAATGTTAGCATCGTATACTGGCCATGCCCCACTCGAATCAATCGTTACAGCTATGAGTCAGGACATGCTCGGCGCTCCTCGATGCCATGAAGCTGGCCGAAGGTGTGGGCAGCACATCCGCCACAGCAGCCGCAGCCACTGTCGCTGCGGAGAGCTCGCGGGGAAAACCAACTGAGACTACACCTGCGCTTTTCTGCGTGTCGTCATGAGTTCGTTGTTTGGTGCATTGTGCGTTATTGCTGCTCAAGAGAAGAAGAGATGAAACCATGGTCGTTGAAAGGCAGAAGCCTATCAGACCCTGCAGAAGAGCTGTACATGACACAGATTGATACCCATTGGCGCCTGCACGACTGAGTCCAGTGCCCGGTGTGAGGCCATTTCGGGCTTTGGATTGGGGATCTGCATCTCGGGGATGAGACATGACACAGACGTGACACGATGAGACTGCAGGCACTTGAAGACGCCCAAGCGCCACTATGGAGTGATTCCCAGCATCACAACCCTGCAGTGTGCTAGCTGCTAGACCAGCCTTGTGCCCAACGTGAAGCGAGTCACGCATGAAAGGAGGCTTCCACGATGTTGTTCATGGGAATTTGCGAACCCCTCAGTGGTTGCACGGTTCTGCAAGTATAGCTGTTGACTTGACTTCAGCTTTGAGGTGCGGTCCTGCTGCTCGTGCTATCGGTAGCATGCAGCACTCTTGTCCAAGCCTCGTTTCTGCGCTTTCCCACCTTACCTCATAAGGGGACGATATGTCTTTGGTCTCTGCTGGTGTAGCACCAGCCTCAGTTGTCGCGAGAAGATGGAGACGACCCAGCAAAGGCGAAGGCTCCCGGAAAAAGTGCTGTCCCCAGAGACAACAGATTTTTTCTCCTGTGTCTCTTCAGAATGTTCTCCTTCATGTCCTTCCCTTTCCTTCTCCATGTCAGAATGGAGACCTTTTGGCTCTCCCCAGTCTCCCCATGCCCCTGACACGAATTGTGGATCTCAGGAAGAGATGGCCTGGCTCTTGGCTTGATCGTCGAGCTGCACAGTTCGCATGGGACGGCTTCCACACAAAAAGTTTCTGCAGCAGTGGAAGCAGTCTGAGATCGCTGTCGCAGAAGGCCCAAGACATTGCACGTGAGGTCCGCCCTCCGCTTCCAGGAAGAACAAGTTCGCCTGAACCGGATCCTGGGGCAAGCCTCCTGGTTCATGTCCATCTATCATGTTTCACAAGGCTGGTAGCGTTGTAGCCGCAGCAACCGCTCGTTTGCCACTCACGCAGGGCCACGACAGACGTCTTTCATGTCTGTACCGTGCATCCTTGTAGATAAACGATAATGTCCTGGGTGCACACAGTCGCGAACAAAGCTCCTCAAGGTTTGGTCTTACGTTGTGGCACGATGCACGCACCATGTGCTTGAGCTTGTCGCAGCCGTCTTTGACCAGGAACCCTTATCTTCCTTTGGAGGCATGCCGTCATGAGGCCGTTTCGATATCAGACGCTGCAAGATGTGGAAGCTCTGGACGAGCAAGCTGATGCACCCAGATGGCCGCGAGCAGGCCGATGGCTTTCCTGTTTTATCTTCCAGTTGATGCTTGTGGCCATGCTCGCCTTGCGAGCACCCGCTGGGGGCCCTGCTGAAGCAATTCATGGAATGTGGAACATGCTTCGAAAATTTAGCATGTTCCAGTTCAGCATGGCAATGTATGAAAGTGAGTTTGGAGACACAGATCCGTTTCAGTTTAGATGTCCAGTTCCTGGAACCATCGCTGGCGGCAGCGACAATTTGACTTGCTGCAGAACGTACAACAACAAAGGTTGGCCCTTCCAGTTTCGGGAGTGTGAAAACCTTGGCTTTTGCACAACTTGCTGGGTTGAGACTGAAAAAGCATCCATGCGAAAGCACTCTGCGATCGACTTTGCGGGTGCATCTTGGGCCGCAACCATCAGTGTCATGAACAAGGCGGAGGCGAAATCTGGGTGGTTGAGCCAGTCTCTACAAAATCTTTTCGGTAATCTAGCTACTCCTACAAAGAACCAGGTTGACGATGCACACGTGCGAGGCAGTTCGATGCGAGTGAGGATTGGCCATGGCATCATGAAGGGAGAGACAAATGCGTGTCCAGGTATAGATGACTGGCACATCGACATGTTGAATGAAGACAAAGAAAACATTCACGCACGCGTCTTCAAGTCTCCGCGAACAAAGTTGGCCATTGTTGCCTTTCGTGGAACACAGTTCAAGTCCATAAAGAACTGGGAGGTTGATGCTGATATTCAGCGAATACCACTAAAGTTGCCAAATGGCAAGGTGACGTATGTACACGAAGGCTTCCTGAAGGCTTTAGAACATATTTTGCCTCACGTGAAACGGTGGGTGGATGGCTACATCTTCGGGCTTTTCGAGGCCATTCCCAGAGATTGGAAGTTGATCTTCACGGGCCACAGCTTGGGGGGTGCCTTGGCGGTCCTGGCGGCGACGAAAGCGCATTTGGAGAGATGGCCTCGGACTCCTGAGGCTGTGGTCGCTTTCGGTGTTCCCCGCTTTGCCGATGCGGCCCTTGATGAGTGGTGGCGTGAAGAGGATCTCTGCCAAACCCTGCTCCGTGTGAATACCTACAACGACATGGTGCACGTCATGCCCTTCCAGAAGATGTGGAGTGCTCTCAACGTTGCCACAGGTGCCTATGACTGCTTCACACGGCCCGTGGACTGCATAAGACAGTCTACGAAGCACGTGCAACATGCGCTTACTCACCACTCGGAAGGACTTGGTTTGATAATCAGTGATCAGTGGGCACACGTGTGTCCAGAGAGTGAGATTCTGGTTCCAAGCCGTGTAAAGGGAGTCAACGAGCAACTGGAGGAGTTGTCTTTGTTTGGAGGTGTACTCGCTCATCTGAACGAGAACTGCCTATATGGATACATCTATGGAGTCATGCACAGCAACATCTCTGCTTTCGACAAGTATTGCAAGGTTTCCCCTTCGGTCTGTGCAAACCTGTCACATCTTGGACCGTAATCTTCCCAGGCTGCGTCATCGCAGTGGCGCACGCTGCATCAGAGCTGTTTCACAACAATGTAGGATTTGGAGTAGGCCCCCTGCGCAGTACAAAATTCACTTTGGCAGGTGTTGCAAGAGCGTCATGGTTCAGTTCAGTTCGGAGCGAAAGACCATCCTCGTTTGGATCTGGAGTGTAGTTAGGCCTGGCAACACGAACACCGAGTTGCCAAGTTGCCTTTGGGGTTTCACAACACGGAGGTAAACATTGCCTCTCTTTGTAGGATGTGTGTGTAGTTTCTGGAGCTTCGAGCTCCGACGCTCATGGCACTGGTAGCTGCGTGGCACTCAGGGGTTTGAACGCCCGAAAGGGCCTATACAGCCTCAAGAAAATGGTTTTGCGTGTGTGGGCCATAGATGTCGATCGAGATATACCCATCATGACATGATGTCGTTTCTTCAGACAAAGCAAGCCGGAACAGGGCACGCATGTACACTGTCGTGACGGTGTGCAGTGCATGTGGTCAGGGGCCATACTGTGCCATTGTCTCCTTGGGTCGAGCTCTGGATCTCAGGGAGGAGCCAATCTAAAAGGCTCGAGAAGGCCTAACTTCCACCTGGAAGGTTTAGGATTCTTCGGCTTGTTGTCCCAATGATGGCGGAAGACTGATAGTCTGTGAATGTTCGATGTTGGCCTGTTAGATTGTATTCCCCACACTTGGTTGTAAGTTCTTAAGTCAGCCCTGGCCCCCTCGCCTCACCTCCTCAAAGTCACCTCCGGGGTCCTGGTTTGTTTTTTGGGCCGGGTCTCTGGAGAGTCCCGCCGAATATCTTTTAAGTGCGTGTACGAGCCTGAAAGAAGTTTCGCTGAGTATCCCTGGAGTGCCCAAGGTGCAGCCGCAGAGAGTCCCAACGAATCCCAACGAATCCCATGCCGTTTCCAGAGAAAAGAGAAAAAGTCCCTCTGAGTTTTAGAGTGCCCACTCCGGAATAATTTTAACGCTACGCGACCCGCCTCGGCCCGGCCCAGCGCATCATGGTGATTCCGCAGCGCCCAAGTCGCTGGACCCCAAGGTTTAGGGTTCCGATTTAGGGTTGAGGGTTGGTTTAGGATTGAGGGCTTAGGGCTCAAGGTTCACGCTTTGGGTGTGTTTGGGCTGTGTAATGCATCCCCGGCCGTGCTCACACCAGTTGAGCCTAAAACCCGTGGTGGCTGTGGGGGCGGGGGAGGGGGGGGGGTAGGGATGGGGGTAGGGGGGGGTTGTAGTGGGGGGGGGGTAGGGGGGGGCGTGGGGGGGGGGCCTGCTGAGTACTGGCCTGCAAAAAGTCCCGTTGCGTACCGCAACCCGCAGAGTATCCCGCCGAGTATCTCTCCGAGTGTCCCTGCATTGCCCACATTGCCCACCCCTAGAGAAGCTTGCAGAGAGTCCAGAGTATCCCTGGGGTGCCCAAGCCCGCGGAGAGCACCCCCAAAAATCCCACAAAAACACTCAGCATCCTTGAAGCCGGCATGCCCAAGAATTTCCGCATGCCCCAAAGAGTCCCACAATCGCACACAATCACCGAGTACCCCTAAAGTGCCGCCACCCCGGGAGAATTCCGCAGATCCCGGAACGCCCCCAGACAATACTGCGGTGCATTTGCGGAGTCCCCAGCCCAGAATCGCGCGGAGAATTCCACAGAGAATTCCACTTTGATCTTGGAGAGTAGCCCGAGACTGCCCGACCTCCAGAGAAAGCGGCAGAGAGACTCCCTTGGGAGTGCTCTTCATCCTGCAGAGAATCGGAGCAAAGCTCTTCAGGGATATCACCATAGCCCACAGGTGCATCCCTGCAGTGACACCTGGTCTAGGGTGGGTACGCTCGAACAAATATTGTTGCAGCTTTGGTTTTTTGTTATGTCTATCTTGTCGGTGCATCAGGATGGAGAGATGCAATGCCAACTTGCCCGCAAGCCCCTTCAAGACCCTGCTCGCTGTTGCCTAGGTGTTGCAGAGTGGCAGGCGTTCCAGCCGCGACGGTCCCGGAGATGGTGAGGCACCCTTTGCCCATGCGTGGGGTGATGTGGGAACTGCACACCTGTGCAGACGATGACCGGTCAACAGTTCGGACCTGTTCATGTTCATATCCTGTCAAATCGTGTCACGTCGTCTCATGTCGTGTAATGTCGTGTCATGTCATGTCGTGTCACGAGTTGTTGCAACATTCTTTGAACACTCTGCTCGCGATGGGCATGAACATGAAATGTTGTCAGAAAGTTGTTGTGAGATTTGAAGGCTTCACTTGTGCTCAGGCTGATGTGGCCAAGCCAAGCTTCCGACGACCTCGACATGCGTGCGAGTCTCAAACGTGGAGTGCAGCGCTGAAGACATGGCACCGAATTCGCTCCCCGAAGAATACGGGGTCTCAATTGAGGTTTGGCAACAGGCACTTGTTAACGTTTCGCAAGAACCAGTTCTCGGAGTTGGTTGAGCGGACTGCCGGGGGCTCAAGGTCGCCACCATTGACACTGGTTCTGATACTTGAGAGCCAATGTGAGCTCCATGCGAGCAATGGTCATCTTGCCGCATGAAAAGGTTGATGCGCTGAAGGGCAACATCGCCGAGGATGTACTTTGTGCAGCACTTTGGGCACCCTGTTACGGTTAGACGTTTTTCAGCAGGCATCAGTGGAGGATGTGCAGAATGTGCTGTCGAAAATCCGTGCCTTGGTGACGTCCAGTTCAGCTAAATTTTCGGCCTGGTGTTCGGGCAGTGCTGAGCTCGACATCGCAGTGAGCGTATGCAGCACGCGGCACCTCAGGGCGGCAATTCGACGAAGTACGCTGTGAAGCTGACAGAAAGGAAGCCGAGTTGTGGCTTGGCAATGCAAATCCGTTCTCTGCCATTCTCTGCCTTCGCCTCCAGCTTTCTACTCTTTTCTACTCTTTGAATTGATTTCCGAGGCTAACCCTGCGCCAAGAGATCCGGTTCTGGGAGTCAGAGGCCAAGCCTCCTGAGGAGCATCCCGAAAGGTTTTTTAGGAAGTGTCCCCGAAGCATCCTCGAAGCGTCCCGCGTCCCCGAAAAATCCCTGAGCGCCTTCCGCTCTTCTCCTTGGAAGGACCAAGACCACTACAATGGCTTTGTCCGGAAAGCTGTCGTGGAGAAGCTTGGCGAGGTACCATGTGGCGGCGATGTGCCGATGTCTGACGGTCTGATTCTCGATATCTAACTCGGCCAGGCTTCGACAGAGCTGGAGCAAGCAATTGAGACCCAGCGCGTGTACCAGCACATGGCACGCCGGTTCCATATGTTCACAGAGGTGTAGCTGCAGACACCTCTAGGGACTCTAAGGCAGCCTGAGAGTTGTTCGTGATGAGCACTGGGCAGAGGTGGAGAGGCTGTTGCGGGAGCAGCGTATCCTGCAGCAGAAGGCGCTCACCCCGACGTGTTGTACCGGAGAGGGCTTTCGTGGGCGGTGGCCACTGAGCGTTTGACATAACGAGCATCCTGAAAAACGAGGTGCTCCTCATGGAGAACTACTTGGACCGCAAGTCGCGTGAGGCGAGAGTCCAACAACCAGAGCGCACTGACATAAACTGTGCTGGCCGACTCTATGCAGGTTGAAGCCAAGCAGCACTTCAGTCGGCGCATCAACGAAGACAAAGTACCGTGCACAGTGTGCAGAACACTGCTTATACAAAGTGGGTGGGGCCTGAGAGCAGGTTGAGAAAATTGTCAAGTTGGAGATGCTGGAGCAGGAAGCGGTTCCAGAGTCGAAAGAAAGTCCAGCAATGAGCGGTTGCACTGGGCAGTTTGTGTGCCAAGTTGATAAGTCATAAGGACGTGCATCTAGAGCGGACGGTGTGCACAACCGCAATCAGCGATTTGTCAGCAGCCATTGAGAGGCTGGGGCTTTGTCAGGCAGCGCAAGCGGCCTTTTGGCACACGTGACCCCTTTGATCTTGAGGCGTCGTCATGACGTCAACCAGGGTGAAGACTTCGAGAACTGGCGGTACGACATTGCGCTGGAGGTCGTGACTCATGGTTCTCAGGATCCGTGAAGGATACTGAGGTGAATACTGAGGTGAATATAATCTGGGATTCGCTTCTCGCGTTGCTGAGTGCCGCACGCATGCTGCAGGCTGCAACTGAAGCCTTTGAGGCTACAGCTGGGCGGTACAGGACTCTGCAGAGCATCGCCTCACTGATGGGTTGGAAGATTTTTCTTGTGCAGGAAGATCTACGCAATTGAGAAGCTCACAGGACCTGGAGAGCAAGCCTGAGGAAATTATACAAATGGGAGTAGGGGATCTGCAGGCAACTGCTTGCAGCGCTTGACCTTCGACCAAGCCGAGCAAAGCCAGGCCAGAGGTTCTTCTTTTTAAAGTCCGTTGTCTCTTGTCTTTCCAAGAGGCGACGGAGGACGGCTTTCAGAGGATTCGAGAGGTGACCGGCTTGACGGATGTCATGGACATCGTGCACAAGCCGCTCGGCTCGGTTAGGGTATGTTCGTGTTCGGAATTGTTAGGATATATCAGGACATGGACAGGGACTGAGACGCTTGTCGTCAGCGTCTTGCAACACTCTGTTGACTGCTGGGTTGTCGTGTGCCTGCCGTGGTCATCGTGCCCCAACTCTCTCCCGTGGACTTTTTGAGGCTTGGGAATTTGAGGCTTGGATTTGAGGCTTGGGTCTTTCACTGCTGCGAACACATGGACAAGCACGTGCTTTCCTGCCCGTCACGGAATCTTGCATTTTGGATGCTTGGGAATTTGAATCTTGGGCCTTTCCCTGCTGCGAAAGCAAGCCAAGCACGTGCTTTGTCGCAGAATATTGGATGAGTTCGCTTCGCGAGCCTATTCTAGGGGGCTGTGCGTTTTAAGGTGTTGCGAATGGCGCTCGCGCCTCGGTCCCATGCGCCCGTCGTGAAGCGCGTCTTGCACTGTTTTGGGTCTACGCCGCCGGGCTGTCGTAGAAACTGCCGGGGTCCTCAACTTCCGCTCCGAAATGATCCAAATTGGCGCAGATTCCTCAACCGGGATGTGGAGCACGAGCAGTGCCTCGCCTGCGCTTGGCTACAGAGAGAAAGGATATCTTTAGAAATAGGCTCAGCCAAGGCTCCGAAACACGGTTCGAGAAGCGGAAGCGCGGCTCCACCAGCTTCGTGAGGAGGAGGTGCAGAACGGCGAGCGGAGGGTGTCCCCAGTGTGTCCCCAGTGTGTCCCCAGTGTCCCCGTTCTCGCCTCTGGCTCAGGCCAGCCGCCCCCGCGAAGATGTGCTTCAGCTGCAGAACTGCTGCAGAGCAGGGCCTTAAGGCTATCAAGGCGATACGCATGCAGACTTCCCACTGAGGCTCTGGTCGATGCCAAGCCGGAGACCCGAGGTGGGCACCGTAATGTGAAACAGCCATGACCTGGAGCGGCTTTGTCGTTGCGAGGCAGTGCTCTCGGCTAAGATGTTCAGAGGTTCTCAGAGTGGATCGCAGGCCTGGGCGTGGAGGTTACAGAGTTTGAGCAGATGTTGGAGGATATTCGACACGACCAATCAGAGCCGGCCTTAAGTTGCCTTTCGCTTTTGAGAGTACTGTGAGTACTCTTGCGGCTCTTGCGCGCTGATACAAAGGATGTGCAAGAGCAGCTCAAGCAAAGTACCCTGCTTGTCGACAGCCTCAAACGCCGCAGTCCCAGTTGCAGCTGCTCGGCTTTGAGTTCTTTGTGATTCTTTTTGCATCCGCTGTCTGCGGGGAGGCTGGGCGCACCAACTCACCAAGTCACTGGCCCACTGCTCAGTCTGCTCAGTCTGCTCAGTCTGCTCAGCTCAAGCCTGAAGCCTCTCGAAAAGGCTCCCATCCAGGAGATGAAGGCAGTCCAATCCGAGCAATCGCCTCGGCCTAGTGTCTGGCCAGATATTCTGTTGTGCTGGTGCTGCGCTGGTGCTGGTGCTTCGCTGGTGCCGCACTGGTGCCGCACTAGTGCTTCGTGGATGAATGGATGAATGGATGAAGGTCTGACCTCCCGCGCTTCTTCCACCACCTGGCGCGAGACTCTGTGGCGAGCGGCGAGGGCAGACGAATGGACCAACTCTTGCTGCATTGTTGGAGCTCTGCCAGGTTCAGGTGGTGCACGAATTCCTGGATCGGGCTCATGCAGAAATGCCAGATGTGAGGCAAGGTATATAGAGTTTAATGCAGTCTAGGACGAAGCAGATGAGTGATGTCTCGCACGGGCTAGGCTTGTGAAGATAACCAGCGAAGCGACCCAGAAGGATTTCAGCGATCAAGGAAAGCTGCTGCACGACAAGGCACGCATCTCCAACGATGACCAACGTCTCCCCTTGGCTGCAGTCGCTGGTCCATTCCACAGTCGCTGGGAGAGGACTTCATGCGCTCCAACTGTCGCATCGTCACTGCGGATCAGAATGCCCTCGCCCGGGTCAACTTCTGTCCAACCGTGTGCATCGTATGCCATGACCTCTTTACAACGTCTTTGTATTTGGCAGCTTTGGGGGCCGAATAGGTGAAGGAAGAGAGGTCAGGCACTCGACAGCCCTCAGACACGCACATGCAAAGTTCGGCAAACCCCAAGAGTCGCTCCAAGATAGGATCTGTTTCAGGCGGAAAAAGGATCCACAAGCGGGTGAGGACTGCTACGGCGGGCCGAGGAGTTCTCGGGGTGGTCTCTTGACACGCATCACTGGGTTCAGGATGAGCGAATGGACATGGAGTTTGCCAATGAAAGGGAGCGTGTGAAAAAGGAGGCTCTGCTTGCTGTTGAACTTGCTGGATGAAGTGGGCGAAGTATTTCTGCAGAATCTAGATCAGGCTGTGGACCGAGACCTACGGCCGCGAGCGAAAGTGGGATCCCTGGCCCTTGAAATGATCATATGCTGCTTGTGAAAGAACTGCTAAATCTTGAGAGCTGCCGAAAGCACTTGACGCAAGACCACGAGGTTGCCAGAGGCCGGGCTCGAAATTGAGAGCCGCACATTCAGCCTCGAGCAAAAAGGCGTCGTGTGAGCCTTAGCTGGGTGGTGCTCCTCGCCAGACACCTATCTAATGTGCATATGCTACCCACCTTCCGATGAAGTTTTCTGCTAGTTGTCATGCGTTCCCACCCGGGTCTTGTTTATGTGTCTCGTATATGTTGATATACACATACACATACACAAACGCATACACATACACGTACACATACACGTGCACGTGCATATACATATACATATACATATACATATACATATACATATACATATACATATACATATACATATACATATACATATACATATACATATACATATACATACCTGAGCGAACGCCTGATATCCGATGTACATGTCATCGCAAACCACGTCTTCAATCCATAATGTAAATGCAATCTTGAAATATTCACATTGTTGATTTGCATTCAAGAACCCTGGGGTTGAAGATGGCTGAAGCGTGAAGATTAGCGGGAAATGTATCCTGAGTCCTTGGACCCTGATTCGGAATACAAGCTGTTGAACACTTACTCAAGTTTGTATTCAATATCCTGGGGTTGAAGACAAGGGCCGCCACCCCCTCAGCTGTATGGCTGGTGGTGATTCTGTTGCATTGCACCACACATTGCGGGACCTCACACACGAATTGCGACCTAGGAGGCTTGCGGCCAGTGTTGGAGGCCCCGCATCTGTTGGACGACCTGACCACTCCTGAGGGGGGGCGCTGACCGGCAGAGGTCTTCGTGTGCCGCGCAGGTTTGCTTCCAAGTGCCTCCCTGACGGCACACGGCAGCATAGCCCCCAACCTGTTGCCTTGGACTTTGCCGTCATCAATGCTTTGGGGTCGGGTCACTGGGGGGCCACCTCGGGCAGCCCAGCCATCCTCCATGAGATGTCGCTATCGGCCGCCATTGCTCTCCACCGCGACCACGGTGCCGTGAAATCTGAGTTGCTCAGCAAGGTCGCTGTGGTGCTTTGCCGCGCGGCCGCACGGTCCATCGACCGCCGCCGTCGAGCCCATATGCGTCTCGAGCCCAGGCCCGTGCCGCAGCGGCAGCATGAGGACCACTTCCTTCTCGAGCCATCCAGTGAGACCTGAGTGTGTGTATGTGTATGTGTATGTGTATGTGTATGTGTATGTGTATGTGTATGTGTATGTGTATGTGTATGTGTGTATGTGTGTGTATGTGTATGTGTATGTGTATGTGTATGTGTATGTGTATGTGTATGTGCATGTGTGTGTGTATGTGTATGTGTCTGTATATGAGAAGTATGGATTGAGGATTGACCGGTGATGTTGCTCCGTCGCTCTTTTCCTATGTTCGAACGGGGCCCGTGGCCCTTCTTGTTAGGGTGGTTAGGTTGCCATAGCGTCTCGCTTAGCGATTGGATTCTCTTGGGGCTTGCTTGCTGGCTCTTCGGCTTCATCTGTCGGCCACTTTGGCTACTCTGGCATGTTTGCGCGGAGCGCGTAACTTCATTTGGGTTTGCCTTGGAGCAGCCGTGCGCGAGCTGCAGCCCGTTCCTGTAGGGGACCGCCTGGCCAGTTATCGGGGGGTGCACGAGCGCGCCGCCTAGTCTGGAGGCCCTTCTTCGAGGCGTGTCTGAGTGCATCTGCGCTCATCCGCTTCCGCAAACTCCCTCTCTGAGAATCTCCGGCTTAGTGCCGGGTGCGGCAGCCGCGACTTCTGTGCCCCTGCCACAGTTCGACGCCTGAAACCGGCGCTGGTGGGAAGAGTCCTGAGAAGAGGATTCGTGTGTCCTAAATTCTGGAGGCATTCGACTCGAGCTTTCGTGCCAGTACACTCAAGGCACCAGCGTACGTGGTTTTGGCTGGCGACTCGGTGGATGAGCCCTTCGCTAAGGTTTACTTTGCGGCCGTGAAGCAGGGTGGGCCTAACGACTCTTGTGCCTCAGGGCTCGCAAGCGAGGCAGAGGCGGTCTGCGTTAGTGCAGGTTTCTCTGGGCTGCCCATTCAGAGCGCCCTTTTTCGAAGTCTTTGAAGAGGATGTGCAAGATCTGGGGGAGGAGGCAGACGACGAGTGCAATGAACAAAAACAATGAATTCTGGCCTAACTGTTGTCGCACTGGTGTGTATTCGCTTGTGGCTGAACAGAAGCTTACTGCGGAAGAAGCGACGCAGCTTGAAAAAGGTCGTAAACGGGCCTCCTTCAGAAGCGACCGCGCGCCCCGTTTAAACAAACTCACGCACGGCTCTGCTCGTCCATTGGTCTGCGGAACACCAGGATCTCCTGTAGTCCTGATCAGACGAGCTTCACAGAGAGCCCTAAACCGTGCGTTGACGAACACTCCAGCTCTATCCGAATGTGTTCGCAGTGCCGCTCTGGATCGCTGCAAGCACTGTGGTTTGTTGCTTATCCGCTATAGTCACTATAGGCTCCACAGTTTGTATGAACAGTCAATGTATGACTTTGTGGATTGTGAGAAGTTGCTGGAAGGGATTGTTTACCCCAAGCGGGTGAATCGCCGAGGAGCCATAAATAACTTGTACTCTAGTTCGCGAGCCTTGGCGCTGGGACATTACACTCATGGTGGAGTGTGTGGAATTACCGCTGAGATCAGAAGGAGGCCTTGGCCTTGCAAGCGCCTGGCGAACTTCGCGGTGAAGCACAAGCCTGAAGCGAAATTCTCTGTGCTGCAGATTTCCTGCAATGCTCCGGTGTCTTGGCATAGAGACAGTCATAATGACAGAAATCACTTGAATTATGTGTGTGGTTTTGGGGATTATAAGAATGGACAGCTTTGGATAGAGGATGAAGCTGCGATCGAAGAAGGTTCTGAGGTGGTGGAGCAACCGTTGGAGTTTTCAGAATTTTTTTAACCACGAACGTGGCAAGGTGATCGGGTGTCACTTACTGGTTACACACCGGTCTTGCTTGGGAGACTGGGCTGCCGGGAATGTTTTTTGCATCAATTTCACTTTCCACTTCCGGAGCACAAGTCTGAAGATCGTGGGAGCGTGAAAAACTTGAACGTGACGTTAAAGGAGGCTTCGTTGGAAGACATGGTTTTTGGAGAAGACCTCACTGTTTTGGAGGCGCAGCGGTGGGCTCTAGAGGAGCAGTGTGCTGAGCAATAAGATTGCCTGCTGGATGAGCTTCATGGGAAGGACAGTATACTGCGCGAGGACAAGGACCTAGAAACTTCGGACTGGTTGCTCAGGGCGAGGGAGCTTGAGGGGCGGCTGGTGGAGTGTCTGGGGAAAGCAGCAAAATGATCCAAGAAGAAAGAGCAGCGGAGGTGACTGAAGAGACTGAGTTTTTTGCAGACAAAAACAATTCCTACGCAGGAGGTGATGCAGGAGCTTGAAAAGTGGAGAGCGGAGGATCCCCCGAGTCCAGGTTCAAAGCAGGACGTTTGCCCCTTGCGCGATGACCCGGCGGGCGAGGCTCTTGCTCCTCGACCACACCATCCAGCTCCAGAAATGGCGGCCTCTTGATGTTGGAAAAAGTTGTAGTGCATGGACAAAACATCAACTCATCAGGGTTCTGAGCTGTGCCCTGTGCCTCATCGCAGGGACCCAGTAACAAGGCAGGTTGCGTGCGATCGACCCATTGTCGTCCTTCTTTGGTGCCATCTGGACCCACCAGTGCCCATAGTCACGATTCACGTGAACTTGAGCACCAAACGGAAGCAGCGCCTTTGGCGACAATCCCAGCTCCCTGTCAGCTTTACGCCGACACAACATCGCCCAATAACCATCCTCACCGGCTGAGTCAAATGATCCACCAGTTCCTTCCAGGACTTCTCAGACGCCAACACCTTTGACATCTCTGCCTCCAGCACTGGCAAAGGCTCCACGGGCCACGTGTTTGTCGGGCTCCACTTCGTCAAAGTTTGCGACGGCGTCGCCCAACCACTCACCAACACCCACGCTTTGATCCTCTGCTGGGCCTCCAGCAGCATCCGCGACTTCAGCTTGAGGTTCATGTGACACTTGCTCCTCTTCCACAGGAGGACGACCCACATTGGGATCTAACATTGGAAACTGACAAACACCAATAACAGCATGTCTAGGCAAAATTGGTAAGGACCAGCCAAATCCAAAGACAAGGTGTGCCCATCACCGTGCTTCCTTCGTAAACGACGGCGCTCTTTCCAGCAGCTGACGCACAGATCTGACAATCACGGCGAAAAGGAATGTGCCCTGCAGGCAATGATCACGGAACGCTCGCTCTTCGGCGGTAAATTTTGTCAACGTGATCTTCTTTCAGGCCAGTGTGGCAGTCATTCGCTCGGCAGCGCTGTGATTTAACCACTTCATCAACCTGTTGCGTGTACATCTCACCAGTCCTGCGGGCCACCTGTGACTGACTAATACGCTCCTCTAGAGTTGACGCGAACGTCGCTGAGCAAGGAACAACCACACGTACTTGTTCTAAGGTTTCCAATAAACCACCATCAGACACTAATAAAGTTGTCGGTTTGACCAGCGTGTGTCCCAACGCCCTCCAGGACTCGAACCTTCAGGAGCATCCGCGCTAAACCCGGCACTGTCCTTATATGGACACTGAGGTTGAACATGGCCAACTGCACCACACTCAAAGCATCTGCCACGCTCCAGAGAATCTCGATCTTGGCGAAATTTGCAGCGAGAGCCAAATCTGCACCAATTTTCAGTTTTTCCATATACTCAACATGTAGGTTTCTCGCCATCTGCTCGCTCCCTATACTTCTTCCCCTTTCCTTCTCCTGTATCTCCTTGGCTTCAGAGTCCTGCTTCACCTCCTGGTCGCCAGATCTGTGCAAAAGCAACTCAAACTCAGCTTGTAGCATCTCAGCCAGCTGCGTCGCAGTCTCAGAGGTCGGAGAATAATCTACCGCCAGTTTCTCCCGGAAAGTAGCCGCCCGGAGAAGGACCGTTGGGTGTTTTGCCAGCAGGGTCGCAGAGAACGAATCCAAACCCTTAATCAGAAGAGTTGCGTCTGGCTCTGCAGCATTGACTCCTTCAGTCCATTGCGCCCATTGGCGAACCCCCTTAATTGCTTCAGAGAGTTGCGCGAGGAAAGTTAACATCCTCCCTCGTTCATTCGCTCCACCAGGTTGATACACAGTGAATAACTTGTAAAATATCATCGTTGAACTCAACGTCCTCGTCAACGCAATCTCAGTTTTCAACCTGTCAGGAATCGCCTGAAGCAAAAGCCTGACTGACCTCTGCTCCAGTAAAACGTGTGCAGGACGCACAATGCCAGGCGTCTCCAGCTCAGACTGAATGTTCAACCTCATTAGTGGAGATACGCTTTGCCATTGAGAAAACGCCTCATATGCCCTGTCATACACGCGCTGCCGCCACATTCCTCCAGAATCCGTCAAACTCGAAAGCATTGGCTGAATCATCACGATCCAATCTCCCAGCGCTGTCGGATTACTTGGAGTGTACAGAACATTGCAGAACGTGCTTTCCCAGAGCTTCTGGACGATCTGATGCTGAATATCCACCAGTAGGAGCTGTCACCCTTGTACCCTTAGGAAGAACCACCTCCTGCAGCATTCGGCACAGTTCCATAACCCGCTCCAGAAGCCTGCTCAAAGGGACCCCTTCCAACTCCAATCGCCCGCCCAAGAACTTCCTCCGAAACGGAACACCACGACGACGTTTCCCTGCAGACACACGGTGGGTGTGTTGGTGCCATTATATTTGCAGGAGCCGACGCCGCCGACGGTAACGAAAGATTTGGACCAGGTGGCGGCAAAGGCGCCGCGCTCGGAGGCGGTACCGTTCCAGAACCTGGAAGAGGACGAGGTAACGGAGGCAACTTCGGAGGTCTTCTCTCCTCCTGTGTCTTAGCTGCGCTGTGGCAGCGGCCTTGCTTTGCTGGCTACTTTTTCCTGGGTTTCCATGGGGTGCTGCAGCCAAGCGAAACTCCTCTGCTCCGCCGGCGGGACTTGATCCTCCCGATGGATCTTTTGAGTACCCTGCCCCTGGCTTTTGTACACATCCTGGGGTCCAAAACAAAGCGCAAAAAGGCAGCATGCTCGCTTCTCTGATCCGGTGACAGTTCGTTTCCTTGAAGCTCTCTTCGGCGAGCGCAGCCCTGAAGAACCTCTTTTTGGCTGTAGGCCTGATGTTCTGCGAAGTTTGAACAATTTTCAGCTTTTTGGGGGTCCCTGTGACTGAGGACAGCCGGGGCATCACGCCTAAGGCCCTCCGGGGCAGTGGTGCATCCAATGGCGTGGCCGTTGGAAGCAGAGGCGCATACTAGAACACCGCTTGCAGGACGTGGCTGGACAACTGCTTCTTGCGGATTTGGCAAAGAGCCAAACAAACTCTCAACAACCCTCTACGGCTACAGGGGGCGCTAAAGAACGAACGAAAGAAAGTAGGAAAGACAAAGGTCAACACACTGAACGACATAGAGAAGATGTACAGAAAGCATGACACCAAACATGATTTTTTGCAGAATACAGACAAATAGATCGGCAAACGAAGAACGAAGTGGGTAACAAACAAGAAGAACAAAAGAAGCAACGACAGTAACATTGATATTATTAAACTACGAAGCAGAACACTGGTCATGTACAGTGTTTTGCCTCTTTGTACAGGATATTGTAGAATCAACAAGGCACCCCAAACACTAACTTACACCGTGCACTGCGACGCCAAACATTCACATTCAAACAAGGAACACCTGGACGAAACGCGCGTTTCCATCAAAAATCATGTACGGTTTCAAGGGGGGTTGTATATGTATATGACCATGTTTATGTATATGTATGCAAGCCATGCTGATGCACAACCTTCATGATCTCTGTGCAAGCTGGAGGGAACCTCCAGAGGTTTCAACTTCAATGGAGAGACCGGACCTCCATAAGAGGAGGTTCCGCTGCAGATCTACTAAGCACTATACATAGAGTGTCGCACAAGTTCACTCGTCTTCAACTCGGAAGTGCCCTCTTTGCAATGGAGACAGCCCCTAAGAGTGCTAAGAGTGCCAAAAGAGCATCGCCATGGCCGGCTCGGGCCAACTTCAGAACTCGCGAGGCCAACAAGGTCGGGAATGCGTCAAGCGATTTCTCGACGCACCTGAAGCTCTTCGCTTCGCTGTCTCTTTGCTATCTCTTGCTTGTGCTTTTCTTGCTCATCGGCTCTGTCTTATGAGGCCAGCAAATGAGCAAGGATCGGCCCCGTCCCGATCGAGAGAAGTATCGATTAGCTTTGGCCCAGAGGTATCTGGCCTGCATTGGTCTGCATTGGACTGGCCTTCACGAGATGTCTGGAGTCTGGAGAACGGACTCGTTTTCGCGCTGCTGTCTTGATCCAAACCGAACTTACCTGACAGTGCCAGTTCTCAATCCAATCAAGAGTCAGACACAACTTGTGATCAGTTGTCAGGCAAGTGCGAATGCATGCTCCTTGCCTTCTCTTTATGGTGTTGCATCCCAAAAGCAACTGCAAAAAAGGTCCTTTAAAGGGGGAGCAGGATTAAGTGGCCGGAGGAATTTGGAGATTTTGAGTTGTGCTCTCCAAGGAAGCAGCCTGGGACGAGTGTATACGCCGCGAACTAGCAGCTGCTGAAGCTGCCCGAGCCCAAAAGGCCAGCGGCCAGCAAGGCAGGAGACGTGGGACACGATGGAAGACACGATGGGACACGGGTCACAGTTCGTAAAGTCCGGAAAGCATGGCTTGCAGGGGAGTTCTATGAGTTCAGTGTTCAGTACGCCACCTCCTTCGGCAACAACCTCAGCAAGGATGTGAACATGTGAGAACTTGTAGGTGAGGGTCAAAGATTGGTAAAGTTTGGTAAAGGTCAGGAACTCTACATGGTTGGCTCCTGCGAAGAGTTGGGCAGCTGGACTTTGTCCCACAAGGCTTGTCTCGGTGTGATATCTGCACACTTCAAGTGCTGTGGGTCACTTGATGTTGACCAGGTCCATATGGGGTGGAGCGAGGGCAACATCTGGCGAGCGAAGGTCATTGGGATATTGGGATTGGGATTAAGGAGGCTGCAGTGCTTGGATAAGCAAAGGGTTTTCAAAGGGTAAGGGTTTCCAAAGGGTTCGAGACTCAAAACTCTCGGGTCGCTCAGGTCGCTAGCCAAAGGCAGGAGTCGTTAATTCAGTGAGCACAAAGCTCTGCTGTCAGGCTTGTGCTTTTTAGCGGAGGTACCGCCGACCTTTCAAAGCAAAGTAAGGCGTTGCTCATACGTTCACTTGTGTATCCTGATCCCAAGTCCTATGCTTCCTATCTTTAGTGGTTTCCTTTGCCTTTGCGCAAGCACGAATCTTGTGTCTTGTGCACGCATGCAGCAGCCTGCTGAGGTGGAGATTCCCTTGGAGCGTGGTGTGCCTTCGCTGCAAGAATGTCTTGCTGTGGATATGTTGTTTTGCAGCATCGACTCGTCCAGGTCGTTGAGTACAAGTACATTGTTGCAAAGGAGGACTCTTGGACGACAAAAAGTCCATGTCCAGTCTTTCACGGAGTCAGGTTCATCATGACCGTTCAAAATGCTAAGGATCAGTGTGAGAGACTTGATGGCATTGGAGGAATCGCTGTTGGTTGAACAGCTTACGGGGAACAGTTAGGCGTGCAGTGACCGGAGCTTGCATTTCCAAAACTTCTATCTTCACTGGGCCTTCATGCCTGTAGGGCGTAGGGCGCAGCAACGACGCAGTGCATAGTCCCATCGTTTCCACGAAGGACTCCCTTCCATAGAACAGTGTTTGCTCACAAGTCATGTATGGTTCCAACAATATTTTCAGACTGGTGCAGCAGAATGGAAGCATTCCTACATGGCACAGTCGTGCCGCAAGTCCGAGAACACAAACCCAATGCCATAGCATATTGAGACAGCACCCCATTCATTTTCTTCCACTTCCGCCTCTACATCTTCGCCTCACCCTCCTCTACAAGATTCTCCAAGCGTGTTGTGCGCATACTTGTGGTCATACTTTCGCATCTTGGTGAAGATGCAAAGGTGTGAGGGATTCAAAAATGCATGCAGTCCGACATTGTGCCTGTGTTACCAAGTACCGGAGCATGCTGCCTTTTGCGAGTCCCTAGCAGCACCCGAGGTGGGAGTGCGGACATAATCATCGCGTCGAGGCTCTGACAGAATGCCTGCAGAGCTCATCTTTGGAAAGGGATGTGGTAAGCTCTGGGGTAGGCTCTGTGGTAAGCCCTGTGGTAAGCTTTGGTAGCTATCGTCAGATTCTCAGCACGCGACATGTGACCGAACCCCGCAGTGCCGAGCTGGCGGCGCCACGCTGGCAGATTCTTGGGGCCAAGGCTGAGTGCCAAGCTTAGCGCGGCGCAGGCTCGTAGACTCAGGGAATATGGAAGCTTTCACCGATCGGGAGGCTTACAGCACGCTGGGACTGCGACTGGTGCACTGCCCTAAAACTGGACACCCAGTGTTGGATGAGCCTTTTTGAACCAACGGCTGGAGGGTTGTGCGCGATGGCAAATTCAAAGCTGAACTGCCCACCCACAGTGGCCATGGCTGGCTCGGGTAGGATGAGCCGAGCTCTGGTGCCTCTGACATGATTTATTACCGAACGGAGCAGCACGCTGAGCATTTGCGAGGTCTGCACACAAGCAAACTTGTACGCATCGATTTATGCTCATGCTATCTTATGCTGCATGCTTATGCTACCTGGTCATTGAGGTCGTGGTACACGCAGATTGCTCGATGGCATGGAACTGTTTGGGGGGAGGCCAGGCGGTGTCTTCTTTCACTGTTGCAGCCGGCTTGCACGTGTCTCTGTGTGTGTGTGTGCGTGCATGGCAGGTGAAGGTGAAAGCAATTCTCGTGCTGATTTACACCTCCTCCGCATACTGGCTGTCTGGAGTCCAGCTTGCCTCGTGCATCCTGATGCTAGCTGAGATGCAGATAGCATCTGAGTGTCAAGGTGTGTAAAAGAAGGACACAACCTCGGCAGGTCGAGGCAAGACTGCTACACATTACCGCAGCTGTCTGTGACCCTGCGCATGGAGAAGGAAGAACATTCTGGGCTCCACCATCTCATTCTTGCTGATCTTCCGAGCCAACAACGGCTACAAACGCTACATGAAGGCTCCTGCTTGAGAGATCTGGTTTTTCCCACAAGAACCCGAGCGGCCAAAAACGGAACAACCCTGTGAGTACCAGCGAATCGAAGGGGCGTGCAGCTTGCATTCGCTTCTTCACAGTGCTGCGGGAGATCATCTGCACATGTGCGCTTCCCAGCTCGAAGTCCATGTCAAGGTCGGCACAAGTTCCTGACATGTTGCGTTATGTCCAATCAAGAACGACACCGAAATAGGCGAAAGCAAACCCACCGCCGAAAGACCCCCACAGCAACTCCCCGGAAAGAAGCCCAGCAGCCGAAACAACTGTGCAAAGGTCTCGAAATTTTGCGCAACGGCAAACCGAAGATGGCAGAACAGTCAGGGATCATTGCTTTTTGTTTTGTTCATTCAGTCTAGTCGTTCGTGCAGCAACGGATGTGCTTACTGTCAGGCCTTTCCACTCAAGCATACGTTTACTAGGGCAAAGCATGGGCAATGACGTTTGCGGAGCCCGGGGCGCTCCGCCCGTCTGAACTCCAAGTGAAAAGGGCGATGACGTTTTTCGGAGGCCCCTGCGAAGCCGCTCCCGCGGCAGTCGCTTCTCTCCCTCTCTCTCTCTCACGCTAAATGGTTAACAAATCATGCCTCGACGCTCCAATACATTATCCAGGGAAAAGCATGCTAGAACACGAGCATGTGAACAAGTCACGCTTCTAAATGCGACAGCGAGGAGCAGCTGAGGCCCAGGACGATGTCTTAACTCAGCAACAGTAGCAGGCGGAAGCTGAGGACAAACAGAAGAACGTGACATATTGAGACGAGTCGCGACAGCTTCAGTGGTGCCAAGAAGGAAGCGCCCTCATGCGTGCACTGATGGGCCAGACTGACTTTCATAATCGTACCTCATCTGCTGTTGTCTGTGAGTGCTACAGATGCAGCCGAAGCAACTCCCTACACAAGATATGGAACGGCGCGAGGATCGTTTGGATGTGGACAAAGGCCAACACGAAGCTGCTCCAGATCGTTTCTGAGGTCTCCATTTTTCAACATTCTCTGCAAAAGCGACGACAGTTTCGCGTTCGAAAACAGACGTTCCGAAGCCACGACTGCTGCGCATCTCCGGGCACGCAAGAGCGCATGGTCCGGGTCGTATGCCTCGGCAACGTGCCGACCAAACGTGCCGCGGGGCAACATCTGCCTACCTAGCCCTCTTACTTTTAACGTAGGCATAGGAGCCCCTTAATGTTGACACACTGTTCGGTGCATTTGGTGATTTCTTTGCAATTGCTGCTACGTTCACTGTTGCTATTACTCTTCCTGTTCCCGTTGCTCTTGAATCATTGAGCAGCAAACAGCATGTGTGATGCTGAGATCTCGTGTTCCTGGCTGGCGGCACACGCAACAGAAGCTGGGAGCCTGTCCAATCCACACTACAAAGAATTTCATTTCGGACTGGGTTCAAGACCCGCGCGGCATGTTGTGGGGCTCCTGTTTGTGCCAAGGGCTCCGTTGGCGCCGAGTTGGCCCCAGCGCCCACCCGGTCACACAGGCGGAGCCTTTCTGGCTCTCTGACCGCAGAGTCTAGCAGCGCAGCAACCTTGAAGGGGGACGTCGAGATGGACATCGACGACAGGATTGCAAGCGAGGACTGGAAGCAGTGCATGTCGTTTTTGATGTTCCAGCATGTCGCTCCAAATCCCCTGCTTTTGAAACCTTACAAGGGCCTCTATGCTCGATCACATATGTATTCGAGCAAAACATAGAAATCCGCAGAGATGTGAATGAGTCACGCCTCAATGCCCAAGCGCATTGGTATTTGGGACCATGCATGCAAAATCTACGAATTGTGTGAACAGGTCCCGACGATCAAGCACAGTTTTACACTGGGTAAGAAAGCAGGCAAATCCACGAACATGTGACCAACTAATGCCTCAACGCTCGAGCACATTTTTGCTCAGGAGACCACGAAAATGCGAACAGGTCATGCCTCAACGCTCGAGCACATGTTTGCCAGGGAAAAGCATGCAAATCCGCGAACATGGGAACAGGTCATGTGGACCGCAATGTCCGATGAACCGTTGCGATTGCCCATGTGGTGGTTTCTGCCGAAACATGAAGTATAACATTGCGAGGTCGTGCGGAGGCTTCGCCACACAACAGTTCGGTTAGCCGCCCGAGCTTTAGAAGCGCGAGCTGAACATGAAAGATCACGCCTGATGAAGCTCCACGTCCGCTGCACGCTTGGCTCCTGCAGGAGAGAATGGAGGCTGTTCGCTGGTGCCTTGTTATGGCCATCGCTTTCCAGATGCAGCTCGTCAACAGCATTAAGAATCCGAATGGACATCCAAGCTGACGGAAAGTCGTGTTCTGTCGATTGACCAAGTGGAGGCACACACGCCTTCTTGACCAAGGCAGGAACTGGGAACTGTCCCACGGGTGCGTTTTGGTGCTTGGCGCTTTTCCTTTGCATGCTCTTCCCGAGGCCTCAACAAAGGAGGACTGACAGAGGAAACCAAGTGCAGAGTGGACTGGGACAGGTACCGGATAAGGCTCCGGCCTGCAGCTGCCACACGTCTCACGGGCACCATGATGCTGCCTTGCTATGCCTCGCTGTGCCTTGCTAGGGGTCTGACGAATGAGAGCGAGTTCCGCAGCTTGGATAGGATTGCCGCTTGGCTTCTCATCACATCTTATCACATCTTATGTTAAGAGCAGTCGAGCATTGATATCTCTGTTCTGTGAAGCTACGTGAAGCATTGGCCATGTCTCGATGAGGTACGGGCTGTCGCCGATCCGCAGACCAGTTGGGCATCACCGCAGTATCCCGACCTTCCAGAGGTGGAGGAGTGGGCCAGAATGGGTGATGGGGCACTTTCGTTTGAGTCAGGAGTCTTAAAGATGCATGTTGCCCGCATGGCGCATTAAGCCATCTGAGCTCACGCAAGTCCAAGCAAAGTCGCATAGAGACTCTGGTCAGCTGAGGGTGCGAGAGGGCTGCTCACAAAAGAGGGCTCAGCACAAAAGGGCTCCAGCATGACCAAGTCAAGAGCCCTCTCAATGCAGACCTCTCCGTCGGTTTTTTCCGGAGAAATTCGATTTTATTCGACCTACGCGCGACCCATCTCCGCTGCCTGGCCCCGGCTGTCCCGATGTCTCACTGACTGAAGAGTAGCAGGAAACAAGTCGAAGCGTCGCATGCAGAACTGTTAGAGATTGTTTGCGTCCGCTTTCTTCCTTTTCCTTGGAAGAATGAATCTTGAATCCGGGCTTGTCTTTATTTAAGAAATGCAAACAACTGAATAAGGTGAACAAGGGGGTTAAAGATTCACGACTCAAGATGCTCAGGAAACTCTCCTTGAGCCTTGGAACCGGGCCAGAACACTTTTCACCCATTCAATTTTAGTATAAGGCTGGTTGGCCTGGCTTCAAGATTCAAGACAATTTTCCCTGAGCATCTGGAATCTTGATCCGGGCCTGTCTTTATTGAATCTTTTAAGGGGCTGCGCCCATGGGCGGGCAGCGCAGGCAGAAGCGCGGGGCGAGCAGATCCGTCACAGGGTTGGGGTTTCTCTAAGCGTTGGAGGCTCCTAAACTCCCTTGAAGTTTCTATTCTAAGCATTTTGAGGCCCCTAAACTCCCTTAAAATCTCTAAGCGTTTGAGGCTCCTGAACTCCCTTAATGTTTCTAAGCATTTTCAGGCCCCTAAACTCCCTTCAAATCTCTAAGCGTTTGAGGCTCCTAGACTCCCTTAACGTTTCTAAGCACTTTATAAGGCCCCTAAACTCCCTTTTTCCTAGCCCGTTTTTTGGGGGGCATCATGCTCCTGATGCGCCCCCGGGGTCCCGCCCCGGGAGCCGCTGATGCTCCTGATGCGCGCCTGGGGGTCCCGGGCTGGACCCGCTGATGCTCATGATGCGCGCCCTCTGGGGGCCTCCGTGGCGACGCAAAAAACCACGAAAAAAAAACCGTTCACCGGCGGCACGCGGGGGTCGGCGGCACTGGCGTCCGGCCCAATTCTGCTTCGCAGAAGGCCGCAGGCTAGCAAGGCTATTCTTTTAAGGGGCTGCGCCCATGGGCGGGCAGCGCAGGCAGAAGCGCGGGGCGAGCAGTTTCTAAGCATTTTGAGGCCCCTAAACTCCCTTAAAATCTCTAAGCGTTTGAGGCTCCTGAACTCCCTTAATGTTTCTAAGCATTTTCAGGCCCCTAAACTCCCTTCAAATCTCTAAGCGTTTGAGGCTCCTAGACTCCCTTAAAGTTTGAAAGCACTTTACAAGGCCCCTAAGCTCCCTTTTTCCTAGCCCCGGGCTGAGACACGTCGCTTATGCCCGCCCTTTGGGGGGCATCATGCTCCTGATGCGCCCCCGAGGTCCCGCCCCGGGAGCCGCCTGATGCTCCTGATGCGCGCCTGGGGGTCCCGGGCTGGACCCGCTGATGCTCATGATGCGCGCCCTCTGGGGGCCTCCGTGGCGACGCAAAAAACCACGAACAAAAACCGTTCACCGGCGGCACGCGGGGGTCGGCGGCACTGGCGTCCGGCCCAATTCTGCTTCGCAGAAGGCCGCAGGCTAGCAAGGCTATTCTTTTAAGGGGCTGCGCCCATGGGCGGGCAGCGCAGGCAGAAGCGCGGGGCGAGCAGTTTCTAAGCATTTTGAGGCCCCTAAACTCCCTTAAAATGTCTAAGCGTTTGAGGCTCCTGAACTCCCTTAATGTTTCTAAGCATTTTCAGGCCCCTAAACTCCCTTCAAATCTCTAAGCGTTTGAGGCTCCTAGACTCCCTTAAAGTTTCTAAGCACTTTATAAGGCCCCTAAGCTCCCTTTTTCCTAGCCCCGGGCTTAGACACGTCGCTTATGCCCGCCCTTTGGGGGGCGTCATGCTCCTGATGCGCCCCCGGGGTCCCGCCCCGGGATGCGCGCCTGGGGGTCCCGGGCTGGACCCGCTGATGCTCATGATGCGCGCCCTCTGGGGGCCTCCGTGGCGACGCAAAAAACCACGGAAAAAAAACCGTTCACCGGCGGCACGCGGGGGTCGGCGGCACTGGCGTCCGGCCCAATTCTGCTTCGCAGAGGCCGCAGGTCGCCAATGCTCGGTCCTTGGGGACCTCGCGCTGCCCGATTTAACGGCTACCGCCAGTGCTGCCGACCCCAGACAGGAGGGCGGGCGGCAGGCCGGCAAACCGCAGAGCCAGTACAGGCTCCGAGATTTAGGGTTTAGGGTTAAGGGCTGTAGCAAAAACTATTTAAAAAAGAATGAGTTCTATGTATAACTAATATCTACACACATAGTATTTTAAAGTATATAATGAGTTTTTGGCATGAAGACCAAAAGATAAAGGAGATATCTTTTAGTTATCTTTTATCTTTTTATATCTGTATAAAACCGAAATTCATATCTTTGGGGGGGGGGTGGGCTGGGAGGGGGGGGGGTGGGGAGGGGGGGGGGCGGGGTGGGGGGGTGGGGGGGGGGTGGGGTCTTCCAGGAGGGGGGGGTGGGTGGGGTGGGGGTGGTGAGGGCAGCTTAGGGCCCATGGTGAAGGCTGGAGCCCTTAAAACTCAGCTTAGGGGCCCTGAAACCACGGAGGTGGGCGCTGGGCCATGAAGCCAGCATCAGGCCGTGGGAAGCGTTGGAGTGGGCGGAGAGGGTGGGTATGGGCGAGAGGGGGAAAAGGGGGGTTGAGGAGGGTGTGATGGGGGGTGGGTGGCGGGGGGGGGTGGCGGGGGCGGGGTGAGGGGGTCGAAAGGGGGGGTGTGTGCTGGAAGCTGGGAGTTGGGGTGGGGTGGGGGTGGGAGCGGCAAGCGCCTTGGGGGACGTGGATGAGGTGGGGGAGGGGGGGTTCAGGGGTTTGGGGGGTGGGGGCGGGTGGGAGTTGGGGTGGGTGGGGTGGGGGTGGGAGCTTCACTGACGCCGCCCCCGGCTGGGGTCGGCGGAAAAGTGGATCTAGGTGAGTAAGTGTAATGATCCCCTCGTCCCTCCTCAAAGCCCACCACCCTGAAATCATTGTCAGTTTGTTTTTGGTGGGGGGAGGGGGTTGGGACCATATATATATATATATATATGGAAATCTTCGATTAGGTAGCATCGATACGAGTTGAACCACAAAAGCCTGACTTTCCGGCTTGTTCTGTTTCCCGGCGGTTAAAGCAATGGAGTTGTACACCCGGTACACTGCAACCAAATTCATGACAAGCAAAGGGTCCGTGCTAAAGCGACGCCCTGAGCTTTTCAGTCAGACTAAAAGACAGGTTTTCTCGTGTGCTCAGATTTGCTTTGGCAGCAGGAGCTCTTCGGACCAAATGGAAGCCAGTTCGAGGACGCCTCGGATTTGCGGTCTTGTTGCAGGCAACTTTCAGAAATTGTTCTCGTGATGTTTGCGCAATCCCTAAACCCCAAAACCTAAACCCTTTAGGGTTTGGGTTTAGGGTGTAGGGTTTAGGGTTTCGGGTTTAGGGATTAGGGATTCGGGTTTAAGGTTTACGGTTTAGGGTCTGCTTTCGCCGAAGCGACCAATACGATGTTTAGGCTCAGTTCAAAGAGGCTCATATAACCATGCTTATCCCTGGAGTCTGCGCAAATGTGTCTTTATGTGTCTTTGGCTGTGGACTTGCTGCCGGAGGAGTCGGCTGGCGACATTACGATCAACCGTGCCCGCGCCTTAAATCTGCGATGGCCCCTCGTTGATCTCGCTCTCAGTGGCATCTCGGAGAAGTCCCGGAAGTCCCGGAAGTCCAAGGTTCCGTATGTTCGCTTATGCACGTACCTCGTGTACAAGCTGAACGAGGTGCAAGAGATGTCCCTTGTGATTTTAACTTGTTATGTTCCTGTTGTGACTCTCAGCCTCTCAGAAGCATATCTTTCCAGGTCGGCTACAGAAACATGAACGATCCACGTATGCAGGACAAAAGGCACGGAAATGTGGAACAGTGCAATGCAGGAGTCGGTGTCATTCCCCGTAGGGCCTGCTGCACCCTGTCAGGTGGGGAATGGGCGAGCGCTTTGTGCCGCTGTTGACCGCCCAGACGATGTCGCTCTCTTACTCGTGCCCCTAATTATCTTAATATCTGGAAGTGCCGATGCGCATTCCTGTGCCCACCTTGCAGTGAGCAGCCAGTAGCACCAGGGAGGGCCAAGCGCGGCACTGATGGCGAGTAAGGACCTTGCCAGCAAAACCTGCAAAATCTTGGAGCTGCCCACCTTGTGCAGGTATTCCGAGGTCAACCAGATCATCTGTACTCCTCTTCCTTTCCCCTACAATCATCTTTGTCCGAGCCTTGTCGCTGGTTAATGTTACTTCTGAGATTGACTCCTCGAGCCCTTGTGACCAAGGCAAGTTACTCCTGTTTTTGCAGGGAGCTTAATTGTCCAACCTTTCAAATGACTCTTCGTCCTCATGTTCGAGTTGTAGGATGCTTTTCCGGCCCTGCGCATCAATTGACTACGCCTCAGGTTTTTCCTTTCATTTCCCTTCTACATCGACAAGGACCAACCCAAACCTGACGAACTAAGGGTGCCTTTCCGACGCCCTTCTCTGCTTTAACCAAATCAGGAGCTCGGCCTGTGGATCAACGTGGTGGAAAACACCTTTCTTGCCATAGCTCTGCTGGGCCGGAAGCTTTGTGCAGAAGTGGCGTCACCCCTTCTGCGCTTCTGCGCTGTTCTAGAACACAAGGCTTGGACTGCATCGCAACTGAGCTGGCCGATGGCTTACAAAGGCTTGAATTTCGTCAGATTTTTTTGCCACACATGGCAACATCCGCGACTGCAGTGGGCTCTTGCACTTAGGAAAATCCTTTTGGTGAAGATGCAAACGAAACGACCTTAGCCTCAGCGGAAGCCAACATGCTGGCCCTAATGAGGGCCTTCATGCCCGTGCGGTTGCGAAGTTTGTCCCGAGGATCTGAACATGTATGACCGAATTGCCACGCTGGAGCAGGAGGTGCGGGAAGGGGGGTCCTAAGTATCCTATATTCAGTCATTTTTTATTAGCACTATTATTTTTTTTTGGGAGTGGGGCTTGTGATTTTGCTTTTGGTTCCTTGCGCCTATTGCCACACTGTTCTGATTTCGCCCTGTCTGCTTTTTTGATCATTGTGTTCTCTGCTTGTTGTGTTTTGCTTTTATGCCTTTTGATGTTCCTTTTTTTGTGGCCTTGCTTTTGTTTTGTTGTTTGCTTCGCTTGGTTTATTGCTTTTTGCCTTCGCTCTATGCCTTTTGTCGTCTGCTTTTATTCGGATATGGAATAAATTAAGGGTTTTCTTAACAAAGCAAAGAGGAAATAGTGAGAAAGTATCGAGGAAATACAGAATCTTTCCCACTACATGTAGTTGGAATGCGGCGTGTTTGGCCGCTGTAAATCTTCGTTTTTTTGGTGCTTTCGCTCGCTCGGTATTTGCGACACTTCCTTCACTTTTCCTGGCACGTGATTTTGACCTTCATTTTACACTTCTGTCTTTTTTCCCCCCCCCCCCTGATTTCTTGACTCCATGAGTCCGTTTCCCTGGGTTTTTGCACGTTTCGCACTTTAATTGTCGCTTCTGGGTGTGTGTGTGTGTGTGTGTGTGTTTTTTTTTTTTTTTTTTTTTGCATTTTATGGTTTTGGTCATTTTTCGTGTTTTGCCGTTTTGACTTTGTGTTTTCCTGGCCGCTGCTACTTCGGTTTGTGCTTTTTTGCAGTTTTTTTTGCTCGTTTCGTGTCTCAGGTTGCTTGGCTTGTGCTTTGTGGATCGGATTTTTTTTCGAGGGTTTAGGTGGGGGGGAGGGGGGGGGAGGGGGGGGGGACAATGACGTTCATGTGATTAATCTCCAGCAGCACAAAACCCGAAACCCAGACAGTGCAAGCCCAAAACCTCAAAACATCTTCCCCAAGATCCTACAGCTGTGCAAGCCCAAAACCCTGCACCCCCTTAAGCCCAACTCTCCCAAACTCCAGGCCCAGACATCCCACTGCAAGCCCAAAGCCCTGTTCCCCCAACTCTCCCAAACCCCAAACCCAGATAGTGCAAGCCCAAGACCTGAACATGTCTTCTCCAAAATCCTACAGCAGTGCAAGGCTAAAGCCCTGTTCCCTTTGAAGCCGAAGTCTCCCAAACTGCCTGTAAGCCGTGAGGCCTATTGACCATTTGAGAGTTGAGGGTGTTCGGGACTTAGGGTCGGGTCTTTCCGGTTTCGACTGTAGGGTCTTGAGAGCAAACCCCCGCAAAACAATACAGTGCAAGCCCAAAACCTGGACATGTCTTCTCCAACAAAACCCAGCACTCCATAGCTCCTGAGAAACTACTCTTCAGACAAGTAGTTTCCGCAAGCCTCAAAAACGTAAATGTGCTTTAATCTCGAGTTTTGGACCACAAACATGCCCCGTAATCCGCGGCCGTATACACGCCGCAAACCATGCAGTTAGGGTTTAGGGTTTAGGTGCCAGTCTGATTTCGATTGCCCTTGCAAAAACGAAACACGCTGGCAACGTCTGCTTCGGAGTGCTCTAGAACGAGAGGTCATGCTCTTCGTGGAACTCTGCGGCGATGATGCCTGCCTGCAAAACTTCATCTGGCAGGACTTGCTGAACGTGAGACGAGCGGTGATTGTTGCCCCCGGCTTCTACTCAGCTAGATGTACTGTATTCCATGTCTATTACAACGTATCTCAATCGGCAGTTGGCAGGACTTTCCTTCTGAGATTCATGACGGGATGCTGCGTGCTCGGAAGTGGCCGAAGCTGTGTTGATCGGGCACGAGCCAGGCGCAACGCATGTGAACCCTGAAGGCCGCCGGTGACACAATTTTTGGCCTTGCGTTCACAGGCGGATTGTCATCTTACAACGAGGGACCTGTCACGGACCTTGCCGCCTGAAAGGTCGAGAGCCGCGGAAAGGAGTCCGAGGTCGTTTGGGGCGGCTCCTGCTCCAGGCCTTCGCCTCCACAACCTCGCAACGTGGAATCTTCTCAGTATTCCTCAGTTGACAGGGCGCATATCTACGAGGGAATGCGTGACCTGGCCGAGGAGGATGAGGAAAAGACCGCATTTACGTGAGCTTATGTGAAATTTTGTGTGCAGATCGCTTGGCCTGTGTTGCGGGCATGTCGCCAGGAAGCTGATGCAAACTTCTCGGATGACTCCTAGTTTGCCTCTAAGCTGCTGAGCACAGTCATCATTGATGCACGTGTAGTCCGTGCAATGTCAATGTTGCCGGAAGAAGCAGCCCTGTTTGAGGCGGGCTGTCCCAACACACATGGCACAACGAAGTTCATTTCGAGCGATGCTTTGCGATGATCCGCTTCATGGACCTTGGCGCCTATCTGTTCCTGTCCACGCGCAAGTGACTGCAAGCATGCAGACTGAAACATGGAGCAGAATACGCTTGGTGACGGCCTCGGTCAACATGTTGGAGATCTTTAAACACCTTCTGTCTCCGATCACAGTGACACTACAACGGTGCAGCATGACGGCGATCACGAAAGGGATAAAGGGATGTTGCTGACCAAGTTCCTGAAGTGATAGGCGAAGGCCTCTGCCCCGTGGGCTGTCTCTGTTCCGATGCTCCCCAGCACGAGGAGAGAGCAGTCTGGCGGCAATGCGCAAGGTTGAGAAGTTTCCGGTTTGTGGTACCCCTCGTGCCTTTGCTGGGCCTTCCTTCACATAATGAGCTTCGTTGCTTCGGCCGGACTTCTGCAATTCTGGAGCTTCAAGACGAAATTGAACCTCAAGCTTGCAGAAAGCAAATGCAAGCACACGTGAGCAGACATGAGCGGTGTGTGCAGAGTCAGAGTCGGTTGTAGCAAAACAGCAGACATCCGGCGGCTGAGCGAAACAAGTCCTCTTGGCGCGCCATCGCATGCCATGCTTTGTTGACAGTGCGGCAAGTGCGGAGAAGTGCGGAGAAGTGCGGAGAAGGTACTCTCTCTGATTTCTCTGATGGCTGTTTTGCTCCGAACGGGGGAAGACATCTAGAATCTAGCGTCGTCTGCCGAACCTCGGCTTCCTTGCAGGCCATGGCCTGACAGGCTCCCCGTGCTGCCCATGCCTTGTACACTTCTACAATGCTTCAAGCGCGCATGTGCGACTGATTCCGGCAGGTTCTCCATGAAAACGGCCCGGCACGGGTCAGGAGGCCAAAAAGGGCCTCAGCAAGTTTGCGCGCTTGAAGCTTCGGTCTGGATACAGTCCATCCTCGCCTGGTAGGTGTGTTCGAGCTCCCCTGGATACTTTTCTTCTGCACGCCCGGGCCTCCTCTCGAGCACCTGCGTTCTTGAGTCGAGTCTAGATACTTTAAGTTTTGATAGTTTTGCTGTGCAGGTGCCGCTTTGCAGTTGCTGTTCGGGACGCTGGGAACACGTTGGGTGCGCGAAGGTAAGGGTGACAAGAAAGCTGGTGCGCAGGACACGCACGTCGACACTGCGATCTTGGAAGATCCCGTGGTGGATCTTCCCCAGCTAGACGACGCAGCGGTCAGCCAGACTGTGTTAGACGTTCAAAGCGCATACATGCAGTGACATGCAGCAAGTTTCCAGACATTTCCTGTGGCCGTATGCGCTGCAACGCGAAGTAGACGAAATCATGAGATCCTGGTCTCGGCTGCAGCGGTTGCGGCACGTTGTAGTCGTTGTCCGGCCTGGAAACCATGAAGCGAAGAGAGGTCGTCAAGGCCGCAACACATGCTTCAGTTATCTTGACCTGCGCATTCTGCTTCCCGGGCTAAGCTTGGGCTCTGCACTTGAGGCCCGCCATGGTGATAGCAACTTCCTGGAGAAGGAGGTGTAGGGTTGTTAAATATTCGGCTACATCAGAAAGCCCTTCGCGAACCACCTAGAGCCATCGTAAAACTCAACGGCGCGAGTGACTACACAACAGGGGTTAAGGGCTCAGTGATGGTCAGTGCTTAAGGTTTCGTTAGGAAGCTTCATGATTTTCCATCAGAGCCCCTTCAGAGCCCTCCTGCCTTTGCCGTCTCTCGTTTCTCCTCGTTTCATGTTATGCCTCAATTGTTGCACGATCACATACGGTCACGATTGTGTTTTCTGATTTCGCCCACAGGTTCTGTCTTACAAAGAGAGTGTTTGCTTTCTGAATAGGTGGTTGAAAAGACTCCCATGCTGTCAGGACAAGCAGAATGGGGAGAAGGCGCTGAAGGCCCTCCGGCCTGTTGCCGCCGAGGCCGATCCCTTCATAAGCATCCAGGCTATGGAGACAATGCTTGGCCACCAACGCATGGAGATGCACCGACTGATCCACGGCTATCATGAGACCGCCATGCGCTTCTTGATCCGGAAAGAGGAGGATTGGAGGCGATCGGAACTGGAGGTGAAGGACTTGAAGTCTCAGAACGAAGCCTACAAGAAAGTTGGTGGTGGCTGGGATTCGCCTGTCGGAAGCAAGGATATTGGTAGTGCAGACAGTAAGTCCACCTTCGTGCTGAATGTTCAGCTCGAGAAGACGCGTGAGCAGCTGCTGGAGTGCGAGAAGCAGCACCGCTTCGCTCAAGCCGAAAACTTCGAGCTCCGGGAGCAACTTGCGGCCATGCAGGCTGTTGGCGCCGGCTACGGAGGTTTGCTGGGCAGTCCAAGTGCCAGTGCTCCGATGTGGTCTGATATGACATGGTCAGTTCCCAATGCTGAGTTTTCGCCCCCGATGCATGAGACGACAGCAGATGGTCTGCCTGTCAAAGGCACGGTGACCTCTTTCTTGGAGAAGTTGAGCACGACACAGTCCAACCCACTTGATCGCTTGGAAAGAGCACAGTCGAAGCTGGACGCCTGGGCCTCGCAGCACCATCCCCGCCCGGACCCTGCACTGGCTGGCCTGGTGAATTCTGTAGACTACAGCACCATGGAACTACCGGGCATGATGGATGATCAGCCGGAGATCCAGATCGACAAGGCGCCTACCAATACCAACGATCCAGAGGACGACGATGACCTTACTGTTGGGTATATCCGTTCAGGCAAGAAAAAGAAGAAGAAAGACAACAAACGCAGAAGTCTCATGATGAAGGACAGAGTTCAGGATCTTTTCGATAAGCCCTTAAACGTCAAGGATAAGTACAAAACTTCAGGGCTCACGCAAAGAATTGTTCGCAGCCCCATGTTCGAGAACACCTGCATGGGCGTCATTTTTCTGAATGCCATCTGGATCGGCATCGAGATGAGTTTCAATCCAGCAGAAGTGCTGGCATACGCTGACCCTCCTTTCATCATCGTGGAAAACCTGTTCTGCGTCTTCTTCTTTGCCGAGATTGTTCTGCGGCTATGCGCATTTTCCAGGATGTGCAACGCCTTCAGGGACAAGTGGTTTGTGCTTTTTGGTACTGCATTACCTTCGTGTTGTAGTCTTCTCGTCGTAATTGATGTTCATCATAAACAGGGCTTTCTCATCAGCCCTGATGTCTCAGCTATTGAAGCTGTCAGCTGCTGTAGGTTTGACCTCACCCTGGTGATTCTGATGGCAAGGGCCCGAGTCTGTGCAGTCATTTGCAAAAAGAGTCTGAGAGCCGGTCTTTTGCAAGTTCCCCTGGTGCGTTGTTTGTGGTTCTGCACGGAACATGCTGAGTTTTTTAGGTGATCGAGACCTGGTTAATGTTCTTCATCATGACCGTATCGACGGACACCTCCCAGACACAGGAGCAGGCCAGAGCTTCAATCGTCATGGCATAGTGGGGCATAGCGGATGCTTCCGTCAGCTTCATAAGTTCATAAATGAGAGCCAAGCAAAAGACCACCTGCAAGAAACAGTGCGAACGGTCAAGAGTTGCCTTCCGTAAGTTCTCCACCTGTGTTCAACCGAGAGAATGCCCTAAGCATCCGGATCACCGCCACTTCGAACTTGGAAGTCAAGAAAGGAAATGCTCACGAACGCTAGTAGCTAGTACTAGCCAATCTGCAGATTGCGCCTTTGTTGTTGTTCCTCTTTCTTCTGCACAGAACTTTCTTGTGATTTTGTTGCATTTTCTATACATCTTCGGCCTGCTGCGGGCTCTATTTGCCTCTATAAGTCTTTCGCTTTGTCTCTCTCAAGAAGGAGTCCTGTGTGAGATCGGAAGGGGACCACAGTTCATCCACAAGCCTGCAAGCCAGTGGCCTGACGAGATGGGCATGAGATGGGCATGCAAGAGCAGCCACCCAAGTTGGAAAGGTTCAGGCTTGGGTCATCAGGTTCCAGTGCATAAATGTGCATGGCTGTATACGTCGTTTCTCACCATCTCGCATCAGCTTTATGAGACTTCGGGGTCGGTGGTTGGATGGTTTGTCGATGAACACCAGTGTTTCGGATGATCTTGCGGTGCAGTCCTTACCATCCCTGCTTCATCGAGAGGTCTTCAAGTGTTAAGATTCCATACAATCGAGTTTGAGGAGGACACCCTACAAAAGCAGGACCCCAGGCACGAAACATCTCTTAGCACAAGTCCTGTGTCCTGTGTCCTGTGAGGCGTTTGACTCGTCCGTCCTCCGTCTGTTGAAGCTCTCGCGACTGACTCGTGTGGCACGGATCGCGCGGCTTTTGCGCCAGGCGTGGCGGGTTGTCACGTTGATGGTGTGCTGGTTGCAGAAGCACTGGGTGAAATAAAGATGTTTGGAGGCCGTTTGCTCTTGTTTGCCGCAAATGTGCCAGGTGCCGGAGGCGCGCCGTCCCAGTACAGTCGGGATCTTGAGTTCAAAAGTGTTTTGTCAGGAGGGATGTGTTCTTGTGCTGTGTCAAGGGTGGTGAATTGAAGAGTCCATTTTGTGTGGCTCGTTGAGCGTGAGCAGGTGATGATACTGTTGAAGGGCATCGGGGTCGCCTCCCGCTCTGTGTCAGAGGCTCTGCTTGCCAAGGTTTGTGGACACTGCGAGAGAGCTTCGTGCCGGGTCCTGTCATGAAAGCCGAGGTTCTTCACTTGCCTCATCTTATTGTGCGGGGCCTTGCGTTTGTGTGATTTGTAGCGGCCAATAGAAAAGCAGCTCCCTCCAATTAGGAAAGGAGCTTCTTTCTTTCCCTTTCTTTTCTTCAGAGAGGTCGGTGATCTACATCTTCGCGATCGCTTTGACGCAGCTCTCGGAAGACACGGCCCTGGGCAACGCCTACTTCCCCACGCTGGTCGACGGAATGCCCCTTCGGATACTCTGAGATACTCTGAGATGCTGCTCAAGTGCTGCTTGTGCTGCTTGTGCTGCTTGTGCTGCTTGTGCTGCTTGTGCTGCTTGACAAGCCCATCTTGATGCCCATCTCGTGCATTTTTGCGTGCAACACCTTGCTGGCTTCTGAGGTTCTCGCTGCTGTTCCACGCTTGTTTCTTTCAGGGTCTTCCCGACTTTGCTCGCAGTTGCTTCCAGGCGCAGCTTGCAGTACGGTGCTGCATAGTGAAAGGCAATTGATGAAGTCCTGCGGTGAGAAGATTTTTTGAGTGGTAGTTCTCAGGAGAACTTTCTTTACGGTCCAGTCCTCATCTTCATACTTTTTGCAGGACTTTGCATGTCCAATCGGCAGCAATTGCCTAGCAGCCTAGCACTGCTTTCTGCTGTAAGGCCTGTCGCTTTTAGTCTTCGTGGTGCTTGCGCCTTTAACTGCCCTCGCCTTACGCAGAAGGGGCGTGACAAAAGCTGGTGTCTGCTGCGCCAAAGCCGAGGTCATGAACCTTATTGTCGGGGTGCTCGTCGAAGTGGTCGGTGTTGTGGCCGCGGCTGAGCAGGAGGCTGCAACAAGAAATGCCATCTTCGAGGCTTTGCAGGAGGCGAGGGATCCCCGAAGTGTTCTGACATGGCCACCATGCCCATCATGGCCTGCCGTGCAGTGTGTGTGCTTGCTGAGTGCTTCCGCTGATTTGTGTTCTGGCACACAGCAGCAGAATTGCGGCGCTTTAGCAGGGAGCAGAATCCTTGGTCTTTATGGCGGTTGCCATTTTGAAGGTCTTTGGGTCTGTTTGTTGTCCAAGGGGGTGGCTCGGACCAGCTCCCCGGGCACCCTTCTTCAGCTAGTGTGCTACCGGCAAGGGGTAGATGCAGACAGGAACAGCAAACAACACACAGAGGACGTACTAACTGCAAAAACCAAATTTCGGCAATTTCCAAAACAAGCAATCACTGTCTTTGGGCGCTGCAAACCCTGGGTTCAGCTGCAGGTCGAAGGCCCTGTATTGAAGAGATACGAAAGGCCACGTATCACTACTGTATCCTTGTGAGCTACTGTGAGCTCACCAGGCACTGGAAAGACTCGGCTCGAGGAAGAAGGACGACGCCATATCTCGGAGCGAATTCGCAGGCTTGGTGAACCGCCCTGACCTGGTAAGCATCTTCCTGGAATCGGGCATTGATGTTGTGGCAATTCTTCGCGATCCCGCTGCTCTCATGGCATTTCGTTATTCGTTGCGTTGCATCGCATTGCATTCTCAGCCCTTCAAGTTTCGATTTTTCTCATTCTACACGATTTGCTGGGACTTGGCCTAAGGACATGGTTTTTGCAGGAGAAGCCGAGATGAGCATAACAGAGTTCCTTGAGGAGACCATCGCTCTCCGAGGCTCCAACACAGCCACGGTCAGGGATCTTGGGCAGCTAAAGCTGCAGAAGCTTGGAAGCCACTCAGTGCCAGCTTGGGCTCTGTACGTCACAACCTTAAACGCTGAAACTTGCTCCGCCTTGCTCCGCCTTGCTCCGCCTTGCTCCGCCTTGCTCCGCGTGGCTCGTCTGGGTAGGGTGTTTCGATTGAAGTACTATGGTCCCCAGTTCATCTCGGCTCCCACCCGCTCCAAGTGATGTGATGTGAGGTCTAACGATTGCATCGTCCAGTATAGTGCGCTTAAGTGATGTTACTTCTTGACACCGGCCGGAGAGGCTTAGGTTGCCGTACCGACTATGCACACGTTGTCTCCCATCCGACCAGTGGGGTTGCTCAGGACGACAGGCAGTACGGCTCTCAGGCAGTAGGACATTCAGGACGAAAGGCTGGCAACCATGCCGAAGGTGACCTGAAGAAGCAAACAACTAAGTCTCAGCAATGAACCGCCAGCAATTGTGCCGGAGTGCCAACCAATCAGCCCTGCGTTGATATATATACAAAGTTATATACAAAGTTGTATTTCCCCACCCGGCAAGTTCGGTTCATGTGACGAGACGTTTCTCGCCTTGTGTCACAGCGACTCCGCCCTCTGCTGTGCCTCTGCCATTCTCAGGATTCTTCGAGAGATGCGAGGTCGCGGTCGGGCACCCATGCCCATGCGAAGATAGTCATCTTTACACATCTCTCGCCACTCTTTCACTGAGTGAATGCCAACGTGTCCTGAGCAGGACACTGTAAAGCCGCCAGTGTGCAGCTGACTTCTAATTTGATTGTGTTCATGCGCAGTCTTCGAGCAAGTTTGTCACATGCCGGTGGAGACTCCAGGAAGGCAAGGTGCGGGTCCAGAGATGCATGCGAAGCATGCCAGTTGGACTGGACCTTGCACAGCTCTTTCTTACAAGGATGCGGACCTCATCGATTTGAGAGATTCACACGATGAAAGCGACGAGACCCTCCTAAGGAGGCACTCTCTCCGATATACTGCGTCGAATCACACGCGCGAGAGTATGACATTCTGTTTGGTATCAGAGCGAAGCACACCTCGCTGGCTCTTTAGGTGAACGACTCTCGATCTCGCGTGCGGAAAAGAGAGGGCGGCACCCGGTCCGGAGCCACTTCGGTCCATCTTGCCTGCAATGCCTTGAGTTTCCCGGATGGTCGTGGCCAGGACGATGCCAGCTACATGGACTGCTTGCGCCGCTGGGTGCCTCAACTTGGCTCAACATGACAGATGTGAACGTTGTTCCAACTGCTGGTCCATGTGCTCTCTTCAGAGTAAGCCACTCGCTCACTTGCTCGCTCACTTGCTCGCTCACTTGCTCACGCACTCACGTGATCCACGAAGATTTCGAGCCAGCTCTGAAGCCTGAGCAATGTAGACAAAAGATGGGACGACAGGACAAGAGTTGTGAGAAAAGTGAGAAAGACTGGTTGGTGCCCTTAAAATTGCCTGAAGGCAGATGAGAGGCAGCGGCAGCTGGCATTCTCGCAGGGCTACGGTCATCTGCTAGCAGCGCAGCACAAAGTGCAGAGGTGGGGGCGATCATTTGCAGCTCACACTTGAGTTCACTTGCGGGGCACAGATGGCACAGGCTTGGCTGAACTGGCTAAACATCAAGAAGAGGTGTTGCAACGACAACAGAGACGAAGCAAAGGAGAAACACAGATGTAGCCCTTGTATGTGCGAAACGTATACACTCCGGGGCGAATCCGGGTTGTTGAATCAGGCAGATGTCACTCTTTGCCCCGAAAGCTTTGAAGGTTGCACCTGTCCCTTCGGAGCTCCGAGCCCATAAGGCCGGGTGGAGTTTGAGGGTTCGTTTCACTTTGTTTCCCTTGAGATCATCGTCTCGGCGCCAGACGTGCGCACTTCCACAGACGTTCCCGTTTTGAGTTTTATCTTAAAGTGCAGGAACGTGACGCTCCTGGTTTCGGCTCTCCAGCATCGGCTGGGCTGGCTGTTGGATGCGAGTGCCAGGCTTTTTGAGAAGAGAAAGTTTGCGATTTCGAACTATGGGAGACTGCACTGGATTGCACTCTGTCGCTCTCCCAAGATGTGCGAAGGTATGGTGCACGGCTTAAAGACTACGTGGATGAACTGCATCCTCGACTCAGCACTTTGACCCCATTTAGTGTTGAGGCAAGATGAGCCAACAGAGGTAGCTTTGACAACTTTGATTTGTGCAAGGCGAGAGATGCAAGAACTCCACTCTTCGAACGCATCTCTTCTTGAGCCGAGAGTTTCGAGAGAATTGTGGTGTCCAACAGTTTCTAGCCATTCCAGCCGCCGATCTCGCAGCCTTTTGACGTCAGAGCTGATGTGTCATTGGCTGCTGTTGGTTTCCATGCTCTTGGTACTGTAGTTGACGGAGTGAATCATGTGAAGCGCACAGCCTCCCAGAAAGATACAGAAGGTCCACTGAGTCTGTCTGATAACCGAGGGATGACCTGAGCACGGAGGTGCTGACCGAAGCAAGCTCCCGGAGGTACCTCTGCAGTGCCGTTGTATCTCTTTGTCATTTGTTGCTTGGCAATGTGTTGTTCAATGTTGTTCATGGTCATGCACGTCGTTTCAGACAGGCGAGCAGCGACCTTGAACAGCCTGAGATTGGCTCCTTGCTTGCATTTGTTTTTATGATCTTGAATTCCCTGGAAGTAGCAAAGCTGCAAGGACATCGGCCACACCATCGCCGATCACGAGCCTGGCGGAGTGGCTGGGTTGAATCGTTTCATCACTGATGCGGATAGGCAGCATTTGTTACGAACGTCCTTTGCAAGTCCGCCTCGGCCGTTGACTTGAAAGGTGCCATGCATTCGGTTAAAAATAGCCGACAACAGGGCCGCAAAACTGCCAATCGAATCTGATTTAGCTGACTTCGCAACGCAATGCGCCAAGAGCAAATAGGGCATCCAAACTCCAGGGCACCTAAGCGACCCCATTTGCTGAAAACCTTCTACCAGCCAATTTTCATTTCGTCAAACTCGCTTGCATTTCAAGGCAAGCAAGCCGGCAAGCCAGCCGGATCTGGGAGGGCAAACGTTCACCACCACAACCACTTGAAAATTTCCTCTGACTAGCTTCAGTTCCCTGGCTATGCAGGTAAGACTTGTCTCGCTTGCATCTCAAGGTAAACCGTCCGGGTCTGGTGGAGCAAACGCCAACTACCACATCTGCCACTTGACACTTTCTGTTGACCAGCTTCACGTACCTGGCTATGCGGGCCAGTCATGTTTCGCTTGCATTCGCAGGTAAGCCAGCCAGGCGTGGTGGGACAAGCGCTCGCCAGAACCGCAACTTGATTGTCTCTTCTGGCAAGCTTCAGTTCCTCGGCCATGCAGCTAAGTCACCTTGATTGCATCTCCAGGTAAGCCAGCCGGATTTGGTGGGGCAAGCGTTCGCCAGCACAACCGCCACTCGACTAGTTTTAATGGAGACTTCAGTTTCGTGGCTATGCAGGTCAGACATGTCTCGCCTGAATTTTGAGGTAAGCCAGCCGGCCCTGGTACCAGCTTTTACCGACACAACCGCCACTTGACGATTTTTGCAGATATGCTTCAGTTCCACGGCTTTGCAGGTCAGACATTCACGCCTGCATATTTAGAGGTAAGCCAACCGGATTTGGTGGGGCAAGCGTTCACCAGCACAACCGCCACTCGACTGTTGCTGAAGGCTTCAGTTCCGTGGCTACGCAGGTCAGACATGTCTCGCGTGCATTTCGAGGTAAGCCAGCCGGCCCTGGTACCAGCTTTCACCGACACAACCGCCACTCGACTATTTTTGCTGATAAGCTTCAGTTCCACGGATTTGCAGGTCAGACATTCTCACCTGCATTTCGAGGTAAGCCAACCGGCACTGGTACCAGCTTTCACCGACACAACCGCCACTTGACTATTTTTGCAGATAAGCTTCAGTTCCACGGCTTTGCAGGTCAGACATTCACGCCTGCATATTTAGAGGTAAGCCAACCGGATTTGGTGGGGCAAGCGTTCGCCAGCACAACTGCCACTCGACTATTGTTGCTGAAGGCTTCAGTTCCGTGGCTACGCAGGTCAGACATGTCTCGCGTGCATTTCGAGGTAAGCCAGCCGGCGCAGTTGCGGCCAGCGTTCACCGACACAACTGCCACTCGACTATTTTTGCTGATAAGCTTCAGTTCCACGGCTTTGCAGGTCATACATTCTCGCCTGCATTCAGAGGTAAGCCAACCGGATTTGGTGGGGCAAGCGTTCGCCAGCACAACTGCCACTCGACTATTTTTGCTGATGAGCTTCGGTTTCATGGCTACGCACGCCAGACGTATCTCATCTGTATGTAAGGTGAGCCAGCCTGTACTGGCTGGGCAAGCGTTCACCAGCACGACCGCCACTCGACGATTTTGGCTGAAAAGCTTCAGTTCCGTGGTAGCGCATCAGCCATATCTCGCCTACATTTAAAGGTAAGCCAGCCAGATTTGGTGGGGCAAGCGTTCGCCAGCACAACCGCCACCCGATTATTTTTGCTGAAGGCTTCAGTTCCGTGGCTGCAGGTCAGACATGTCTCGCCTGCATCTAAGGTAAGCCAGCCGGATTTGGTGGGGCAAGCTGTCACCAGCACCACCGCCACTCGATTGTTATTGCTGCGAAGCTTCAGTTCAGTGGCCGTGCACGTCCGACGTTTCTCGCCTGCGTTTGAAGGTAAGCCAGCCGGTACTGGTGGGGCAGGCCTTCACAAGCACAACCGCCGCTCTACTTTCTTTGCTGATAAGCTTCAGTTATTTGCAGTGCTGGTCAGACATCCCTCGCCTACATTTGAAGGGAAGCCAGCCGGATTTGATTCATGGGGCAAGCGTTCGCGAGCACAACAGCCACTAGACCATTTTGCTGATAAGCTTCAGTTCCACAGCAATGCAGGTCAGACATGTCTCGCGTGCATTTGAAGGTAAGCCAGCCGGATTCGGTGGGGCAAGCGTTCACCAGCACAATCGGCCCTCATTCCCTGGCCATGCTAGTAAGACACTTCTCCCTTGCATTCCAAGGAAAGCCGTCCGACGGATCTGGTGATGCAGGTGCCCGCAACAACAACCGCCGCTTGTCCGGCAAGCTTCAGCTTTTGTGGGTATGCAGCCCGGAGCCAGTTGGTGGGCAAGTGTTCACCACTACAGCCGCCGCCAGACCATGTCAGTGTCTGTCCTGTGGGCGAAGCTCACTCCGATACACTTACCCACTTGAATTGCGTGGTGAGTTGGCTCTGCTGGGGCAAGGGGTCACCACTACAACCGCCCTCCGACTAACTAGTGTCCGCTGGCAAGCTAAGTGGCAAAAGCACCAGTTCGTCATGACTTTCGACTGTGGACTCACTTTCATTTGACAGCCGGCAACAGTGTTCACGTGCAGATCATGTGATCAACTCACGGAAGTTGTTAGCCCTGGCATGGTGGGACACCCACCAACGTATTCGTCGAATTCGTCGTATTCGCTGCTTCAATCCAGCTCAGCTGCGTCACGTCACATGTAGCAGACATGCCCCAAAACCCCGGCAAAGCAGAACTTGATGGATGTGCCAAAGACCACATTTGACCTGGTTCTCTTGCAACCCCAGGCCTTCGCATTGGCAGTCACAACGCCAGCAGCTGCTCGGATGCGCTTCCCTGGCTGAAGTCGGGAATTATATGGAATTATGCTGCCTTGACTCACCCTACATGCTTGCACTGCTGCACTTGCAGCTGTGGGCTGTACCACCTGTATGTACCTACTGGTATCATATCATGTCAGGTGGTTCATTTCCAGCCAAATCTGTTGGTTGGGGCAATGCCCACTGATCAGGCCAAAGTGTTCGTTCCCAATCTGCATTTCCCTGCCAACCGCACCTCGCATAAACATGCAGAGATCGGCTTGTTAAGCACTCCTTGTGCCTCTTGGTAGCTGCAGTATGCAGGTCAATCAGACAGTGAACGAGACAGTCTCTTGCTCGATCAATGACACCGCGTGCTTTGCCACCGGGCTCGATGGATATTTGGTATGGGCATGTCTTGCTGTAAACTGTAGCGATGCGGTTTAAGAAGCTGAGAAGATTGTTTGCAAAGAGGTTCTACTTCCACTTAAGCTAAGCCAGTTTCTTTCACATCAGAGGCTCCTCAGAATTGGGCAACACGAGATTAGTGTTCACTCACAGGAGCTGTACATCATTGTACATCTAGTGCTCATCATTGTTCATCCGCGTTGATTTCCGCGGATTTGAATCAATGCTGAGGACACCGCAATGCTCATCAATGCCGCGAGCTGATCGTGATCAGCGTGCGCGTTGGATCGGCAGTCTGATGGCGAGAGCTCGGTTGCATTTCACACTCAGGTTGAGCCGACAGACACGAAGGAGCTATTCCTGAACGTGCTTTGGCCTGCTTGGCTTGGTCGGGTTTGTGACTTGTGTGATGGCTGACGCTGGACTCGATGATGCCTGGCCATCATGTTGCAAGGGATCTGGGGCATCGGTCTTGCCTGATCACCAGAAGGAGAGCTACTTGCACGTGGCTTGCCTGCGAGTGAAGGCTTTCAGTCACACTTGGACAGACGCGACAGAGCGTATCTCTTGCTGAGGGGAAGAAGGATCTTCAGCAATGCCGAGAGCTTGCCCAAAATTTTCCGTCGACTTTCCCAAGTGGGACGGCAGCATCCCGGAAGGCATCGAGATAATCCGACGTGCTGCAGCTGTGGCGACATGGTTGCTCTCATGCGGAGTGTCAGGTGTCAAGCTGGACGCTCAGGTACGAAAGGTGTCAAACAACCCGCTCAAGATCACGCTCCCTTGCGTCTTTAACCCGGAGTCCACTCTACTGTGCGACCGGTGGCTCCTGGACGACTACGACAAGGCGATGTTTGTTCTCGTCGTGCAGTTTGGCAGTACGGCGGCATATGAACTGTCCAGAGTTCGTTGTCTGAGGTGAAGCTGCAGACAGCTTGGATTGCTGCAATGGCCCTGGCTTTGGCCGCCTTCGCTGGATCAACTCTGCTTGGCCGTCAAGTCAGAAAAGTCTTTGGCAGAGAATCGCCGGTGCCTTGCCTTTTAATTCTGCCCTGCATCGCTGTGCAATTGAAGGCATAACGCGGCCTAAGGAGGCTTCCGAGCTCTCCAAGGATGACATAAGCAGATTTGAGATGGAGGCGCTGGTTCACAATATCTGTGGCGATCGGGCTGCTCACCTGGCCAAAGTCTTTGTCATGGTGTTGAATGTCTTCACCGCAACTCGGCCAGGACACAGCGCAATAGCAAAGCCGATGCCAGCAATCCTCCGCACCAAAACCAAAGATATCCGTTCGCAGGTCGTGCTTCCCATATCCAACGTGGCCATTTTTGCGCTTGCCACTGAGGACAGCTTCACATTGCATACTGAACAGCTGTTTTTGTTTGCTTGCACCCAAAGTTGCTTCACCTTGGACTTGCCCAGAAGACGTACTTCCCATCACACGACGGGGTCGGATTCTCTGATTGGTGTGCCGAGCCTGCAGCTGTGTCAGCGGGAGCTGTCGCAGTTCCATGGGCCTAGCGTCTGGCGAGCTTTTCCCTTGTGCCGGTGGGCTGCATCGAAGGTGCGAATTGGCATGATACTTGGTTGATCGGATCGATCTGCTTGTTGCTTCTACTCCAGGCACACGGAGCACGGGAAGAGAGACACTGCAGCCAGCGCACATATTCAGCCGATTCTAAGCGTCTGTAGCCCCGACGAAGTCAAATCATGTTTGCGATGGTCCATGTGGGCCCTTGGCATCCCTTCTGGTGTCCTTCGGTCAGGTGGCAAGGGCCGCCGCATCCAGCAAGAGCCCGAGATTCTCGGGAAGCGGCCACTTCGCTTGGTTGGTGTACCTCTTGACGGACGTCAGCTCCGTAGCTGACACCGCCTCTAAGCTGAAATCTGAAGAGCTGAATTCGTACACTTCTATTGAGCTGCGATGTTACTGTCATGCTATATCGGGAGCAGTTTTCAAATTCTGCAATCGGAGGTAGCCGTTGGGCTCTCCTGCTGTTCCTTCTTGTATTGTAGAGCGGTGCACTGGAACTGGATGATCTTTACCTTCGTGCGCGTGATCGAGTCCCTGGGTCACTGGGGCATAGGAGTCAACTTCCATGGCTTCTCACAGGCTGGAAATGTCTAACACTGAGTCGGTGAAACATCGCACACTTCGGAGAACAGCAATTGCAGCTTCGTCACAAGGCTGGTTTTGAGAATGGGCCTGAGCTGAGGGCAGAGAGGATCGCCGTATGGTGATTGCAATGAGCAGCTTTGGGCTGGTGATGTGGGTGTTGATCGGAACCTGGGACTCCAATTATACTTGAGAAATGTTCCATGCTGCTGCATGGAACATACTGCCAGGCTGATGCGGTGTGCTTCTCATGCTTCTCATACAATGCACAGTGGCAACCTGGCAAGGCAGCCTCTACTATGCGGTGAACATGAGAAATGCAGCGTCCCGGTGCCTTGCCCAATCTTGCCCACATCTTGCCACATCTTGCCAGCAGTTTGTGGCCAGTTTGTGGCCAGCTTTTGGCCTGTTCGGAGTGCTACCAAGCTTCAAAAGGTGGGAAACGGCTGTGACCGTGGAGAATGCGGCCCGGAAGCCTCGTGCCGCGGTGTGCAAAGTTTACCAGCTTGCTGTGTAGCTGCCGGAGTCGACTTAGAACCGTTTTTGAGCGACATTTGCAAAGTTTGGAATTCTCTTGAACTCGAGGAGTCGAACTCGAACTTTGGCAACGTTTCGAGTCCATTCCATCTTCGATGTTTTTTGCGCTGTTGAACCTCTACAAGAAGAATCCAATGGCTCTTGTACCTGGCCTCAACATCCGCTGTGTTCCAAAGCGTATCTCAATCACAAGCTGTCACTAGTCATCGCCAGTCTACGAGCTGCAGGCTTTTGACAACTGGCACGAGCAAATGTTGGTGGTCTTTGTGAATGTTTGGTGTGCTGCGATCTCAGCATCGTGAAGCTGACGCTTGGGGATCAGCACGTAGGGTCGGCGGTTGGCGCAGGTTCCGATCTTCGCACTTGTGGCAGGCATGCCGCCCAGCGGCAAATTTGCTACGGATGTCAGACTGGTTTTGCCATCACCCGCAGTCTGACAAAGACATGGGCACTCCATAGAGGGTTTTTGAAACACTGCAGTGACAAGGATCGGCAGCGCGGTCTCGAATGCCGTCTGCGCCAAGGACGGGTATCTACAACAAGCTTGAGCGACATCAGTAGACTGGAGTAGACGGTTTTTGGAAGATCAGAACCTTTGAGTTGTTGAGCGACTTGTGAGGACCCAAATGACAGGAAGCAGGACCAAGAGGCGCAGTCCGGACTTGGCGCTCATGAGGATGAATATGAGGAAGAAGAAGAGGAGGAGGAGGAGCCGCTCGACAAATCTTCTGCGCTTGGTCAAAGGCTTGCCTCTGCCTACCCTTCCTACCCGGTCTTACCTGGCTCCACTCGGGCTTACTCGGTCCTCCCTTAATGAAATGACCTTTCCTTTCTTCTGGGTTCTGGGTTCTGGTGGTGTGCTTAGGCAAGTCAGATAGTCCGGAGAGTGTGGGATGTGTGGCCCTAGGCTTCGGTAGGTTGATTTTTCCGTTCTACATTAAATGTCGTTTAGCACGTTTGCGTGCATTGGGACATTGCAGTGAAGGCGGGTGCTGAAGCGTTTGCCTTCTCACGCTCTTTCAAACCGCGTTCGTGGCGGTCCATCTCCCCGTTAACTACGCCATGTCGTCTTCCCAGACGGCAGCTGCAGCTGCTGAGCAGGGCGGAGGCGGAGCCTCGTGCCGCGCGAATGGACCGGAGGCGGATACTGCATCGCTGAATCCGCAATGCGGCTCCTACCAGACCCCACCACCGGCCGAGGGCGACTCGCCCCAAAACGAGCATCCGCGCCACCACTCCCAGGTGAAACGAGAGCGCTACAGACTCCTGGGCGAGGCAACAGCTCGAGGCGACAGGGTGTTTTCTGGCTTTCCTTTACGCGGGCGGAGATTGAGGTTCCGTCGCTGTGCAGGTCTAGTCTTCTGGGCACGCAATGTTCTTAGCGCTAACTGGCAGCTGGTGGTCAACACGAAGACCCTTGCTGAGCACATATCTGCCACATGCCAGTAGAGAAGCCACAGCTGTCCGGCGTACCTGCCAATCTCGATGCAGCATAGTGTCATTGCTGACCTCGGCTTCGCGTCGCATACTGCACGGGTCTCCTCGTCCAGCGACAAACATAGGCACCTAGCGTCGGCTGAGAGTTCGCCCCACTGAAGGCAAAGCCCTTCGAAGGCCAGGCGGCTCCACGCATTCGAGACTGCGTATGTGGCAAACACGGCCGCCATCCAGGAGGCGCAGGATGTGTACATGGGCGCCGACATCGGCGGCCAACGCGCACGTCCACGGGCTGGCCAGGGCGAAGGCGTCCCCATCTCAGGGGGCCATGGCGAGGTCAGGGCTGTCCACAGGCCCTGCTTGCCAAATCGGTGCTTCTACGCACAGGAGGTCCCGGCGGAACGCGCACAATGATAGCCAGCGCCAGAAAGTTCATGTACATTATGTTTGGACACACCAAGCCCACGCCCGGCGTTTTAATAAAATGCTGGTACAAAACACACGTAGAAGTCGCCCCTGGAGATCTCGGCTGAGATGTTGGCCGCGGACGCCAGTCGTGGGAAGTGCGGCAGCCAGGCTCTATCCGCGGCCACGCCCAACAAGGCGGATACGCGCCGCCGCCATTGCCACAGCCCTTTCGCCCGCTGCGGCATTGCAAAGCAGATTGATGTCTTTGCACGTCGTGGTGGTTCAGTTGTGGATGTTTGTTCGTTTTGCTCTGGGCACGGCTAGCACCAGTATCCTTAAGCCTTTTTCCAGCTCGGCAAATGTCTCCAGCGGTACGCCACGAATTCATCACTCACTCACTCACTCAAGGAGTAGCACTTCTTCTGCCCGCCATCAAGGCAAGAAGAGGATCCGCTAGTGGAAGGCTTTGACGATGAAAAGGCAACGAAGACTTCTGTCCTGGAGCAATGGAAGTACATCATCCACTCGTGGCGAGAGTTTCTCCTGAACCTCACCTGGGAAGACCACCTTCACCCAGCTCCTCGGCAGATCTCGGAGATCTTGGAAAAGTATTTTGAACCAGGTGGTACCAACCGAAGGTTACCACAACCAATGTGCTACATTCATCTACATTCCACAGCCCGCTTGAACATAAGAGCGGCAGCAATGAGCAGCGCATCGAATTGCTGGTCGTGTTCAGTTTGCATTGGTGCAGGCTGTGCTGGCAATTCTGGGATTTGGGTCGCTGTTTTTCTATGGCATAACTACCTCTTGCCAAGATGCAGCATGCACGAGCCTGGTTCTCCAATTCAGAAAGATTTCTCTGGCCGAAGTGGCACCGAACGTCACGAAGCAACATCAGCAAGCCATGTAGGGATTTGCACTAGTCGGTGGGCTGAGTGTCGGAGTTTTGCCAGTGGCAGAGGTGGTTCTTCGTGCGCTTGAGCCGATTCCCTTCTTGGGCCCACCCAGTGGCCGATGGAGCAGTTGGTGCCGCCTTTCTGGCTGATTGGAATCTTGGATCATCTTTGGCACTTTAGGGTCCATGATGCTGCGATGACCTAAAGTTCAGGGTCCTCAAAGTCGCAAGAGTCAAGAGTCTGAAGCATTGCTGTTCGTGCAGTAAGCAATGCCAGGAATCCGGGGCTGAAACCTATGTTGTGCTGTTGCCTTGAGTCAGCAAAAGCTTCAAGGATCACGAGCTCTGCTGTGGTTGCTAGGCGTGCGGACAGCGAGGCGTTGCGACCACTATGCTGCTATTCAAAAAGCTTATCTAGCTCTATCGAAAGAGATGTGGCATGTGGGATGTTCATGCCGCTTTAAAAAGCATGTCTCTAAAGCATTTCACAAGGCAATTACTCTGTTGAATCCCAGAGTGACTAGATCGGAGAAGGTTTAACATGGTTTAACCAAAGGTGGGAGAGCACATTCTCGTAAGCCTGAAGCCGTTTGGGACACACTTTGTGCATCTCGTTCTGTAATCACGCCATTGTCTCACGGGTCTCACACAGCCCCCCCGCAACATCTTGTAATCTGAATCTGTTAAAAGGGGCTAGGGACGAGTTGCATGTGGGCAGATTTCCCGAGAAGCTGAGTTGAGCTTGATTGTGACGCAAATGTTGGGCAGGATGCTGCTAGCTCCGCTGATGGTGAGATGCCTGCAGCTGACTCTGGAGATGGAGTCGCTGCAGACCACATCTCTTTTTGGAGCCCAGAGTGATGTTGTTCTCAAGCTTTGTGCTGTGCTGCGTTGATCTTCCTAAGCATCTTCACTCAGAAGGCTCATGCAGAGGCCCCTGTCAGGAGACACATTGGCTATTTCATTGCATCTGTGCCCGGCATTGTCCACCTGCTGCTGCTAGTGTCTCGGCTGAGCTGGGCCTGCGCTCGGAACGTCCCAACACATCCAGAAGGGGGACCTCAATATGAAGTTTCAGCATCCAAGAAATGAGAGTAGCGAGGACCTCCAATGTCTCGCTTGGTCTGCTAGCCTTGCCAGATGCCTTTATTTGTGGGCCTCAACACGGGTGTACTCGAGCCCTGGTCAAAGGGAGGTTGCGTCAACGGCAGTTAGTCTGTTCGTTCTAGATCTGTCGATGTCGCCAACATCAGCGTCTTGAGCATTTTGGTGCCGGGCATCCCGGGCAAAAGAATCAGGTTGCTAATGGCTTCGAGGAGTCCTCGGAGAACAAGTACATATTTTGCTTCTCAGTAGCATGGGGAGTGCAATTATACTATACCAAGTCTGACCAGCCCAGAAACATTGTGATTGCCCTGCCCCGCCCCCCCCCCCCGCTCCGCCCCCTTTTTGTTTTGTTGTTTCGCTGTGTTTTTTGTGTACTTGTGGCTCTGCCTTTAACTCAGGCCTCTGCAGCCTTTTTCGGATCTACTTGTTGGAAAAATGGTTGGACCATCCTTTTCGGCATGCTCTGGAAGCCATCGAAAAGCATCGGAAGGCTTTGGCAACCACAGGCAGCCGCGTCGGCGCAAGAGAGCGAGAGAGGGAGCGAAGGTATTGTTGTCGTTGCTGCGGACGGTACAAGAAGGCCGTGTCTGTCACAAGAAGGGGATCTCACACCGACCGACCTTAGGATCTCGCGCCCCTTGGGGCGGCTCCCCTTCGACGGGGCCATGCGTTGGAGAGAGAGAGAGAGAGAGAGAGAGAGAGAGAGAGGGGGACGACCTGGCATTGTAAGGAACGGTTTTCACCTGCAATAGGGTTTCTTGCAGTTTCGGAACCCCAAACCCATCCCGATTGAACGCGAACCAAGAGGGACAGTGGAGGGAGGCACTGAACAGTAGCAGCATCAGCCCGAACTCCAACCTCTTTTTTGGCCAGTGAGCCGGGCGTCCTCTCAAAACGGGATGGACAGCCACACCAACGGACCCGAGACAGCACGCGCCCCTGGGGGCGGCCTCCCTTCGGGGGGGTCATGCGTGGGGGAGAGAGAGAGAGCGAGAGAGAGCGAGAGAGAGAGGTTGAGCTCAAGCCGCGAGTGCTCAAGGTGGCGCCCCGTGGCCTGGCCACCTCAACCAAAGAAAAGCCGTGAGAGGCGAGGGAGGGTCGTGAGAGAGAAGGGGGGGGCAGTCCGAGCCTTAACCCCGCCCGGTGCCGCCATACGAGCTGACCTACAAGTCCGCTGAACTACGCGGGTTCATCGCGGGGGTTGTCCTCCTCGATTGCGGTGTCTTCAATCCACGGGGGCAACCGCTGCTGGCCTCCCGCGAGTTCGGGGACCGCAGAGGCGCGCGGGGGACTTAGCGCACAGCTACCTGACGGGCCTCGGCGAGCCTACAGGGGTTGAACGTGGGGGCTGCGTACCCGCACTACCTCTTCCCCGCCAGGGACTTTGTGACCTTAAAGATCGTGACTTGGGCAACGACACCGAGAAGAATATCCATGACTACGTTGGGGGCAGCATCAACAGCTGCGAACGGAGGGGGGGGGCGGGGGAGAAAGCAGCTCGCCCGCCAAACGCAAAGCGGCGGAAGTGGTGGAAGTGGAAGATGCCATCTCGTTGGGGGCCTTGAAAGCAGAGCTGAAAGCCCACCAGGAAGCGATGAAGCAAGACCTCCAGCATGCAATTGGGGGAGTGCAAAAAGACATGTGGCGGAAAGAGTCACCACCGTGGAGTCGGAGGTGACCAAGCAGCTCCAAACCACCCTGGCGCTCCTGAAGCAGCTGACTGACAAGCAAGACAACCAGGGGGCGAAAATAGCAGAGGTCGTGGAAGGGCAGCGATACTTGGAGGACAAGATGGAGGCCAACCAGCGCAGCCTGGAAGAACGCATTGAAAAGCTGGAGACCGCGGGGGTCAACCCGGGGCAATCCATCACCAGCATGGCGACGACCGACGATGGCATTGGGGGGCGCAAGCCGGCGCTCATCATGGGAGGATGGGGGGACAACACGCCCGCCAACGAAGTGATGGAGAAAGCCACCCAGATCCTGCGCCAACTCAAGGTCGACATCGACCACCAAGACACCTTTGTGCCTGGGATTCGGAGGGGGTTTGCCCTCATCCCCCTCAAAGGGGCCAGAGTTGGAGAAGGCAGTGAAGAATACCGCCAGCGCATTCAGAGGGCCATCACAGTCGTCCGCAACGCCAAGATCCAGACGGGGCATGTCAGGGAAGACACGGGGCAACCTCGCTACGCCTACCTCACCATCTCTAAGCTGGGCGCTAGCTCTTGGCATTCAACCTTGGTAACAGGGATTCCCCGCACACACACGCTGCAAAGCAGGGTAAGCCCACGGTGGCTGAGCTCCCAGGCCCTGATATCTTCGATGGGTCTCCCAGGCCCTGATATCTTCGATGGGTCTTCCGGCCACGGACGTTTTGCAACACCTCTCAGCAGGCTGAACAGTCTGAAAGAGTTGGTGAGACCATTTGCCAACAGGCTGACGATCATAGAACTTGGGGTGGCGGACTGGCTCGGTGGGCTCAGCCACGCAATGACATAGCCTGGGCCTTTCGAGACTCAGACCTAGCAGAGTGTGTTGCTGACGCGAAGTACCAGTCGGGTTGGACTGATTCAGGGTCCAAAGGTTGTTTCAGACAGAGCCTGGGACTTTCAGTATCAGGGTCCCTACGAACAGCCGTCTACAGCGCGCTCGTGCAATCCTCCCTCTTCTCACGATTGTCTGAGAGGTGAAGATGTCAAAGGCAGAGCCTGCGTGAACCCTACATGAGTGTACTTACTCTAGATAGAACACGAAATAAGGGCTGCTTGTGCAGCAGCCTAAACAGCGTCACAAAAAAGCCCTGTTGAAGCAATGCTTCGACAAACTGCAGGCACGCTGCGCTGGCCAAGTGCAGTATCCCGCTCTGTGACCTAGCTTTGTTAGACTGGGTCAGTCACAGAGTGCCCAGTCCCCCTACTCAAAAAGCTCAGTGCAAACTGCAAACTGCGAACAGCGAACTGCCAACTTGTGGCACAATTGACCGCGCGCCTAAGCGTTCAAATCTGGTCTGAGCTGGACGCGAGCTCTCGGCACTTCAACCTTGGTAACAGGGATTCCCCACACACACACCCGGCCAAGCAGGGTAAGCCCACGGTGGCTGAGCTCCCATGCAGGCCCTGATATCTTCGATGGGTCTTCCTGCCACGGATGTTTTGCAACACCGTGGTGAGACCCTTTGCCAACGAGGAAGAAGAGTTTTTGGAGGGGGGACTGGCTCAGTGGGCTCAGCGGTGGCAGTCCATTGCTGAGCTTGCTGCCACGACTGTCCTTCTTGCGTGCACCCGCACCCGACACCAGCACCCGGCACACGCGCGCGCAAGTGCACGTGCACGCGCGCGCAAGTGCACGTGCACGCGCACGCGCACGCGCGCGCGCGCACGCGAGAGCACTTGCATAGTCACATACACACACACACACACACACGTACTCACGTCCTTCTTTTCCTCTGCGAGGTGTGCGGTAAGCGAGCGAGACACACGGGGTTATTTGGTTCTCTGTGTATATCACTTTTGTGTGCAGCGAGCGCAGGTGCAGTATCCATTTTCTTTTGGTTCCTTGGTGCCCACCTCCTCTTCTTCTCAGAGCACCCTGCCTAAATCATGTTCCACCCATCTGACGTGCAGAGATTGCCTTGCTCATCGCACATGTGCATAACTGTAGGTTCCGCAATCCGGACCGGGACATGACCAACAATTATGGTTCGCTGATGCGCTCGATTTGGGCTTCTTCCATTTTCTTGAACGGTGAATGGGTTTTCTGAATCTTGCCAGCACCAATGTCGAAATGTGTCGAAGACACAGACCATCAAAGAGGATCAAAGAAGAAGTGGTTGTACTGTGCAGCCGAAGTGTCGGCTGAGGTGACTTCACATGGGCAGGGAAGGCAGTGGGATGTTTTGTGGTCATATTTGGCGTGAGCATCGTCGTTGTTCCGATGATGGCCGCTCCGATTGTCAAGACCAATGCCTAGCTAGCCATGAGACATTTGTGACAAAGCTTCCTCTCATATACCTTTGATACCGTTGCATACCCGACACCAGGGTCAAATCACCCCGCAGACCTCTCAGGTTTTCTCTGGCGAGTTTATGAAGCGTCTCCTGGGCGACTTCTTCGAGAACAATGTACCCCCCTAGCTTTGCTCACACGCAGTTCTTTCACACGCCGTGCACATGTTGTGCTCTCATCTTCCAAAGCGATTTTGGAGGTACACCATCTGAAGGCTGAGGAGCGCGACCTCTGGCAACTCAAGGCGCCTGTCAATACAGCTCGCGCACGGCTTCTCATTCTCCTCCGTCAGATGGAGCCGGCTGAAGATGCTCCAAGCTGGCGCAAAGAAATCTTCAGCCTGCTGTATGCGCATCTGCAGAGGCTGAAGCAAGGCTCCCGGGCTGCAAGGAGGTGGCTGTCTCGTACAATGCATTGCAGTGCCATCTACTGAATCTAATGCCCAGGTTTGCATCAAGAGACCCAGTTTCATCGTTCAAGTTCTGTTCTCGGACTTGTGCTGTCTGCAACATTCCGCAACCACGTTCCAAGCGAGTCAAATCTGCACTCTGCACCTGGCCAAAGGAATTCTCCGACAAAATCTGCCGGCTGCTTTCTCTTTCTGCCGTAAGAGTGTCATGTTCTATGCATTTCTACCTTGTGTGACCAGCCACACACAAGGCCATGGAGATTTCAGCTGTTCAAGCAGGTGTCGCTATCGACATCTTTAATTTTCACTCTTGTGTCTTGCTTGCATGCTGTAGCAGCATCAATCAGCACTGCAGTCTAACACTGTAGCGGGGTACCTCAGGCCCCCAATGCCTTCTCGCTTGGCAAGAGATGTCAACATGGCCACCTTGAGGTGACTTTGATGGAGAACAGCCAGTACATGAACGCCAAAGTGGGATGCACCGAGAAGGAGATCCACCGCAACATCGTCTTCAGGCAGATGTTCGATGGCGTTGAACAATGCCGTTCTTTCCTGACCTGGGCGGCATGGCTTCATGGAAATGAAGTAGCGTGCAAACCTGGCATTCCACAGTAAGTAACCCTCGAGAACAGTAGACGGACCCAGCTGCCACCGGCTGCCACCCACTTTCAGTCCAGTGCCTTTCTTACCCGCGTCGGTGGCTGTGTAGCGACACAAAGCAAGGATAGTTATGCATTTGTGATTTAACGGTGGCCGGCGTCCGTGGCCGCGAAGCGGGCCCTCACAAGACCACCCATGCATTGCCTGTGCCAGTAGGGGGAAGGAAAGAAGGGCCTTGGTTGAGTGGCCAGAAAAATCAGGCTTGGCGACGACCTCGGGGCGAGCCTTCAAGTACACAAACTCTCATGGTAGAACCACCCCGCCTACAGGAATGTCATGTATGTGTTTGGGGGGTTGGGGTGGTGTGGTGGGGGAGGGCGTTTCTCAAATTGGAAATTCGGGAGCCTCCGCTTCAGAGAGCCTCACCCCGATGGCTCCCCCTCGGGCGTTCAAAAGGGACTTTGAATGATCGAGCTGCGCTTGAGAAACCGTGGGATTCTATGGGGATGCGCCCTCCATGCAAAGATTGAACCGCACAGGCCCTCGAGTACCGTTAATCCGAGCGCGCCTCGAGGAGGTCATGCATCGACAGGGCATTCTCCACCTAACATCAAGCACCGCCACCCATGGCCATTGTTTGCAGGTTGTCGTATGACTCAGAACTCAGCACACGTGATGTTCTTTTGACTCAACCGAGGCTGACACCATTGAAGCAAGAATTGATCTGGTGTTTCTACATTTCTTCATTCTGGAGTTCATCCTTCGGTACATAGCCCTAGGCCAGAAAGCTCAGCAGTTTTGTGTTCTTCCCAGTTGGTCTCTGCTTGATGCTCTGTGACATTCTCAGGCTGGCGCCACTTTGTCTCCGAGTTGGGCCTTGCAGAACTCTTCGCAATTGTTGGCTTGAGCTGGTCTCTCACGCGATACCGCGAGGCGCCCTGCCAGGTATCAGGTGGTGTTGAAGGCCTGCATACGTGTTGATTAATAAATTAAGTGCAGCCTGGCGTCAAAGGATGCGCTGCACCACCCGGAGAACTGGCGAGCGAGTGGGACCATGATCGGTGCTGTAGTTCCTCTACGACTCTGCCGGCTTGTCTCTGTTGGGCGTGAAGCCCAGCAAAGCTTGGACAGCTACTGACTGGACAACATGGATAGGCGATCCGAAAGGATGGCACTGTGCAGGTCCTACTTTGGAGTTGTGCGTGCAGTCCGGAAGGCACAGCAAGAAGTGAGATGATGTGAGTGGTCCTTCCGGGCGGTAGTTTTGGAAGTTTGGGCAGGTGCTGTTCATCGCCCGGTGGCCGTTGATCAAGAGCTTTTACTTCCTCCTTGTTGCCAGCTTCTCAAACCTTCTGTCAATGAGTCGGAACATGTAGTAAACATGTACCTCCTTGCCAGGTGTGGTACACTCATGCTATGCTCTTACACTTTGCAGAGTCGGACAGTACTTCCCTGGCCATTGCTGGCGCACAAGTCAGACCGGCAAAGGCCGAACCCGCAAAGATACCCCGAATTATACCGAATTATACCTAGCTCTTGCCGTGAGCTAGAGTAGCAGGGATGCTACAATGGCTACAGGCAAAGGCTTGTACAGCTTCAGTGCAGCATGTCTCCAAGTCAAGCATGTCATGTCATTGGCTTGTTGTTGATGTCGTGCAGGACCCTGACATCCCTGACGGTGAGGCCGAGCGCTTTTGCAAGCTCGTGGTTGCACTAGTTTGCTGGGATGCTTCACGCTCTTGCTCAGGTTCTGTTTCTGAAGCCGATGGAGCAATCGAAAAGGTTCAAAGACTACCTCACGGCCATGCAGCACGCCCTGCGTCATGCAAGATGGATGAACGGGCAGATGAATCAAGAGAGCTGTCGTCCCGTGTACCAGACAAACCGAGATTCGAGCAGAATGCAGATTCGTACTGCTGAAGATCTGGCCCACAGAAGCTTACACGAGCCTGTCCTACAAATCTGCCTGTTGAACGACCCCTACAAAGATTGCCTCGCAAACGCTTTTGTGTTTCTGAGCCCGTTTGACTTGCTCGATGCTTCTGGTAGCAACTGAGCCTTTGCGGCATTTTGGGAGGGGATGGGTCTCGGAAAAGTGGCGGAATTGCATGACTGTCGAGCCCAAACAGAAGATCTGCCGTGGGAGATCCGGAGGCAAGAAGGATGGGGAACGCTGGGGCGCGACGTGGGAAAACCGGAAAGGATTAGCACTGTAAAACAGGATGAACAAAGCAAAAACTATGTTTCCCATGGTTCCTCTGGGCTCTCCATCAGTGTGGTGCCAAATGCTAAACCAGCGATAGTGGCCGAATCTTACAAGTGGCAGGTGGAACAAGTCACTAGATTTAAAACTTACTGTCGCTGGCCATGGCTTGCAGGCCCCATAGGCCACTTGAACCTCTTGAGCCCCCGCACCGGCTTCGCAAAGCCGCGAAAAAATCGCAAGTACGAGGAAGGAAGCTTTAGCTGACGCTACGAGCTGTGCAGAAAGTTGAGGTGAAAGGACTAAGCCGCTGTCCTGCAAGGCAGTACCATCTCTGGAACGTTCTCAGTGTCAAAGCAGCGTTCATAACTCCCAAATCCCAAGCCGCTCAACTGCCTCTACCTCGAGCAGACCTTCCCGACCTTCACCCGCCCTGCTCACGTTTGGACAGCCAAGTTGCTGCTGACTTGCGGCAGCACCGTCGATTGGCAAGGTAAGACTATCGCCACTGCCACTGTTGGAGAAGATGAGAAAAGAACTAAGTGGCCGGCAGATAAATTAAGACATACCAAGACTCAAAAGACGCATCAGGACAAGCCAGATAAGCCAATCACAAGCCTTTTGAGGACACATGCAAAAGCAAAACAGGCATCCACAGGCATCCTCACTTAGAGTTCTGGAGGCTCAGACTCGCGTCGTTGGAGAAGCCGTTCCATTCTCTCGATTCTCTCAATTCTCCCCATTCTCTCCATTCTACACCCTAAACCCAAAGGGAAGATTCAACTGTCACAGCTTTTGCAGGTACAGCCTCCTGCACTTGACCGGCGACTACCCCATCGTGAAGTACACCATCACTTCCAAGCTAGCTGCCGGCACTTTTATCACAGCACGTCACAACAAGCATGTCCCGATACACAGTTCACCGCTGACATGCTACAAGGACCTCTCGAAACCTTTTCACAACCCTTTGTCCACACGCAGGCTGCTGCTCATTGCTGGCCTCGTGGTGGGAACCTGTGCAGTAGTCGTATGGACTGCGATCTTCAGCTCGAGTATGGCCCTGGCCTTACCCATGCCTTACCCATGCCTTACCATGCCTTACCCTACAGGGCAAGGTGAGTGCCGTAGTGCCATTAGTGCCATAGTGACATAGTGTGGAAGGTCGGAGCCTCTTAGCCGCAAGTCGGTTGTAGCCTCACTTGTCTCCATGACCAGGTGAACTACCTGGCAAACGAAGCTGTAGAGGACTCTCCATATCCGTCCATGCAACTGTCAGTGTCTTCTCGCTTTAGATTTCGAAGCGGCTCAATAAGTCTACTATGAGAAGTTATGAGAACTTGCATTTGCATTCGAAGATTTCCTGAGCGTGCTTTGATGGCCATGTTGCCAGGACCCGTTGGCCAAAGCTGTGGAGCGTAGAATGCTGCTGGCGATTGAGGCCTTCGGGAGGTACTGCAAGATTTGCCGCCGCGGGATTCTTGGGACCCTGGCCCTAGAGTTGCAGGTAGTGACGCGCATTCAGCGTTCTTGGAGGCCGTGCAGTGTCGGAAGCATGAAGGTTCCCGAAAGTGGTGTGCTTCATCTTTTGCATGCGGTGAGGCGCAGACAGGCAGAAAGGAAGAAAGCAAGGGAGCAAGGAGGCTTGGGAACGTCTGTGATGAAAAAGCTGGGCGGCGCTGTGCTTGCTGCAACGATGGTGCACATGCGGCAGGCATGTCTGATGAGAAGGCAAGCCGGGGAAGTCAGCACCCAGGACGGCCACCTCCGGATCAGGACAAGGCTGGCAAATCGATGCCGCAGACGTCGCATTGTGAGAGAAGTGGAGATCGCAAGTTTGGGACTAGTGAGATCCCATGGCCTTTGGTCAAGGCTTTGCGAAGGTTCTGGGCATCCTTTCCCTGGGAGCGTTTCTTCCAGATAACGCTCGTCGTCAATCTCTGTGTCAACATGCCGCTTGGCAAAAAGTTCCTCAAAACGCCAGTGTGGCCGGAGAACCTTTGCACCTCTAGTCCACGGATGACTATTCATGGTAGACTTCAATTCCCTCTCCGTTGTCGAAATCTAAGGTTGTGCTCTCTGCCAGAGGTTGTACCCTTATTAACAGGGAGGGACAGCTGGGAGGAACTTTATCGGCAAAGGATGGCGGCCAAGTTCGAGGCGCTGAGCCTTTTCTTGAAAGTTCGAGCCTAGAAGAGTCGCATAGAGTCCCAATGTTTTTGGAGACGCTGTGCCTGGTCATCTTCTGCGTGGAGCTGGTTTTGACCCTCCGGGCAGGGAAAGGCCGTGCCCAGGCTGCATTTGCCCCGGACAGACTGGATGTAAGTCAGGAAATGTACCCGGGAGATCTTTCGGGTCGTTGGACGCAGGGCGTGTGTTGTGGTGTGTGCTCGTGCAGTGACTTCTCGCAATCCACCCACTCACATCTCAACCCTTGACGGGTTTATAGCTAGCCTGGTTGATGCTTTTACCTCGCACGCTCCTTAAATTTTGCAGTCTTGTGATCGGCTGGTGAGAATCACAAGGAATAGGCTAGGCGTCAGTGTACTTCGCTCCAATTCAAAAACCACAAAGTGTAGGTGAGGCTTCAAGGTATGTTTCCCGTCATTCCCTTTAAATTTGTTTTAGTCACCAGTCGGTGAACATGGTGCCTTGAAGATCTTGAACCATTTTGGCATGGTATACCCCTTCTGGCAAAAACAGTTTCATTCTAGGGGGCGTTTTCCCGGTCAGACGCGGCCAATTTGCCCAATTGCAAGATGCTGCGTGTGCCGTCAACCATTGATGCTTCCATGGCCTGCTGCGTGAGTGCTGAATGAGTGCTGAAGGTGAAGGGAAAAGGTGGTACTTCTATCGCACAGTCGTGACTTGGATGCACTTGGGATGGATAGTTGCTTGCGGAGTTGCTCGTTAGATTCGTCAGCAACTTCATCATCGGACCACGTGGACCATGTGACAATGTGGCTCTGTGGTTGGAGCAAAGACTCTGAGCATCATTGAACATTGGTGTGGTGGAAGAGTGATACTGAGCACTTTGCCGCTGCTGCATGAGTGTGAGGATTTCTTGTGCCTACTACCTGGAGTTGCGACGATCACGATGGTGACGGTAGAATTCATCAAGAAGGATCACGCGGAAAATGCTGAATTGCCCGCCACCGGCTCACTTGCAGACTCTGCATGGCTTGTCAATCATCGCATCTTGACTCGTCCATTGAGCCAGGGCAGTGTTTTTGGTCGAAGTGGACATGCTGGTAAAAGCCACGAAGATGCAACGGGCTCAGTGGCGTGCAGCATGTGTTCTGTCAAGGTAGTGTTCATCATGCAACAAAACACCGTGCTTTGCTGGGTCATCTTAGGGTCCGCGTTCTGCGAATTCTTTTCTGGCGCCAATGGAAAGACGATGCTCCTGGTCGGCAGTTGCACAGAAATTTGCAGGTCGCGAGCTGCCAATCGCTTTGTCATCCCTTGCTCTCCAAAGGTGCAGGTCTTCATTCGGGGGGTAACTTCTACAGGTTCCAGCTTGTGACGTTTAAAATCAAACTACAACAAGTGAGATCTGATGTTTGTGTCGTCGTCGGCAGGTCCGATTCTGGCAGCTGCCATCTCAGAAAGCATAGAGCCGAACTCGTGCACATCAAGCTTGCCTTCCACCACCTTTACAGCAAATTCGTGTGCCGGCGTGTTGAGGTGCCGGTCTTCATGTCCCTGCAAATCTGGGTGGTCATCTCCAGCCTCTTTGTTTTCACAGAAAACACCTGGAACTCTCCCTCCCAGGCTGCTTTGCTTCAGACTGCACAAGGGTTGTTCGTCGACCTGGGGCACGAAGTTCTGAAGGCATTCTTCGCATCTGTGCCATCAGCCATGTATTGGACGTCTTCTTTCCTCATAGGACGCTGCATCTGTTTTCTTTTTGACAAAGTTTCCTAGACTTGGCCCATTACAGGAGAGTGGACCCTGGCGGACTTTTCTCCAGGTGCTGGCTCACGAGCCCGAGGCTGAGGTGGCTGAGGTGGCTGTGGATGCCAGATATGGTTCATGGATGTTCATGGATTCATGGCCCTTTCGAGATCTTAGAGCTCAGCCCGAAGCCATGCTTGAAGCCCCGGGCAAGGTCTGCATATGCACAGCGCTTTTTGGTGTCCTCCTTACCTGTGAACGCCGCAGAAAGCGTCAGAAAGCTGCGGGCTTGTTCACAGGGAGTACGCAAGAAGAGTATTTGCAAACGTCTCACGCCCAGGTATCATGGGCTTCGTCAGAAACTCGAAGTCGAAAAATCTGCTAGCATCTGCACAGGGCCACAGACAAAATGAAAGTCGGGTGTTCCCGAGGCGATTCCTATGGGTATTCTCATGGAGGCTGATGGCTCAGCAATGCGGGTGTACATAAGCGCAAGGGCAGCAAATTTCCAGCGACTCCGGCAGGGGGTCAAGCAGTCCATGGTCGTCGACATGATGGAGCGCAGACCCCCAGACCTCTCACTGGGCCCATAGCTCAGAGCAACCAAGCATAGTCCAGGCGCCTCCCCCTCAACGAGCTGGCGGAGTATGAGGAAGCAAAGGCCAGAGTTGTGTTGGCCACAATGCAGGCAACTCCTTAGAAACGTGGGATATGAACATTTGTGCAGGGGACATCAAAGCGTGGGAGCCTTGCACTGGCAGAAGGATATTCTCCACACGTCTCCATGTTTCATCATGTTTCATCATGTCTCCACAGATCGCATGGGCAAGTTGCTTTCCCCCTCGAAGCGTCATGGCGTTGGCATGTCAGGGTCTCTAAAGTTGGTTTTGTCGTTGGTGCAGCGGGGGCGTGGTGGGCGGGGCAGCTGCACGGAGCAAAGCGCACGCCAGGGACACCTGATCAGAAAGGCAGTTCAAATTTCTGCGATCAAGTGTCCGATGCACTTTTGTGCACATGTTGATTTAGCGTTGTTTTGCTTTGATCCCCTCAGTCCCCCGGAGCTCATACTTCATGTGTTGCAGGTGTGGAACTTTGGAACTTGGAGACTTTGCTTTCCAGCCACATGTAACGAGCAATGGCCTGGCAGACCATTTTTGTCCCTGGAAGGTGCTGGAGCTGTAATGAGCTGTACTCTGTAGCTGTACTATGGAAAGGGAGTTGCATAGGGCAAGATGCCGGGCTTTTGGGAGGCCTTGTCAACCGCGAAACCGACGATGCTGGTTCACCGCAAATAGCAGTAGTTTGTACGCGTGCACATGTAACGCATGTTTTCATGTTTACGGCATTTGTGCATCCGCACATGTCTGGACTCGAACTTGATTAACTTTAGGTCCCTGTATTTTGATATTCTCAATGGTCGATGACCCACAAATGGTGGAATCCGTTCGGTTTGTGACATGTAGCAAGCACGGCATGGCGCGGTATTGCGAGCGGTCCGGCGGTGTTGAATTTTGTGTTTGTTTTTCCTTGAGTGTTTGATCAGCCAGCATTGGCTCCTGGCCGAATTCCTACTTTCAGCAGTTTTTGAGATTCCCGAGTCCGCGGCGGGGAGCAGACACAGAGACCAGCACGGCGAGCATGCTAAAGGGTTGAACGCCCAATGCTCGCATCATCTCATGCGAGCATCGGCCTCAAGATTAATGTTAATCACCATGCAAACAGATGCGTTACGAACACATCAAATCCCGGCAAGCTTTAAACGGTGTTCTTCTTCCAAATGGAGTTGGACGGCCCAAGGGCCGAGCAAAATGAGGGGCCCTACTGGGTGGAACATGGTGGAACGGTGCGCCGAATGGGTGGCCACTTCACAACTTCACGCTGGCTTTCCTCCTTTTTCCTCCCTTGCTTACGCTTTTTCGGGCAGCGTCGCATCAGTTCACTTGTCCGTAGCTACACGGGCAACCAGTACAGAGACAGGCCTATACCATAGATTAACAGGGAAGATTTCCTTGACTACCCTTCAAGGTCCGTCACAGCAGGCCATCAAGGCAGACACCAGTCATTTTGCTCGCTGCTGCTGCACCTGGTGTTGTCCACTGTCACACTTATTCAGTACATTTCAGTACGGACCAGGCGCAGGGCACAGATGCGTCAAGCTCGAGGACGCAGCGTGTGCCCGAACGGGATTCCTCCCGAGTAAACGGTTGCAGTTCTTCAGAACGTGTCAGGGTGCGTTGCGAAGGAACTACTTTCCACTGCCGACTTTCCTTCTAAGGGCCTAAGCCCTAAGCCGTGAATCGTTCACGTGCGAGGATTGACACTGGTGGAATCGACAGGCATCAGCAGTCCCAGCCGTAGGAGATTCCACCTTGAGACTCTCCCAGCTCTGCTTTGCGACTTTGCGAGTGCCAAGGCTGAAGCGAGCTGCCAAGCTCGCAGCCATGACCAGGCTGCAGGCTTCCAAGACCTCCAAGGGTCAAGCCAAGTGAGAAGCCCAGCATAAAGCGACTGTGGCCGCGGCAAAAAAGTGGCGGCCCCAATTTGCGCCCAATTTGATTGAGGTTGCTGCACCAAGTCTTTAGAAGAAGCCTGGAGTGCTTGAAGCTTTTTAGCTTTTCCCTCAGTGGGTCTCAAAAGCTTGAGCAGCGACACTCGAACACTTTACAGACGCGTCTCCCCCGGCAGCTGCAAATACTTCTCGTTAGTGACATGCGATGTAGTTGATGTCGACAGCTGCAAGAAGCACGAAAAACAAAAGTTTATGGACTCCTTGAACATCTCATGATTCGTTGCAGCCATGTGGCGCCTGGCGGCATGTGCAGTGTTCATCGCTGCTTCCCTAGATGTCGTACAAGACGATGGCTTAAGGGCCGAGTTCCAGCACCTTTGGGACATGGTGGTCGTCAACCAGCAGTCCCGGAATGTGTCACAGGCGACGGGTGCAACCAAGTGCAACCTACCAACCTTCCTTCCTCTGGAGCCTTGCCCTGCCCTGGGGCCTCAAGACGTTCACGCGGGAGCAAAGACCGAATCCGACGGACTTGTGGTCTTCTGGTGTCTTCTGGGGGTTCGGTTTTTGCATGCTTTGGGGAGATGGGTTGGCTTCTGTTGTTGTTTCGTTTGATGTCCTGCCCTTCTCTTTCTACTTGCATGCTCGACTGGGAACATGAGAGTAGTGAGTCCAGCGCACATACGTGCATGACTCTCACTTTAGCGAACTAGCGGTGAACAAGTGGCTGCTGTTGCAGGGCGAGGCCCCTGCCGTACGGCGGGTATGCCAGTTTGGCGTGAGCGCTGCGACCTTCGACGTGGCCGATTGGATGCTGAGATACGCAGATCCACCGTTGGAGGAATTCCAGTGCATGGGACATCTAAGCTGGCTAATAACTCATGAGCTCTGAAAAAGCAACCAGTCCCAGAACCACCCGAGAAGGCACGAAAATTGCGAAGCGTGATCGTGTTAAGATGAATATGTTGCAGACTACATGCCAGGAGCTGGAAATCAGCGATGTGTTGGGAACAGACCCGGCAGAGGGCATGACACTTGGCACCGTTTGGCACACACATGCACACAGACAGACAGACAGACAGAGACATACAGAGACAGACAGAGACACACAGAGACAGACAGAGACAGACAGAGACAGACAGAGACAGACAGAGACAGACAGAGACAGACAGAGACAGACAGAGACAGACAGACACACACACACACATCCCCTTCACGGAGGGGCGTTTTGCATGTTGAAGACGTTGAGCATGGAATCTGACGTATTCTGACTTGTACTGTTGCTGTTGAAGATGTCTCTTGTCAGGTTGGCGCTCGCTGTGGAGCTGCAACGTCGCTTCGGGGGCCGTGTTCGGATACGAAGCCAGACCCTTTACCAAAGGCCTCCAGGCCCCGCTGACTCTCAGGAGCCACTGCAGGCAAATTTGAAAGGTCTCGGGCTTATAGGGGGCCAGGCTCTGGCAGCCGTAGCATGGTTGATCTCGGCACCCATGCCGAAGGTCTCCCTGTGGGGTGCATGGGGTGCTTAAGACAGCTGAGAGCTACAGGCAGGTCCAGGGCCGATCGGTGAAAGATGCCCCTGGGCCCTTACACGGCGCCCTTTTAGGGCAAATGTTAGGGAATCGTCGGCCCCTCGTGCCCTGGGTGGCATGGGAGATGATGTCGCACAGGCTCAGCATATTCTTTGCTTTTTGCACCCCATCCCGCCCTCGCCCGAAACAAGAGCTCTGCGTACAAGCTCCGGAAGCGCCACCCTTGGGGTCGGCAGATTACAGGATGCGTGGGCAGAGTCAGGGATTGAAACGTGATTGCCAGGAGCTGGACGAGATCTGCGACCTAGTGCTGTTCTCCAAAGTGTCGGTCCGCTTCACTCTTGAGCGGATCATGCACCGGGTGGGCAGCCATGTGGTCACAATCTGGGCATCTGACGAGTGCATAAGCGAGACATCAGAGGCTGGAGCTGGAGCTGAGTTGGCATCCCCGAGTTGCACCATGTTGCACCATTAGCCAGAGCAGACAGGGTTTAGGGTCGCCACTGGTCCCCGAAACGCCGTAACCTCTTTTCACGCCTTTCCACCCTCACCAGTTATTTTGGAACCCTGATCCATCTGCAAGAAGCCCAAAAGCAGTTCTTTCATGAAGCAATCTAGGGAGCTTGGGCCAAACTTAAGAAAGACATGACTAGCATGAGAAATGGGCCTTTTGCAGCATGAAACTAGCCTGTCCAGAAATGAGGGGCGCCGGGCATCGAAGGATTTTTGACCAAGGTGGACACAGGTATTCAAACGGCGGACATACAATCTCGTTTGCAGTTGGATCTGGGACGCGGTGTCAAGATGTGTCAAGCTGTGGAGGTGGCCAGCCCGGCATGTGCTCACCTCAACACCTTCTGGGAGCGAACTTACCTTATGATGCGTGGTTACTGCCTTGGAAGGATTTGCGTGCCAGGGTCGCAATTCAAAGGCAGCGCATCTACACTCCAATGTCTTAATCTGTGCCATTCTCCAGGTATCCACAGGTTCCCCAATGTCAATGTCAAAGCCAAGGCATCTCGAGTCCTGAAGAGCATCCTTCAAGATCCGAACGTGTTGGAGCTCCATTGTGACGAGTTTCAATCAGAGCAGGGATCCAATGCTTCCATCTCTGAGTTTGGCCGCGCAGCTGCAGCCCTGTTGACTTACGGTTGACAAAAGTTTGCCATGCACACAGCTATCGAATGTGTGGTTCAGGCCAGGACTGGTTCATCCTTCGCAATTTTCTGGGCCTCGACGCGAAGGGCATCTATGTAGATGTGGGTGCATCCCTCCCCTTCGACTACAGCAATACGGCACCTCGGCGTTGGTAGCTGACAGCCGGCGCTTGTGGCTTTTGTAAATTTTGTGACTTGAGAGGCATCGATTCAATCGATGATTCCGTAGCCTTGGCTGCGCCTCAGGTCATGCTTGACCGCTGTTTGGGCTGGCAAGGTCTTTGCATTGAGCCGAATCCTCACCTCAGCTTTATCCTAGAGGCGTCTCAGATGAAAACGTGTCACAGTCAGTGTCAGAGTCCCTGCGTCTTTTTGATCTCCCCTGCCGAGCTTGATGAAATCATGGATGATTGCTGCAGGCCTATCGCTCCTGTCGGGTCTTTACGTGTCTCTGCGGCATGAAAGCTGGTTTTTGTGTTGTCATGGCTCGAGAACAGCAGCCGGCACACGGAAATCAGAACTTGCAACCGGGTTAAGAGTTCAGGGTTTTGAGACTTCTTTTGGAGGTCAGGGGCACGTCAGTAGGGTTGACGCGTTGAGAGATGCAGCAGTTTTATGGTTGACCTGCTTCTCCGGGCTTCGGTGTTTCATTGTGGCTTCTTTATGCTTCTTTGGAAGAGAGCCCATTAAAACCATGACCTCCTCCTCATGTCCATCTGTCTGCGAGGAATTGCGTTGACGAGGTGCCGAGCTGTGTCCATAATGTGCCAATGTGCACACGAAATCTCTCTCTCGCTCTCTCTCGCTCTCTCTCGCTCTCTCTCGCTCTCTCTCGCTCTCTCTCCTTCGCTCTCTGCTTCGCTCTCTGCTTCGCTCTCTGCTTCGCTCTCTGCTTCAAGATGTGCAGAAACGCTGCGGAGACACTGAGTGCAACCGTTGCAACAGGCCGGTTTCGCTGGGCGTCCATTCTCCGACCGGGATGGCAAGCTGGAGTTCCATGCGGACTGCTAGAGATTACGAGAGCAGCTGACAACAGCATAAGACAGGCCCGAGAGCCGCCCCCCAACCAAACAAAATCTTGCGTGAGGACTGCCTGCCATTGACCGAAATTTTACGCGAAGGTGGGCTTTCTGGCCAGCGCATCGACTTGCTCAGCATCGACGTTGAACACCAGGTCAGCCATCTCTTCATATCTCTTCTCCTGGCAGTGAAGGTGTTTGGCATGTGCTGTGCTGCTGGGCAAGGAGTTGGCTGTTCTGAGGGGCTTGTCGTTCGAAGAATTCGACATCCGCATCATTGCAGGGCCCCCGAATGCTGCACCAAGGCAATATACTTGCATCAACGCTTTGTTGTCGACTCATGCTGTCCTAGAGCTGCGCAGCAATGTACAGCATGAGGTTGTTGAAGTGACGCGTGGTGCTCGGTGGCTGGAGGCACCCGCAAGACGGTTGTTGGAGCTAGAACAAGGGTGTGCAGAAACTCCAACAGAGCAACAGCAGCTACTAGTGCAGGACTGCAATTATCTTCAATGATCTTCTGACCGCAATTGCAGCTGCAACCCTTGCGAGGTCGACTCAATTCTCTTGCCGAAGGCGCTCCGGAGAATGTCTTCATAATGCGTAGACGCGTTAGCACTGGCAATGTGCCTCCTCGCTGGTCAGGGATATGCAAAAGTTGCTGTGCTTGGGCGTGACGTTGTCTACATCAAGCTTCAGGAGTCGACAACTTTTGACATGGCGAGTTCGTAAACGCCGTGTTACTTGTTTGATTTTTAAGAAGAAGGTAACGCGAACTATGACCTGCATCAACTTTGTGTGTTCAATATGAGGCGACCCCGCAACTACAGCTCCTGACACACGAATGTGGCGCTCGTACCGCGCCAGCCACGCGCTAGCACTCAGTCTAGGAGTCGAGGAAGTGTAGGCAGTACTTGACTGAACTAGAACTCGACGAGTTTTCTTCCCGGCTCTGGAAACCGGCGGTTCCAGTACTTGTACTACTGGTCAACGAACGAGTTTCATCTCGGCTCTGTCATAGCATCCAGCACCGCTGCATCATCAATGGCTGACGTCATGACAGTGGAAGCTGAAGGTATCAGGGGCGGTTGGGTTGGAATCAGAGCGCGGAATCAGATCAGCCAATCGGATCAGCGGAAACAACAAAACAGATCAGGAGGCACAGCGCCTTCTCAGAACTCAGCTTAGACGAGCCGGATCGCGCGCGCCCCTCAATCGGCTCACACGACGTGCCCGGCTTGCCGTGTGCATCAACACTGCAAACCTTGACGCCTACATGACTTCCAGGTTAGAACCTATCTGATCTCGCAGCGACGGTTCCAGTTTGATCTTTCCTCTGCTCACTCATGTGCCGCGGATGGGGTGCGAGGACGTCCGGCGTGCCTGGGCGACTCCTGTCCAATGTTTTTTTAGGTTTCGGTGCGATTTTTCAAGACAGCAGCTGTGGTGCCGCAAGCTCCTTCGTACACGAAGCAGCCTACCAGCAGCATCCGTCTGGTCAGCAACGCGAAAAAGACTTGTTCGCGGTGTGAGACTCGTCCCGTTACTCATAGACAGAACCAAAGAGATATTCATTCCATGCAACCCTGTCGGCTTCAAGGCATACATACACTATACTGAAGTGCATGCCAAGCAAGAAGCCTAGGAAACAAGCAAAAGCATCTCACGGCGAGCTCCTTCTATACATGGTCAATCCATAGTCGGCTTGGAACGTCTGTCGTAAAGATGCTGGTAAGTAAGCTAAAAGTGGTCATGCCCAAAAGTAAATGGTCCCCTTTTGATACTTTCCAGGGCTTAAAATCAACATCAACCAATAGCAACATATTCCAGGCTCTGAGGCATGCAAAGCAAGGAAGCCTGCAAAAGTACTCGGTCAAATGGCAAGCATCAATTAGTTTCGTTGTCAGCGATGCACTTCAGGATATTATTTGTAGAAGCCGAGAATTTGCGTCGAATGAACTCTTTGGTTCTGTCTATGAGTAACGAGGATATTCTCATGACACCACGAATCACCGCGAACAAGTCTTTTTCGCATTGCTGACCAGACGGATGCTGCTGGTAGGCTGCTTCGTGTACAGAAGGAGCTTGCGGCACCAAAGCTGCTGTCTTGAAAAATCGCACCGAAACCTAAAAAAACATTGGACAGGATGCATTCATTCATTCCTGCAACATACATTGCTCCAAAGCTTCCTGCGTCAGGTGGTCGCCTAGGCACGCCGGACGTCCTCGCACCCCATCCGCGGCACATGAGTGAGCAGAGGAAGCATCAGACTGGAACCGTCGCTGCGAGATCAGATAGGTTCTAACCTGGAGGTCATGTAGGCGTCATCCTTGGGTACATCCTGAGCACCCCACCACCACGCTCCGATACAGCCATCACGTGATCCTCATCTAGTTGGCTCTCTTGTGCCGATGCGGTGCTCCGACCCGGCGTTCCGCGATTCAGTTCGCTTGTGTTGTCTAATCCTGTTGCCCCGCCCGAGTCGCAGCTAGTAGTGATCCAGTTTCTCTGAGCTGATATGTCGTCCTACCAGTGTATATCATAGTGAGTGACAGTGCTTCCCCAGAAGCTGACTGATGGTGACTGCATGTGATGGGTTTTGTCCAGTACCAGGCATCATGCACTTTTATTCTCCTGCAACGGCTTTAGAAGTGAGGAAAGCAATGCAGTGTGCGCAACAACTGAGATCTGCGTGTTTCTCGCTGCTTTGCCAAGACATGTACCGAGATTTCAACGTGAGCAAGCCTTGCATCCCCTGAATTCGTAGCGGCTTCGCAGCAGTCGCAGTGCCTGGGTGTGACATGGTGCGACGGCCTCATACGGCGTCAATGCTGGTCCGACCCAGAGCTGCGCTTGACCCTGGTTGCTCGAAAATAGCATCATGTAGCATAATGAAATAATGAAGCAGGAGCTGCTTTCGTGAGAAGATGTGGCGTGCAGCTGCAGAAGTGTACGCTGCTGTTTATTTAGCGAAGTGCGGCTAGCTGTTGCTAGCGTCGGATGTTGCCGCTCCCTCTCGCGTTGGAAGCTCTCAAGGGCGGCTGTTTTTTTGGGCCTGCTGTGCTTTCGTTGCGCATCTTGCAGGAGCTGCAGCACCGCGGAGATGCGACTTGACCTTGTGTGTACGAAGTGTGTACGATAATTTTCACAATTCTGTGTTGCTGGAATGTTCTGGGTATTTCTGGGTTCTCTTCAGCTCAAGCTGCCGAGGACTGGCCTTTGTTTGCAAAGTTTGACTCTGCGAAGGCAAAGCAATCGGGTGCTGCTACTGTGAAAGTCAACCGGATCGCTCATTTTGCCAGACTCAGGCTGTCTTGCCGCCGGGATGGGCCGAGTTCCATCAGCGTGTGCTAGATGAGGAGATGGAGGAGGACTGCGCAGCATGAGACCCCCTACTGATGGGTAACTTGCGGCGTTTGCAATTCTGTGTGTACAGCCGTGGTAGTAGTTTGCCGAGAACGGTCGCTCTAACACAGCATCCCCGCCAGCAGCGCTTGGCTTCCTGCACTCTGTTGCAGATCAGCGGTGACGTTGCTGCACTTCGTCTGACCCCACAACTTCAGTACATGTGTCCTCATCCACGTGTGTCGTGCCTCGGTTTTTGCTGCCTCACTTCTGCCACATTCTGCCACGACCACCCTCACCTGCACCGCCTTCACCACCGCCCTCACCACCCGCATCACACTCCCCGCACTCACCGCCCTCGCCACCATCCTCACCAGCATCACCACCCTCATCTCCGTCCTCGCCGCAGCCGTCGCCGCCCACGCCACCCAGCCACCCACGCCACCCACGCCACCCACGCCACCCACGACGCCCACGCCGCCCACGCCGCCCACATCCGCCCACCCCACCCACGCCCGCCACCCACCGCCACCCACCGCCACCCACCGCCACCATCCGCCACCCACCGCCACCCACCGCCACCCACCGCCACCATCCGCCACCCACCGCCACCCACCGCCACCCACCGCCACCCCACCGCCATCTCACGGCCACCCACCTCCACCCCACGCCACCCACCTCCACCCACCATCCACACCATCCGCACTATCCACACCATCCACACCATCCACACATATCCACACCATCCACACGCCACCCACACCATCCACACGCCACCTACACCATCCACACGCCACCCACACCACCCTCACCATCCACGCACCACCCACAGCACCCACACCACCCACACCACCCACACCGAGCAGCAGCAGCAGCACCACCACCACCACCACCGCCACCACCTGCAAATGTAGCTATGCAAATGCAGCCGCGCATTGATGGTAGGAGACTTCGAAAACTCGCGCTTGCTCAGCAGGAGATGCGGCAGGAGCGCCATGCATACTATGCAGGTCTGAGACGCACAAAGCCTGCGCCATTAGACCAGCAAGATTCGCTAGATGCAAGATCGTGATTGCTTGCGGAGTCGCATCTGGCGGCCAGAATGTACTCAAGCAGCTCCTTGCAGTGATTTGTGATTGCCAGTGTTGCAGTCTACTGCGCATGCACTGCATGTTCTCAGTCGTTTTTTAAATCTTTGACGCGTCGATAGCCTCATGGCTCGTGAGGGGAGTATTGAATTTGTTGGGTCTTCGGCCTTCCCCCTTGTGAAGCTATGGGTGCAGAGGCAGGTCAGGGCATAGGGCATGGCAGGCTGATTCTGAGCTGTTCGTCCAAGCGAATGACAGGACAAGGTGAGTGTTGCATCCGCGACACTGGAGGGAGGCACAGTGCTGTTGTTCCGAATTCTACTGGTTCTAATGCTCGCATGCGCTGCAGGCAGAACCAACATGCTTGTACTACAAATTTAAGGAATACTTGGACCTGGGCATTGACAAGGTGTTATGTAAGGCAGAAGAACACCTTAGTTGTTGGCATTCGGTCATCGGTTTAGAGTCAACGACACTGTTGACCGCCAGCATTACAGGATATTACAATGTCGCTGTAGAGCGTCTGTGGAGCACGGTCGAGAACAAGGTTGCAGAACAAGATGCCGAGCAGGCAGCGCCGCCTTGATTTCGGAGAACGTCGGGCAGATGCTGATGGCCGTGCCCTGACCTTTCTGCGACAGAAACGACGTGCTAGATGATCCTTCTCAGGTGCTGTTCGGCGCATACATTGCGGTCGCACATCGCTGGTTGGACCGGCAGCACCTTATGCTTGCCATCATTGCTGGGGGCCCAGATTTGTCCGGTGTTGTCCGGCCAAAAATGTAGGTTCCCCATGGTTCCCCACGTGTGTTGTGATAACTTGCTGCACATGCAGTTGGTGGATGCTGCCTGCCAGAACGACAAGCCTTTTCAGTGGGACAGTTTTTTTTGTCTTTGGCCTTTCGTATTCGCAACTTGCTGAGCCCTTTAGCGTGGACAATAAAGTGACGATCAGCAAAATGCAGAACAACAGACACAAGCATAGAAATCTGGTGATGGGGGATCACGACTTAAGGTTCCACTGCTCGTGGCTGCGTTGACGGCTTCCTGCTTGGCCTTTTTCCGGAGTGCCAAACGACGCCTTCCCGCATCGAAGCAGGAGGACCACCGCAGAGCTTGTGCGAATTTTGTTTGTAACATTGTACCTGTGCGAGGGTGTGGAAGCCGAGAGCTTACAGGCTACTGGCTCCGCCTCAGGCTCAGAGTGTGGGGAAGAGGTTTCGTTGAGATGCCAGCCTTTACAACCCAGCCAAGGAGCAGATAGAGCAAGATGAGGCATGACACCTGCTGATTTGAAGTCCCAGTCCTTGTCTTTCCTGTGCAGGAAGATGTGGACCCAATCTGGATGGCGGATTGGACGAATCGCGAGGACCTGACTGATGTATGCTCTGACGTGATCTTCGGTTTGCCGAAGCAGTTGGCGAGCACGAATCAGCCGTGCGTGGCCAGCGTTGTGCCACCTCTGTTCTTCATTCTTAATGAGCTGCATCACCAATTCAACGAGACATGTCATACAGTCACTATTCGACATTCGCCAGGAGAGGGAGGAGGTGGCTAAGAAGCTTCAGAAAGCGGAGCCCCCGCGCAAGGTCGAGGCGAACTCCTCTGCCATACAAGCATCACACTTCCAACCGCTTGTGCAGTGCAATCAAGGTGTTCGACCTCAACGACACACCGACATGGCTAGCCCAGATGCACAAGCGAAAAGAGCAAGCCCAACGTGCCGGAAAGGATAAGCGAGCCTGGCGACTTCTCGCATCCAGCAGGGAGTTCTCGATAGAATCAATGCCCCTCAAACAAGTGGCAGGCTTGTCCAGAAGCTCGACAAAGAGATTGAGCAAGCGACGAGGAGTAAGTCGCTCACCGTTACGAAAGGCCGCATTGGCGCTGTTGCTGTTTGTTGCAGTTTTGCTCTTCAAAGTGCAGGCCCGTGCAGCATGTGCTGTTGATTCCCAGAATGGACTGGTTGTGCCTGATGTTCCTAGATGTTGTTAATCTTCTGATGTCGCAGCACTGTCATCATCGTAGCAAAATCTGTGGTCAGGCCCTGAGCTGCGTGCAGGCCGTGAGGCTGCCGAGGCCGTGGAGAAATCAGAGATTCTGTTTTGGGGATGAATCAATAGGATGGGTTTTCGAAGGTTTTCTGTCTTGCAGGCTTTGTTGAGTTCGCACAGGCAGCACACGAAGACGATGTCTGGAGCATGGACTGGTCCAACTGGAGATCTTTTGAGTCGGCCCCGGCAGCCGTGGCAGCGGCGTAAAAGCTGCGTAGTCTCGTGGGGGTCTTTCAGAGAGTTTGTGCTGGTAGTCAGCTGCCTGTCAACGCACGACAGATCACAGCCATTTCATGAATTTTGCAGCCTGATATAGCCTTATAGCCTTTGTCTGAGACGGTCACCACATGCTCGTCAGAACCTCATTTTGGAGGCCCCTTCGACTGAGATCCTTAAGACCCCAACGAAGCTAGAGACAGCACAGCTGCGCAATCGTAGAACATAGTCTGGTTGCTTTCCAAAGATGGCATCCGGAGTCTCTTTTTCACGCCATGGTGGCGCCGCTCTAGCAACCATTGTGGTCCACCGGTGCCCTAACTCGTGCCCCGCGTAGCCAGTTGTCATGTCGGGCCATCAAAGGTGTTTGCTTCTACGACAGATCACCAAATGCTGACTGTCGGAGCAGCAGGATGCAGAATGAGGTGTGATCTTGGCGCTCTCAGGCGTTCTCGCGGATTTTCTAAAATTAGCTGCAGAGGTATCTCCTGAAAGACAGCCGTCGGGCGAAAAAGGCTTGTGATCCGGAATGGATCCTGACAGATGGATGATGTGATGTCGTACATAATCAAGCCGTAAGGTTTGGAACCGAAGTGCCCAGCTGCTGCCCGGAGTCGCAACCTTGCAGATGCTTGTGGGCAATTGCTGCAGCGTTTGTGCTCGCTTAGCTCGCATACTGGGCCTCCATCCTCATGGACGCAGGCTTCTGTGCATTCTGCCTTGCCAGGTGTCAGGTGTCAGGTGTCTTGTAAAGTAAATAAATTCACAAAAATATCAAGAATGGCGTTCAGGCATGTCTGGCTGTCTGGTGGGTCGTGCTGTTCCTGATTTTCTCGCTTCATTGCCGCCACTGGAGCTGGAGCCTTGAGAAGCAGTGATGCTGGGATTTACAAAGGCTGGCGATTTTGCTCGTCTGATCAGATGTGATAAGATAAGGGGGAGGTCCACTCGGTCTCGGTGGTGTCCGCCCTTGAATGTCTTTCAGACATGGCTTGGTCAAAGCAAGAAGGTATTGGACAGTCAGCACATACATGGCATGTAACGTACATGTAACGAAGACATAAAAGGCCACATGCACTAAAACATTGGGGCATTTAGGTCTTGCTCTCCAAGGCTTGAGGAGCTGGATCCAACACCGGTTCCGGCCGAGCTTCAAGGAGACTGAGATCCGTGACATTTGAAATTTGACGGCCATCTGTGCAAATAGCTGTGCAAAGAGTGCGATGCCGCAGCCCCTACCCAGAAGCGCCATCGCCAGCTGGTTCGGTCTACACGCCTGGCTCGCAGTGTCCGGCAAGGAACCATTCAGACTGTCATGTGAAGCGCCATTGAGGCCTGTAAATGCCCCTTCAACCTACTGGCGGACAACGATTTGTGCGAAGCTTTGTGAAGCTTTCGTCGCCTGTGCACATTGCGCAGACTTTGTCCAACGGGCTTTTTCAGTTTGTTCAAGAAAATGGATGCTGTGGGAGTTCTTGTGTTTTCTTGCAGCCTTTTTAACTGTTTTGTGTGTTTCTTGGATACTGTTGTCTCTGTGTTTTCTTCATCATATTGAGGACTTCCCACAATGCCCCTTTTTGGTGCAACATGCATTTCTCCGCGAAAACACAACCAAAATAATCGGACAAACCTGCAAAATCCATTGTCACCAAAGAGTCCCAAATCTGTTTTGGTTATTTTATTGCTTTTTTGGGCCTTCTCCGGCATGGTACCGTGCGCGGCACTTCCCACTTCCGGAATTCCCAATATGACACCTTGCACGTGGCGCTTCCGAAAAAATGAAGAACGGCTTCTGGGACAGCCTACCAATGATGCGCAAAGCCCCTCGAAAAGCAAGACCAGAAGGTGCTCCAATTTTGCGCGAGTGTTCTTGCAAAGTAGTGTGTTTCAGTGAGACAAGTGTGATAAGATCTGTACCGTTCAAGGATATCATTAGGTATAGAACTCAAGGTGACTTTATTTAAAGATCTTCTATCATAGGGTGCCTACGTTTATAGATGACTATTTGTTTCCTTCATGCAGGGTTGATCTTATATACCTAGTTTCTTGTCTAGGAATAGCAAAGCAACACAAAACTATTTATTGCAGCCAGATGTTCTGCTACATTCTGACTTCTAAGCTAGCCTTGTTTTAATCAGTTTTTCTTTTTCTAAAGATGTTCTATAACTGCGGTTCTTGAAATATGTAATTTGCATTAAGAGTCACTGCGAGACGTCGACAGTTTGGACGCCCCAGAGCCTGTGAGTGAGTGAGTGAGTGAGTGAGTGAGTCGCCTTCACAATGCATTCAACCCCGCAATAAGCAAGACTTGGAGTCTACATTCACCAACCAATAAACAACATTTGGAATCATAGTAGTCTCAGCCTACTGGGTTCTATACGTGCACTAATTTCTGACAATAGAATGTTTGTTTTTTGTTTATATCAAATATTGACAAACCTCATGAAACCTTAAAATCAACAAAACTCCCACAGTCCCGGACTCGAAAAATATGTCAAGCTATTTCAAAACGTTCACTCCACAGCGTCCTGGTCTCGAAACTAAGTATGCTCTTATCTGCTTTCAAGAGCTGAAGCAAGAAATGTCCCAGAGCCGAGGCCCCTTGGCGCCTCACAAAAGGCACTCGCACTGGCCGCCACGGCCCCGTTTGAGCGCGCCGCAATGTGGCGCGGCATGTCACTCATGTCGTTTCTTTGCAGGCAGCGAAACTTGTAGTTGGCCTATAGCTCCTGAGTCAATGCTGATAAGCTCAGTAGCTTTAGAAGCGATGCAGAGGTCGAGTGCTGAGTCGACTCCGAGGCCGCGCTTCTCTGTTCTCTCTGTAATCTCTTGCTTACGTGATGTCTTTGAACTACCAGTAACTAGCGTTGCAGCCGTGTTGTCTCGCTCTTTCTTCTCTTTTTTTGGTCGGGCGCCTCTTCAGATCGTCGTGCCCGACACCAACTTTATCATGGCCGTCTACAAGTCCGCCTGGAGCTCGGAACTCTGCAGTTGGAATTCATGAGAGCAGTTGGAATTCATGAGAGCATGAAACCAGGAGATCAGTGTTTATATTAGTTTGCATGTGTTTGCGCACTGTGCAATCCTTGCCAAGAAGAACATTCGCTCCCCGTGATTGGTTTCAGTTGGCGATTTGTGCAGAATATTCACATGTACGTGGCTTCAGGACACATGGTTGTCTTGGTGGATTTGGGCTGCCCAGTCCCATGGAGCTGGATGCTCAAAACGTTTGCTCCATCAAGCTCGTGGCAGCAGCAGTAGCTGCAAGATTTCGTGAGACCAAGGAACAACACCTTGAGCTCGGCTTTCCCACAGACCTTTGTTCCAAGGACCGTGTGCTCGCTAGTTGGTTGGTTGGCTGGTTGGCTGGTTGGTTGGCGTGCTGGCTGGCGGAGACTATCCTGCAAGCACTTGTCGAACACATCGACGCGTGTCACGTCACAGTCATTCACAGTCGCCTCTCTCAGACTCGAGACGGGTTTCTGCATCACTCCCATTGACATGGACGTGCAATGTTGTGTATTTCCCAGTCGGCTCAAGATGCCTCGCTTCAAAGGTTGATGATAAGGCCGGGACTGGACCCAATGGACCCGGCCTCTGTTTTCTCTGTTTTGGAAGCATTGCAGGGCGAATGCCAGGAGCGGGAGGAGGCCATCAAGCACTCCCAGAAGCACCTTGAGCATTTGCGGCGCCTGGAGCGTGTGGCACTCGCCGGGGCTGATTCCGGGCGCTTGACGCAGCTTCGACAAGTTCGAGGAGAGATCTTGTACTTTGTCCAACATTTCTCGGGCCCTCACATATCTCAAATCCAGACAAGCACAGCCGATGGGGATCCTTCTGAGAAGAGTGCAGCCTCGTTGCTCCGGGATGTGCGCCACTGGCATTCAGAACTGAGACGGCTAGAGTGGATAGAAGCCTCGCAAGCCAAAGCAGAGTCGGAGAGGTTCAAAGGCTTGCCTCTCACCCCTCTCACGGCAGAGCTCTGTGCACTTCACCAAGTGTTGGTGGAGCAGGAGGAAAGCAGAAGGGCTGCTGAGGAACACTTTCAGCAACTCCAGCATCCATCGCGGACTTCGCCGGGTTTGTTGCCTGAGGCACCGTCCGCTTGCAACGCAAGTGTGGCTGCCGGCATTCGCCTGGCGACTGGTGCATCTGGCACCCGCCCCCAGCCTGCGAGAGAAACGTGCGATGTGAGAGGTGGTGCCGGCTTCTCACGCTCTCTTTTCAACGACTTCCGATTGCAGGACGGTGCTGCGACGAGCATGTACTTTGCCTCCTGCACCTGAGCACATCTTTGAGCCGGAGGAGGCGTTGCGGGTGTGTGAGATTGTGTAAGCTGATAGTCACTGATAGATGTAGCAAACCTATTTCTCGTGAATGAAGAAGCCGTGCCAGTGCATCATGCGTGTGTTTTGAGGAGGATGTACCTGACATGCTATCCATGGACCGAACCGTCTCGGAGCCTCACAAGTTGGCCCGTATCTTATCGAAGCACTGAATTGCTTGGCTTGGCCTTCTGTACCGTTTGTACCGTTGATGGCCAAGGAGCGCGTTGTGCTGACGGACGCTCCAGACACGCCGCACAGGGAACCCAAGGCTTCAAACAAGCCCTGGCAACATCTGGCCTCTTGAGAATGTCTGAGAGGCCGCTGATGCAGCCACTCGGCCTGGGATCTCTCACATCAGCCTGGCACTTAGAGAATTTAGAGACCTCGAGCGTGTTAGAGCATGTTGGAGCATGTTGAACATGCGCTCCAACATTTGGAGCTCGGGGCCCGTTGGGTGTGAAGTCATGAGCTGCCACGTTGCAGCTAGGCTCAAGCGCTTGGGTGATATGCCATAGGTGACAGGCAAAGGATCAATCGGCGTATATCGGCGTAACGTTCAATTTCGTTCAATAGTGTCAATTCGCGAGGTCCCGAGAAGGTGGAGAGGTCGCTTCGACGGATGCTCAGTGACGTGGTGGCCGCCGCTTGGCTCGCGACCGAAGACAAAATCGGACATTGTAGGTCCATGTAGGTCCTACAACCCCGTTGCCATAGCCCTGAGCAGTATCGGCCCAATGGGAATCTTATCATTGTCTGTAGGCACTCTATAGGTCCATAGGCCGTAGGTCTGTGGGTCCCCTTTGTAATTGTACTCCCTTTGGGTTCTGCAATGTTGCAGTGGCAAGCAGCTCAGGAAAACGACCCTGAGCACGCAAATGACAAATGCGGCATGCACGTGTAAAAGTCGCTGCGTGCGACAGAGGGAGAGCTACTGAGTCTTGCCGATGCTGCTTGTGAACGACTGGGTATGAAGGGGTTATTAGCATCGTGATTTTTCCTTGACTGACCAATGTTGGCCATCGTTTCCAATCGTGGCATTGCTTGACAATAATTTGACCGGCCTATGTGGCACAATTCAGATGGCTCCTCACGCTGGTTAAGAGGCCGCTCGCAACGACTCATCCATGCAAGCACACATCCATGCAAGGTTGGAGAGAGCCCTTATCTTGTGAACTTGTCGACGGCCTTTAACAATTTGAATGGAGTCGCTGGCAATTGGTGCATTGAGACTTGCTCAACATGCTCGTCTACGTCGCAATCGGAGGAACAGGGCGGCAGGCAGGCCACGTAATGCCACGTACTATTTTTATTTATTCTTCATTTCGACGAATTTCGACGTGTCTAGATGTCTGCCTTGGTGCTGTGTTCGGGAATCACAGGGACCATGCAGCCGCCGCTGAGCTTGATGCCTTGTTTAGTTTCTGGTGCAGGAGTGCTGCAACGCTGTAAATCGCATGGGTCACGTGCAATGGCAATGGAAGCGTGGTGTCCGATCAAGCTCGCATGGTTCGCACCTCAAGATCCAGAAAGTTCCAAGCTGTCAGCAGCATCTCAAAAGAAGATGAGATGTTTGTAGCAGGAGAGATAGGTGCTGGATTGTGCTGGATTGTCTCTGGCGCCCACCAGGGGGGTTTTCAGAAGGACAAAAGATGCCAGCCGACCAGCTGCAACCAATTGCAACCACGATGTGCAGGTCCTAGACGGCAAGACCCAGAGAGGTCGCTCACGCCCGTTAATGGGCATGCATGAGGTCCAACCTCCAATGTGGTAATTGTTTTGCTGCGCCGCCTCATTTCGCCTAGGAATGAGCGCTGCTCGGAAGTGTGGGTTTCTGGCTCCAAGCGAAAGTGCTTGTCATTTGGTCTGTATTGTCCTTCCCTTCTGTGAAGCGTTTATGTTCTCTAACATGGCCTCATACACGGGTAGCCATCAGGCTTTAGCTTTGAGCCGCTTCGCTGCGTGAACCCGGCATATGGAACGGTTTTGAAGTGGAGTTCAGTGAAGGGATGATCTGTGTGTTTGTTTTTCAGTAGTGTTTAAAGTGTTGGCAGGGGCCGGGGTTGATGCTGTGATGTCACCGTCACTGTAGCTTGACCTGCAGTGATCAGCAGAAACTTTTGCGACGGCGTACCCGTACGGAGTAGAAAAGGCGAATTATCTTGTCTCAAGTTGTCTATCTTCGGCTTTGCCAAGCCATGAGATGTAATGAAACCGTCTCCCAACGTGATCTCTGATCTCGGAGCGGAGAGTCCATGTCAAGCCTAAGTCTGAGAGTCTGAGCCATCTCTCGTCCTTCTTTGCTCGCGTATAGACAGTATTGACAGTAAGTATAGACAGTATCGCCAGTATAGACAGTATAGGCAGTATAGACTTATAAAGAGTTTGTCTGTTGGTCTAGTGCAGTACCAGAGAACATGGCCCGAACACTTGTGGCACCGTGAGGGTGCCTCTTTGAAAGGGGAGCCCTCGCGCAGTGCTCAGCCCCTTCCACGGAGCTCGCGCGGTTCAGTGATGCTGCTGTGATGCTATGCGCTGGCCTCGTGCTGTAAGCCTTGTTCTGTTGGCACTCGGGCTTCAAGATGCTGGAGCCATGGATGCTTGGTCTGTTCGGTGCAAGAGGTCCACCGTGTCGTTTACTGTGTCTTATTTGTGTCCTGTTGAGCCGTTGATATTACACTGTTGCATGGTGCTGTCAAGTGCATGGCAGCAAGGTGGCTCGGCCAGATCTGCACAACTGGATTCCACACATGCGACCTCGCACAGCTCATACTGGTGAACTGCATGAGCTCATGCAGAAGTACCGAGCCTCAGCAAGCAGTGGCATGTTGATTCTAAAGATACTACTTGCAAGGAGACCTTGAAATGTGGTGATCTTGAGCTGCATGGCTTTTACCAGAACAACCGTGCTGTTACAGAAACGCAGCAGTGTCTCAGCAAATTTCCTTTGGCCTTGTTCAGGGGTCGTGGTATTGATGACAAGCATTCCCAGTCGCATCGATCACATGGAGCCTGTGGTGGATGCGATGCTTGCACAAAGCTGGCCGCCCACGGATCCTTGGCTGCATTGAATGCAAAGTGTGCAAAGTGCCGGGTGCATTGACCGTTTGACCCATTGAGAGCCGAGGAGATCTACATGAGTATACCTTACATTTACAACCGGACGGGGGAGACATACGAGATCCCAGGATGGCTGCAATCAAAGGCGGATGCCAAGGCCTTGCAGCTGGTTCGCTGTGTTGACCTGGGACCTGGGACACACCTCTTGAATGGCTTACGACTGGAACAAGATCCGTGGACCTTTCTTGTAGTGGTGGATGATGACCACATCTACGGCACGCAGCCTCAGTTTCCAGAACAGTTCCCAGAACTACTTGCAAAGAGTCGGGAGAGACCAATGACTAGTGACGGACGGGTTCGAATGCTCATTGCCTCCATAATACGTGCGCAAAGGTCCAGAGCTAATCGAGCAATTGATGCGGGCGGCGCTTGGAAATCCGGGCAGCGCGGTCGCGGCTCAAGGCTTCCTCTCCGTGCCGGGGCTGCTCCAGAGCCAGGAACTTCGAGCCTTTCAGGAGCAAGGCCTACCATGGTTTGTCAAGTTCCCAGCCATGATATCTGCCATCTGGCGTGGAGTGTTTTTGCGGAGAGAGAGAGTCGCACATATCACAAAACCGTTCTGATTCTCCGAACTCCACCAAAGACCCCGTCTCACACCGACAAACCCGAAGAAGCGTGCCCCTTGGGGCGACCCCTCTCGAGGGGTTAAGAGCGCTGCAAGCAAGCAAGCAAGCAAGAGAGTCGCGGTGTGATCATGTTATTCTTTGCTCATTGGACCTTCAGTTTTCCCAAGTTGGCGACAGGAAGCCACCCCAGTCCTGGCTAGGTAACAGCAACGAGAGATGTTGCTCGACCCAAAGAGGAGCCGAAGCAGGGGTAGGAGATCTCTGGGAGGGGACAGACATGAGGCTGTTGTGTTTTAGCCCATTGGGATTGGCCCGGAATCACCCCATCTTGAGACAGGAAGCCCCAACCCAGAGTTTCGGCTGCGAAGACCGCAGCCCATACCACGCCCCTAGGGGCAGCTCTCCCTTCGGGGGGGCTAAGCGAGAGAGAGAGAGAGAGAGAGAGAGAGAGAGAGAGAGAGAGAGAGAGAAAAAAAGGGAGAAAGAGCGTGGCCCCTCGGGGCAGTCTCCTTTCGGGGGGAGACCATATGCGCTGGAAAGTCGCTGGAAGGAAGGCAGGAATGGGTGCGCCCAGTGCGCGGAGAGCGGTGACGCGCTTCAAGCCAGCACCAGCAGCAGCAGGCAGCGCAGGAGGAGGAGGAGGAGGAGGAGGAGGAGGGGGGGGGAGGGGAGGGGGAGGGGGAGGGGGAGCAGGAGGAGGAGGAGGTGGGTTGGCTCACGAAGGCAAGCCAGGAGTCAAAGCTGGTGGAAGTCCAGAACCAGATAAAGGGAGTCGAGGCAGAGCAGCACAAAATGCAGGAGAGGGTGGCAAACTTGGCAACAGACACGGGGTTCAGCTCTGCAGCAGGACTAGGACGCCGGCGTGAATTCTGATAGGGGGGTTTGACAGAGGAGGGTGGGGGTGGGGGACGTGTGGTACCTGCCCGGCGGATTCCTGAAGCCCTCATTCCCTCCAATGTTCACCAGCAGAAGAAGCCGAGACAGTTTTCAGCGGCCTCTCTCCACGGTGTAGAGGAAGAAGAGATTCCTCTCTTGCGGAGGTGGCGAGCGACCACGGTACCTGCAAGATCAGGGTTTCGCAGCCGGGCCCGTGCTGGTGAGTTACTTAGGCACGTTGCCTGCCAATTTCGAGACTTTGAAGAAGCATTGGATTCAGGTTTGGGGGGGATGTCCTCAAAGTCTTGTATGTGCCGAGGGCATTCGATGCCACGTCAATGATCCCTGCAGGTGTCGTATACCAGCGCGGTTTTTTCGATGATTCCGTGTTCTCCTACAGCAGTGATTGCCAGCAATGCCGTTACCAGGAGAGCCATCAAACCATTGGAATCATTCGAATGCAAGCTGCAGATCTGCTTTTCTGTTGCAGGACGACATGTGGTTTTCCGCGCATCTGGCGCACAAGGGCATCCGCCGGCTTGTGCTCGGGGCAGCACTTGGCGTACAGGACTTTGCACATCCTTGCGCACTTCGCTTGCGAATGCCATGGGAGGGGACAGTCATAACAAGTTGTGTAACGTAGGAGCTGACCGAGATGCATCTTGGGCCTGAGCTCAAAGCTTAGTGCTGTTAATGCAGGGATGTGCACATACTTCGGGGGACTGGCCTCAACCACTTGTGGCTGCAGTCTGCGATGGAGGTCCCTGACCTTCTGGAAGGAGAACAAGCCTCGGCAGATCAGCGGCCAGTTCGCAAGCACATGCAAGCACCAATCCATGCACCATTGCGCGGTAGTTCAGAGCAACTGGCCGGGTTCACGTCTCCGGGCTTCAGCGATCCATCGAGGTGACGACTGCAACAAGGGCTTGCTGCCTGCTGCCAAGCTGCTACCAAGAATCATGTTTCTTATGTTTCTAAACAGTCCGTAACTGCAGTATGGGCTACGGGCTCATAGGCTCATAGTCTCCAAGCCACGCTGACACGCGGAACGGTATGAGCTGAACAATTGCACCGCAGTGTGCGCGATGTTGATCCTGGCATTCAGGCCGTTCCGGAGCTGTGATCTAGTAGATAGGAAGCCAAGATAGACAGCTTGCTTCTCATGCCTGACGGTTGTCTTGCGATCTGTAGCTCTTCAAGTACTCAGCTTTTGAGATAGATTGAGATGCCTCTGTGTCTGGGCAGAAGTCGGCCCAGCTCTCCCTCAAAGAAAAGAAGGTGGTGATTGTGGTGTTTGCGGCGTGTGCCGTTGGCCCCAAGGCGTGCCAATAGCCACCTTTGGGCTTTTCGCCGGCGAGTCGTGCTTGCACTTGGAGGCCTACCGCCGCTCGGCACTGAAGAAATCCAAATCAGCAGAGTTAGAGTTTTAACTTTTAACAAAGTTTTACGTGGCCGCAAAACACAACCCATCCACACGATCCCGCACCCTCACCCTGACACGGATTCACACGCACGATCCCTCCGCCACGCGTGCAGAAGCGAACAGCGCAATGCACAACAATGCACGTTTGTAGATGGAACATGACGCAGAGGCCAGCGGCGTGGCCCTTTCCGGATCAGGCCATCTTGGTCAGATTTGTTTACATCTTGCTGAGTCAAAGCGACAGCGAAGCGACTGTGAAGTGAGCGTCAGGTGCCTGATGAGTGGCGACTACCACTAGCCGCCATCAGCAGGCGGACTCAATCTTCCATTTTCAATCGCTGGCATGCTGAACTTGCCGCTAGGCTTCCGCAGCGACCGGACTTAACTTACCTCTGCACCAGCTGGGACGAGGCAAATTGCCCTCTCGAGCTGGTACCAATGCTCGAAAGCAGAAGTCGTCTCGAGTGGAGTCAAAACGGGCGCAAGGAAGCTGCAGCAAGTCTACAGGAAGTGTGCGCTGCGCTGTTAGTTGACGATCAGTTCTATACGCTTTGTCCAGCAGGCCGGGCAGTCTGGATTTATGGTTGGGAGTCTCGTCGGCAGATGTTGTGGAGTTCAGGAAGCTGGCAGCTGTTTCCGTATGCACCTGTCGGCTGGAGTGAAGCTTGAGGCAATCCTTCTTGCTTGGTGGTGTGCTGGTAACGGGGTCGAGTGTGCGCGTCTCATGCCAGTGAGCCGTTCCTGTCCCAAATGCAAAGTCTGGATTGACTGTGCCTAGGCCTGTGCTGCAAACACAGATGGTCGCATTTCGCAGCTGATGCGGGACGCTTTGCCTCCGACTCAGGAAGTGCAGGACACATCGGTGAACAAACGGATGTTATAGGTAGCTAGTGCTTTCGTTAGCGCTTCTGTATGTACGGGTTGTCTTCGAGGCAGTGTCCTTTCCATGAGCTTCCTAGTGGCACGTAGTGGCACTTGCTACAGCATGAAAAGAGGCTATGGGAAGGAGATCCCAACACCGTCTTGAGCTCGGACGTTCCCTTTTTAGTCACAGAGCCGCTTTCACCGGCCGTTATGCATGTGGTATCATGCGGTTCAAGGTTCTTGTCATGGGCTCCACCCGTCTGCTGGAGGAATTCTGGTTTTGAAGGGAGCTCTGCTTCAAGAGCTGACCGAGCTGACGAATTAATGTTTGCTGCTCTTCGAAGTCATGGCCTGTGCTGAAAGTTATTGGTTCGACGGATGCCATATCTTGGAGGAGAACCCTGGCGCTTTCTGGGAGGTGGCTGAATGCGCCACGTTTGCAACAAAGTCCCGAGTTGTGCTCATCGCGACGAGTTGGAGTTCGGGGCAGAATTTGGGAATTTTTCAGAGTCCTGAAGGACGGAAGACAGCCAACAAAATGCAATCATGCGCACTCGACTGGAAGTTGCACGCACGACTCCTGGATGGGGGTTGGCAAAATCAGGGTCCGCGCTCGGATCTGGCGGGAAGCACAGGCATGAATTCGCATGAAATATATTAAACGACATCAAGAGAGACATCGGTTGTTCTGGGGAGTCAGGCTGATGCCATGCCATGCCCTCCCATTCCTGCCCATCCCTTCCCATCCCATCCCATCCCCTCTCATCACTTCCCTGTCCTCGATGAGCTTGAACATGGCGGCTCAGGTGCTGCCAGCATGTTTGATGCCGCCTCAGAAGAGGCCGAACATGAAGAGTGGCTAAGCTGCAGACTGGGTGCAGATGACGGTGAGATGCACTTTAGACAAGCGCTTGGCATTGCTTCGCTGAGGAGGAGAATCCGCCCTGGACTCAGAGTAGAGCGATGCCAAGTGGGGCCAAAAGCCGAATTTTGCCCCGGGGGGTGGGGGGGTGGGGGGGAGGGGGGGAGGGGGCAAAGGCGGTGGGGAGGGGCAGGTGAAGGATTTGGTCAGCGCAGGAAAGAAAACGACTGGCTTCACTGTGCGCACTCCCCATAAGGCTGTGATGGGCGGATTGAATGGAGCAATGACGGGTTCCTCCATTGTGTGTACATTATTCCAAGCTGAGGGATTCCGGCGCGTAGGTGGCATCGCGGGCAGGCGGCCCATGAGAGTGCAGGGCTTGCATTCTGGCGTGGGCCACGAAGCTCCAGACAGGTCAGGAAGTGATGATGGCACGCCATCCTCACTGGCGGCCGCGTTCCGCGACTGCAGCCCGAGTACGCGAGTTACGCCCGAGGACGAGTACGCCCGAGTACGCCCGAGTAACGGCCCGAGAACGCCCGAGTACCCGGTCATACCGGTCATACTGTACCGGTCATACCGGTCATACCCGGTCATACCGGTCATACCCGGTCATACCGGTCATACCGGTCATACCCGGTCATACTCGGTCGTACCCTGGCAGAGTACCCGGTCACACCCGGTCATACCCGGTCAAGCGCGGTCATACCCGGTCATACCCAACCATACCCGCTCATGGCCGGTCATACCTGCGCGTACCCGGTCATACCCGGTCATACCTGGTGATACCCGGTCAGTATATCATCGTTGCTGTGTGATTCAACGAGATCGTCCTTGCGCAGTGTCTCATGAACAGTTCTTTCGCGACTTGGATGTTGGAATGTGTTGGAGATGTTCCTTGGTTTTTGGGAGCCGCCATCGTGGCTTGGTTATGTTCCTTGTCGCAAAGTCATGCGGCGCAATGCAACCATGCCGCATGTTGAGCTTATTGGAAACCTCACAACGACGATCTTTCATGTTGAGGACAATGGGGTGAGCTTCGTGACATTCTCGAAACATGGCGGGTGTCTGCCTGCCTGCGTGCGTGCGTGGGTGGGTGGGTGCGTGGGTGCGTGGGTGCGTGGGTGCGTGCGTGTGTGCGTGCGTTGTGCGTGCGTGCGTGCGTGCGTGGTGTGCGTGGGTGGGTGTGGGTGGGTGGGTGGGTGGGGTGGGTGTGTGGGTGGTGTGTGTGTGTGTGTGTGTGTGTGTGTGTGTGTGTGTGTGTGTGTGTGGTGTGTGTGGTGTGTGGTGTGTGTGTGTGGTGTGTGTGTTTGTGTGTGTGTGTGTGTGTGGTGTGTGTGTGTGTGTGTGGTGTGTGTTGTGTGTGTGTGTGTGTGTGTGTGTGTGTGTGTGTGTGTGTGTGTGTGTGTGTGTGTGTGTGTGTGTGTGTGGGTGTGTGTGTGTGTGTGTGTGTGTGTTGTGTGTGTGTGTGTGTGTGTGTGTGTGTGTGTGTGTGTGTGTGTGTGTGTGTGTGTGTGTGTGTGTGGTGTGTGTGTGTGTGTGTGTGGTGTGTGTGTGTGTGTGTGTGTGTGTGTGTGTGTGTGTGTGTGTGTGTGTGTGTGTGTGTGTGTGTGTGTGTGTGTGTGTGTGTGTGTTGTGTGTGGTGTGTGTGTGTGTGTGTGTGTGTGGGTGTGTGTGTGTGTGTGTGTGTGTGTGTGTGTGTGTGTGTGTGTGGTGTGTGTGTGTGTGTGTGTGTGCGTGTTGTGCGTGTGTGGTGTGTGTGTGTGCGTGTGTGTGTGTGTGTGCGTGTGTGTGTGTGTGTGTGTGTGTGCGCGTGCGTGCGTGCGTGCGTGCGTGCGTGCGTGCGTGCGTGCGTGCGTGCGTGCGTGCGTGCGTGCGTGCGTGTGTGTGTGTTGGTTAGTTGGTTGGTTGGTTGGTTGGTTGGCTGTTTGCTTGTTTGTTTGTTTGACTGTTTTCGCGGTCTGCGCAGAAGGCATTAGGTGCTGGGGGACGCGACAGACGTGCTGGAACTTGTGATGCAAGCATGGGGCGTTGGAGGGTCTTTTTTTTGAAGACTTTTTGAGGTGACCTGAGCCAGAAGGCCGCGGCAGCCAACGATGCAAGGGAACGGGGGCCGCAAATTTTGCATGACCCTGAGAGAGGCAGCTCGCGAAGGCATTTCTCAGCAACATGGTTTGCAGCTCAGCCGTCTCCAACGCACGCGGACTAGTGCTGCAGGATACAGCCAGACATGACTTGAAACACTTTTGGGGCGCTGAGGCCATATCTTTCTCAACCAACTGTTCCGGCAACGCGGAGACAGCCCGCAGGGCCTTGGGGATGTTGCCCTGCCGAGGCTTGGTGGAACCGGTTGTCTTGACATGCCTTGACCCCTTTACCTCACGTCAGAAGCATGTGTTTCTTCAAGCGTAAGGCTCAGACAGAGCAGTAGGGGTGGGTTGATGGGTGGGTGGATGGGTGGGCAGAGCGCGGGTGATCAGCAACTCGGACCATACGGGTTCGTTCCTTGAAGTGAAGACTGGCGGGATGTTTCTGGGCACATGCCAAGCACGATAAGCACGGTCTTTCACCTGAATGTATTGGGGCATCATGCACACTCGTGACTGTGACACTGCAGGCGCAGTCTGCACGAAGTTCCCGCTTCCAAAGCTAGTCAGGGCTCTAGCCTAAAACGAAGACTTTTCATCCTGTGGACCTTTCTGAAACCGAGCGCAGGTCACAACAGCAAGGAGAGCAAGTTTGGCCTTACTGCCGCATGGGCGATTGGGTGGCTGCAACTGTCTGGGCCTTGGACCGACCTGAGATGCTCTAGGAGAGATGATAGAGATGTCACCCCACGTTGCCGGCAGGTTGGCGCCTTCACTGCTTAGCCGATGGTCGCAGCCAGCTGGGCCAGCGTAGTTAATTTCTGCCCCTTTCATGTTGACCATCCCTCAAACAAGCATCTTATGCGGAGGGAGCTCAACGTGAGCAGGTGCTCCATGCGGCAATGCCGCCACATGCAAAAGGAATCCTGTGGTGGAACCATTGGTATGAAAATGTGGGGGCCAGCACCCTTTGAGCCCTGGCTCCAAGCATCACCACAGCAAGCGAGACTAAGTTGGCCGACAATGGCACCTGTCCGTAGACCATTAACACATCTCCAAACTCAAGACATTGAACAACTCTGAATATCAACATATCGGAACATGCTAATTCCGCATGGTGCCTGTTCCGGCCAGACAATCGAAGAGTATGGCAGTTGCATCTAGCTGAGTCGCGTTTTCCGGGCGGCTACAACCCAGCACACCAAAAACATCATGCCGACGCTTGACAGAAGCGACTTTCCCCATACTTTCCCGCAATGGCTCGGGCACTTGGACTCTGTTTGTTAGGACAGGCCTGGTCGTGTTTGGTCGTGTCAGCCTTTCATGAGTTTCATGGGCATGTGCCGAATTTGTCATGCAATATCGCTGCCAGACATGGACCTCCAAGGCCGAGGCGGGTTCTCTGATGGCTTGGGAAGACTCCATGCGTCGAAGGGGCTTCCCGCCCACGGGCAAGGACATGCATACAGCTGCGCGAATTGCTAGGGGCCCCCTGGTCATCTTCAGCCATTTGGCGGTTGGAGAGCAGGGGAGGCCGTGGAGGACTCTCCCGCGCCTGACCTCTTGCGTCGTCTTGAACTGACATGGCACTGCCACACTGCCAGACCTGCAGAGCCTAATTCTTTCGATTGTCGAGTCGCTTTCCAGAGCATTTGTGTTCAAAGCAATAAACAAACACACGCTCGGCATGATGATTGATTGCGTGCCGCGGATTTCTGAGCAAGGTGAGCCCTGTACATCTGCATAAGTTTCATACAGCAGAAGTGCATGATCCAACTGTCACTTAGGGCACGTTGAGCACTACCATTGAAAGAGCGGCAGTTCGTTGCTTTACAAGATTCTACAAGTAGAGTTTGCTGTTTCCTTGCATTCCTTGCTTAGCTACAAATCGCTGCTTTGTCCATTCCCATCCCTTCACCATGTCGGCCTCCCGGGATTGGTCAAAGCTCCAAGTGTCCAAGGCACGTGAGCCACCACGCGCAGTCACGTGAAGTAAAGCGATTCGCAAGGACGATTGCGATTGCGTAGCATGCCAAACAAGACAACAGAACCCGCTCTGGGCAAAATCATACAGTAGTACAATATCAACATAGTAAAATCTAATACTCACATGGTAGTAAAATAATGTTTGTGGAGCCGAGGCATGCGGGACTAGAGATGGTAGACGGGGCTTTTTGCATTTTGCGCTTTGCTGCAGGGCACGCATTGCTTCATCGAGGAGATGGGTTTCAAGCGCATGACGCCTGTGCAAGCCATTGCTATTCCACTTGTGCTGAAGCAGCGTGATGTGGCTGTAGAGGCGAGTGTTTTTTGAGTCGTGCAGCCTTTGTCATTGAGTTTTGTCATATGCATGGTTGCAACGGTCAGTCGGCAGCACGTCATAGCACGTCATAGCACGTCTTTTGGCGAGCTTTCAGTCTCAGTGCTGTCAGGCCTGCACAGGTTCCGGCAAGACATTGGCCTATCTCATTCCAACCTTTGAAATCATGTGTCGGACGCTCAAAGACGGCGTAAGCCGAAGACCTGGCATAGATGCCCTGGCTGTCGGTTCTGCCATTATCTCACCTACCAGGGAGCTGGCTACCCAGATCCACGAGGTTTTCGGATCCTACTTGATGGCAGCCGCCAAAGCTGACGACGGCCTTTCCTGTCAGCTTGGCCGGCAGCTCTGCGTTGGAGGATCTGAGGCAAAAGCGGCGGCAGCGGCGTTGCGAAGAGCTGCTGTCACTGAGGCCGCCGAGGAAGAGTCAAAATTGCACTTGATTTCAGCTACACCGGGGAGGCTGCGGGCTCTTGTATCTCTTTCCAACAGCCCCTTGAACCTCAAATCTCTGGAGTTTCTGGTGTTCGATGAAGCCGACAGATTGCTTCAACTGGGATTCTCTTTGGATATAGAAGCTGTTTTATCGGCTGTCCCGAAGCAGCGAAGAACTGGGCTCTTCAGTGCGACACTGACTACAGAGCTGCAGCGCATCATGAAGACCGGGATGCGTAACCCAGTGCATGTCTGCGTTCGCCGGAAGCGCCCTGGGGAGTGCATGCAGCCGCAGCCGAAGGTACGCAAGGGTCCTGAAGCCATTGCTGACGGTTCAGTTGACGACCCTGAAGACCCTCCTGAGAAGGACGAAAGTCACCCTGTCTTGGGACACGAGCTGCCGACAAAGCTGAGCAACTATTACTATCAGGTTCCTGCGCCAGAGCGTCTGGGCTTTTTGAGGCATTTTCTGCGCGCCCCAGAAGTCCGCAGTGGCAAGACCATTGTTTTCTTTCTAACTTGTGCAACGGTGGACTACTTTCACGTCCTCTTGCGTGGCCTTGTCGATGGCCGGGCAGGAGGATCCAAGGCAAAGGGCATGAAGAACAAGAAGATGCAGGCCACGGCCAACTCGCCGGTGCGAGTCGAGAAGCTGCATGGCCAAATGGAGCCAACAGCCCGAGCACGAGCGTACGAGAAGTTTTGCAAGAGTCCAGCACACGATGGTGCAGTCCTGCTTGCCACGGATGTGGCAGCAAGAGGCATCGACGTTGATGCCGTCAAGTGGATTGTGCAGGTCGACCCGCCAACCGATCCAGCAGCCTTCGTTCACCGCATCGGGAGGACAGCTCGTGCCGGACAAAGTGGAAGAGCCGTCGTACTGCTGCTTCCACATGAGGATGGATATTTGCCGTTTCTTGAGAAGCGGGGAATTCAACTCGAAGAGCTGCCTGAAGAGCTGCAGAGGCCTTCGAGCGGAGGGGAAGCTTTGGCTGAAACGACGCTGGCCAGATGCAAGCGCATCGTCGAGACCGACAGAGCTGCCATGCTCAAGTCGACCAAGGCATTCCTTTCCTTCGTCCGGGCGTACCACGAACACCAGCTGCCATACCTTTTCCCGTTCAAAAACTTGGACATAGGCAATCTGGCGACTGGCTACTGCCTTCTCAGACTGCCCCGGATCAAAGAAATCTTGGGGAAGCATGTGAGAGGATTTCAGCAAAGTGAAGTCGGCGGCTTATCACATGTTTTTGGTTCAGTAGAGCTCGAGTCGAGCTCGAGTCGAGCTCGTGACAGCGTGCGCTACTGCCCACATGTACAAGCTCAGGTCAACCCTATAGACGTACCATTCAAAAATGGCAAGCAGGAGAAGCTGCGACAGGACGACTGGTGGCACCCCATACTTATTGTAGGATGCGGTGACATGCGGCCAAAAAGAAAGTGCTGCTGCTTCAGGAGAAATTGGCAAAAGAGCGAGAGGAGCGTGAGCAGAACAAGGAGCCTTGCAGAGAGCTTACTGTAGGTCGTTGTTGTTCTTGAGTTCGGTTGTAGTAAAACCGGCTTGGCACCCGTTTGAAGGAGGAGGAGAAGAAGGCACAGATAGCCAAAGCACGGCAAGCCATGAAGGCCAGGAGCTCAGAGCAGCTCGGAGCAGCTCGGAGCAGCTCGGAGCTTAGGGGTGAGAGGCTGTTCTAGTGTGCTCACTGCACCGTTCTCGAGGATGCGGCGAAAGCCGAGAAGGAAAGGACCAGGAGACGCCGTGGGGGGGGGGGGGGGGGGAGAATGAGGATACGTGGGAAGCGAAGAGCAGTACGGGTGTAAGGTGAGAAGGAGAGAGAGAGAGAGAGAGAGAGAGAGAGAGAGAGACAGTAGCCATTTTGGCTCAAGTCGGAAACCACCCCCGGCTTGAGCCAGTGGAGAAGCCATTTGGAAGCCAAGGCGGTCGCAAGGGGAACAAGGGGGAGCGGCTTAGGCGGGGGTTGGGTTGGGTCTGTTGCCATCGTGTGTCATGGGGCTGGACTGTTCAACCGGTTTAGACACCCCGCTCCTCACAAGTGAACCTGACTAGCCAAGAGACTGCATAGGGATGCATTGTGTTTTGTGAGCACACGCATTGCTTGCACATGTGCTGTCAGTCTTCGTCAGGACTTACTTAGGGGGAGGACTGCTAAGTAAACAGCTGACGCGCAGCGGGGCCATGGACCATTGTGGCGCGATGCTCTGAAAGCAGGATTGGGGGAAAGAATGCCGGGAAAACCACACAGCGAACTTGACAGTACTCCGGCTCTTCAAGTAGGCACAGGGGATGCTCTCTTCCTGCATGGTGGGTACGATGGCCGGACCTGGTACAGCTTCTACAGCCTACGCCAGCCTTTGCCAGGCGCCAAAGAGGCCGATTGGGGAAGCTACTGGTTCACCTACGAACCGCCCACCAGCCCAGTGCACGGGCAGTCTTCGCCCGCTCCGATGCAGCCTGAAACACAGCCCAATCAAGGCCGACCCGCCTCAGCCTAAGGCCACCATTGCCCACAACGCCTGCCCAAGATCTGCCCACTGTCTCATGCTCTCATGCTTCGAACAGGGCAAGCTGATGGCTGCTGGATGGGAGGTAAGACCTGCCCAGTGGGTGCAATCGACTTGGTTGGCGAGCCGATGAAGGTCCCCCACAGGCTGATGAGCAATGGACCGCCCGGCTTCTTTAGAGAGATGAGTGCCCAGGCATCGGTCGATGCGCTGAAAGTTGCAACGGGGGAAAGCTGACTGTGACGGTGAAGCGAAGCGGCAAATTCGCCGGCAGTCTGGTTCTCCAAGCAATTTCCCTACATCTATGGTGGCAACATTGTGTCAGTTGATTGCTACTGATGGAAGCGTGTGGGGGAAACTACAGCGTCAGCCAGAAGTATTGAGCCACCGTGTACGTGCAGTGAGCGCCCCTTCCACCTGCGCAAGGTTTTAGGGATGATGCCGGGGGATTTGGGGGCAGGTTTCGGAAGGTTCTGTGTGAGGTTTGGGGGGATTGGGAGGAGTTCAGGGTTATGCGCGGCTGGGGCTGCGTGTCGTTACAACATCGAGTACCACTGATTTCCCATTTTAAATAGAGGTACCACCAAACAGCCGGGCAACCCGGATGAGTACAAATCCGTGTGCCGCTCATATAGGAGGCGATGATCTTGATGTTGTTGGGGGTTTAATCGTTTGCCGTCGCTTGGGTTGTTGTCTTCAGTCCGAGGTCATCGGGAGCCGGTCAAGGAGGGCTTAATTCGAGGGTGGGGTATATACTCCAGAACCAGTCCGTGCACCTTGCATGTTTTTTTCCCTCCTTGCAGGCAAGTTTTGTTTTCTTGTCGTGATGGGTGACTGCCCCCTAACAAGCGACTACCGAGTCCTTTCGCATGGGACCCAGCCCAGAACGGCAGCCCAAGCGTAGGAGAAAGCCACAGCTCCAGAGTAGCAACGGTGCAACTGAGGCCTCAAAACAAATAAGTAGCCTCGGGGTCAGTGCTGCTTAGGGCCGGGGAACACCGATGCCACTTCAGGAGCATCTCACCGGAGGATCACGAAGTGGGGGTCGCCCGGGCCAACACGGCCGGGGAAAGAGGACAGCACAGACGGACCCAGCCACATGAGCCTGCCGTCACCATTTCACCACGACCTGACTCACCTCCGGGCGCGCCTGGTGCGCGGGGGTTTCCCCCAAGCCCTGCAAAAGAAGAAGAAGAAGCAGAAGAAGAAGAAGAAGAAGAAGAAGAAGAAGAAGAAGAAGAAGAAGAAGAAGAAGAAGAAGAAGAAGAAGAAGAAGAAGAAGAGTGAGAGACAGACAGCCATCAAGCAAAAACGCACGTCAAGAGAATCAAAAAGAAGACTTGCTCCAGAACTGAGTGCTCTCAGAAGAGCTGCCCTCGAAGAGCTTGGAGTCTTCATTTACAGTGTCTTACAGTCGCCTTTGTATTAAACAAAAACAAGAAGAATCCCAGCCAGGACGCAGAAGCGCCAGGCGAAGCGAAGCGAGAAGGCGGAGCAGTGGAGGACGCTGGCAGCCGAGGAGTGGTCGTCGGGGAGCGAAGTGCGAACCAAGAGTCAAACACATAGTCAAAGAAAAGTTGAGCATCCCCACCCCACCCTCTCTTGGTAGAGATACTCCAGGGACACTCTGCTGTGGTGGGCACTCCGGGGACACGCTGGGGGCACTCCAGGGTGACTCTGGGGTTGGGGTGGTTGGGCACTTTGGGGACACTCGACAGGGCACTCCAGGGACATTTTGGGGTTGGGCACTCCAGGGATGAGCGAGGAGTAGACCGGGCGAGGAGAAGAGCTCGGGCGAGGAGAAGAGTTGAGTTTAAAATCTAACAACCGCACACCGAGGGTGGGGAAAAACTCCCCCACCCCCAAATAAGACACGCGCGCACATCAAAAACACACACATCAAAAGCATGTTCTCAAATTCTCATCAAAATACGTATCAATTACGCAGCTCTTTACAGCTCTTCTGTGCCTCACCTCTCACATCTCTCCTTTTCCTTCTTCCCATTGAAAGGAGCGCCTGGCGAAGAAGCTGCGAAAGGGGAAGATCTCGGCCTCGCAGTTCGAGCTGGGACCCAAGCTGTGCGACAAACCAAAGTGACTAAACTGCCCGACAATAGAAGCTTCTAGGATGTTTTGGCTCGTCTTAAGTGCACGTCGCGATGTGTCGCGATCGTGCAGGCAGTTGCCACCATGCTGCCACGAGACCAAGGTCCAGGGTGAAGCGGATCGGCCAGGCGATGCCTGCCCCATGCTCTGTGCCCGTGCCGCGCATGAAGAGTCCAAAGAGTTCCGAAGCCAAAAGCAAAACACCAAAACAAAGCCCGATCTCTTGCTGCTTGAGTTGCCGCTTACGTTGCTGCAAGCATTGCTGCTTGTGTTATGGATGGCTGTGGCATACTGTAGGCTTCGGCGGGTGAGGGCGAGGAGGACCTTGACAGCGAGGAGCGTGACGTTGTTTCGATTGGATGCGCAGTTGTTCGATGTTCGTGACCTCGTGGATCCTGCAGAAACTGCAGACATGGATCTTTGGATGTGGTGCAGGAGCACGCGGATGAGAGTGAGGAGGACGGTCTTGACATCGCCGACCATTGGGATATCGTGAGAAGCTCCACCGCTGTGCCCCTGATGTTGCAAGATCGGACAGTTGTCGGTTCAGGACGCTGGGCAGATAGAGCCAGTCGATGCCAGATATGCGGTTCAAAAGAAAAAGAGGCCCAGGGCAATACACACTTGATCAGAAGTGGATTGATGTCGCTTTTGTCCGCAGGAAGCGCGGAAAATCCAAAAAAAGCTGAAGTTCCTCGAAGTGCCTCGAAGTGCCTCGAAGTCTCGAATCGAATAGAGCTTCAGGCGCGTTGGAACGTGCCTTGTGATCCTATGCGGAGATAGTGGATGTTGCTGCCCTGAACATGCTCTGAAAGTTTTTTCTTCTCCCCAGAGTGTAAACCTGAAAAGAGATTTCATGTATTTGGAAGGCACGCCGCCTGAAGTAGTGCTGCACCCGTTCATATGCTGTATGGCAAATACAAGCCACTCGAAGCGAGCAAGCTTACAGGTAAATATATCGAGAGGATCCTTACTACTGGCAGCGCAACAGTAGCTTGGCATCCTTGTACCGATGTCTCGTGATGCTCCAGGCCTTGAAAGCCTCCGCTTCAAGAACTGCCTGGCATCTTCAGAAGGACCGTGAGCGCCTGATCCTGAGATGCTACCCAAGGCCCAAGTGCAGAAGGCAAGACCCTGGCCAGGGCCGTAACATGTTCCTCGGCCCTTTGAGTCAAGAGTGTATGGATCGATGTGGATGGCTACCCATGCATAGACGCATGGAGTGACTTGTTGACTTCCGAGCCAGCTGGGCTCACACGCCAGTTTAAGCCTTTTCTTCACGTACCACATGACGAGGAACCTCCCCGGCCATCCCAGGGAGGAGATGCAGAATTTGCACAACTGGCCGGCGGTACTCAGCACATGTACTCAAGACATAGACGAGCACAAGTCAAGCTTCAACACGGCCTTCCTGCGGGCACCTCGCAGAAGAGACAGAAAGCTGGCAGACCTGGCGAGGCACAAGAGGTCGAAGAAACAGAGGAAGACGCTCGCGTGCACTTTGCTGCCGGGCCCGTTGCACACCGGCGTGCTCCAAGATGCCCACGAGCCCCCTCCACGGGCAGACGTCGTTGGACTGTTACCGGTACGATATTGCAGTATGCTAAGGCATGTTGGACTGCACGATGTGTTGTTGAGTCGTGGCCGATGTAATAACCACTGCATGCAATGAGACATGTCAGACGTGACATGAATTTCCGCAGCTGCCTCAGAGGTTCTTGATCTAATCTGGACATGGCCTTGTTCTGTTTCTACTTACTTGCCTTTTGCAGCGACAGTTTCTGCAACACGAGCAAAAAAGATGTAAAAGAGTGATGCTCTGGACCTCTAAGCCAGATGCCGAGCAACGTTCGCAACTTCAGGCAGGGCTGCAAGAGGCGCACGCAGGGCGCATGCAGGGCGCACAGAGCTCGCTAATGTCCGATAGTCCGTACGAGAAGTCGGAGATAGTCGGAGCCAGGGTCTTGAAATGACACCAGGCTCCAGAGTGCAAGAGTTGTGTTGAAAGGGTTGTATTCAAGGTATTCTTCTGCCAGGCATGTGTTGAAGCGGCGAACCTGCTGAAGTCTGCGGATGTGCTGCTGCTTTTCACAGGACATGACGTCGTGAAGTCTGCGGTGACCTGCAAGACAGTGGTAACACTCCATTCGTCATGAGCTCCACGAACTTGGCCGAGGGCAACCCTATGCTTGAAGGTCAGATGAAGTGGCCCTCAATTTCATTTGGTTAGAGACGTCCTTTGACACAATGAAAATGCACTGCTTCAGACTCATTTGAGACTTGCCAGATGCCGGGGAGCTGCCAAGACTCAGGGCAAGATTGAAACCAAAAAGCCATTGTTCAATTGTTCATATGTTTGTTGGGCTCTGCCCATTCAAGACCCATTGTTGTCAATAAACTGTGTGTCGATGCTGTACAGTTTGAGCTCAGCCCGTCAGCAAGCTAGCATGCACAGGCCTAGGCATCGACTGGCGAGGTGGTGAGAGTCTGATCGCAGTCAAGTGAACTTTGAGATGCGAGATGTGCAGTGTGCAGGAGCAGGGTTTTCTGCCGACAGCGGCCTGGCAGTCTACGATGATGTTGCCAAGGCAGGATGGGTCGATGTCATTGAGTTGCCGTGGCAACTGGACATGTGGCATGTGTGTGTGTGGGTGTCGTGAGTGCAACAGAGGTGGCAGCCTATGCGGAGCGAGGATTGGATTACATGGACCTTTGCGATCCGAAGCTGGTCCACCAAGAGCCGCCGCTCTTCTGGGGCTTCTGGGGCCAGTGCTTCAATGACTACAGGCATCGCCTTGCCTTTGCGGCTTTTGATGGCTCTTGACGGCTCTTGATGGCTATGGCTTTTGTTTTGGCTGTTTTTCTGCGAATCATTGCGAATCCTCTGGCCAGTCTTCCGGTTCCGTTGTGCAATGCGTTTTTGGAGGCTTCGGGCTGCTTTTCCTTGATATTTGACCTATGCCTTTTTGTTTAGCTGTTTCCGAAGTTTCCTCCTGATGTGTTCCGCTTCCTTTTGTACCTCTTGCCTTTTTGTTGTGTGGTTTGCTTTTGATTTCTTTGCTTTTGGTTCTATTTTCTGGGGCCTCAGTCTCGGCAGGTACATCCGTGAGTGAGACTGGTATCTATTGAACCTGACAAACCGTACATAAGTGCGTACGCTCATGGTTGTTGTGGATGGAGCACGGCTGCCGGTGGCCAGCCCGCAAGTGGGACCTGTTCAAGCACATATGCCAAATACCTGGTGGGAGCACACCAGAGGTAACGCCGTGCACAACAAGCACCCGTGTCTGGAAGATTGCGTGGGGGACAATCGCCATCGAGCTCGGCTTTCCTGAGGTGGAACCAGTTAACGATGAATGAGAGGGAATGCACATACCTATGGATCCTATGGGGGCCTGGACATGGACAGCTGCCTTATGGCTTTTGGCAAGATGGGCGAGGCGTCAGATAGGCCGTATCAAGAATAGCTCTTCCTGCGTGAACTTTCATCGGCGCATGTCGGCACCACACCAGTCTACAAATGCTTGTTGCCAGCTCATGCAGCTCGGCATTCTGGGTAATGCGCTCCCGTGCTTTGCAAGCTATGAACGGAAGGCGGCTGAGGGCGCAGCATGGCGTAGCCTTCAGCCGTGTAGCGGACCGTGTGATCACCCAGGACTTACGCGCCGCACTGCTTGCCTGCCGTGCGCCCCCAGAAGTGTGTGCTATTTCCTTCGGCCTCGTTTTCCTGAATCTGTAATTTGTTGTTTTACTCTGGTGTTTTTTTGGCTTTAGCTTTGTGTTTCTCGCTTGTGTTTTCTTTTTTTCGTTTTGTTACAGAACACCGAGGCCGAAGTACACCCCAAACAGTTCCAGACCACGAAAGAGCAGGGGCTTTTCCTTCTGAAATGTAGTGCAGGATAGACTGGAGACTCTCTGCAAAGAGGTTTTCTGTGGTAGAATATGGACCTACCAACAAAAAAACAAATAGAAAAGGTTTCTTCTACATGTTCGGAGGATATAGAGCTTTCTCTATGAATGGCACGGAAATCAGATGTTGTTATTGAAATACAGAGGACTTGGATTTGTCACAGCAAAAAATAAAGCGAATGGAGGTTTCCTTTTGAAAGATAGCAGAAGTAGAGCAAAATTATGGAGGAAGTAGACGTTGTCCGATTACACGCAAGCACCACCCCAGAAACAAAAAACCTCCCCACCCTGAACCAACCGGGCATCCAAAGTGGCAGGAAGGCTAGGGCGGCTAGGGTTCAGGAATTGGTTTCGGCACCCAAGGCATTCACAGTGAGGCAGAGTGACAAAAGAGCAGGGGCCCATCTACCGGTTCTGGTGAGTGCCCACTAGCCACTGCTCCGGTTCTGGTTCCAAAAGGCCGATAAAAGGGGAGACAAAACGTCGCAGACAGGGAGACGCGAGGGAGACAAGAACGGAGGCGCGAATCCACCGATCCGGCTCTGGTTTCGAAGGGCAGACAAGAAAGGACGCAAGAGGGGAGAGAACGGAGACAGGAGACAAGGGAAGACAAGGGGAGACAAGGGGAGACAAGAGGAGGCAAAAGGGCAACAAGAAGGGGGAGACAACATGGGGGCGCAGCGATCCGATCCGGTTCAAAAGACAAGACGGGACAAGGATTCCGGTTCAATCACAGCAGGGTCAACAGGGGACAAGATAGAGGGGACAAAGCAGAAGCTCAGAAGCGCCATTATGTAGGTGCGCCTGCTCACTGTAGAATCAAATCTTGAACCCCTACAGCAGGCGCAACAGTAAGCTGTTTTTTCGGCACATGTTGTTGTTATGTGATGTGCATCACGATGGCTGAGTACCAGCATGTATCGCCAGACTCGTAGGAAGCCCTGCAGAAGCTAAAGCCCTCGGCACGGCACGTTCTAATCATTCTAATCTTTGTTCAGGCGAACAGCTCCCCACAAGGGGTACGAAATCATCAGCAAGTGGGTGGAGAAGAGTTTTCGACACTCGGAAGTTGCCACGCGAATCAGGCCTGATACTTGCGTGAGTTTGCGTACTTGAGAATGGTTCTTATCCTTGCATCCGATGATAAAGGTAAGTTGAGGCTCATAAATTGTCTTCGTGCAGGTCGAAGCTGGCATCCTCAAAGCCAGCACAGCCAGAAAACAGCTTTTGCTCCTTCGATGATGTGTCGGCTGAACCGTATCTCATCTCCGGCCATGCTGGTGCATTTTACATCTTCACATCGAATGTCGACGCTCATCACTATGACTGGTTCCTTCCCAGTGAGGTACGAGAATGTCACGGAAATGTCGAGTTGTATCAATGCTTTTTTGGCAGGGCGAGATGTGGACCAGGTATTTGGAGAGCTCCGCTAGATTTTGCATTCAATGTCGATGCCACTCATATGCTGGCTTTTGCGGATGAGCCGCCAGTACGAGGTGAGGCTCCTGCCCAGCTGGCTGCGGCAGGTGCTTCACATGTCGGCTCTGTTCGCGGAGCCCGCCGCACCACGACGCTGCGCCACATGCCGGAGTCGCTCACACCCAAAGATTTGGTTGAGCGAGGGTTTGCTGGCAATCACCCGAGATGTCTTCGCTGCAGGGGGCCAGCGAGGCCGGCAATCTTGATGTTCGGTGAGTGGGGTGACCGAGACTGGCAAGACTCGCAAGCGCAGTCCAGACGTTGGACGGGCTACATGCAAGCACTTGGAGAGGTTGCTGCCGAATCCACTGCTTTGCGCTGCGTCCTTTTGGAGATTGGTGCTGGTGGCAGAGTGCCAACCGTCCGCGAAACATCTGAGCAGATCTTGCAAATCTTGCTTGGTGGTGGTGCTGACGCCAAGATGATCCGCATTAATCCGGACTATCCGCTCCCTGACAATGACGACGACGAGCTGTCTGGCAAGATTGTAAGCCTCATGGGGTCGGGCCTCCATTGCTTGACCATGATTGATGCACAGATGTAGATGTGGTTGTCATGTGTCGGTTATGTGGAGAAGAAGGATATCAACAAAGGAGGTGTGCGGCTCTTGGCAGGTGACACAGCGAGCGCCAAACGTCACTTCAAGGCAAACGAAAGCTCTGGCAGTTTGAGCCCGACAGGCCTTGGCTCGGGACGGCATCCTGAAGTCCGCGAATGCTGCGAGTATGCGAGTTTCTCTCTCTACAGTGCATGGCACGAGATATGGTGAGCGCCTGGGGGTGCAAGAAAGACCGTAAAAGGTCGTACTTGCGTAAAATGACGCGCGTGGGCCCTTTGTTGCCAGCCGGCACACTGCCCTTGCGCCATCTGACGATGCCCTGGAGAAACTTCGTGTCTTGCAAACTACTTGAGTCACAGCCCTTGTTTGGCAGACAATTCCATACCGCGTCACCCCGTCCAAATGCAAATTGTAAAGTTCCCACCTTGGTTGCGAGTTGACTGTCCATGTGTCGATCAGAACAGTGGCTGGTTGAAGTTGAACCAGTGTGGAAGGTGCCAGCTGGACCTTTAAGTGCAAAGTCGATGATGCAGCTGTGCCAATCAGTCATGCAGGTGATAGACCAGCTGCCTCAGTGTTTTGAGCCTTTCTAACTTCACCTGGCCGTGGCTGTTTGTAAAAAACGGAGCTCGCAAAGAAGCCGATGCTTGCATCAATTTGGGTGTTGCGGCTCAGGCACACCTTAGGTACTTGGTCCTTCCCACGAGCCGTCAGGTATACTTAAGCAGGCGAATGCAGAAAGTTAACATTTAAGTGCTTTTCCACCGAGTTTACACCAGTACTGCCAGTGTACACAAGTCGAAGATCCGCAGCCTGTGACGACAGCTTGAGAGTCGGAAAGTAGCTAGTGGTATTGCAAGTGTGTTGCATGTACTTGGGATGCCTGGAGTTTGACCAAGATTATTGGCTGAACGACGTTGAACTGTTGTCCATGTAGTCCAGGGTCATGGCGCTGAAGAAGCCCCGAGATTCTGAGGGCTTGACGAGCCCTGCCTTCTTGTTAGATAGTCAGCTCCTTGAAGTGCAGTGCTGCTCAGTGCTGCCGCGTAGCTGGTGTTGCCGCGAATAGCTTGCCTAAGGCGAAGAGAACTACGAACTACGAAAGCCATGCTGAGAGCTCCGACTGGCCAGTAGGTCCTGCTGAGAGTGCAGATAATGATGGGCGCTGTAGCTATTTCGTGCTCTTTCATCTTTTATCAAATGGACACTCATCTTGACTCTGTACATAGGCGGTATCTGTTTCATGTACCTGGCATGCGCAGCCGACCGCGCAGCTTAAAGTAGAGGATGTCACTTGACGCTGGTTCGCGCCTCTGCATCAACACTGACATGAACTGAGAAGTGTAAACAAGGACCATCTACGTGTGTTTTGCTCTCTATTTTGCCATGTCTACACGTCCCGCCGGTTTGCGCCAGGAGCGAAGCGATGTCCCCGCACCTGAGGAGTTTTACAAGGAGTGCCCCCCCCCCCCCCCCACCCTGTCAGTGGAGAACATGAATCGAGAACATTGTGAAACGAAGGCGAGATCCAGGTCATGCCCAGGTCTCGCCTCTGTGTTCTCACAGGTCGTCGCGCTATCGCAATTCACATGATGCACCATGAAGGTACTGCACTTCTGACAATGGCTATGGCAGGTCGAGCGTGTTGTCTAGTAGTTTCGGCTCAGTCGTGACACGAATGCAAATTGAAGGCCCGTGGTGTTTCGAGGAGCAGCAAATTCCTGGACCTTAAGCAGCACCACAGCGTTGCACTCCTTGAGATGTGTTAACCATAGGAACCGTGCTGATTTGCATTGCGCTGCGTTGTGCTGAGGAAAGCCATGAACTGGAGCTCGGATGAGTACTTGCTGGAAAGGCCGGCCTAGGATGTTCGGATGTTCTAGTAGTTTGCATTCGCCTCTCTAAACGAGCAAGTCGTTAGTATTTCTAGAGTGACGGGAGCGGGTTGTTCTCCAAGCACACTTCCCAGCATTTCGCCATCTGCTCTGTACCCTGACAGGATCAAGTAAGGACCCCTAATGAATCGGAAGAACAGCGGCCGGAAGCGCCAAGCAGATCCGCCCAATGCAAGTTCGCGCAGGTTTGGCTCCGAACGGATATCTGGCGTGGAGCACAACTTGAAGGAGACACGTGCGGGTGGCCAGGCCTGAGGGCTGCCGGCAAGATCTCAAGAGATCTCAAGGCACGGCGGCAGTCTCGGCGCAGTAACCCATGTTCAGGTTGATGGCATGGTGAAGCTTCGAGACTTTCTGGGTCAGTGACCCCTGAATCGTCGCTGTGATATCTGCTGCCGGATTGCTTGAGAGGTACAACACAACTGATATTTACATGGTTTCGGGAGACTTGTCCTCAGTCACTACTTTTGCACACCCTCGAGCACCATGCCAGAGAGCTTTGGATGCGGCAGCCTTGCCAGCCTGAGGTCCCAAAGAACATGATGAAGGAGGTGGAGTTCCTACCATGCCTGGAGTGCGGTGGGTGAGCACATGTGACACCAAGGGGTTTCAGGATCAAGAGCCCATTAAAAATCTTTGTCAGGTACCTCAGTTTTCTTGACACGCACAACTTCTGGATGGGCCGTGGAGGCAGTAAATCCGTGGTCTGGGCCTTGGCATCCTAACTTCCCAGCTGGCCCGTAGATCAGAAGCGGTTGGTGCGGAAAGGCGTGCGTTCAGTTCACTCAGGTGCACTACGATGATCAGGATTGGCGGTTCGATCGATGGCAGATACAGCAGCGAGAGAGAGAGAAGAGAGAAGGAAGAGAGAGAGAGAGAGAGAGACAGGGAGTTGGATCGCCCAGTGCGCGGGGAGGGGGAGACCCTTCCTCAGGCCCCGTAGAAGAAGAAGAAGAAGGGAGTTGGATTGTGATGCTCGAGTTATGGGGGTAGGATGCCGGCGGCCGCTACTCATAGCCCGGGAACAGCTGAAGGCTGAGCAGTAATGATGGAGGGGTGGAGAGCATACTTATGTTGGAGCTCAGCAGTGTCACACGCAGGTAGCAAGGAAGGATAGAAGATGGTAGACTCGGAGCAACGGCGTGGCGAGGTTGCTTGGCTGGCCTTTGGTTTAGGGGGAGGGGGAAGCCGCGCTCCGACAGTCGACTAAAATCCGCTACACCTGCGAGAAGTTTCACGTCAGACTGCAACCGAAATTTGGGCGCGCCCGGTGCGCGGAGGGCGTTCGCGCCCTTCAAGCCCCGTAGAAGAAGAAGAACACGAAGAAGAAGAAGGAGTTGGATTGCTGTAGCAGAAACAAGAGTGGAGATAGAGATGCGACCTAGAAGAGATCATGCAGGAAGTGCTGTGGATTTGCGGGCCTCTCGAGTGAGAGTGACTGAGAGTGGTGCTCCGTAGCGGGGACAATGCCCATCAGTTCCTGCTCTTTCGCGGAAGAAAGGGGGGGGGGTGTCGAGATACCCCCCCAGCACCACCCTTCGCTCCGGCTCATGGGGGAAGAGTGCTCTTCGGCACGGCACCCGCGGGGGCCATGCTCGCACACAGAGAGACAGACAGAGAGTGAGTGAGTGAGGAGTGAGTGAGTGGTGCAATGTGGTGCAAGCCGCCAGGACAACATCAATTGCATGATAGCGGGCGAAAAGCGCTTTGTGTTCATGCACCCATCCTACAAAAATGTGTTTGAGGCAGAGATCACGCCGCTTTTTGTAGTGTCTTCAGCACTTCACGCATGGGAACGTACCAGAGCCTTGCAGACAAGACTTGCGCCAGGCGCATCCGAACACAAAGAAAAATCGTTTCGGCTGGGTGGATACTGACTTGGACAGGCCATTGGACGGCTGCAAGCATGAAGTCATGAAGTGCAGAGCGTAGTGCCATCATGCCTTTCTAACGTTTCCTGGGTGTGGTGTCCGATGGAGTGCTACTGCAGCCGTCTTGGCTGAGCTTCAGGGGATTTCTGGGATGCATGCCTTGCGAGCTGTCGGTCAAATCTTTCCAAGCCGACCAAGTGCAACTCTCAAGGCTCCGCACCAGTTCTCCGCCATGCTCCGTCATTCACGGGTGGCTGTCAGCAATTCTGTGATTTGCAGGTAACCAGATCCGTTCCTATGGCTGCCCAGACCTTGCTGCCGAGTCGCCCCTTTTCCTCCGACCCAGCCAAGGCGACCCAGTTGCAAGAAGCTCAAGTTGTGGCTGTGGCAGTTGTTGTGGAAAAGCGTGGCGTGCTTGTCGTCCGTGACTTACGCACTAATCGGTGCACTGAACCAATGGCTCCGTCCTTTGCCTGACGCCCGACCTTGGATGCGCAACGCTGCTCGTAGGAGTAATTTCTTGCCATGTCTTGGTATGGCAAAGCTACTGTGCAGCTGGGGATCAGCAACAGCAAAGATAGCATCGTAATAGGAAACGTTAGGCAGAAATTGTAAGCGCTCGTGCCGACGCGGCAGAAGGGCCAGCCCAGGGGGTGGAAGGGGGAGGGAGTGGGTCTTACAGGCAGGGGGGGTGGGGGGGGGGGGGGGGGGGTCACTATTGGGAAGGGGGAAGGAGACCGCTTGTTCTGCACGCCTCTCGGCTGGAAGCCGAGGCGAATTAATGCTGTGCATGAGGCTAGTTACAACAGTGTCTGCAGCAAGACCAGCTCGCGGCAAGAGAACAGTTCTGCGTCAGGTGATTAAAGTGATGCTGTCGTCCCAGTTAGGTATTGATTACCGAGTAAAGTCTGTTATCGGAAACTGGCGGGCTGTATTGGAAACTATCTCCCCCAAACCGAAACAGAAACAACAGGAGGGTGTAGCCGAAACCAACCTGGGACCGTTACGGAAACAACGGGACGTAACAGAAACCAACTGCCCAAACAGAGAAATCAAAGGCGGAGAAAGGATTAGGGTACCCAGCCCTCATTGGGGTTGAGGGTTGAGGGGTTTAGGGTGTAGGGTTTCGAGTTTAGTTTTCCGTGTTGAGGGTGGCGGGGTGTAGGGTCTCGGGTTTCGGGTTTAGTTTCCGTGGTTTCTGTTGCATCTCTTTTTGGTTTCCGTCGCAGGTCTGTCTGGTTTCCGTTATACCTGCATATGTTTTCCCAGTTTTGGGGCGTAGTTTCCGTTACATTTTTGCTTGGTTTCTGTTCTGTTTTCAGGTTGGTTTCCGTTACACTCCCTTTCGGTTTCCGCTACACCCCTTTACCCTTGATTACCGCTCGTCCCGAGAATTTTTCATCCTGACATGCATGTGTAACGAATGATTCATGCGTAGGCCAGGACCAAGAGGCTGTGACAGGCAGATGCGCATGATTTTAGTGGCACAAGAATATGAAAAGAAGAAACCATTCCCAGCTCGAATTTTGAGAAAGCTGCACAAGTGCAGCACAGTGCAGCACCTCCGTCTGCTCTGAACCGTCTCGGGTCGAATTGCAAGTATAAAGAGTGCTCGACGGATTCAGTCCAATTGGCACCACCGCATTGTTTTCTACAGTCTTTATCTCTTGTGCATGCAGGATACTGCTCCGGAATCAGAAGCTATGGTCTCTGCGGTTTCCCTTCCTCTGACTATGAGTGACTTATTGTTACAAAATCCATGCGCCAGTCAAACCCAGCAAGGTGAGGCCGAACGTTTTCAAAGAGGCACCTGGTGGCACCTGTTGGTTTTTGTCACCTGTTCGATATTTTCGCATCTTGTCGAGAAGCCTCGGACCCAATGTCTTCAGGCGCTGACAAGCGGGCGAAGACAGATTGGGCTCTGGACAGGCTTGAGAAGTACGCCGCCTGGCAGAAACTGGCCGAAGTATTTTTCAATCGATCGGAGTCTCGGTTTTGGATCCGCAGCATACGATGCATTGAGGCTGGTGGCAGAGATGTTGTCCCACGTGTCTGGTTTGGACTGCAAGCATTTGTCGAGTGTCGTTCTTGAAGCTCAAGCTGCTGCTCTTGGCAAGAGCTATGGCTAGCTGTATTCACTGTATTCAGAGTCTACTGAGAGGATTGGTTTGTCATCGACATGGAGCACTCACCCAATGAAATTGGAGACGTGCTTCTACAGCTGCAGGCAACCATTGCTGTTCCTTGTAAACGCTTGCGCGTGCCGCCTCTCGCACTACCCGCAGTAGCCGTGCAATCCGCTGCCAGGGTTCGAACCTTCCAAAGAGAGCCCTTCCGGGTACTGGCTACCGGCTTTCCCAAGAGATCAAAGAGATTCCTGGGAGTAACGGGGTTGCTTTTATGTCAGCCCTCCACTTTTTTGCCTTCGACTGTTTCTGCAAAACCGTTTTGCTGTCGATATGGCACCCACCATGTACCGCACCGCGGGATGACTGTACCGCCACGCAAAGCATCTTTTGATCGTCCCATTGAAAGTCCCTGTGCAAGATGCTGGCATAATGTGAGATACACAGTTACCTATAAGGACCGAGTGCAACGTACTTCTAAGAGCACATGTAGGTATCCCCTTTTGGCTTCTCAGCACAACCCAAAGATACTTCCCTGGAGAGCGGAGACCACAATGCTCTCAACGGAGATGTCCAATATTTCTTTCCATGCTCCGGCAGTCGGAGCACCTTTCATGGAGAGATGCCAAAGCGCGTGCAGCAGACGCGCACACGGCACGACCGCTTACAATAGCAGTTGACTGGAGAGCCACTGTTTTAGGGATGGGCCCGGATGCCTGACACTTGTGGGGTTTGCAGCTCTCCCAGAAAGGGGGTAGACCAGAAACGGCCACAACCATACAAACAGTGCGTGGTCACCTGCTGCGACAGGCCTCCCAGCGAGGGAAAGCTGAGCCGGTGGTGCGAGTGCCCTGGGCAGATCCTGTCGTGGTCAAGCGTGTGCTTGACCTGGGAACCCAGAGCATCCTGTCCTGGAAAAGATGTCTGAAGTGAAGTGTGAGTGCTGTGAGTGTGCTGTGTGAAGAAGTCGCTGTGGCATCTGTGGTCTGTGGCGGTCTGGACGTGCCTGGACTGTGAGCCCAGGCGTGATCTTCCCTTGGATCAACACGGCTGACGAGGCCCGAGCAGCCGTGGAGGCCTGCGAGCATAAGTTGTGCCGCTGTTGTAGAACATGCAAGAATCTCCAAACAGGCGACGCGCTATCCCTCTTTGGGCGGCATTCGTGGCGTGCGCCGATCCACGTTGAGCTGCAGCTTTGAAAGTATCAGCTGGTTTGGGTCTTTCTCAGCGAACGTTGCCAGGTGATGAGCTTGGCGCGCATGAACAACTATGGCGCGCAGAACCCTCACTACTACAAGGACATAGAAATCTGTCAATGACTTTTGTGCCTGTGTATTCCCCTCAGTTTGCGAAGGGTCTGGAATGGTGGCCCCCTGTTCGCAATATGTGAAGGGTGAGTGAAGGGTGTGCGCGGGTCAGGGCTACCATGGGCATGCGAGCTGCCTGAAGCTTTAGAAATGATTCCAGGAGGGGGGAGCAAGCCTCCAGGATCATTTTGTTGGAAACATGTCTTTATCTTAGAATGTTGGGGGGTCGAGAGGGGGACTCAAGGGTCTTCCAGGACCGGAAGGTCAGACTGCCCAGGACCTTAGGGACATGCACAGTGTCGTGGTCTTTCCGAAACTTCCAACCTGATCACGTCATCTCAACATGAAGACCAGAGAGCAAGAGTAGCAAGCGGTCCAGCCCGCCCCTAAACCGTAACCCTTAACCCCTAAACCCTGAACCCGAACCCCTAACCCCTAAACCCGAAACCCTGTGCGGGTTTCCTCTGACGTTCTGGAGGACCTCTAAGGTTCACTGTTCTGGGTATTTGGCTTTCTGGAACCCCCCCCACCCCCCGCTCCCCACACCGCCGGGTTTAGGGTTGAGGTTTAGGGTTTAGGGTTTAGGGTGTAGGATTCAGCATCTCAAGTCCAAGCATTCACTAGTCAAGCAATTCATCGAGCGTTGGACCTCCGAGAGAATCCCACAACAGTGAGAAAATTATAGAGGTCACTTAGTCCGTAGGGCCCTAAGACCCTAAACCTCTAATCCTAGGGCTCAAAGGCGAGCCCAGCATCATGGGCACATTTCTTGTCTCCGCTGTTCGGTTGCGGGAAGGGGGGTCGGAGGCGAGTACGCGGCAGTACAACGGCTTTCAGCAGATTAATATGTAAGCTCATCTGAGCTCACTGAAGTCTGAGAAGCGTTGCCCTTGAGGAGGCTGCTGGACAAATCTGCAAGTTGCCTGCATTGCTCGAGTTGTTTCTTGATTTCAGAATTTCAAGGTACGCATCTTGAGAAGAAGTGCTGCCTCTTGAGGCAACATTATGCAGATAGAGACCTTGGAGGCCTGATGTTGCAGCCACAACTGGGTTGATGAGCATGTTGGTCCTCGTCGGCTCTTTTGCTTGGCTGCTTGGCAGGCTGTCAACAATATCGAGGTCGGCACCCCGGACCGCTCGAAAAGCCATGGCGAACGTCGTACACCGCAATACACCGCATGTATACATGACAAAAGCCGGGAAGGGCAAGTCTCTGTACAGGCCATCGCTGCTGTAGACGGCGTAGATGCTTTGTTCGTCGGCCCCAGTGACCTCTCGGCTTCAATGGGCACCTGGCCCGGACTCAGTGCCACTATGTGCCACTACTTTTGTGCTTGCCAATGCTTGTTCTCACTCTACGTGTCAGTGCAAACACAACATCTGGTTGGCGCTTTCTGGAGCCCTCATGTGAAGACGCCCTATTGCAGTCAGGCTTCATTGGCCAGCCCCAACATCCCACGGTGGCGGCGCCAGAACTTCGCAGTGTTCCAGGCACCTGGGCTTATTACCTGTGTGCACAGGTCAAGGCTCAGATCGAGGAGGCGTTCTCTCGCATCGTGGCTACTGGCAAGGCGTGGACATCCAGGAACCATCAGGAACCTAATCGCCAGTTTTCCACCATTCGCCACCTCGCCTTCTCACATTGGGCTTTACTCGGAACTGGGCCAGGCATGCGGTTTCCTTACTGCGAACAAGGGCGATGCCAAGTGGGCCTTGCAGCTCCTCGCTCAGTGACATTCGGTGACCTTTTCAGCCTTAGCGTTTCGGGCCAAATACATCCAAACAGTCTCCATGTCAACTCACAACTTGCCGACCCTGACATGTTTTGAATTCCACAGTTCTGCTGAAGACGGTCTGTCACCAATACGATTGCTTTGAAAGCCAGGTGCGGCTGCCACTTCGTGGCAGTCGGTAGCGACATGCAGATGCTGACAGCAGCCACCAAGGTGGCAAGCTCTATAGTGTGTCACGATAAGGTGGCGAAACCATGGCACATTGCCCCAGATTCAGGACGCCGCATCCGAATTCCACGACTTTGCAAGCAAGCTCTAGTCTGACCTGATCGACGGCAGATCCGCAAGGACATGCACTTGCGTGAAACCCTTGACCTGCTGTTGGCAAATGCAGCCAGAACCTTCCAGAAGCTTCCAGAAACCACGGAACCCGAGGCTGAAGAGCCGCGGACAACAAACGATCTTGAGGCGTTTGAGCCAGCAGCTGGCGGCCAGTAATGGTTTCAGCTGGAATTATGCTTGCAATATGTTGCAAAGGTTGCATGCAAGCAAACAGCAGTCGGTAGAAGACGCTCGCTTGCCTTCCGCTGCTCCCTAGAGCAGCTGCGCAACCCGCAGAAAAGGAGTGATGGATGCCGGGCATTGCCGGGCGCTGCCGGGCATTGCCTCAAGTTCTTAGGAGTCTTAGAGTAATCTTAGGATATCTTAGGGCCATTGAGGATTTGACTCGGCTCGATAGATGCCTGGGGAAGCCGACAAGCATCACAAACATCACAGGTCTGTACCTGGCTATGGTGCCTTCATGGGAAAGATCGATGTGGACAGGATGGATTTGGTCCAGTGCGCACGTCCTAGTTCATTGTTGAAACTCTCATTCATCCGGAGCGTTCTCGGTGCAGGTATCCTGGATGGGTGGATGTCAAATGGAGCTATGCTGACCTGCAGCCTGGCGATTGCACCTCGTCAAAATAAAGCACGTGCAATCAGAACCGAAGATACTCGCCAAGATAATTATGGGCTTGTTGTGTGTAAGCTTTGAGAAGCGCACAGGATGTAGATGGATGTGGCTAAGCTAAGCAGTACTGGTAAGGATCACCGCGCGAGGCTGGCCCACCTTGTGCTCCCTCCATGAAATGCCAGAGTGACACTGAAAGTGCCCTTCGAAGACTCGAACACACACGACGACACATGTCGGACACTACTTTAAGAGAAGAGGAACGAAGAGCAACAAGAGCAACAGCATGCCGAGGCCTGTACATCCCCTTCCAGTGGTCGACGACTCAGGGTTTTTTGAGTTGAGTGTGACATTTGTGTGCCGTTGTCGATGCCCATGATATCACCCATGATCATAGTTCTATCGGTGAAAGATCGTGTCAGCTGTTGTGTGGGAGGTACCACCAAGTGACCGCTAAAAGGGGCAGATCGATCAACGTCCACGTGTGGCCCCTTGGTTGGATTCTGATGTGTGCCCGTGATCGCCGGTGCCCACATCCCACAAACCATGCGTCCTGGCGTCCTGCACAGGTACTGGAGGCCTGCAACCTTCAACGCAGCAAGCTGCAACCAGGATCGAAAGCTGAAAGCCTCATACATCCAGAAGGTTGCAATTGATGTGGATTGGATGTGTATGGTCTCGTGTGGTATCCTAAGCTAGCGCCAGGAGTTGAAGCACAAAGTTGCCACCTCCTTTGCAGACTGCAGCTGGGGCTACGAGCCCAATGGGGCGATCCAGCTCACGCTTATTGCATCTTCACCATATTTGTACTTGTTTGCGACAGCTTTTGTGCTAGGTTGTGCTTGATAACATGCAGCATGCCCCACACTGTCATGGGTCGGACAAACTGCCCCTGAGAACTTCGCGAGTCACTCCCCTCTCGACGGGTTGGTCCATGTTTCCGAACGACCTACACATCGTGAATCATCCCAGTACATCCAAGTACTGGACCGGCGTCTGGATACTGGTACTTGAGCCCTGAGTGGAGCCCTGAGTAGTGTATTGCTGACTAATGGCCCGTGTCGCAGTGACACTTACCAGTAGAGTCTTCAACCAGCACAATACCTAATGTAGTATGTCAAAATGCGGGAGTAGGCACATTGTGGTCGCTGTTGGCTGCAGATTGTCTGAGCTTTGTGCTCTGGGGGGCAAAACGGATGCCGCATGGCGGCATCTTACCCTTTCGAGTTGAACGTGTTATCACGGCTTGTGGGATGGCAGGGGCACCTGGGCAAAGTGCAGAAAGGGTGGAAGAGGCCTACGAAGTGCAAGAAGGCGAGGCGGGAGCTCACATCCAGGATGCCGGTAGCATCCGGTGGCCATGTTGCCGCAGGCAAAGACGTCATCCCAGGAGCTGTAACTCGCCGTGAAAAGCCTCTGAGCGGTCTTCGACTCCAAACAGCAGAGTCTTTACAGCGGCGGCTGGAGCTTGCCGTTGCAAGACTTAATGCTAGCCAAAGGCGCTGCACCGGTGTCACTTTGTCACTAGCAACAGCGAGCGGTGAAGAAAACACAACGACAATCAAGAGTTGCACCGTGCTGCCTTGCAGCCATTCTGCATGGCCAGCATTGTCAAGAAATGTGAAGTCTTAGCATGCATTGCGCGTTCTCAGTGGTGCAGCCGCTTGCCCCAGCGATTAAGCATCCTCTGGCCACAGCAGGGGGCCAGTGGCACTTCAGCAATGCTTAGTGCCGCTCGCCGTGTGCTGGGCGGGGCGGCCAGGCTTACTCCAAAGGCTCAAAGTTGGCAACCGGCAGTGCCCGCTGTTGCAGGATGCCAGCTCGAAGCCAGACGCGGGTACCGCCACTGGTGGCGCGTGCTACCTGAGGATTTTGAGTTGAACTCAGAGTCAATGCCGAAAGATGTGAAGTCTCTCATGGCTAGCAATCCGTACAACCTTGGCTTCATTGATGCCTACTGGTACTGGCGAATCCGAGCCGAGAGTACCATGATGGATCCCGAGAACTTGCCAAAGAAGTCTTACAAGCAGCTCTGCCGTGACATGGGGCTGACCATCGTGAACGAGCAGGCAGAGAACCTTCTCGGCATCATTGAGTTGTACGAGTACCTCAAGTCCTCTCCATTCATTGGACCGTTTGGCACCATCGAAAATCCGGTGCTTGTTCCCGCCATCCACACAGAGAGAATTGTCGGATGTACAGGTGGCACTGGCGACAATGAACATGTCCCGTTGTGGTTCCGCTGTCGGGAAGGATTCCTTTACCGATGCGGCGAATGCGATCAAATCTTCATGTTGGTCAGAGTGCTGTACGAGCTGCCGGAAGAGGGTGTCGAGATTAACCCCATTGACCCTGACGTCAAGGACGTCTTCGATTTTGCCCTGTTGGAGAAGGGCAACGAGGTTTGGAACTCGGGTGGCATGATCAACTGGCCCACGGGCTATGATGCCTTGCATGGCACTGTCTATGGTGGAATGGCCCGGGACGAAGACCAGCGTGCCATCGGAGAGTGAACTTGTTGGCAAACCAACGGTTCTGACAGTTTGTCGCGTCGTGATTCGGTTCAGTGCTGGGTAGTTTGTTGTGCGGGTCATGTTGCTGAATCTTCCTATGGTCTTGTCACAGAGTTTTTGAATGTTTGGACGGAGAAGGCAGCTTTAAAGCTAGTTTGACATTGCGAGTGAGAGGAGACCAAAATTAATCCCACAGGGCCTGCGATGAGTTGTGCGGCACTGTTGCATGTTCCACCTGTTAGCTGGGATGGTTGAGATGATTGCAAGACTAGAGACTTTGAAACTGCAATCAACTTCGTACGCCGTAGCCGCTTGCCCCAGCGATTAAGCATCCTCTGGCCACAGCAGGGGGCCAGTGGCACTTCAGCAATGCTTAGTGCCGCTCGCCGTGTGCTGGGCGGGGCGGCCAGGCTTACTCCAAAGGCTCAAAGTTGGCAACCGGCAGTGCCCGCTGTTGCAGGATGCCAGCTCGAAGCCAGACGCGGGTACCGCCACTGGTGGCGCGTGCTACCTGAGGATTTTGAGTTGAACTCAGAGTCAATGCCGAAAGATGTGAAGTCTCTCATGGCTAGCAATCCGTACAACCTTGGCTTCATTGATGCCTACTGGTACTGGCGAATCCGAGCCGAGAGTACCATGATGGATCCCGAGAACTTGCCAAAGAAGTCTTACAAGCAGCTCTGCCGTGACATGGGGCTGACCATCGTGAACGAGCAGGCAGAGAACCTTCTCGGCATCATTGAGTTGTACGAGTACCTCAAGTCCTCTCCATTCATTGGACCGTTTGGCACCATCGAAAATCCGGTGCTTGTTCCCGCCATCCACACAGAGAGAATTGTCGGATGTACAGGTGGCACTGGCGACAATGAACATGTCCCGTTGTGGTTCCGCTGTCGGGAAGGATTCCTTTACCGATGCGGCGAATGCGATCAAATCTTCATGTTGGTCAGAGTGCTGTACGAGCTGCCGGAAGAGGGTGTCGAGATTAACCCCATTGACCCTGACGTCAAGGACGTCTTCGATTTTGCCCTGTTGGAGAAGGGCAACGAGGTTTGGAACTCGGGTGGCATGATCAACTGGCCCACGGGCTATGATGCCTTGCATGGCACTGTCTATGGTGGAATGGCCCGGGACGAAGACCAGCGTGCCATCGGAGAGTGAGGCAAGAGCTCATGTCAGAATACGTTTCGTATTGTTTATTGTGTCTCCTGGTGCTTCCTTTTTTCGACTGTCCTCCCAGAACGTGTGCTAGGTTGCTAGAGTGTCGACCCACTATGTCCATGCCAGCTTGATCTACTTGCATAGATAAAACGACGGGTTTCTCTGCTGATGTGTTGAAGGAAAAGATGCGTGTGCTTGCTCCTTACTGTAATTATCTTCGGCCATCTCCGGCTGTGACATGAAGTGGGCCTTGTGTCTCCCATTGTCTGCCTGCATGCTTATGTGTGGCTCGCTGCTCGGGCTCGTTGACAGGCTTCTTCTTTGTTCAGGTCTCTGGGTGAAGTGTCAGAGCGCTCACTCTTCCATTCGAAGTGGGAACCTGAGCGTCTCACACAGAAGCAAGATGAAGCAAGGCTCACGCGCAATCTCAGCATTCAAGCATCTCCATGAAAAATTGGCCCCAGGTCACCTCATCATGGCGCTGTGGAGGCTCGGCCCGGAAACCAATTGGGCAACACTGAGCACAAAGTCGAAGCAATCCTTTGAGCGCTTTTTTGGACTTTAGTTTCGGACAGCCTTGACTTATAAGTCAGTCATCAATGAGGGGCCACCTTGAGCACTCCAGGTCAGCATGCCTTGCGGCCATGGCTTTGGTGACCTCTGCGCAACTCATGCGCAGAGACAAGCCAAAGAGAGAAGGCAACGTGCACCACGTGCTGCAAGCAGCGCTGCGGCAGGGACTTGTGAAAGTTTCGGCAGATCGTCTGCTTCACGTCGAGGAGAGCTTGCGCCCAAGCTATGAGGCCTTCCCGAAGGATGCCCGCGGCAATCTGCCACCTCATCAGGTCCTACCGGCTCTGACGCGCGCTTATTTTGCTAAGGAGCATGGCTGGCTGGTGCGTGGCCTGGAATCTCCAGGAGCCCCCATCATTTCCCCTGGCGAGTCACACGAAGACGCACACGTGGCCATCACTGGGGGTCCGGGCGGCCTGTATGAGGTTCAGATCCTGAAGGACAAGGCACCGGGGCTTGCTGCGGCTTTGAGAGATGCAGCTCTGAGTCCTGTGGCGGCCTCGGCTGGGCTCTCCCTGGGAGACATTTCCCGCACCGTTGCTGCATTGGAGCAGCTGCTTTTGGAGGAGTCGCTGCCCCTTCTGCGTGCATCATACTTCCTCGACGGCCTGGATTCTGGTGAAGATGCACAAGTGCCGGCAGTGGTGGAAGAATGGCAAGCTCACGAGGCGCTTCTTTCATATCTTCTACTCTTTCGGCACGGGTTGCCCAGGAGTCTGACGGATGTGGAGTCGCACCAGCGCCTGAAGCAACGTGCGATGAAGACCGCCGACTGGTCGGCACTCAAGAAGTTTGAGGCCCAGGCTCTGAGCGAGGTCGTTTCTGGCGGAACTGGCAAGATCGGCAAGATCTCCTGGTCACAAGCCAGTGAAGCTGTCTCGGTCCTTGCCATGCGCTACGGACGCTGGCAGGAGTCGGAGTGCGAAGATATGAAATCAACCTTGCTGAAGATGGATGCAGGCGGAGGCCGTGTAAAGCTTCAGGATTTCCATGGGTCACCAAAACATCCGCACTACCAGTTCACAGAGAAAGAGGACTATCTGAGAAAGGCAGGCATCTTGGTGGAGGAGGGAGATGAACAGTATGTCCTCATTGCCAATTACCTGCTGGGACCCTCGAACTGTATTGCTTCTTCCGAGTACTTTGCAGTTTGCTGCTTGAACCAGTGTGAGCAGGTGGTGAGTCGTTTGGAGACGATCTTGCAAGCTCCTGCGGCCACAGTTGGACAAATTATGGATGCAGCTAGTGGTATTCGTGGCAACATTGGCAACATTGGCAACTCTTCTCACGACACTCATGATGATCCTCCTACTGCGGAGCTGCAGGAGAGCCTTGGAATGCTGGTGGACAACACAGGCGCGGTCGTTCTGCATTCGCCTGGCTTCCGCCGATGGCTCCATCAGGCCTCCCATTGATGTGCAGACTGGTTTGCATACTGTAGGGACGTAGTGCTGGCTAGTGTGCTGGCTAGTGTGCTGGCTAGTGTGCTGGCTAGTGTGCTGGCTAGTGTGCTGGCTGATGCTGCCTCTTTCTGGTTGTTTCTGGCTGCTGCATGAGTTCGTGAGCGTCGTGGCTCTCATCCTGGCAGGCTTTTCCGCTGGAGTGCCCACGTCCCACCGTTCAAGAAGATGCCGCGGAGGAGGCGGAGCTTGCGGAAGCGCGGGAGTGGCTGGAGATGGACGAGGCTGCGCGGCAGAAGTGGCAGCCGCTGGTGCTCCATCCATCCGAATGCACCCGAGTTCCGGAGTGGCACGCTGAGAGATCTGAGAGCTCGGCTGAGGAGGGCTCTGAAAAGAACGAGCCTCCCGGGCCTCCCGCAGCCATGCTGGAGGTGTAGCATGGTGTAGCTCCGAGGAATGCTTCGGACACCGTGCTATCAAGCCAAAAATGTGCTCTGACATACTGATCCGCAATCGCATGGTGACACTGCAATCCCGTCACAGCATTTACAGCGGCATGAGCCCAGAGATAGGAACAGGATGGTGCAGGCGATGCAGCGGTTCACGACTCTCCATGACCTTCCTTCGGCGCTTCGGCTTCGAGATTGGCCTTGGCTCATACTGCTCAATATTGCTACTTGCGTTGCTTGCATTGCTTAGTAGTGATGCTGGTATTGCTTCACGCAATGCTTAGAGCAATGCCTAGAGGCCTAGATCACTGCTTAGCAAATGGAACCCTGGGGGCGATGGCTGAGGCCGTGACTCTCCAGGATCGAAGCATTATGTTATATTATGATATGTTATGTTATGTGAGTTTTGCGGATTTTGAGAAGCTGTTGGAAGCTTTCGAACTTTTTCTTTCCTAGGAGGCACCTGGCAGACCTCATGGCGAGGTGCTTGTGCTGTGCTCTGGCTGTGCTATATTGGTTTTGTTGCACGCTAATGTTCGCTTGATTTCGCTTGGTTGTCTCAGGGTGTGCCGAGTGCAGTATGTGCCAGGGCATGGAGGCTTGGGCCCAGCTTCATGGCGTAAAGGCCTCACCAAAGGCTGGGAGTCTTCAGCTGATGCTGAAAACAGAATCTGAATCTTTGCGTCGTCTACCATGCTCAGAGTTTCGGATATCGGTTAGGGGGGTAAACCGGACAGGTGGACTTTTTCTCGCCGTCGGTCCCACCAAGCCAGGCCGAGGACATTAGCACCACACCAGTGCACTGTCAGCATACATTCACTGTACTTCGCGTCTCCAGGTGATTGAGTTGGTTTAGGCAGCGTGAGTGCCGGAATCTGCCGCACGGATATCGCATGATGTGGGCATCGTGCTGTGTGTGAAATGGAGAGTATGCCGGAGTGGCTGGCAGGAAACCATGGACATGTGTGGATGCACGGCGTACGACATGGATGCATAACAGTGGGGGTCACAGTGCTCGTGTTGGCGTATCGGATGCTGCTAAGCTGCTCAGGGCAGGAGGCATGAGGCCGCTCGAAATCGTACTGGTGGGCGGCGGGGGGGCAGGCGACTCCGCCTGCCACATATTTCCGGTATTTTCCGGTGCTTTTTTTTTGGTGTGTGAGTGGGGATGGGGAGAAGAAGAACCAGAGACCTTGCAGGCTGTCAATAGGTACCACCAGTATATCTCCAAGGCCACCCAATACAGGGTCACGGGCTGCACAAAGCTAAAGGACAGACAATACCCTGGAATACGGTGAAAATGTCAACCTCATTGTTGTAGACCCCCCCTAAATTCAGGTCTGAGTAGGGAGTTGGTCGCAGTTTTAAAGGTCAGGACATCTTTGCCAATGATTCTTGGAATCTGCAGAAGTAGGCTCCCCTCCACTACCACCCTTTTGAGCCGAGATGCCGAATAGGCAGCCGACATGGAACTCGTAGCGGAGGTGCATCAATTGCCGACCCCACAACTGACTTATGCCGGTGGACATGGCGGAAACAAACATAAATCAGCGGAGTGCGGCAGAGAAAGACCCAACGTGGACAGCCGAGCAGGGACTCGCAAACATAATCGGCCCCTAAGGCTAGACAGAAGCGGGCATCAAGCCGTTTGCGCAACTCCAGTTCACCATTCTGCAGTCCCTGTAGCATCTGTAGCTAAGAGCAGGACAGGCAGTTGCAAACCTGTGCTGCTCTCGCTGCATGCCCCTCCTCTCCTGTGATTAGATTTGGATGATTTGGTCTGCGGGTGCATGTAGATGCCTTCATACGGTCAGGGATTCTGTGCCAGAGCACGTGAGCCCATCTCTTCGGGCGAACTGCTGCCCGATCCCCAGCTTTATGCTGTGGCTGTTCCGCGTTGTGCGTTTCGATGCGTTTCGTAGTATTTCGCTCTGTTTTTGTCGGTGTGTTCACGGAGCTTGCGTTGACGCAGTTTCGGCTGCGCCGCTGCGGTAGCATTGACACTCCTGACCTGCCAACCTGTCATCGTATTGCATCATGTCATCATGCTGTATCGTCATTACCATTTTTGATTGTTTGACGTTTCCAAAAATGTCCAAAATGCAGCGAGGCAAGCTATGTAGTACAGACATGTCAACAACTCGAGCTTGACTGCCACTCGTACTTACTCGCTTTAGCTGGAGCGCCATTCGGCCGTATGCCATGGATGCTGAACGGGCCGCTCACGGGCTTCGAGAATACCTGCGCGCGTCTTGCCTCTTAGTCCTTTTCGGGTCAAGGTTCTTGTAATGGCTTGTAATTCATATTCCCATTATTCCCATCTTACTGCAGCCGGACTGTGACCCTAAATCTGCAGTAGGGCTGGTGACAGCCACGAGGCTGCATACATCGAAGATGAAGCCTTGGAGATGGACAAGATCAACTCCTGGCTTCTGCAGATTCGGCAGCTTGGTTTAGATGTTCTTAATTTAAGGAGTTTGCCCCGTCCCACGCCCCACGCTCCCCTCTCTCACCATTAAAGATGAGTTGAGCGGAATCAACGCGTGCTTATGCTGAGGTCAGAAAGCTTCGACTGGGCATTCGCCAAAGACGATGACATGCCACCGCTCCACTATGCTTGCATGAATGAAGCCACCGAACCTAAAGAGCTACTTTGCCCAATCTTGTTGAGACATGTTGAGACCGTTGAGAGTCCAAATATGAGGCACGTTTCGGATATGCGTTGCATTGCGTTGCTTCTCAAGAGCCTTGTAACAAAAAACTGAATCTTTTCGGTAGCCACTTGATCCGATCACAACTTGATCCTCTACCATGGCTTGCTGTAGTCTCTTCACGGAGGCGAGATCAGCTCTCGATAGTCCAGGCTCTTTGCGGCAGTGGCGCGGCTGCTTGAGTTTGGTGCTGACCCGCAGGTCTGCCGGGACGGGTGGGTTTCATGAGGATCTGGTTTGTTGTAAGGTGCATGCGTTGCAGGAACAAGCTTGTTCGTAGTTCATAATCTACGTCCACCTGCCTTCGCGAAGCCACGTCCCACAACATCCGCACCACTCGGGTAATCTTCCCTTCGACTGTTCAGACTCTTCATGTTTCTGTATTTCAACTTGCAGAGGTGATAATGCCGCACATAATTAGGCAGCGAAAAGAGAAAAGCGCGTGACTTTCAGCGGGTTCGTTTTTACCTGGGTTGTCTTTCTCGGTCGACCCCGGTGGTGGGGCTTGAGAACACGCAAGCTGCTTTGCAGGGCTGAGGCTCCCGATATAAGAACAAACTGCCCAGCATTCAACAACTCCAAGTTGTTTTCATCTTGCGCCCTTTTTAAAGCCCGCCACCCCTGCCTTACATGCAACGAGACACAGCGCGGACCGGGAATGCTTTGAGTTGGATTGGTTTGCATGTATTTGCACGTCTTATTTGCCCAAATGTCGGAAGCGCCCCCGAAGCATCTGCGAACTGATGCTCACAGCCTTGGTGGACATTTCGCAGATTCTTGTAGCAGCTCTGGTCCGTGCATCAGGTGAAGGATTGTGACGGGGACACTGCGCTGCAGGCTGTTCTCAGCCTTGATACACCAGATGAGGACGCCGATGAGGAGGCCTTGCAGGCCGGGCTTCACATTTCTATCATTTCGTAACTTTTGGTGCATCGTTGCCTCTTGGCTTGGCATGTCAGTCGGACCACAGAGTACCCTGAGGCTCACTTTGCTGCTGTCCGTGCTTTGATCCAAAGTCCACGGCAGGACATGCATCATGTTGTTCCCCCAAAGCTAGAAGGCACTTCCGAAAAAAGTCATTTGGTACAGATAAAATTTCATCAACATCTCTTGCCGTTTTTCATTCTTCCTGTGGCGTTAATCAAGGGGATATCCAAATTCAGTGTTGTCCGAGCCTTGTGTCTGCATTTGGCATGTGTGCCATGCTGATTGGTGCTTATTGGTGCGGGACAAGCGCGCGGATGGCTTTGCATAGTATGCGGTTTTGGAGATCTTGAGGAGCTTGGAGATCCCGAGCTGCGCGCCCTGTGCAGCTGGCTACGGCACCATGTTCCACAGAGTGGACAGAATCAGGCATTGACTAGCTGCTAGTGCGTACGGTTTGGATTCAAGAACGAGGAAAAGCTAGGATAAAGCGAGGATGTGAGACAGAGAAAGCTCTGCACCGCTATTATTTGCTTGCGTGTCCCGGGTCGGTACCCACCGCAAAGCATACACCCCTACCTACGGCCAACCCTAACCCACCACGCTATGCAGCCCTAAGCCCTTATGCATACCCTGCCTGAAACCCTCAAGGCCAAAACCCACCAAAAGCCACCTTGAAAAAAACTAAACCACAAGCCCTGACTCCCAAAACTTAGAAGCGTAAATCCTAAACCCCACCGAAACCCCAACTCCCTAAACCACCCACAGGGGGGGGGGGAGACCAAGGGACGGTGTTAAATGCTCTCCATATCATTGAGTTCCGATATAGAGAGCAGGTTTGGTTCCAGCTTCGGCGCGGCTTTGTAGGTGTTCCCTGGCATCACTTCTCACCAGTGTTTTGAGCCCGCCTTACCGGCCACGGTAGGTTCAACGCTACTTTGGAAAGGATACGCAAGCTTGTCCCGACACGCTGCTTTTACATCCACAGGGTCATTGTTGAATCCGACCTCTCGTTCACAAAACTTATTCAGGGCTTGGCCATATAAATGGCTTGAGCCAAGATGGCTCGGATTCGACGATGGCCACGAGGATGTTCAAGCTGCGTGCTTCCAAAGTGTTTTTGTTCGCATGCCCAGGATTGCTTTGCAGAAAACGCAGGTGGCTAGGATGGATGCGAGGGGATGAGAGTCTGAACATATACACATGTCCAGCTGTGCACACACCACGCATGTTGAACAAGGTCCGGGGGCGAGGGGTTTTAGTGTCAAAGGATGAAGGGTCCCAGGGTTCTTTAGGACGGCAATGAGGCGCTGCCAGCTTCGGGCTCCGCAGTTAGGTCATGTGCTCTCAGTGTGTTTTGCCCCCATCTGCCACCTCTCCTCATCCTCAGTGCAGGTCCTCTCCGACCTCGAGAAACGCATTGGCCGGGAAGCTACTGCTCAAGCATGGACGTCTGAAATGCTTCTGAAGTATTTGGAGCAGTCCGCGTACGAGGCCAGAGTACAGAGAGATTTCCGTGTTCTGCCCCGGCAATTTTCGTGGGCGCGGGGTCGCCCCAGCTTAATTTTTGGGTGTCTGGAAGTTTTGATCTCTGTCGGCCACAGTACCTCTCACATGAAGTGAGGGTATAGGGTAAAGTATTCTCTACTTGGCGAGGGGTTTATGCAGGTCAGGTCTCGAGATGACACCGTCACCAAGCTTGCCACTTATGCCATTCAACTCTCATGGTCGATAATTACACATCAGGTGCATCTTACACGTCAACACGCACCCACAGAAAATTTCTGCACATTCATGCAGGCAAAGCGACCTTTGCAAGCTTCGATCGTGCAGCAGTACTTAGCAGCTGGTGCTAGCCCTTCTGTTTCGCAGAACGGTGCCACAGCCCTCTTGCTGAGTCTTGGCGGTAAGTTTTGACAGTTTCATATGACACTCTATGAAGTATACATCCTGGTTCATAGTTGCAGGTTCAGTGGCTTGTGCAATGGCTGTATGGCCTGACAGGACCGTGCTGAATCCATACACCAGCTATGAGGAGATGGGCCCAATATGCCGCATGATCGTTCAAAAGGATCCACAAGTGGTTTGCCAACGTGATGGTTTCAAGCTTGCACCCTTGGAAACTTGTCTTTGCCAAGGAATAAAGACCTGGTTTTACTGTTAAGAGTGTCAGAAGTAATTGCCCCAAAGGCCTTGGGCCTTGAATGTTCTCACAATTTATCATCCGCTCTGAGAACCATCCGACTGACCGGAATCTTGCGCTCGGGTTTAGGAGTCCATGACTGAAGACAGAGTGGTCTCACGGTCTCACGAGCAAGAAGAGATGGAATTCGCTTGTTGGCTTCCGGAACGTATTTCTCGCAATTAGACACTTTATATGTCGCATCCTAGGATTGGGCCTCCGACTATGAAAACATTGCGGTTCAGCATGGCGTAAAGCCAAACCCAGCATCGCTTCTGGGGCTATTGCCCGCTGTCGTGGAGTTGGCACCAGAGAAGGCAGCTCACGTTGAGAACTGTTGAGAATTCTGACCGTGCAGTTCCGACTTCGACCCATTGGTCTGAGGCTGATGAATCAGGTGCCAGATGCCTGAAGGCCAAAGACAATGTCGGCACAGGAGTGAGATAGATCGAGATATATGTTACAGAGCCTCTGCATGTATCCGCTGATCGTACAGCCAATTGTATGCATATGAGCCGCGAGGAGAAGCCAGGTCCGAAGCCCCCTTGCGCTTCCTCGAGGGCGACCGCGTGCGTTGCCGCGTGGAGGAACCTGAGACACGAAAAGAACATCAAAACACTAGAGAAGTACTATGATGAGAGATATGAGAGCAAGCAAAACCGATACCGACCCGGACGACGACCGACGACCGACGCCCGACGCCCGACGCCCGACGCCCGACGCCCGACGCCCGACGCCCGACGACCGACGACCGACGACCGACGACCGACGACCGACGACTGTTTGCTGTTTGCCGGACCACATCTCCCTTCAACTTTGGAGGCAAATAGGGGTCTAAGGGTTAAGGCTTTGAGGGCTTCGGGTTTGGGTTTGGCTTTTCCCGGGTTCCGACAGACAACCTACAACACAAGGGGATCATACCTGTGCGCTTTCCACGTGCAGAAAAAACTCCCCCTGAATATCAAAGAGGTACTGTACTGCAGTCGCCCCAAAGCAATGTTTCAGTTGTTTTGGGGGTCGGGGAGGGGTTTGGTGGGCAGTGGGGTGAGGTAGGGGCCGTATGACATACTACGGACAATCAGGGGGAATGATACGATCTTTGGAGCGTGACTTTCAATCTTGATTTGTTGACACCGAGAAGCTGTGGAACAGTGAGGTCGTGCGTGAGAACTGTCCCTTGTTGGGATTTGCCGCTCAATGCGAAAGAATCATTGAACATCTGGTACCGACATGTATCAAACTCAGCCGCAATCGATGTCGATCAGGCTCCAGGAGGCCAGTCAGCTTGGGAAGAGGGCGTCGTCGTCTCGCTCTGGTACCGGGATGCTTGGCCAACATGCATATCTGTCACGATGTGCGGCAAAACAGTATTTTTTCGGAACGCCATGCATTTTCTAGCTAGCCCGCGCCTGGAACAGTTGGGAGTTACTTACTTGCTTTCATGTTGTCGGGGTTCGTCCCCCACCGACGCACAACAAACCCGGGAGTTATCGTTGATATCTCTGGTCTCTGTTTTACATTGTCTTCCATTATGTGCGCATATCTGTCGGATAAGACATTTTGTGACCTCGGTCATTGTCAAGGAGAAGTGCTGGCCACCCAGTTTTCCTGGAGCCCCATACGAAGTAAAGCTGGACATTGGACAGCTCGTCTATGCTCTGTGTGACCATGATGTGATGATCAGACCGGAGGCCTCGGTGTCAAGAAAGTGGACTCTTGGTACTCTTGCATGTGACAGGATGCACCACTTAGAAGCAGATTCCTAGATGCCTAGATGCGTACACAGCTTTCCGCATCTGTGTTGCTGACAGAAATGGCAAGCTTCTGGAAGGCTACGGCAAAGGCACAGAAGGCTCCCAGTGCGGGAGCAGCAACAACAAAAGGCCGCTTTTGTAAGCAGCAGAAAGAGGACGGCAGTCGCTCAGCTTGGGAGAAGATTCAAGACGAAAGAAACCCCAATTTTTCCGTTTCCTATGTAAGACTGATTAAAGCAGCGCATATGGAAACGAACATAAAAATGCTCCCGCTTAACTTTAAGCTAAGGCTGGGAGTTGCTCGACACCAAGTCTGGAAAATCTCGGGCTTGTTCACCGCCGGACTCTGACGAGGAGACAGCGAAAGGGTTTATTGATGTTTATTGCAGAATGCTGGAAAGATGTCCTCAACAACGCTTTCGATTTGGGGGGTCTTGCCGCTATCGAAACTGGTTTCGTTATTCACGTAGGCAGGCATGCATGGTCTAATCAGTGTCAAGATTCCTGGCGCTCTGGAGTACGCATCTCGCGTCTACTGCCTTGGTCAAATTCGCAAATTTCAGTAGGCGTCGAATGGCTAGCTCTCCTCCTCGACTGGTAGATTAGATACGATATGTAAGATGTGTTTACTTTCTTTGCCTCCCTGTATAATCTAGCCGAGATGTAAATGTGATTGTGCGACATCGCGGCTCGCCTCGCATATGTGCATCCAGGACTGAGAGGTTCTTCACTAGATGACGTGGATATTTTTAAGTTCTGCAGACTGTATAGCCCACGAAAGTCTGGGACCCAAGTTTTAGATGTCAAAGGATGCGACTCGTGATTGCTGTGGCAAGCATTTTGCAGTTTTTTCGGCACAATGTTTCAGTAAAGCCTTGCTTCGGCATACTCACTGACACAGCAATCACACAGAATCACAATTTCCAGAGCTTTGTCATTGTGGTTTTCGGACCATGCTGCGTTGTAGTGCTTGAAGCACGAGACATGGCGACCTTGTGGCTGCAAAAGTTATGGCCACAAGGACCTCGAGGCGTGTGAAACTTTTGCAACTGCAAGGTTCAAAAGCTTCAGGTAAATTCTGCATGGGAAGCATGTGTGGCTGGACCTGTTCAGCATGTTCAGCTCCCAGAGCAGGATTGCGGGGCATATCTGAGCATCAAATACTGCGCTTGCCCAGGCTCGACCTTCCTCTCCAGGCCTGTTTGAGGCCACGGCTGAGCGCAAGCACGAATCCTTTCCTAATGCCTTTACTTGAACTTGTGCCTTGGCAGACGCTGTCGGCCTTGGCACAATTGAAGGCCGCTGCACGTCGACACTTGCCACTTTTCTGAGACTCGACATCAAATAGAGCCACGCTTCTGTCAAAGAGAAGTGCGAACGGAAATAATTTTATCGCTACGCGACCCGCCTCGGCCCGGCCCAGCGCATCCGCGTGAGCATGGTGATTCCGCAGCGCCCAAGTCGCTGGACCCCAAGCAATAAGGGTTGGGTTTAGGGTTTAGGGTTCCGGGTTTATGGTTTATGGTTTGAGGTTTAGGGTTGAGGGTTAGTTTAGGGTTGAGGGCTTAGGGCTCAAGGTTCACTGTTTGGGGTTTGGGTTTAGGGTTCAAGGTTCCTCAAGCAAAAGCGGGGGGGCAGGGCCGGGGCGGCGGGGGGGGGGTGGGGGGGGGGAATTAAGGGGTGGGAAGGGGGGGCCTGCTAATTCTACTGCCCCTCGTCCTGGAACCGTCCGCTTTGAGATTGTGGTCGCCCACGGGGGGTACCCTTTCCAGGCAAAAAAAGGCGGCCGGGAGGATTTGGAGGGGTGCCTGTTCTGACTATACACCTTCGGCCCGAGGCCTCGGCGGATTTGGGACCAGATCACGAAACTGCATGGCACCGGCACCGCAGCCACGGAAACACGCGGAAGGGTTTGTAGAAGTGTCTCCGCAGAAGCTGTCACGGAAGCAATGCTTATGTATTGCATACCTATACCGCTGCAGCATGGTTTGATGCGTAGTACGTATACTACGACATTGAGTTCCAAGACGAGTATGTGCGTTTGGGGTTCCCGAAACCAGGATTGCCAGGGTCTCGGCTCGCGACGCTTGACGCGAAACGAGCGGAAGCTTCGCGGAAGCTACGGAAGCCCGCGAGCCGATATCCAAGGTTGGGCCGTTTTCTTTTTGCCTCTGTGCTCTTGCAACATAGAACATCAGTTTTTGGTCAAGCATGCCAGAAGCTGGTGCAGCAACATGGCAACGTAGTTCCTCATGTCATGTACATCCCGCACCCGGCCTATCACTAGCGGCGTCGGTCAAGCGCGCTTTTTGACAGCTGGCATCCGCCGACGCATGTTCGGGTTGTTTACGCTCGCGGAAACAAGTTCCCCAAAACCTCACAAAGCGAGCTCGGGGAAGTGTCCGACAAGGCGGTTTTAACCTTTGCCCAAGATGCTTGACCCGCTAGACTTGTTTTAAATAATCTTTGTTGAGGTTAGGACTAGCTTGGTCTCGTTTGGCTTGGCTTGGCTTGGCTTGGCTTGTTGGGGTATCCTTTCAGCCCCCTTGCTTTTTTTGTTGCCCTCCGCCCCCACTTCGCAGTCCCAGAAAATGTCTCGACTCCCGGGCCAGCCTGCTTTCTGTGTTTTCAGGGGCCGCGGGTTGGCGAGTCTCAATCTGTTTAAAGAAGGTGTGCTGTGCAGAGCCCACGCCTGGGGGTCTAGGCTTTAGTGTTGATGGCTTATTTCTTGTCATGTGAGGGCGCGCGCTCAGGTGAAGCGCCCCGGGCCGTGCGCTCACGTCGCTTGTCAACCCACCCGGGGTGGTTGGTTGTTTTTTCTTTCCTAGACGTGCCCGTTCTTTTTTCCTAGATGTGGCTGACCCCCTGATATCGAAACCTGACCGAACCAATCATGCAAGCAAAATGTTTGCAAATGCGGGGCCTGCCCCCCCCCCAACTCCCGCTCATTTCTTTTCGCCGCGCAAGGTTGCGTTAACCAACATCTTGCCATGAAGAAAACTTCATGGTTTTAAGATGTTTTAAGTTTTAAGACATATGAAATTCTTTCCAACCAGGCATTGTAGGCTGCGCCCCCGCCAACGCCCGCGCTGACAAAACACCGTGTTTGCAAATGGTGGAACAGGACTAGGACAAAAGGGCTCGCCACACCTAGGAATAAAAGGGTCCCGCCACACCAAGAACAAAGAAGGGCCCTGCCACACCAAGGGAAAAGGGCTCCCGCCACTCCTAGGAACGAAAGCAGGAAAAGCAACAAAGCCCGCCACACCTAGGGAAAAGGGTCCCGCCATACCTAGGAAAAAAGAGGGTCCCGCCACACCTGAAGGGCCCCGCCACACCTGGGAAAAGCAGAAAAGCCAGCCAACCTATGAAGCCCTCCACGCCCCGCCACACCTAGCAATTAACAGGGCCCCGCCGCGCTTAGGAGAACAAGAAGGGCTCCGCCACACCTAGGAAAAAGGGACACCTAGGAAGGAAGAAAGGGCCCCGCCAAACCTAGGAGCAGAAAAAGGGCCCCGCCCCACCCAGGAAGAAAAGGGCAACGCCACACCAAGGAGAAAAAAGAGGGCCCCGCCACCCTAGGAAAAAACAAGGGCCCTGCTATACCTAGGAAAAACAAAGGTAGAAACACCTAGGACCTAGGCAAGAAAGGGCATCGCCACATTTAGGAAAAGCAACAAGGCCCGCCACGCCTAGGACAAAAGAGGGTCCCGCCGCACCTACAGGGCCCCGCCACGCCTAAGCAAGAAGCCCGCCACACCTTGGCAAAAAGGGCCCCCCCCACACCTGGGAACAAAAAGGGCCCCGCCGCACCCAGGAGAAAAAAAGGGCCCTGCCACAAAGCAAAGGTAGGAACAACCCCACCACATCTAGGAAAGAAAGTGTCCCGCCACACCTCGGAAAGAAAGCACCCCGCCGCACCTTGGACAAAGGGCCCCGCCACACCTGGAAAAAAAGGGGCCCTGGAACAAAGGGGCGGGGGGGGGGTGAGGCGAACTGAGGGCTGAGGGAGGTGGGAGGGGGCATGTGCAACGTGGCACGGCTCGACTCCCGGGTTGCGCGCGATGTCATAGCGTTTTTCCAAGTGTGCCTGCTGCTTCATTGTTCTTGCTTTTGGATACTGGCGCTTGGCTTCTAATGCTTCTACGTTTGATCGCTGCTGTGTGCTTTGCACTTTGTTGAGCACTTTTTGTATGTCACCTCCTGCTTTCAGCCGTGGTTCTCGATCATTCCGGTTCCTCATGTTTGGCAATTTTGCGTGTTGAGTTTTTGCCGTTGCCTCACTGTCTGCTTTCAACGTTTTGACGCGTAGTTTTTTTCTGGACGACTTTTTTTGATGAGTTCCTGAGTCCCAGCAGCGTGTGTATGGAAACTCACCTGCAAGCTTCTGCCGCGGACTCTGCGGCAATTCGCTCTCCGGTGCTTGGGCTGGGGTAGTTCGAGAGCCCTCGTCCTCCACACATCGAACTCTTCGGAACTTTCCTGCGCGGCAACACCTCGACCACAATAGCAATGGCAGTACTTTCAGAAACAGGATCGACTTGGTCTTCCATGTTCCTACCAGCAGCTACCCGTAACATTATTGCCGATGAGACCGGCTTCGGGCTGCAAAGATTTGAGGTCAGCTGGTAGTCGTGCTGGCTGAAGCATTCGGTGATACCTCGAAACAAAAGCGAGGCACATGTTGGGCTCCAACCGGACTCCAACCATTCTACTGTGTGGGATGTGGCCAAGCATGTCAACAGTCGAACAGTCGTCGTGGCATGAAACCATCTTTGGAAGCTGGAAAGCACACCTTGACGGATGTGTGCAGACGTGCGAATTACAGTTGGCGTGAGTTTTTTCGGTATGACCAAATGCGGACGATCTGAGGACGGCACATTTGTGATGGATGCCAGGCCCTGAGAAATGGTAGAGATTGGCAGAGCGGTGAGAGCGACCTCCAGCTTCTGAAACGTGCTCCAAACTCTGCTTGTTTCGAGCCGCGCTGGGCCTCAGGAGCAGCAAAAACTTATGCTGCAGCTGCTACATGAGGTGCTCGCGGCTCTTTATTCTGCTCAGAGACGGCTAGAGTACTGCCCTTCGCAAGGCTTTGGTGAATGGCGAGCGATCTGGCTGCTCAGATGATTATTCTTGAAGCTGTTCCGGGTCTGTGAGCCGTGCTTTATTTAGGGCACTCCATACCTTTGTCTCTGTCCAGCGGTACAGCTCGCCACCACACTTCCAAAATACATCAAGCAGCCCATTGTTTCAGAAACGTTCAGAAGGCATTTGGGCAAGACTGAGGCTGGCTGCCGTACATTCGTGTCTCGGCACTATCTACGGAAGAAGAAGATTTGAAAAGTTGTTTTCCTCGACCGTCCTCGAACTACAGGCACGCTGCCGCGTACTTTTCCGACACTGCCGTTGTGGTACACGGCCGAGGATTCCCAGACTCAGATGTTTTGAGCGCAGGGCCTTTCGTTGTAATAGATACTTATTACCATGCAGACACATGACAGCCCCAGCAATTTGTCGTACAAACCTTTGATGGCAGCATGCAGGAGAAGAAATTCTTGAAAGGCACCTCGGTGGACACCCTGCTTGAAGCAGCGCATATTGCCAGCGACAAGGACTGAGAAATATGCTGGGACAGCATTGGGACACGGCGTGGATTGTCAGGACTTGCAGGCCATGCGCGCGTGCTGCCAGTCCGATCTCTTGAGTATCCTTCCAGACTCGCCCTCTCTGGAACAGTCGCTGCCTAAGCTTTTGCTTCTGGTGAGCTGCTCAGAGCCTCCGCTGTCTGCGCGTTGCACTCGCCAGCGGGAGAGGAGTCGTTAATGTTGTGGTATTGATTTAAGGTTGCGTTGGGCTGCCTCAGTTGTGGCTTCGCGCGCGTTTGACTCGTCGGCAGCTGGTGTCATCCTTGCACCGTTTGCCGACGACGCTGAGCCGCAAATGCAGAGACATCTGGCTGAACCCAGAGCAGTAGTTGATTGCTGTTGGCTGCTGAAAGCCCTCCACTGTCGGAAATGTTGCTTCCCAGACATTCACTGAGATTCCCACCCTTTCCAGAACTGTCCGATATCAAGACATCGCCATGAGGGTGCTTCGTGCCGTGCAGAAAAGAGGAGCACAAGTCTGAATCAGTAAGTGGATTTTGCGGTACAAATGAAAATTCTGGACGGCCAGCTCGAACGACTATGAAACTATGAACGTGCTCAAAAAGCGGCTCACGACACGTTTCCTGAAAATATTATTCCCCCGGCCCGTTCCAATTTGGTAGCTTCACCAGATGTAAAGGGACCGAATTCACCATGGTTAGAAGGGTTTATTGCTCAGATACATGTCTCTCTATTTCCCCCCGGCTCCCAGTTTCACATGGTAAATCTCAGATCCAAGATTCCATATTCGCACCAGTTCCCCTACCCTGCCCCCTCCCTCCCAAGCAAAGTAAGTGGATTCGGACCGAGGCATTGAATCATTCCAGCGCTGCTCCTCACACACGCATGAGGGACTGAGGCTCGGCTTGATTTCAGTGGCTGGCAAAGCATCTGTTTTTTGGGGATGTCGTTGGCCTGTCAGTGGCGCGTCTAACCATCGCAAGACAGGCGGCAAGCAGCTATTGTTCCACGCGGAACGGGACATCCCTGCCGGGGAGGAAATCATGAATTGCTATGGCTTGCAGGACGCCGGAACATGCATTTGGAGAATGTCAGAGCTTGTGCATCATGAGATGTTACCTGCACACAACATTGTACTGCGAGGGCAATACCCAATGGCTCCTGAACGGTGGCTTCCGCGACAGCTCACGACCATGCGATGATCTCTTGGTCACACCGGCGGATGTCGCCGCTCGCTGACATGGTCACCATTGGTCACTAAATTCGGGCCGGAAGGGGCCATCTTTGGAGCGCGTTATGACCCTTATGGCTTGCACATTCAACGGCAGTGGGGGCACAGGGAAACCCTGGTTTAACTGTTGACAATGCACCTTTTTTCAAGTATATTTCACAAGTATCACATTCACAGCATTCCCTCAAACTGGAATTGTCAAGTGAGAAGTGTCCAACATGCAAGGTGAGTTCTGCGCTGGCACATTTGCACTACTATCGCCAGGCCCTTCCATTGCGACATTTGAACATGGCATCAACATTACATATATTACATATACAGCCAAAGTCCGCTGGCTTCACATCGGACGCGCGAGATGCTGATGCAACGTATGTGTTTAGGATCATGTCAGCTCATGGGCATGAGACATCTGTCGGCATCGCCGGCATACTCAGACTGCATTACAGTCGCATGGTCCCCGCACAAAACATTCCATTGGAGCGAAAGGATGAGGCTGCCAGATCAGCAGACGACGAGGCGTGGAGTACAATTGCAGCATGTTGCAGCCTGTTGCAGCGTCGAGATTGCTTCGAGGAAACGACGCTGGCACATTTCGTTGCTAACTGCTTCACAGGGGGGGCCGATTTTTTCTGCAGGCTGCACATCCTTGGTTGCCCATATTCTGGCTTGGGCTCCATCTGTGCCCCAAAGCTTCAACTTAGGGCCGGATGGCCGAATTTGTAGAAGCAATTAGAACCCCCATGAAGCGGCCCCAACAAAAAGCTCCCCCTCGGCAAGTGCATGAGCCGGGAAGTGCGGGATCACCTGAGTCTTTTGTGAGAACGAAGAACGCTTGGCTGTTCGGCATCGTTCGGCCCACGGAACTCGATGCATTGACGATCATGGTTTTCAGGCTGGGGTTCTTTAGCTTTCGCCTGGCTTGCTCATGTGCTTTCAGAGGACAACGGTTAACGGTTGAGAGCTGCTCAAGGAGTATGAGCATGAAACGACATGCGCCTGAGCAAAAGCCTCAAGGAGTTCAAAGTCGTTTCGCCCAGAGAAGGCGAGACGTAGTGGGGATAGCCGAACTACGAATCCGTTCGATTCCATGTCAGAGCAATTGCGAAGCCTTTTGGGGGCTTCTGAGTTGCATGTGCCTTTTTTGGCCAGCGACTGTGCGAGGAATCTTTTCTTTGCTCACGGTTGTCCCTTCTACAGGACAGAGGACAAAGTTTTCATGGCAACCTCGCGACAGTAGGCTTAGGAGCACATGCTGGCGGCTGAGACAGGCACGCTCCCACAATTCTCCTACAGAAAACTCAGCAGAACAGCTTCGAGGACTTTGGCATTGGCAGCGGGTCTTTCTGCCTATCACCGGCTGACATCCTTCCCGACGACTTGGCCACAATGCTGCTGGTGTGATGCCCCAGTAGCTGCATGTTTCATCGTCCGTTGTACTGCAGCCGCAGTGGGGCATTGAACAAGTCACATCAGAAAGACAGGACTATTCGCCCGCATACAGTATGGGAACCACACACGCATCAAGTGACTCTGACAAGATTGCTGCAACAATCGAGACAGGTCATTTGCATGACCGACGCAGAGTTTGCAGTATATCGCCGCGAAAAGACAGGACGGCTAGTTGCTTGCTGAGTCAGCATCTGTACATTCTGTGCGGCAGGTTGTTTCCTTCAGCGAATGGCTGTCGATGTGGCGATGTTCGGTATGTAGAGCACAGCAAGGACTAGTAAGGCAAAGCAACCGAAGGTGAGTAGGAATCAAAGAATCAAAGAAGCAGACCACAAGGACGACAACATAAAACCAACCACTACAAGCAAATTATGGAGGTGCAGCCAGCTCTCAAAAGTTCCACCTGCTCCAGCCACAAGCTGGTTTTGGGCGTCGCCTGATGGGCCCAATCGGGGCCGACTGTAAAGTGTAGGTTCATAATTCATTCAAGAGATCTTATGATCATTTAGGTCGTGTTTTCATCGATAGGTGAGAACCCCCGTCTCGGATTTATCAGTTCTGTAGCAGCAAATCCATCTACACTCCTATCCACTCGAAGATCTACTCTCAATCTCCGTTTAATTCTACCTGCTGTATTACATCTACAACTCCATCTTCCAAAACCAGGATACCTGCGGGCTTCTTCGTTTCGGATCGATGGGCCCCACCCCGGAAATAGGCTTCGTCGTTCTAGGCATGACTCGGTATGACCTATATACCCAGCTCCTCCAGCCCGGCGCAGGAGGTGGGAACGCAATCATCGACCTCGGCGGCGAAGAAGGCGACGGGGGTGTGGAATCGTGTGGAACCTTTGTCTATGCAATGCTTGCAGTGCAATTTGCCCTTGAGGTGAAGAGTTACCGGAGCCTCTGTTGGCAAAGCTCTACGGCTGCCTCCTGCGCCGCTCTTCGAATTTCTGTTGTGAGTCTCTGCTGTTTTTCTGCTCCAGAGAAGGCTTCAATGGTGCGATTCTTCCTGCCAGGATTAGTCCAGCTGCTTGAACGAAGGTATGATACTTCTTTGGAGGAGGACGAGTTCTGGCTAGAATTGATGAAGAGATGTTAAAGGATCCGTATCTGGGCTAGCTGCTAACTAACTGATTTGCACTGCAGGACAAGGACCTTCTACATTGGTTGGAGGTTGAGGCCCAGGGTGTGCACTGTGTTACATTCCGAGTGGCCATTCGTGGACCATGATCAGGAAAGCCAGCCACAACTATGCTTCAGAGTCATGTCGGCTCAACATGCCGGAAGGAGCCTATAGTCTAGGAAAAACACAGACATAGGCTGAGACTCTTCGACAGACAAGGAACTGTCATTCTCACCTGAGCAACACCTCACAAAAGCTCTCCGTGCCGCCATGCTGCCCAAGTTGGGTGGACGAAGCTCATTTCCATTGCCGCTCTCCATATCTTTAGCGTGGTCAAGAGGTTTCGTATTCACGTGCTTTCATTCGCTTGCATGGTAAAGGTTCCCGTCGGTATTTGGTCCCGCTGCACTTCATGTGGTGGATTTCCCGGAAGATCACAAGGCATCCAACTGTGGAGGCTCCATTTCCCACATTTCCTACGCAGCATGTTCTGCTGAGGCTCCATGTGTCGAAGCCTGTGCTGTGCACAACGATTCCTGGACAGGCGGCAGATTCCAGACAGAGGAAACCTCAGTCCCTGAAGGAGGCGCTGTGTGCCGACCGCCCTATGTTTAGCAGGTCTGTCCACGCCTTGGGTTTCGTGCTGCCATTGTCAAAAAGCCCTGTTTGCAGGGGACAACTCCTCTGTAGCGGAGATCAATGAGGATGACATCGACTTTGACGATGACATCTCCTTCTTGTCAGATTTCTCACAGAGAGGACAATGGCTTGTGCACGGTGCAGAAACGTGGGAGATTTGTGCTGCCAGAGGATGTCTGATCCAAGCGGTCAATGACATCATTTCCCAGAGCCGATTGGCCATCGCTGCCAGAACCTCCACCGAGAGACCCGAGGGCAATCCTGAGGCACAGGGCTGCGTCAGTGTAATTCATGGGTTGCGCATAGTCAGACATAATTATCATAATTTTCAGAACCCACGGTTGAAAGGCACCGCAGCAGATGTTGCATGGGTTTCGCAAGTTTTGAAGTATCCTGCCAGGACGGCACTTTCGACATCATCTCGAGAGGCTTCGAAGAGTTGGTGGGTTACTCGCGAACAGAACTACGCAGCAAGGACAAGATGGACAAGTCCTCACACAAGCTTGGCAGTTTGAATCAGATGAGTGACTTCAATGAGAATTAATGAGAACTGGGGTGTCTCTTCAGAGGGCTGGGGCAGGGCTCGGTCGATGCAGGGAGCATGCGATGCTAAGGCCAGCTGCCGACAACATTCACAAGCATGAACCTCTCTGAGTGACAAGAAACACATCATTCTGAATCATTCTGGCTCTTCTCAATGGTTGACGGGCTGGTGCCCGTACCTGCATCCAATAGGGATTGGGGTTGGGCTGGTGTCCAGCATCGCCTGAGTGTTGGCAACCCTCCTCCCCACATGGACCCCAAAGTTTTGTGTTTATTCAGTGGTTGAATGTAGGGGGTTGCTTTTGTGCAGTAGCCATCACTGCACTTGCGGTCAATACGAGCAGCCCAACTTGCCGGCCCGGCTATCCTGGCTCTCGTTGCCTTTCACGAATCGTCAAACTCAGATGAAGCGGTCTGTTAAGCTGATTCCAAGAGTCCCAGTTGCGATTTCGCAAGCTTGTGCTTCTGCCAGAGTGCAGGAGCTGATGCGGCTGTTGTCGCCCGACAGCTGGCTGTCTTTCCAGTGCGAGAGCCAACTGAACATGGCTTTGGCCACTCAGACAGGCAAGAACCGCTTGGAAGTCCCTGTGGAAGCCCTTGTGCTGCTGACATCACTTGGCTAGTGCATGATGGTGCATGCAGAAAGACATCCACTTTTCAACGGGCCAAAAAGCGGTAGCCATCTGCAGGTGATGCATCGATGCGGTGCGTACTTCGCCGAAAAACCGGCGAGCTGGTCGCCACCATTGTCACGAAGCGGGCTTTCACCATTTCCTTGGCAGACCACGGCCTGCAAGACCTGCATGTCGTACTGACCATGCATGTTGAGGAGCCGCCGGAGCCCAAGCTGTCACATGCTGTCACAAGTGATGTCTCACTCGCGCAGTTTGTGCATATGTCAAGACTGGTCGGTGTTGGAGATTGCCGAAATCACCATTTCCAGTACTGATTTCCGTGGGGTTTTTCGTCTCTTGGCACCTTCTCTTTCCTGCTCAAGGTCGCATGGACATAAACTCCCTAGGAATCATCATGCCTTCCAAACGTTTGCTTTCCATCTCTGTGATGTCTGCAAGTGCTGTGCCTCTCCTTTATCTCCCAAGCATAGCTGACCATCGAGTTCTTCAATAGTACTGTTCCCATGTCTTCCAGGGATTGTTGCTTGTCCAAGTTTAGACTCAAGGCTCAGGCAAACCATACTGGTCTTCCGTGCGGCCTCTGTGCCTCTGTGCCGCGAGTGGTTGGGGCTGTCAGCAGGTGAAGCCGTGCAGCTGAGTGCAGTGCTCCGCCGGCTCCGCCGGCTCCGTTGGCCCAGACCGAGGGTGGGCTACCTTGTATGAGCCGTGAGCTAGGGCCTTAGGGCAGCGCCGGCAAGTCAACAGCCTTGCTTGCTCGCCAACCCCATCCGCTTGAGCCTGACGCACTTCCTTGGCTGGCCTCCGCCTGGGTCCTCGAAGTTGTTTTGCCTGTACAGAATGCTTCGGCCCGCCCTACGGCTGCCCTGCTCTCTGTCTGGATGTCGGGGTAGACGCATCCTGCATCGCCGGGTGTCGGGCGGAGGTCGTTGCATATCTCTCTCTCTCTCTCTCGCACCTCGATCCGGTGGCATGCTGTGCCGCGGTGGTTGTTTTGTTTTGCTGTCCCAGACACGATGTACGGGCGCTCAGTTCCAGTCTCTTCCTGGCGGTCTTCTGTGATGATCCGATATCCCGAGTGAAGTGGAGAGATGGAACGTGGTCGTGGTAGAAAAGTTATGATTTGGCAGGATGATGCTTCTAAAGACAGGGGATTTTCTGTTTGGCTTTCTCTGCTTTCCTGTGTTCACCGAATGGCCCGTCGCGTCCCTTTCACCTGGGCATCTCAGTTTAGGGATCACTCTTTGCTCCCTCTCCACGCCTGTCTCAAGAGCGATCAAGGAGAAGTGGCGTTGGGATGCCCCAGTGGTCAAGCAGTGCATTTCCTAAGTTCACTCCCCCAGCCTTAGTACACCCAAGCAAGGGAAGTCATTGCAGCTTCGACTCCCTGAGACCTCATTTCGTCTATGTTTAATATTTTTCTCAAGACTTTACAATCCAAAAGCAGCTTTTTGTCTTCTTTTGTTCCCCAACCCGCTGTAGCTGGGGACCTTTATTTGCTCATAGAAAGGCGTTTCCGTGATGCAAATTGGAAAGGTCTCCAAATTGTCTCCCAGTTTTGTCGACGCAGGATGCTGCGACGCCCGTCTTGGGCTGTTGTCCCCGAGATGTCTCGATGATAGATGCTGTGACGGTGACGCATGGTGACGCTCGTCTGGGGCCTCCCCTTTGTTCCCCAAACCCAAGCGGCTTTACCTGGGGCTTCTTAATTTGTTAAGGGTTTCCGTTCCGCACATTGGGTTTCTCACGGCACTAGATGGAAAAATTGTTTCCCATTTGTCTCATTCAGGCCATGCAGTTGCATGTGGCTTTCGAGCCCTCAAGCACCTGTCTTTCCAAACCGTGCCAGATGCACTGTGGTTTTGGAAGGAGCCAGCTGTAGCCAGGCTCCAAGAACGCTTCAGGGCATGTTCCTCTTCATTCTGGGCCCCCTTCGGGATTCCTGCAAATGGCCGAAATGTTTACAGAGTTTTCAGGGCATAGAAAGGCACTACGCGTGCCAGACTGCAGAACGAGGAGACACCACCGCCTAGTGTGTGTTTTGGGATGCCGCGATGGCAGATTTCATATGGCAAAAATGTCGCGTGTTTAGGATGCCATGCAATGCGGTGGTCCTCAACTGCTGTTTGGGGTCGAGGCTGGTATAGTTTTGTTTCTCGGGCACTCATTTCCCGATCACAATGTCCCAGGATGCAAGGAAGAGCAGAGAATCACATGGACATGGAGAGGAGACTTCTGCAGCTTTGCATCAGCCATTCAAGCCGCCAGCTCAGGCTGGAAGCCAGCTGGCCACTGCACCATCTCCCGGGTCCATCTTCTGATGCTGCAGGGATCGCGGAAGAAGCTGTTGCCGACTTGCAGGCTTCCTGGACCAAACCAGACCAAGCCGGCTGTAACCAGGGCAGGCTGTCCACTGTCTGTTAATCAGTAGTTAGCATCGAGCATCTAGCAGCTCACCCTGAGTGCTGTAGCCCAGCCAAGGACTTGCAGTCGGAGGTGATGACTTGTGTGATGGGCAAAGTCATGGCCAAGAACTAGGTTTCAGTAAGGCATATCGATAGCTTTGCAATATTCAGAAGCCTCTGTAGTTCGGCCACTGTCGGCTGAACTGTGGCATTTCAAGCGCGACTCCGCGCGACTGCAATGTGTGTCCGAGGGCATGGGCAGATGTGCAGCCACGGCTTCGTTCGTGATATGTTGACGGTGGATACGGTGACTAGTTATCCTCATCTGTCCTCCAGCCGGCGGTGATAACGGGCACTGCTCCCTTCGGTTATTCAACCAATCGACAGGCAACATGTTGGTCACACGGACACTTCGAGTTGTGCTGGTTCGTCACTGAGCACAGCCACTGAAACCCTAAGGTATTGAGAGTCAGAAACTCGTCGGATATAGGTATTTGCAAAGCATGCGTGCGTGGGTTAGACTCCTCCAGACCGCAGTCAGGACTTGAAAAGTTCAGCCTTCCCATGCAGAAATGACATTCAAAAAGCACGCGAGAGAAACAGCTATTCACAGCAGTGTGAGTTGTGCCTTCATGCTGTCAGCTAGGTTTCGATTACGATTCAATTTCGGCAACTTGGAATCATATCTAGACTAGTCAGAAGGTAAAGGCTGAAGCGATTGCAGCAGCGCTGCTCAGTTGCGGCTGCGCAAGCTCGTGCAGATCTGGAAAATCCCTAGTCACCAGTCACCCGGATCATGTTGCGTAGTTCACCAGGAACATATGAGGGAACATATGCTCGGAAGTTTTGCCTTGCCATGGTGGGTGTTCCCGGTGTTGCACTTTGCACATTGGGCTCCTTGAGCAAAGCTTCAGGGATGCGACGTTCGAGTGCTAATTCATCCGCTTTGCAACATTCGTGTATCTATGTTCAATCTATGTTCAATCTCTGGCATTTGCGGTGGCAGCGCGCGGCCGTCCCCAACAGAGCCCCTGGCTGTGCTGGGGTCTGCCAGCCATTGTCAAGCCAAGCGGAATTTCAACATGCGCCCACTACGCCTTGATGAAATTTTGTTGTTTCCACACGGTTAGAGCCGAGAGTGTCCTTTGTGCACAGGAGGGCATTCAGACGAGTAGTGAAACTTGGAGCAGCTTGAGGAATCTGGATCTTGCGTGACCTTGGCGGTCTCTATCGGTTGCAAAACAAGAACACAGCCAGGCAATGCCAGGCAATTCTGTGACATCAGCCGCGTTTCCCAGCTTGCCTTGCGCGACGTGTCGGATGTAGCGGCTGGCTTGTTACGTCGTCAGTTTCCTTGCGGTTCTACATGTTGATGTCTCGGGGTTGACTGCTAATTAGAAACTCTAAACTCTAGATGTCCAGAGCGTTCAGCAATTTCAACAGAAGCCGTGTTTAACCTGCAACGGCCTCTTGGAAAGAGGGTGTTTAAAACTTTTTGTCTGGCACAGTCCACGACTGGCCTCGTGACCTCCCGGGTTGTGCCAGGCTGCGAAATGAGCTGTCTCAGACAGAAGGATAGATTGAATAAAAGTTTGCATTGGGGCTCCTCTTGGAGGGGTGCTTTCCAGTGGCGAGTATCAGAGCTGCAGATGTGGCAAGGGTAAGCCTGAAACTAGCGCCCTGCCACGGAGCTCAAGCAGTTGACATGACCGCCGTGTAGGGAGCCGAATGTTTGACTTGGCTTTGGCAAGAATATTCATTCATGTCGTTGTCACGTGGGAAGTTGTGAGGCTGCGTGACTGCATTCTGCTCCCCGCAAGGATCAAACTTACACCGAATTGCAAAACAAAGTGCCAATTTACGAGTTGCATCCGCTGAGTTCACTGCCACTGCACCATCTTTATCTTTGACGCTTCCTTCACATTCTTTCATGATCTGCCCATGCCTCCCAGGAGCCTCCCACAAAGTGCGCGCGCCGATCTCTCCAGGCCCGCTGCACAGGATTCTGACATGAGAGTTGTATGAGATGCCGAGATGCCGAGATGCCAGCCTCCTGATCAGAGGCATCTCCAAGACTTCCCGATGGCGTCCGACCCGAGAATGCACGGAACATCCTTCAACTGCGCATCGGCCGGGAGCTTTGGCATAGCTCAAGGATCCGATGCCTTGATATGCCTTGATATGCCTTGATGCCCTGGAAACCTCAAAGTCTCAAGGGCTTGGTGTGGTAGATTGTGGTAGAGAATGGCTTGGTGGGCACTGTAAAGCTGGCGGCATCCAGTCTTTGCGCATGCAGCCGTTCGTCCAGTTTGTGAGCGCAGCAGCTGCTAATCATTTAGGCCCCTTCGTCCAGTTTGTGACGTTGGAATCCCGAACCGAATGCCCAAGTCGGAATTCATGTTTTTGCGCCTTTTGGTGACTTGGTGGGCAATTCTTGATGTTCCTAGATCGGGAGGGCAGCACAGATGTGCGGGGTAGGGCGGGGAGGTAGGGCAGGGGTGGTAGCGGGGGTGGTCAGGGTAGGCGTAGCGCACACACGGAGCCTTTGGTGAGTTGGCCCGCAACTTAAAATCACACAACAGATCCTTTTTGAGAGGGGGGGACCCAGGTAGGGGATGAAGGGCAAGCGTTGGGGTAGAACACCGACGGTTTCTGTGATTTCACGCTGAATCGGGCTGGGGGAGGTGGATAGGCGGTCGGGGCAAGGCGTCCTAGACTACCCACCATACAAAGGGCGTCCCCGGGCGCTTGACCCTACCAGATTCTTGTAGCATGTCAGCCCAAAAACACTTGCCCATAGTTCCACACCAAGCTGTGAAAGGCCAGAAGCAGCTGCTCAGACAGCTGGCAGAACAGGCTGCCGACTGTTTTGCCGATGCTGGTGATACTGTCGCAAGTTTTGATGAAAAGCACAGAGCGAAGAGTTGAGCGTGCCATCTGTAGCAACCTTAAAATACATGGGGATAGGCTGATGTAGGCTGAACTTTCACAACGCATGTAGAGCACCGTGATTTTTTCGGCTGGCTAGCTGTGCAGCCCGTCTGAGAACAAGTACACAATGTAGCAGGGCCGAGTGGATGAATGAATCACAGCAGACGTATCCAGCACCCTGCACACACATCTGCTCACCTACTAGCACGGCTTCATGCGCTTCATCTTCTTGCAGACATGGCTCAGAATGTATGTTTGATAGATTTTGAGCTCTTGCCGTCGAGACAAGAGCAGACATTCTGTAGCGGTAGTTTCTTTAGCGGCATGCATGTCATCTTGCGGGCATGAAGCTGCTCCACAAGGAGTTCGAGAAGGCCGCAGCACTGTGTCGCCTGGCCTTGCCAATGCCTTGCCCCACGCAAGTCTTCACACATCACACCGAAATTTCACGCTGAATCTGAATCGCGTTCAAGGATCAAGCACACTGTGCACTCTGCATGGATTCTGAATCGTTGTGGCACGCTCTTGAACGGTGGTAATATAGCTTCTCAAGCTTATCATCGCTTCGGTTTTTCCGTTGCTCTCCACCAAATGGAACTGTGGCCATCAGCTCGATGTAGCAATGGCGCCCATGCAGGGCTCGGCTTCTGGTCTTAGTTTTTCAGAGCTCCGATGCCTTACGCTATCTTACGCTGTTAAGATCTGTTAAGCAGAGGTTTCTTATGGTGCCTTTTGTGGAGTGCTGCTTGATCGAGATGCTTTGCAGCCGCTCAGGCCCCTGCGCTCACATTCGACACCCCCAACGCAAGCCTGCGACATGGATCCAGCCCGGCAAAGCTCGGCACCTGGCTCGACACCTCTTTGCGAAATTCTTGAAATGCCCTTCAAGAAGGGGAGGAAGTTGGTTGAGTTCCATGTCAGTCTATTAATGTGCAGGTATGTATATGTATATGTGTATGTGTATGTGCATGTGCATGTGTTTGGGTATGTGTATGTGTTTGGGTATGTGTATGTACATGTATATATATATATACATGTGTCACTCTACTTACTTGGGGTTCCACCAAGTGAATACAGAACAGTTGTGAGTAGATGTGTCAGAGTTTCGCAACTGTGCTCTGTGAGTAGCCGCTCATAATCAGTTGGTGTGGATTTTCACACAATCTCTCCGGCACTGCATGATGAGAGGTGGTAGCGCAAATGTCACCGGCGTCGCACGATGCATTTTCTCATGGTCTCTAGGATATTGCACGAGGAGATGGCTCCATTCCAGAGCAAGATGTCAGGTTTTCAACAGCATCACCGGCATCACATGAACGGGGAAAGGGGGGTTGTTCATGGCTTTATGGTGCTGCATGATGAATGGGCCGGGATTTAACATAGATACCACTGGCATGGAGGGGGGAGGTGGGTTGTCAGGATGAGGAAATGGCTCCATGCGATACCATATGAGGAGTGGTGGGCTTTAACAAACATCAGCAAATTTGAATGATGAGAGGGGTGGCTTCTGCTGCATCACGAGTAGCCAGTTTCCTGCGGCCTCCGCGTTCCCGCATGATGAGATGGGTCTAGGATAAAAGAAGGCGCTTTGCGATCACTAACACCGGCACGACGCGATGAGAGGGGCGGGTTTGAATTCAACACTGAAGGGTGTGCGTTAAATAGTGTGTTCTTACTGCTTCCAGCGACGTGCATGAGGAGATGGTTCAATGCTGCCACGTGATGGGCGAGTGGGCTGTTTCCTCCCTGGCATTTCTTGAGGGTGGCATCCCTTGAGGGTGGGTTTGTCCTAAAATGTAAGTACTCAGTTTCCTGCTGCTTTCATGTTGTCGCATGATGACATGGCAACATGGTATCACATGGTGAGTGAGGCCTGTCTTAGGTATCGCATGATGAGACGCAGGTCGCCCCTGTGCGCACGTAGCAGGAATATGAAGTAGCAACAAGATGGCTCCATGGTAGACAAGAAGCAGAGGCCACAACACCCACCAACACTCAAGAGAATATGTGTGCTAGTTAGTTGTTGTTTTGCTTTGCTCGAACAAGACAGAAACAGCATTTAACCCTCGCTTTTGCAAACCTTCACGTTTCACAAAACTGCTGTTTGAAACATCATCGTTAGTTTCCGATGTCGAAAAATTGAACATTTAGCGTGGGACAGAAGAATTTTCAATCACAATCAGCATTCAACCCACTTTGGCGTTTTTTTCCCTCTATACCGTGTTGTAGCCTTTCGCTGCTCCGATTTGCCTTATGCATGCCAAGCTGCAACATTTACCTTCAGTTGGCAAGGCTAGCAGCAAGCATGTCGGCATCGATTCCGATCAAAAGTCAAGATGCGCAGTCACTGAAAATTCGTTCCGAAGCTCGAAAGAAAGAGCTTCCGTAACGAAACAGATATTCGTAGTTTCCAAGGGGCAAGACATAAGGTGGCAAACATGGCTTGAAATTGGCATGTGTGGAGAAACAAAACACGCGCATACCCGTCATGGTCGCATGCATGTTTCAGTGGGTACACCCAGTACGATTATGGACTCTAACTACACGGCTTTCTCGAGTCTGAGACACCCACCGTATCAAAGACAAGCCTGATGGCAGGAGATGGTGGGGAGGGGGCGGGGGGGACCGCACATGTGTTTTTGGAAATATGTCCGTATATATCGTATATGTGTGTGTATGAAGACATCTTCATCGCTTTCTCGCATTTTCTCTGCGCTAATGTGGTCTGCTGATTAGTGTGGCCTCTCCCCCCCGCCCTCAACAGAGGGATGAGTTTATATGAATTTAAAAGGGTTTCATATGATTTTCAAAGGGTCCACATGATTTTTAATGGGATGAGTTTACATGAGTTTAAAGGGGATCCATCTATCTCCCCAACCAAGCCCGCCCGCCAAACAAAATCTACTTCCGGGGGACCAAACGTTTTATATTATACGGCATTCGGGCAGCTTCTGGACTACCCCCTTTGAAATTTGATTGCCTGGCCTCGGCACAAAATCATTTTTTCAGGAAATCTTAGCTTTGGGGCTGGCCTAGAGACTTAAGATTTCCGGGCCCGAGAACCTCAGGCCTCAAGGTTTCAGGCTTTAAACCTTTGCTCAGGCTCAGATCTTTGGTCTCTCACACCCACCTCAGAAGAGACTTCTAGACAACAACGCCATTCAACAGCCTCGCCGATATTTTCATCGCCCGAATTTTTTTCACAATTCCGGGGGACCTCCTCAAATAGACCCCGTTACACAAGTCCGGGGAGCACGCTAATCAGGATACAACATTACCCGTCTCCCTCTCCCTGCTTTGCTACTGCTTGTCCGAACGCATAAGACCGCGCGGTGCCACGTCTCGGATTCACATTGCTCAGGCCTCCGTGCTGTGCCTGTTGGCTGCAAAAGCCAACTTAGTTTGCAGGAGAAGGCCTGCGTTTTGAGGGGTTTCGGGGAATGAGTTTTTTCCCAAGTTTTCGCAGTTCACATTCCCGTCACGGAAATGCTCCGAGAATGCTACTCCACATACTCCACCTCAGCATCTTTTCTGTCAACATCTACAGCTCCCAAAACCGCGACATCCCGCGACATGACTGTTAGAGGAAAGCAGAAGTGTTCCCGGCCCGATCCGCCAGAGCTCAGAAAGGGACAATGCTGATTAACGCTGAGCAGGTGTGGACTGGGTCGCCGAGCCGGCAGGCAGCCTCGGAATGGTTGATAGGAAATTGGGCAACGCGTATCGCAGCACCTCGCAGCCTTTCATCAGACCGGGAGCAAGTCCAAGGTTTTCGAGGAAGCGTATGCCGCAAGTTGCAGCGTTTTGCACTGTTCCCAGGTGCTCCGTGGGACAGCTTGTTCGGGAACACGCAAAAAGTCGTTGTGCCCAACAGCACCAGAGAGGTGGGAACGGGCCCAATGAAGCGTGGTTAACTTGCTTCCAGCAAACAAGGAGCAAGCAACACTTGATGCCCTTCAGGTTTTAGATCAGCTGAAGGCCAGTGGTCAGCTCAGAGAATGCGCATGTGCATACACGGTCAGTGAAAGTGCAAGCACGCGAGAGATAGACAGATAGACACAGCTAGGATGTGACGTAGGGTTTAGAAACGGGTCTGTTATTAGCCGGGAGGGGGGAGGAGTCCGGGAGGAGTTGTATCGGGAAAGGCTTCTGGGGCATTGCGGGCAAGGAGCTTGGGGATTCCGGCACAACCACACAAAGGGGCCGCTGTGGAATGCAGTAGTGTCACAAATGGTGACAAGAGAATTCAGTCAGGTTCTGCTTAGCTCGGGCGGTTGGGCCTCACGGACCTACTAGCTTGAAGCGCTCGTCGCGGCACCACGCAGCCAAAAACATGTAATTTGCGGTGTTTCAATGCACCGAGAAATCTGTGCTCACACCCGCGCTGCAGATAAAAGTACGGTTTTCGTCCAAAAAACCACCACCGCTGGAGAAATACCGTCCTCGTCGTGCGCGCAGATCAATTTAAGACCTTTTGCCCTTGACGTAAGAAGCCCTGGTTTGTGGAAATTAACTCCCGAGAATTGTCCTGAAGTATCTCAGGAGTTCGTTGATTCGTTTGCTCCTCTGCAGAACACCACGAACTCGGGAGTCGGGAGCTGTTTTTTTGTTGTTTGTTTTTCCGCCGGGTCCGTGAGCAAACAATGAACTCAGCAGTTAGTTTCTGAGAGAGAGAGAGAGAGAGAGAGCCTGCTGTCTGGTTACACCCATATTGCGACAGAAACCCCACCCCAGCTGAGCCGCGAACACCGCGGCTGACCCGCATGACACTGGGGACTGGCGCGCCCTCCGGGGCAGCTCTCCCTTCGGGGGGGGCTAAGCGTGCGGAGAGAGAGAGAGAGAGCGTGAGAGAGAAAGAGAGAAGCAAGCAAGCAAGCAAGAGAGAGAGAGAAAGACGGGGGGGGGGGGGGGGGGGGCAAGCGTGTGGAGAGAGAGAGGCAGAGGCAGAGGTAGAGGCAGAGGCAGAAACAGAGAAAGCCCGCCCCAAGGCATGAGCGTTCTGGTGAAATCTGGTCTCCCGCGGGCTGACGTGGACTTACCAGTGATTCTGCTGCAAGTGGCTCCTTCCCGTTCAATGTTGCCAAGAAACATAGCCGTTGGGGAATATTCAAAGGGTCTTCGATGTTCCTGTTTAGTACCACGGACCAAACTTCATCTTTGTTGTCAGGCAGGTCTCCGGCTGGGCTTGGAGAACGTTATGGACGCTTTGCAGAAGAGTCACATCGTGCTTTTCAAAAAGACCGCTTTTCATATGACTGTGGTCTGCAGGACCCGTTGGTTCAGCCGGCGGAGGATCCATCCAAACAACAAATTCTGCAGGAAACGCTCTGTGTATCTGCTCTCCTCCATCCCTCCCTTCCTCGATTCCTCCCGCTCTGTCTCATTTCGCTCCGCTCGCCACTGTTTCAATCTTTGCTTACCTCCTTGCAAAGCCTGGCGCACTTCACACCGGGGAGGCAGACCGCGAACTCGCCCGGGTGTTCTTGGCTATGTTCAAGGTGCGCACTTTACTGCTGGTTATTGCAACAGGATGCATGTAGCAAGGTCGTGAAAGACAGCTTGAGCATCGTCTTCCGCACCAGCAAGCAAGCCGCAGCCGCCAAAAAACGCTGGGGGAACGCCGTCGGTGGCTCGCCACACTTATTCGTGTTGTACGAAATCTGCTGCGAGTGCTGTCAGTTGGTTGACTGTGTCCACGAAGTGCCGCGAAGCATGAACATTCTGTAATGTAGTTTAGCGCCCAAATGCCCATCTTGCTACATAGCTCTCAGTGGCTGAGTAAGTATAGCCTCCCTAGGAAGTGCACAGTTAGGTCAGGTCTGATGAGTTTCGTCCGGGTCCCTCGTGCCCCATGACTTGTTCCGTCGAAAGAGACACGAGGATAGACTTACTTTCGACATTAGTGCTCCCTCCTTCCTAAGCAACTGTTCTGAATTCACAGCGCAGCCCCGTGGCACTTGGTGGAGCAGCGGGGCCGACTATATGAGCAGGAGTGATCTTATCACATGGACATAATTGAGGCAGAGCTCGCATCGTCTCTATGCCCAAAGGTGCCAAGCTTAGCCTCGTGTCATCATGATTTTAACCGATCCTGCTGGCACCAGAGTCAGAGAGAGTGCCGAAACAGAGGTGGCACCCAGAAGACAGCTTTTTCGAGCTCCAATGACGGACCGCTTTGTACCCGCTGCGACAACTTGCAGATGCAACCTGTTGTGCAGGAGAGATGAGCAGCGCTTTCGTTCAGTCAGTCAAGGCAGTTGATTGAGCTTTCAATGCATGCAAAATCCAATCGCAGCAATCGCACATTGCACATTCAATCATGCATTGCATGGCTTGCTGGAGGGCATGCGTGGTGGCTTTGTGGTCGTCGTAGCCCCACGAAGACCACAGCTAGCATGGGCCTTGTTTCACACGTTTGGACCTGCGATGTTGCGCAGGTCAGCCTGCCTGTTGTTGCTCAGGAGGCAGTGGCGCGCGCTGCCGAAGAGGCCACCAGCTGCTCCGGTTGCCACTGCCAGACTAGGTTGAAGCTGTTTTCTGGCTCGAATAGTTGAAAACTATCGGTACCTTAGTCCGCGAATGGTTGGCACAGGATACTGTGCCGCAACAGAGTCTGCTCTGTTGGCTGAAGTTCCGGCTTCATGCCCTGTGGTTGCTCTTGATTTCATGGCAGCAGCTCTAAATCTCTGCCGATGCTCAAGCTGCCCATTCCTTAATTATAGTATCTAAATGCTAAAGTCTAACACCTGACATAGCATAGCACCTATTCCTGTTGCACGAAAATACGGCACGCGAAAGTAAGCACGAAAGATGACGTTATCCGCGAAGAAGGCTGATCGTCGCAACTTCACGTGTCGCACAGCGAAAGGAGATGTCGTTTCTCCATGACATTCACTTTCCGTCTTTCACAGTACAACTTGTGCCCCTGCTGATCCGTTCGCGATAGGACGCGGCTTCAGTTCTTGCAGCAAGCTTCGATAGATTCCTGATCCACGCATGCCTGGAACCCAATGGAGCACAGACTTCGCAAGATACTTTTGCCAAAAGGTCGACAGCAAGACTGGCTTCATTCTTCTCAACGCTCGCCTCCGTGGGTCCAAGAAAGATCAGCTCCGTGAGGCCAGTACAAGTCAGCATAAGAGCTCTGCAGGGGCAGAGTCATGCTTTAAGATGTAAAATGCGAGTCTAGCACGGGGTGTGGTCATGCCTTGACTGCATGTTGCTGCCTGTGCCGCTTCAACATGCTGCATTTGCTGCCACATGGTACACGAGTCCCTGAGCAGGAAGTTTCTGCAGGGTTCAATGCGGCCTTTCATCTACGCCTGTGCGGAAGAGACGGGGAAGGGCTTGTATACAGATCCTTGCAGGCAGGGCCAGCGAGTTCTGGAGAGAGACAGAGACAGCGGTTGAGAAACAGTATGTTGAGGGTACGTGCGACATCATGAGACCATCTCTGACATGAAAGCACTTCGGCCAGATGCCGGTAGGATGGCAGCTCACCATGGATTCTGGCCATCGGCTTAGGTCTGTGGCATCCAAAGAGTCTCCAACGCCTCTCCTTAGCTCGATATAGAACTTCCGACTGTAGGGCAGCGGAAGCGCCAAACTGGCCAAAGGCACAGCGGCTGAAAATGCCAAACGAGGCTTGAAGTGTATTAGCGCAGAGTCAGTCATCCTTCCAAAGCTGCCAACGTAAGTTCTCCATCCTTGAATTGAAATGATCAAGACACATCAAGACGCATGCCAGACTCCTACTTGTAGAGTGTGAAGTCTGAATCCTTCGAGCAGCTCGCATCAGATCCTAGCAGGTTTTCAATTTTGGTGTGGAAGTCATTGGGTTTGTCTTTGAGGGTGCTGGCTGAGGCCCGGCGAAACCTCCCGAGCACCATTGCGAAGGAGGCTTGGAACCCCGAAGTCCTGTAAGCTCAGCTGATATCATACGATCTGCATCTGCATTGGGCTGTCACTGCACCACTGTCAACCTACAATAAGGGCAGGATGCAGCAGGATTTCGGCAGAGCGTTTTTGTATGGTCTTGAATATCTTGGGAAGCACATCTGCTCTTTTCAGTCGGCAGGTCGAGCGAAGTTTCGACGAGCCTTCAGATGAGCGGATCAGGGATGTTTTCTCAACATAGATGCGGCCGAATGCAATCCAGTTGCAGAAACTGAAACAATGGCCAAGCCCAAGAATTTTGCAAAGCAGCTTGCCGAAAGTCTGGGAGCAAGGGAGCTGTGACCGACTGTCCTACTGACAGCCTACTGATACAAGCCCCTGCAAATTAGGCCTAGGTTAGAGGTTAGATTGAGACAAAGCCGCGATGCGAATGAGGAGTCGCTGTGGAACCTGGGGTTGAAAAACGAGCCTATCCTGGCCTCTCTGCGAAAGCCCTTTTCTTCTTGTGAGCTGGATAGGATTTCAGAACATTGTCCTGCTTGCAGGATGGGAAAGGTCTTGCGACCCTCATACCCGAGGACTTTACAACGCATACCAAACTATGGTCAACAGAATCGTACTTGCCAAGCAGCACTGCTTCAGGAGTCAGAAGACCTGTGGCATCTCTTCAATCTGAGCATGCTCGCTTCTGAGATGCCTCGCTTGTGATTTGCTGTTGTGCAGGCTGATGCGGCTGATGTAGCGTACCGATCTGCACGGGCTCAGCCTTCCTTTCAGAATGTTCGGTCTGATGCTGAGGAAGGGTGACACGATTAAGGCAATGACCTATCGCAAGGCCGGTACTGCAGTGGACTGCAGTGGACTGTCTATGAATGCCAGTATTCCAGTATCCTGCAAGACCGTGTTTTCAAGGTCATGAGAAGCCGTAGCTTCAGCTCAAGCTGTAAGGATCCGTAAGGAGAAGTTTCAACACAGTGCGCCATCTTACTCGCACCATGGCAACGGCGTCAGACTCTGCGAGTGCCAAGCGGCTGGTTGGGCTAGACGTGATGCGAGGGATAACTATGGCCTTCTCCTTAGCCTGTGTGCAGGAATCATCAGATCGCACTGTCTGTCACCTACTCTGTGTCACCTACAGAGAGTACTTCTCAGGCCGTGATGCTGGTGGTGGATGTTGCTGGCGATGCATACCCGAGTATTGGACACGCCTCCTGGGATGGTCTGCATTTGGCCGATTTCGTGATGCCATACTTCCTTCTCATCTGTGGCATCAGCGCAGCCCTCTCTCCGGCAAATTGGCTTGGCCTATGCCTACGCAATTTTGGTAGCGTTGGTGTATGTTGGTGTTACAGATGTCGGTTTGTCAGGGACAACCAGCATCAGTGCCAAAGGTACGTCCCGTGCAGCGCGTGGCCTGCTCAGCTTTTAGTGCTCGTAGAATTGTTCTTCGGCAATGCTTTTTTGCACCTGTTTGCATCATCTAATGAGGGAGAACTACCCTTGCCTCGAATCCAAAGCACGGGGAAAAATCGTGATTGCACATGAATGCACAGCAGTCACGAAACCTCTCTTGTTCTTGTTCCCAATAGCGGAGCCGCTTAGACTTGAGCCACCTAAAGCTCGCAGATATCTGCAGACTGCAGAGTGAACGGAGGCTGCTTAGGCCATGGGCAGAAGGATGCATAAAGTATCTTGAAGTCTTAGTTCAATCTCCCTCGGCATATCTTTCTCAGTTCCGCAGGACTCCAATAGCATATGATATATATGATAACTGCAAGAGCGTCACAGAGCAACCGGTGGGATTATGGGTGAGCCAGCCGAACAAATTGCGGGCTTCAGCATGTTGAGCTCCGACGTAGTCCGAGCGTTGCAACCGCCCTGTCGCCGTCAACTACATCTTGAATGTATCTCATCTGGGCACCCTGGTACTGGCAGAACGCCCCGATCAGCGCAATCATGCACAGCCAACACAGCCGACCTTGATGTAGTTCTCCTTAGTCAGCTGGAGTATCGTGCAGTGAGTCGTCGTGTGAAGCAGTCACTGAGGCTTCAGTCTTTGGCCGGGTGTTGATGCGCTCGCTGCGACTCTTCATATTGGGTCCGTGACCTGATTGATTCCTGTATGCTCTCCACCCCTGTTTGCTGGACACTTTTGGCACGTGCCCCAGGGGTAAGTTTATCAGGTCTTGCCGTGCAGGGCACCGTCTTTCACTTGACCGAGGTGGGCGTGCGCATTGTAAAGCGATCTGTAAGAACACAACCGTGACGCTGGATTCATGCAGTACATGTTTGAACTCCAGAGCGATAGCGCCGTGTGGGCCTAGTGACGATCCCTTTGTGCAGGCGGGCCCGCTCTTTGTTTTCGACCTCGCAACATTCCGCGTGATGGGCATCCTGCAGCGTCTTGCTCTGACACTCTGGCATCTTTTGTAAAGAGACAAAGTTGATTGCAGATTTCCAACCTGGCAGGCTCCTGCTGCTATGTCCTTGTGGGTTGAAATGGTTGACCGTCAACCGGCTGCCGAGGCGAATTGCCGTCGTTTTCCTCACAGACGCTTGGTGAAGTCTTGTGACCTCTGCCTCTTTACTCAGACGGTGATGTCTTCAGCTAATGTAAGTCCACAGCAGTCGCAGGATGCCAAGCTTCAGGGTTTAGGGGTTTAGGGTTTAGGGTCAACAGTCATCATTGAAGCTGCTGAGCATGCGCGAGCGCGAGTCTGGTCAGGTCATGGCGATTGATATCTACGTTCCTGGCATTCCTGGCGCCGGCAGGTCTTCCGTTGACGTGCAGCTGCTCAGTAACAGGCAGCCAGGCCGGCGGGATTTTGAATTCAGGAATTTAGTTGACCCGAGCTTCGATTGGAGCTTGCTTTGGTTGGAGAGGTGAGGACCGCGGTTACCGCAATAACATGGGCTTGTGGCTTCTGACGGGCTCAGCATGGCAGTGGCTGGTGGCACGGAGGCATAGTGAATGCGTCTCGCCGTTTCTCATCACATTCGTAGATCTTTATAGGTGCGGACTCCAAGACTATGCCAGTTCCAAGGTCGTGCTCTTGATTGTTGGACTCGGTGGGCTGCTCACCTATGGGATCAAGGTTCCGGCTTCTTGGCCAGGCTGCTCGGGCAAGGCCTTCGGACCTGGCAACCCGCAGATTCTTCAGAAGAACCTTGCTTTTGGTAGATGTACTTGTTGGTGCTCATAGTGACACTGTGAGCGCGTGCTGTTGTTAAGTTTCTGAAGCGCTCAAACATGGCTAGACTAGCGGCTAGACACGTAGACGACAGACACAACAATGGTGAAATTCAGGATGGGATGTAGCAGCGTGGGCTGGTTGGACAGCCAAGTCCTCGGCGTCCACCACGTTTACATCCAAGGAAGCACTGACGGCCCAAGTGGGGCCGCAAACTTTGGCTTCGATCCCGAGGCGAGGCGGAAAGAGTGAGAGAGAAAGAGAGGAGAAACAGAAAGGTATCCACCAGTACTGGGACACTTTCCATCCTATCCTTTTCATACTCCTCCTTTGTTGTTGTTACTGTTGTTGCTTGAGCATCATCTTTGTCGAATGAAACTTTGCACAGGGCTTGGTGACGACGTTGAGCGCGGTGCTCCCCATGTTTTTGGGCATGCACGTGGCCCGTGCGGGAAGACTGCTGAAATGGCCGCTGGAGGTCATTGCGCACTGGGCAGTCTTGGGCACATTTTGCATGTTAATAGGCGCTTGCATATCGCCCTGGCTGCCCTTCAACAAGCGTCTTTGGTCACCATCATACAGCCTCCTGACATCCGGCTCCGCGATCCTGCTGCACCTGACACGCAAATTGAGAGTCTCGAGGTGTAAGCTTGTTGAAATATTGAGGAGCTTCATGAGACTTCTGTTACGTAGATGTAGTATAAATATGTATAAATTGGTATAAACGATCAGATGAGGTACGGGCTCCTATATAGCCTGTGCGACTGCTGGTCAAAGCGTCCTACTTTCTGGGGGCAAGCAGCTCTTTGCTTCTCTTGGCTCACCTCGCCTTTCCAGTGGCCTCTTGGTTGCTGTACCGCTGCGGGCTTTCCATTTTCAAAGTCCATCTGCTTGTCCAAGATATTGAAGCGAGACAACAGCTGGTTTCTTCTTTGGGAGAGTGTGCAAGTTCATGTGCAACTGAGCAACTTAGGGTGTTGTTCGGCATCTAGCCCATTGCATTTGCCCTTCCTAGGCTCGGAAGTAACTGCCTCTTGGCTTGTCTGTCGACATCACAGAGCACAACAGCCCTCTCAGCATTTCACGTGTTTTCTTAATCTGCATGTGTCGTGGGTATCTACCGTATTCGCCTTGGCTTAGGCATTGTCTTCTTCGTCTTGTCAGAATGCTGCGGCGTCTTCTCCTGGTTCCTGCAGAGCATGGCCTGGGGGCAGCCAGCAGGTGAACACAACGTGGTGCACTGGTTTCGCAAACAAGTTCTGTGGCCTCTCGGACGGAGCTCTCGGAGTTCGGGATCCGATGCGCCGCGAGTGGTCATGACTAGCTTTCGTCCCATGAGCAGAGGATAGGATCCCGACGTGCTACAAGCTGCACATAGCTCCACCATTGACCATGGCTTGCCTCTTGAGGAATGCCTTCCAGTGCGATGCGGCACCGTGTGGACCAGACGACATGGCTTATGCCATCATTGGACTGGCGTTCTGGGTGCCATGTTCGCAATACAAACAAAACATCCCGGAAGCTGCAGAAACCTGTGTCCCGATTGTGTCCGACTTAGAAAGACTTGAGTGACCTTGAATGTGCTAGTGCCCCAGCGCAGTCATCCCAATCCAGCTCCGTTTTGTCTCGTGAGATTCGTGAGAGTCCGTGAGAGAGAATTGTGCATGAACTTGGGGAGTACATTAGCCCCGGTTTCATTCTCTGGCTTGTGGATGGGGGATGGGTATGTTAGATGCACATAGATGCACGTCGTCCGCTACATCCGGTGCTTGTGAAGATTTCCGTACCAGTAAGCCACACAGGCTGATGGTACAGTACAGCTGCAATAGGTGATTGTACTTCTTACAAGCTGATCAGCGGATCTGCCTGAACCCACCCATGTACCGTGAATGGGCATCTGTCAGTATTGTCATCATGTATCCGACTCAGAGCTTGGGCTGCATGGTGCAGACATGTGCAGAGTCCTCATAGTGAAAGACGGCACATGACATCGTGGCAATCAACTCTTGCTTGGACCAAGAGCCTGCCCCCCGACTGTCATGTTGTAAGCCTGCCCTAGACAGCTGGATTGCAGATTACAAGTGCTGTCTTCTTCTTGTTGCTTGCATCTGGTGGTACTGGTGCGAACTCAGGTGCTAGTTTGCGGGGTTTTGCACCGCCACTTGGCTTGAGCTTGTATTTCTCAAGTATTGATCGATGATAGCTCACGTCTCTCTCTCTCTCTCTGTCTGTGTTTGTTGTGTCATGTCATATAGTCATATCGATTACTTAAGCGGCCCACTTGACCCCAGTATAGGCGACGTTAGCAGCCGTTAGCATGTCCTACAGACGATTGCACGAAATACGAGCCACGAAGCGCAAGACCAAGCACCAGGTAGAGGAATCTTCTGGAAGCTTTGAGAGGGGCATCCTTGACTGTGAGCGGATGTGAGCGGATGAGACATGACTCGCATACAGGGGACTGTTTTTGACAAGCGACGCCCCCTGCCACAGCTTGTATGCTGTTGTCAAGAGATGTTGTCATCGTCATCATCGGTTGGTCACGAGCAGACCTTTGCTTGACCATCCTCGTGGAGATACCATCAGACTGCTATCATATTGCAAAGGATTGTTGGGGGCTCATGCGGCTTGCGCATCCGCTCGGCGAGCTTATGATGTCATGGGCGCGTCGCAGCTATGGCAGCTATGGATTTCTGTTTTGGTCCCTGTATGGCAACGGAGACGCCGTTTATTGCGAGGGCATGTTTGGATTGCTCACGGTGGTGGTGGAAGGTGACGCGGATAGCTTTGTGCCCGTTGGTCCTTTTCCTTTGGTCCTTCGGAAGATGTGCGCGAGCACGCATGCGGTCTCGCACTGCAGTCCCTGGCAAGCCAAAACATAGTTTGAGGCTTCATTTACGCTCGCGTGGGCCGGCGTGGCTTTTGCACCACTTGTGTGCGTGGCTGTGCTCGCAGAATCGCCTCACATGGACGCGGGTGAGCAACCAGTGCCGGCCTTTGCCGGAGCAATTTGCAACGAGTTTTTCCGGCATTTCCGGCATTGTGATTGTGAGGAAAAGTGCCGTTTGCATCTTAAGTACAACGAGATACATGTCTCTCTCTCTCTCTCTCTCTCTCTGTAGAGGCCATGTCCCAAGCAACCCAATGGCGGGCCTGTGCCCTGTGAAGCCCCATCCGCTTGCAGATCCAGAAAGAGGGCAGCACTGGCACTGTCCAGACTGAAGTGCGAAAGAGACTCGGCCTCGCAGTTTCATGATTAGTATACATACGACAACATATAGATATATATATATGTATATATATATATATATCTGGAATGTGGTAGATATTTATATGTGGTATGGTATGATGTATACATACATTCAACAACAAAAACCGAATAAATATACATAAAATTATATCTGTTTATGAACGAGCAACCTCTAACCTCTTTTGTTTTCTGTTTAACTGATGATCAGTAAAAAAATGTAAATTAATTCAAAAATCGAAACCCATTGAATTATTTAGATTATTTAAACAGACCAGTTGATTTAAATAATTTAAATAATTTATTTCCGGCCCAATTAAATTATTTAAATTATTCAAATTGTTTGAATTATTTAAAGAGGCTTTAGTTAAATATTTTCATTCGGGCGCAATTAAATTGTTTAAGTTATTTAAAATATTTGAAGAGGCCGGTGTATTTAAATGATTTAAATAGTTTAATTCGGGCCCAATTAGATTATGTAAATTATTTAAATTGTATACACCATTTAAATAGTTTAAAACTTAAAACTTTAAATGCCCCGAAATGCAGGCCCTGAGCCGGGGTCGCCTTGGGCTGGAATCCCGACCATGTAAAGTAGTTAAAAAACTTAAGTAATTTAAAGAGGTCGCTGGATTTAAATAGTATAAATAAATTAATCCGGGTGCAAGCAAAAAATTATTTTAACTTTTTAAATAATTTAAGTGCTCCGAAATCCAGGCCCTGAGCCGGAGTCGACTGGGGCCGAATTTCCGACAATTTAAATTGTTTAAGTAGTTTAAGTTATTTAAATAATTCAAATAGTTTAATTCAGGCACAATTAAATTATTTGAAATTATTTAAAGAGGCCGGTGGATTTAAATAACTTAATTCGGGCGCAATTAGTTAAATTACTCAAATTATGTAAATCATTTAAAGAGGCAGGTGGACTTGAATAAGTTGCATACTATCGTGCTGATGGGCTTGTTCTGCTATGCAATATGTTGATAAACTTTACCCGCCGCACTTGAGTTGTCATAATTATGATAACTTATCATAATCCTGATAAGTTATCATAATTATGATAACTTATCATGGTTCTGATAACTTATCATAATTTTGGGCTTGTTGATGCCACGTATTTTGTTGCTAAACTTTACCTGCCGACCCTGAATTTTCATAATTATGATAACTTATCATGATTATGATAACTTGTCATAATCCTGGTCTTGCTGATGCATTTGATTCGTCCATGATGACTCAATATTAAGGCGGTAACATGACGTCCTATTAATGGAGGGACCAACCTCGTGCAGCATAAGCCCCTCTTTGCGTCCTTACAACCCGGGATTCACGCTCGCCAAGGTAGATCCAGAGCCAAGGTTAAGGAGGTGAAGAGAGCACTATTTCGCAGGCTTTATAAGGAGTGAGAGAATGCAATGAACGAATGACGCATGAAAGCAAGAAATGTGCGAACGAAACCAGGATTTAACAGATAACCGTCTACAACCAAGAATTGTTGACCATTGACTGCCAAGGAACAAATCATCCAAGAAGCATTCTATCTTTCTTGGGGATTTCTTGTGCTCCCTTGTTGTCTTCTTAGGAGCTCTTTGAAAGGTAAATCCGGGGGTCAACCATGAAGACTGCTATTATATCATTATGGGCGTCTCTTGGCCGTTCATTGCGCTCGTTTCATTCCTGCGAACACGCGCTCGTAAACTCACTTGTTTCGTTCACTCATTCACTCACTTACTCACTCTTCTTGTTACCCCGGGAGAAAAGCCCCAATAAAATAATTAAAATCGCGCGCAAAAACCGCTTGCATTTGAATATATTTTATAAGGCTTTTAGTACGTTTAAAGGGCGCGAATGAAGAATTACATGCGCCCGTCTACTTCGTTCGTACATTTAATATTAAATCGCGCACGCATTACATTTCTTTGCATTTAATATTAAAATGTTCTCTCTTCGAATTATTATTCTATTATATGTACGGGCTAATTATAAGGAAGCCCGTGTATTATTAGTATTTTACGGGCGCCCAAGAAGTCGTTTATAATGCGCCCGTACTGCGTTCATAATATTGTTGTAATTCACGCGTCACTTCGTTCCTTGTAATTACAATACTATTGCAAAGAGTTAAATCGCAAGCCCTGGTCCCTAAGATTTTGGGTTCAATTTGTCTTCCAAAGAGCCAAATCGCAAGCCTTGGTCCCTAAGATTGTGGGGTCATCTTTGCTCCAAAGAGTTACATCGCAAGCCCTGGTCCCTAAGATTTTGGGTTAAGTTTCCCTCCAAAGAGCTAAATCGCAAGCCCTGGTCCCTAAGATTTTGGCTTCAGCTCTTACTCCAAAGAATTAAATCGCAAGCGGGGACGAAAACATGCCAGAGCCTATGTTTTATTTCCGAGCAACATGAAAAAGAGGTTTTCTCGTTTCCAAGCCTGTGGAAAGCAATATCCACAAAACATACATTGTTGGTTTTTCCAAAGAACACCAAAACAATTCGAGAAAACTTAAAGTGCAATAAAAATCGTTCTTTTCTCCTTGTTTCTTTAGGATCTGGGATTTGGGATGCGAGGTCAAAAGTGGATTGTGGAGAAAGCCTTGGCTTCTTGCACAAGATTTTCTTTGCCTCTTCGAAATAGCATTTCATGAAAGCGGTTTGAAGAAATACCTTTACAGACTAGCAGTTGTTTTTGAAAATCCTTTTGAGCCATTGGGTGTTCCGAGCCTCAAGCAACACGCCTTGTAGGATTTTACTTGAGAATCCGCAATACCAAGCTTTTTTGGACTTCCGAGTCAAACTACAAAACCATGTGTTGGGTTTCCAGGCCTGTGGATGGTAGAATCCAGATCATGCATGTTTGTTTTTGGATCTTTCGCAAACAGCCCAACGCTCGAGGAAACGACTAGATCAAAAACAAAGAGGGCTCCGGGCTCTGGATTTTGCATTTTCGCCGCGCATTTTCGCAAGGGCTCGGTGCTGCCCCCCGGTAAGCGAGACTTAAATCCATAAAGCCAATGGTTGAATTCGTGTCCTAGCGTGTAGGTTTTGTAATCTCAGAGACCGGCACCAGGCCATGAAGGCCAGCTACTGGGACTCCTCGCTCACATGCCGATATATAAGGTGACTTTCAGAGGACATTTCTGGTTTTGTGATTTTTTGGTGACTCTTGACAGAATAGAGAGACTAATACCGCTTCTTCCAGGCAATTAATGCTTGCTCTACGCAAGTAATGCTCTCTAATAGAAGCAAGCAAGTACGAATTAACTACGGAAACTTCTTGACACGTGAATGAAGGTTCTTTGCATACAAATTAAAGACTTGGGGGGGCGCCGCCCATCCACACATCCACATCCGAGCCACTCGCGGGCGCCCGGCTCCGGAGCAGCATTGCACACACACACACACACCACTGAATGCAATTAAAGTATCAGTGAAATACAGGTTAAAGCACAACAGTTTTCATAACACATTCGTGAGTCGTGAGTAATACTGAAGCATTGAGGCATGTCAAACATGTTCTCTAGGAAAGCATAGTATCTTAACAATGCATAACTTGCTTAGTTAAGGCCATCGTACTACGAACAAACCGAAAATGCAAGAGTCGAAAAAGTCCAAGCTCACCGGGGAAGCTGTTGGGAAAGTTTAGCCTTTGGGATTCTTCAGGCAAAGCGTGCTTTTCTGGGCAAACAGTCCGCTTTGCAGGCAAATACATACTGCCTTGTCGAGGCAAACAAGGCTTTTCCTCGGGCAGAAGATAGGCCCAGTGCGAGTTGAGTACGAGTTAAGGACTGACAAAGCACCAATTGTAGGTGTTTATACTAATGAATACGAATTAAAACAGTTACTTGAATGCAAGTCAACTTAGAATATTCATTCGAATACAAAACCAATTTCAAATACATATTGACTACATATAGCTAAATGCTTTACACTACGCCTAGAAATGTGCGATTCTGCTAGAAACGCCATCGTGCTAGGAAGTTTGCACATGCAAAAGCTCGACACTTATGTCATGAGGGGGGCTGGGCACACACTTTCATATAGAAGTATTTGCGAGGGTGGCGAGGCAATTACTTGTAGTGCCATGAAGGGGCACATGCAATGCACTTGCGGCAAGGATACAGATGACCGTGGAGGCCTTTCCTTGCACATGAGTTCTTCGCTTTGAGGTTGGGTTACATCACAATAAGGGAGCCTCTTTGTCTTTGTTTTGCAGGGTTTTGTTTTCAAAATCGTGTGGCATCCTGGCATGTCTGATGCTGTAACGATGTCGGCTTTTGTGTCCTTTAGGCAGTGTCTGCATGGTGCTTGGCATGTTGAGAACACTTGCAATCTCGCCAAGCTCATAAACATCCATCGGCTTCTACATTGGAGATCACATACGGTGCGAATTACCCAAAGCCAGAAAGCCTCGTCGTGTACTACACGGACATCCCACAAAACAATCTACGATGTGTTCTCTTGTGCCGTCTTTCCAGGGATGGGAATCGTGTCTACCGGCTCGGTTTCCGGTGCTTTGGGGTTGGGCCTTCTCGCTGCTGTCTAGCTTTCAGCATGGCCTCCCGGAAGAAATCTTCAAGTTTTTGGGAAGGTCGGAAAGTTCTTGTAGTCCCACAGAAATTGGCCGCGATCCTTCTTTGAGGCCTTAATTGCCTTAATGATATGAAAATTCAATAGTCAGCGGCTTGTACGGAGGGGTGGGAGGGGGGCTGCCTGGATCCCCCCTGTGGAATCCACTCCTGCAGGCTTGTGCTGTCAGGTCTCCGTCCTTGACTGATGGCTGATACGTGTCAAGCCTCTGGCTTGTGGATGCCCATAACCTGCACTGCTAAGATGCTACCTGCATCAACAGATGCTAAAGCATTAGAAGTTGAAATGATAGGGTTTCCTGCAGGTCAAATCGATTGAGTATGACGCCGCCGGAAATTGCATACGGTATTCGGGCAAGAATTGTGAGGACGCTGCTTTCAGCAACAGGCAGCATTCCATGCTTGGCAATTATGCAAGATGCGCCCTCTGTGAGATTTCACGGTTTTGCACGCTTCATTCATGCCACGCTCCGCAGCATGTTTCAGTGGCCACAAATGGTCGCATTCAGCACCTGTGCGCCACGTGCGTCATGCGCTTGGGAAGCCGTGTAATGACGGCGCTTCTCCGTTTGAGCTGTGGCAATTTCGCCCAGCTGCCATGCAGAGCAAGCTGGGAAGCAACTTGGAGACGAGTCGGCTGTTGGTTGTGGGACGACCGCTTTCGCAAGAGGAGGTTGCTGATGCAATCCAAGATGAGATGGAATCCTGGCGCCTGGGTAGGTTTCATGTTGCAAGATGTTGCGAGACCATGCTGCAACATCCAGAGTGTGAGAGTGCGGTGATGTGCGGTGGGTGGGTATCGGTGCACCAAACAACCCTGCCAGGCGTCGCACTCCGAAGTTTGCAACAGCCCTTCTCAAGTCACTGGCAAGAAGAAGCTTGCCTTCGGTAGCGGCCGACATTCTGGCCATCATGGCACGCCATTCTGTGGATTCTCGGCCACTAATGTACGATGAACTCCGAGTTGAAGAGGTTAACGCTTGCAGAGCCCGGAATACCCTGAAAGCTGTATCGGGATTTCCAGCACTGGGTGATGGTGTTAAGTCGACATAAGTCGACGTCGACCCGCGACCCTGGGGAGCTAGTTACTCAACAAGTCGAGTTTTCGAGGTTGGGAACGCAGTCTCACGGGGCCGAAGACTTCTACTAGCATCACGACGTCTTAGACAACCTATTAATTACTAGCTTATTTGGGAATTCAGGAATTGATTTGCCGTGTGATCTTACATTGGGGTTGCTGCCTTCGGGTTTGGGGCCAGCCCCGGAGCCCAACCTGGCGCGGAACCTCGCGCGGGCCTCGCGCCACGTTCAACACCCCGGCGTAAATGCAGGTTTTGGCTTTGAGGATTCACCTGTTGCATCTGCACTCCCTGTATATGACGCAGCGCGACCCTGCAGAATCCCCTTTCAAGCGCAGTTCTTTTCGCATGCTGCCACGTCTGTTTTCTGCATCCTGCTTCGGAGATCAAGCACGCTTTCCGTTTGCAATCGTTTTTCACTTGTTTCCGTTATTTTCCGTTCCTTTTCGCTTCAGTTTCTAAGGAGAGTTTCGCATCGCATGCCGGTTTTGTACAACCCAGCGCGTACTTGCGTCATCTTGCGTCTATGGGTCGACGATGGTCGACGTTTTGGGATGGGTCGACTTCGCGCGAATCGAGGCCGTGCCCCTGCGGAGTGTCGACTTCGCGCGGCTTGGGCCGACTGAGCCCCATCGCCCAGTAAAACCTTCGTATGGCTGAGTAATGATGGGTTTTGTAAGTCAGAGCGCCAGGGACGGGAATTACGAGGTAGGTAGTTGGGAGGAGTGAAGGGCTGGATGGCTGAGGGCTCATGAGTCTAATGAGTCTCCAGATAGCAAAGTCCAGGCTGCAGTGCTGCAGGATGGACTTCAGATTTCAGATGCACCACGCCGCAACTCTACAGAGCGATATTCTTATGTTCCGACACCCTATCGAAACAGCTTAGGACAGCATAAGGTGCACCCTTCGGTGTTGTGCTATGCTGTCTGCCGACAGCGTTTTCCAATGTGTGTGCGACGGCCAACTGAAGTAGTGTAAGGACGCGAACGTGATTCACTTCAATGTGGCCCTCAATGCATGCGACAAGGGACGAGCATGGTGGAGGGGAGCCAAGCTGCTAGAAGACATGTATCAACAGCAGCTGACACTTGGTACTGCAAGAGTGCTTTCGATGACCTCTCCAGAGCCTTCAGATCTGGCTTGTTTTCAGAAGAGCTCAGGAAGCCAGATGCGCTGAGCTACACCTCTGTCGTCTCTTCTTGCTCTCAGGACTTCTTGTTTAATACACGCAGATTGAAGTATAAACGGCTGTTTAAGACACGGCAGCACGACACGGCCACAGTGCGGCCATGCCAGCAGGACAACTTGTGGGCCACAGTGCAGCAGCTGCACTGTGCATGTCAGCGCTCACGAACAAGGACTTCTCCTTCGGGAGGTTCGCCTGGTCGTGCCATGTGATGACTAGGTTTCGTACCTTGTCACCAGGATGGACGGGACGCTGTGCAACGCGTTTTTGGCTGCATCGCCATGGTGGCAAGCTTTACAACTCTGGCCAGAACTCTGGGTACAGTCCAGGTTCAGGTGCACGCAGGGTGCACGGGAGTGGGGGAGTGGAGAGTAACGGCCTGGCATCCAAAAAGTCCCGAGAATGGCAGCAATGACTGCGTGCAGATTGTCATTGATGTCTGCCCACTGAGGCCAAGCACTGTCAGCTACAGCGCAGCAATCTCGACTTTGAGCTCGTGGCAACATGTGTGCAACGTGATTCGCAACATGCAGGCCTCTATCTGTAACCCAGTTGAACCCAGTTGACCACCTGTGATCCCAAGAAGCTTGCCTCGATCGCAGGTCTGCGCCATTCTGCCAGACCAGGTCATGTTCAACCACTTCATCTGTTCCCTGAACTCGGCATGGCGGCGCGCTGTAGCAACTCTGAGCAAGATGAGTACCAAGCGAGTGCCTGTAGACGATGTCAACTTGAAATCTGTAGTGTCGACAATTGCCCTGGGAAGCCGATGGCAGTTGTCACTTTCAATGATGTCGAAGTCGAACCTGCCTTGCCAGCAAGCTGGCATAGCCAGCTTTCGCGAGAATCCAGAGCTAGGTGTTGTCAATGCAGCGTTGAAGGCCAAGTGGGCAAGCTGGAGGCAAGTGCACGCCGTGTTCCGTGATCTACAACAATCAGCAGTCAGACCCGACCAGGTTTCTGTGAACACCATCATACATGCTGGTGAAGATGGCAGATGGACTTCGGCACTGCGTTTATTGAGGGAGAGGTTTGACATAGTTGGGCTGAACAGCGTGATGAGTACGATCCAGAGGTGTGGTGCATGGCCGGTTGCATTGCAGCTTGCAAGCGATTCTGGAACTTTGCGGCTGCTACCAGATGATTTTACGGCAAGCACGGCGCTGCGCGCTTGTGAAGGCTGCTGGCAGCAAGCGCTCTGTTTCCTTGGGTGGCCCTTCCCAGCCTCTCCAAGCCTGATTTCAGTAAACGCAGCCATGGGTACCCTCGGAAGGGCATTGCAGTGGCAAACTGCACTGCGGCTTCTTGAAAACATGCAGCTCTGGAGGCATCTTGCATGGTCTTGGCACCATCCGAGTCACCATGAACGATAGCAAGTGTATTGTTCATTATTGCTCGCTTCATGAATTATGTAGATCCTCCGCCCGCCTCTTAGAAATGTCGCCGGAGCAAGATCCTTCAAGAGCAGTTGTAATAGCTCCAGTGACAGGAGGCCGGATAGGCAACGGGTCGAAGGTTTGACATGGCTTTGACTTCAGCACAGGACATGCTTCAGTCGTTTGTGCTCTTTTTGTCGGGGCTCGGCCGAGAAATTGCGCAACAGCCAGTGGGGGGTCACGGGGTCGCTACATTCTGGTAGCTGCGTTTTTGCATTTGCGGCAGTGCTTCAGCATGTCAGCAAAATCGAAGTGATTTCAGAGCCTGCTGCGGGCATGTGACCATCCCATTATTCCATTACCCTGCATACTTGCCAAGTAGCTGCCATTAAAATCATTAGGCGATGCTAGGCGAAGGCAAGGGGCGGAGGCAAGGCCTCACAAAAGTTCACGAGTCCCAGGGGCCTGACTCTAAAGGCAGTGCCAGATGCGAATGTGCTGCGCAAGCCTGTCTTCAGGCTAAAGCCAGATGAATTCACGTGCAGCTCGCTCATCAGCGCTTGCGAACTTGGGCAATGGCAAGTTGCTTTGGCTTTGTTATCGGGCTGGCACGGAGATATCGATGTGGTGAGAGCTCCAGATGCAGCAAGCTCGACTTCTTTTTCCCCAAACAGTCTACCGTTGGGGTTCTAAATTCATTTAAGGATTGCCTAAGGACTGTTGCTGGGTTCCTGGGCTCCTTGTCTCTTTGTCTCCCCTTTGTCTCGCTTTTATCTCGCTTTGTCTCCCTTTGTCTCCCTTCGTCTCCATTTGTCTCCCTTCGTCTCCCTTTGTCTCCCGTTGTTGTCTCCACTGTTTCTTTGACCTGCCTTTGATGACTGTTTGGGGCCTTCGGTGGTGTAAGTGTCTTGTGTGCTTGTATAGTAGTTGGACGTGCTGTGCGTGCGGCGGGAAGGCTACAGTGCTGCAATCAGTGCCTGCGCATCTGCGCTCAAATGGCAGCTTGCGCTTGAGTTACTGCGAGTGCCAAGACTGCACAAATCATGTGTAGCCGCAGAAAAGCCATCTTGAAAACACCCAGTGAATACTAAGCTGTGTCTGAGGCCTGGGTGATATCAGGCGTGCATATTCAGAAAAGCATTGTCTGCCAAAATGATCGGGTGTTTAACCGTAGCTGTCCACCAGGCGTTGTGGACTTGATATGATTTGTTGTTTTTCTACCCCCCCCCCCCCCGCCCGACCTCCTGCCATTCTTCACTGGCCCTCTTTTTATCACCCACCCCCCCTCCGTGTGACAACGCCAATCAAGGCTTCTCGATCGCAACAAAACGTGGAGGCAATCGCACGAGCTATCCCACCGCAAACAGCGAGCACGGTAAACGAAGCAAAGTTCGGCCTTGTAATTGTCCGGAGCACTCATGAGCATCCCACCTGCACCATAACATGTTTTTAACGAAAAGCGGCTCGGCCCCCTGGTGTTTGTATTCTGAAGACTTTGGTAATAGTGTTGCGTACAGGTATCGTGCACGTGTATGCCACAACTTGCAAATGCTCTGCACGAAGATTAAGCGGCGAACTTGTAGAAGAATGTAGAACCCGAAAGAAATGGTGATGCGTTCCAGAAAGTCCACAGTTACAAGTGAACACGCTCAAACTATGCTTTGCAATTTGTTTGAGCCGTTAGGGTACGGTCATTCCAACGTCCCATGCCAGCAAAGGACATTGCCAACACGAATGCTTCTCCAAATGAAGTCGCCTGCAACGCAGCATCCAGTGCGTTGGAGCGAGGACAGGGTTTTCATTGCTCTTCCAAGATGTCAGACGCAGCGTGCTCAGATGTAAACTATGTGCATGTGCAAAATGTGCAGGAAGCCTCTGGCAGCCTGCGGTGGAACTCCTCAGCTCAATGCCGCATCTTCGGGCGCATCCAGATCGAGTGAGTTACAACATCGTTGCGGCTGCTGCGCAAAAGGCGTGTGGGATGGGCGTGGGTCGTCCAGAAACATTTAATTCGAGCATGCGTCGTCTCCAGTTCATCTTCAGCCTGTGATCTGCTTGCCCGTTTCCAGTTTTCAAATCATGTGCGCGCTATCATACATCCACCGCGTGATTCGACGTAACAATCGAAATCATGAACCGGAACAGGCAACAGCAGCAGACCGCGATTTTTCCTGAGACATGCCCGTACTTTGCTTGCCGTGGCCTTTGGTTGGACGGCGCTTCCTACAATTCCTGCTTTCGACTAAGCATCGAGGAGCCGTAGCAAACACATTGCCAATTACTGAGTAGCTTGCGCATGGTGGCACCATCTGGCACTGTAGTTGCCTTGCCGTGGCTCTAATGATGGCATTCTCTTTCATTGTCACGAAAGTTCCCTGTCTTGTCTTGGGTGAAAGACTTGGGCCCGCCCCCCCCCTCCCCCCACCTTTGCCTTGAGTCATGAGAAAAGGTTTGCACACACGGCATGGAAGGGGGGAGGGGGGGACATGGGCCGGGGGGTATCCTCCCCTGACCTTGAAAGCCCGAGTTTCCGAAATGTAAACCCAACAGGAAAACAACTTTTGCCAAGCCATCTGAGCTTACCGCTTGCCTCCCCCCGTCCCCCCGCCAAAAAAAAACCAAGTCCTTGCTTCGACAACTGCCCTGCCTGCCGCAAACCACCGGCCATGAATCTTTTTTCCGCATATCGAGCTTCTTGTGAGTCGGAATCCACTAGCTCGCAGCACCTAACATGCTCACAGACGCCCGCCTGATACTCCCGGACCGAGGTTTTGAAAACTGCCAGTAACTACCGTCTTGGATCATCTAGGTTTCTTTCCTCGAAGAAGGAGAAGCAGGCGTTCGTTCTTGTCCGAAGCCATTTTCAGAAGTTAGCCGGAGATGGGTTGTTGGCTTCTGGCTGTCAATGGCAGTTGTCATGCTGTTGAGGCGAGAAACTGGAGATTTTCCTGCCACGCACTGGATATGATGCGTCCCACGCTTAGGGGATTCGTTGAGCAGACTCCAGTGCAGGCAGCGTTGTGCCCTTTCGACACATGCTATAGCTGAGGGGCAGCTGACATGAATCCAGATGCAGTTACCTTTGACACAGCATCGCTAGCGTGCTCTACTTGCCATTGCTGGCAGCCTGGCCTGGCCCTTTTGCGGCAGCAGAGTGCTCCGAGTGCAGACTGCTACGCAGCAATTGTCACAGCATGCGTTGCAGCCTCATTGCTCGATGTTGCATCCACGTTGCTCGGCGAGCTGCAGTGGCAGCGGTCGGATTGGATGTCAGATGCTTTGCAGGGAGCGACAAAATCTGCTTGGCTCATCTTGGCTCACGCTGCGCCCATCTCCGCCTGTAATCCCTAGCCCTAGCATGCAGCTCAGCAAGCTATGCGGGCTTTTCGCTTTTCGCAGAAAATGTACTCATGAAGCGTGCAGAGGAGAATCAGTGGGTCAAAATGGGAGCCCACCACACTCTGGAGATTGAACTCAACAACAAGCTCACCCTTGGAAAGGACCCCTCCGGCCGCTTTCATTCACTTGTCTCAACACTTGTAAAGCGCGATTCTTCGCCTCCTTGAAAAGGACAGGTGGGATGCCATGCACTTGCAGCAGCTAGATGATGCCACCGATGTACATAAGACTTCTGAGGCGGGAAGGGCTTGCTGTGGAACCTGCATGTGGGTTGTTGTGGGTAATGCGCTTTGTCCTCAATCCCCGTGCCTTTCCATGTGAGGTGGCGGTTCTGCTCATGGAGGCAGGGTGCCAGGAAAGTGCTGTGAGACATCTTCTCGAATCTAAGCTTCTGCCTTGGCTTGTAGAGCTGAAATCGCTTGTGCCGCTCTGGCTTTTCCTTCATCTGAAAGTGGCACCTGACAAGACAGATCCATGAATGTTGTGAAAATCATAACATCTTAGCATGTCTCCATCTTCCTTGTAAGAGTCCTTGCAGCCCATCTGTGTTCCCCACAGTTTCGTGTGTTCGGATGCGGGCTTCATCATGCGCTCGGCCCTTCGACTCGCAACAGCTGGCCCCGTTCTGCAGGCGCCTGTTGCAGAGCACCAAAGTCACAAAGGGCCACGGTGAGAGAGCCAATTTCACATGCGCCTTCTTTTTCGTACTTGCGAGATTTGAGCACAATTTGTATCAATTTGTCGCTGGGCATGTGCCCGTAAAGCTAATCATGCGTGCGCCGACATGAGATGACATGAGTTTACAAACTTTACAAAACAGCCATCCTAAAGAGCCAGAACAAGCGCTGCACATCGCTGCATCATGCTCCTCAATGAAGCACTATAGCGAAGCACTAGCCCTAACGGCAACGGCGTTGTTCGGCAATGTTCCCCGATGTGATTCTTAAGTATCGGCTTTGAATTTGGTTGATCTTGGTTGCAACATGTTGCAACTGTAGCTTAGGGTTGTTCAGGCATTAGGGTTTAGGGTAGTGATTAGTGGCGGCGAGAGCGAAGCAGTGCCATTCTAAGGCTGGAACAAGTGAACTGTTAACACTCTGTTCTTGCAATCTCTTGCAATCTCTTGCAATCAACTCCGTCAAAAAGAGGACGTGGAGCGATGCAGCTCCATCGAGCTGGGCCGTGCCGCGCGGAGGGCGCTGGCTGAGGGCGACCTCACGGAGGCAAAAGGATGAGACGTGTTGAGGCTTCATGAGCTTCACAGTAAGGATTTCAGCGGACACCCCTCAAGCAGACAAACTTTGGTTTCATAAGGTGGTATGCATGAATGCGAGGCTCAAGCGACCACACGCGACCACCATGTAGGTTTCTAGCAGCGTCTACGTAGCAACCCTACGCCTGATACTATCGAACGCCTGGCATTGCATGATGCTCTGTGAATCATACCCACCCGCGGCCTCAGCACAATCGTCGGGATTTTGTCCATCTCGTGTGTCCTGTCGTGTCATCCTCAGGCCCTTTGGGCGAGATACGCCGCCCGAACGGAAGAGCTTGTGTCAGAGATGCGTTTCGAGGAGGCAAGGTGCGAACGTTTGGGCCAGGAAGGGGAAGGGCCAAGAAGTTTGTCTCCCGGCAGGCAGCTCGTTTTGCGTCAGCCTTCTCCACGGCCAGATATGTGCAAAGCCCGGTGCACATTTTTGATCACGTTCTTGCCAAGGCTTCTGGCGGATTTATCGAATGATATAGAGTCCTGCCGACTTCACAACAGCTCGTCGTGTGTAGAACATGTGCGGATCGGAAAGTCGTCCTGTGTTTTTGCGTCTTGCTGCGACTGAGACTGCTTGCATGTCACACAGCAAACGAAACGGCTCAGGTGGACTTTCCTTTGTTTGCGAAGCTGTCGGTGAGAGTCCCGGGGAACGGGTGGCACTATGCTGCGATCTGTGATCACATGCGGTGATCCAACGGTCCAACGCTTTCGTGTTGCTGGGCTGCGATTTTCACTAAGGCGAGGGCTTTGGAGTGCTTGTCCCCCCCACAGGCAGCATGTGTGGAAGAGGCCAGAGTTCGAAGGTCACAACACAAGACTGGGCACGCCAAATAGTGTGCGTGTGATCGTTCCGTGGGGTAAGAGGCGGCACCGATCTCTGCGCAAGACCTTCGACGAATGGCGGTTGCCTGCGGAAAGGTTCAAGCCTTCGACAGCGATTTGCTCGAGGCGGGCAGAGTTGAGCACTTCCAAGTGCAAATGGGAACACCATGGTCACCATGGGAGAGTACGTAGGAGAACACCTCCCAAACGTCAGGGCATGGTGCCGTTTATCGCAGACCGAGTTCAAGACTTCCGCCCTCGCGAGCTTGTCCACATTGCGGACGCTTACGCCATACGGTTGCATAAGGATGTCTGGCACACCCACAGCCTCATACAGGCATCTTAGCTGCGAACCCTACTGCGTGTGTTGATCCGGCTATTGCGCGTAAGGCGAGGATGCCTGCGCCCAGCCAAGTGCATGTGCTGTGATTCCATTGTGTCATTGTCATGGCAAAGCACATGGAAGCACACACTAGCACCCACTTAGTAAACTTAGTCACTAGTCGCAGGTGCAAAGTCCGGAGCTCTTCGCGCTGGTGCATGGCTCACACCAGATTCCTTTCCGATCGGTATGTGAAGTTCGTGCATTTAGCTACGTATGTTTTCAGTAGCGCATGCATGTGTCATGTTTTCGTACGCGTTCATGTTGAAGTTCCGGTAGTTTGTCAGCTGCTTGACTTCACGAGCATGGGCCCCTGCGGGCCCTTGCCATGTTGGGGAGATGAAAAGAGAATTCCCTGAAGAACCCCGTTACCGAGAGAGAGAGAGAGAGAGTCAATGAACCGCTGGGGGGGGGCCATGGGGGCCCTAAAGTGCGCAGAAGAAGTAGAAGAAGAAGGTTGCTAAGAGAAAAAGAGAGAGACTGAGCCGGTGCCGAGCTTCTGTGGATACAAAAAACAGAGCTGCAAGGAAAAGGAGTAGCCTTTTTGTTAAGGTGGCGGAGGCCCTGCCCCGGTACTTGTACGACTTGACGCCTCCTGAGCTGGCCAGCCTCTGCAGAAGCTTTGCAGAGGCGCCGCGCTCGCTGTGTCATTGCCGTTGCAGTTACACGTTGGATACACCCTAAACTAGCATTGGCACCTCACAGGCAGCCGTCTACAACGAGGAGCTTGCGGATGAGCTTGTGGCAGAGGCTTATCGACCCAACCGAGCCAATCCAACCCTCCTCTTGCCATAGTGAGTAGTGAAGTGCGGTGGAGCACGGATCCGTGTAAGCACGGCTTGGAGCAATGGCTAAGCATTTGACCCCCGTCAAGGCCTCCTTTGCTGCTTAGCCGGTCTTCTTGATTCATGGGACAGGTCTCGAAGAGGGCCCGAAGCTTTGGTGCCATGGAATGCCTGGTGTTCCTCGATGCTTTGTCTCGGCTGCATGAAGGAATGCCCGAGGCGAGCCACCGTTTGCCACGTCACGGCTTCAGCATGGCATTGCGCATCAGGAGCTGCGAGCATCTCGCAAAGAACGAGATGCAGATGTTGTGGCCAGAGCCTTTGAGTTTACAAGACATGGTTTTCATGAGTGAAAGCAAACCACCATGAATCACAATGGTTAAAGTCGCAGTGGTGGTTATCGTCGCCGTCGTAGTCGGCCATCAGCCGTAAGGCGAGCCAGTTTTCTTTGAAAACGACCACTGTTTGCGTGCTCCGCTGTGGCGGATAATTGTTTTGAGAAAACGTCCGCGGGGACAGGGTTTCCCCAAATCCTTAAACCCTGAAAGCCCTAACAGCCCTTAAAGCTTAAAAAGCCTCAGCCCTCTAAACCATGAGCGCCCTAAACACCCACAAACCCTAGCCCAAAAGCCCGGAACCCAGTAGCCGTAGCAGTAGCAGTTGCAGTAGCAGGAGCAGTAGCAGTAGCAGTAGCAGTAGTAGTAGCAGTAGCAGTAGCAGTAGCAGTAGCAGTAGCAGCAGTAGTAGTAGTAGTAGTAGTAGTAGTAGTAGTAGTAGTAGTAGTAGTAGTAGTAGTAGTAGTAGTAGTAGTAGTAGTAGTAGTAGTAGTAGTAGTAGAACATCCGAGCCCCCAGACCAAAACATCCTTGCAAGCAGTCTGGACAAAGTCTTCTGCACACACAAGAAAGACGCCTCGAAACGATGCACCCAATGGACTCCAGGCATAATGACCCCGTAAATCCCTGAAACCCTATGCCTAAAGCTCAGAAAGCAAAATCCTTGCAAGTAGTATGAACAAGCGTTGTCCCATCACCGGTTCACGACCGAAAAGCCCCGTGCTGTTGCGAGGTTTTCGCGTCAACGTGGAGTTTAGATTCGGGGGTCGGAACTAGCGGAAGATGTTGATGTCATGTAAGTCATGCAAGGGATGGTTGCGATTTGTTGCGCACCCTCTCTCAACAAGCGAGGTAGCCATCTCTGAGCAGCTCAGTGGCTCCGCCTCTGCTTTAGCTGCCCAGGATCTCGTGTTCCAGCTGCAATAGAGTATAGACCGTGCAGGTATCACTGTAGCATTTTCCTCAGGCCAAAGAAGCAAATGCGTGGTCGTTCTGCAGTGCCATTGTGAAGGTTCGTGCTTTTGCAGCCTTGGTGCGGCTGGATCACTATGATCCCAAGCTTGTGCACGGCCCTGAACTTAGCGTGCAACGCTTGTTGTTGGGAAGTTCAAATTTCCAGATCATTCTCCGACCTTAGACAAAGCAACGGTGCAAAGAGTCTGAGGCCGGATTTGTACAGCCTTGGCCCTCAAGCTGCATCAGCTCACGCAGGCGCACCAACTATTTTGCTGGACATGTCTCTGAAGCCTGACTCTAAAATAAGTCTTAGTTGTCAACGTTGTTTTGTGAAGGGTTTCCCCGCCGGAGCTTTCGCACGCCCGCAGCAGGCGTGCAATTGGTACCATCATAGAATGTTCTCGTAATTGAAAGCGAGGAATCGTGTGTGCTTTGGCATCACAGGATTGGTGTGACTGACGTGCCTTGCCAGGCTGCACGAGGTTTCCCTGCCTTAGCGGAGCTGCTACATTGCTTGAGCTTGCTGCCAGCCAGATCCTCGATTGTGTGTCCTTCGGTTTCGGGAAGGCTTAATTATGGCTTAATTTTAACGCTACGCGACCCGCCTCGGCCCGGCCTAGCGCATCCGCGTGAGCATGGTGATTCCGCAGCGCCCAAGTCGCTGGACCCCAAGTAATAAGGGTTGGGTTTAGGGTTTAGGGTTCCGGGTTTATGGTTTGGGGTTTAGGGTTGAGGGTTAGTTAAGGGTTGAGGGCTTAGGGCTTAAGGTTCACGGTTTGGGGTTTCGTGTTT